ACGCTTCCGGCATCGAACCCTCCTTCGACCCCCTCAAGGCCCGTGTTTACGACTCATCCTGGAACTGGGCCCGTCAGGATGCCCTCAGCATGTACTACGACATCATTTTCGGTCGTCTGCAGGTTGTGGACCGCGAGATTGTCAGTCGCTGCATTCGCATCATGAACCGCTCCAACCCTCTTCTCCTCGACTTCATGCAATACCACATCGACAACTGTCCGACTGAGCGTGGTGAGACATACCAGCTCGCCAAGGAGCTGGGTCAGCAGCTCATTGAGAACTGCCGGGAGGTTCTTGATGTTGCTCCTGTCTACAAAGATGTCGCCGTCCCCACCGGTCCTCAGACCACCATTGATGCTCGTGGTAACATTGATTACAAGGAGGTTGACCGTGCCAGTGCCCGCAAGCTGGAGCACTATGTTAAGCAGATGGCCGAGGCTGGCCCAATTTCTGAATACAGCAACCGCACCAAGGTGCAGAATGACCTGAAGAACGTCTACAAGCTCATTCGCAAGCAGCATCGTCTATCCAAGGCGTCGCAGCTTCAGTTCGATGCCCTTTACAAGGACGTTCTGCACGCACTCAGCATGAACGAGAACCAGATCATGCTTCAGGAGAACGGGCAAGCGAAGAAGGGCCGTAACAGCGTCAAACGTACTGTTACTCGTCCCGGTAAGGTGGAGACCATTCCTTTCCTACACCTGAAGAAGAAGAGCGATCACGGCTGGGACTACAACAAGAAGTTGACCGGAACCTACCTAAATGTGCTGGAGTCCGCTGCCCGTGACGGTCTCTCCTTCCAGGGCAAGAATGTCCTCATGACCGGTGCTGGTGCTGGTTCTATCGGTGCGGAGGTTCTGCAGGGTCTCATCAGTGGTGGTGCCAAGGTCGTCGTCACTACCAGTCGCTTCTCTCGTCAGGTGACTGAGTACTACCAGGGCATGTATGCCCGCTATGGTGCTCGTGGCTCCCAGTTGGTTGTGGTGCCCTTCAACCAGGGTAGCCAACAGGATGTACAGGCCCTTGTCGACTACATCTATGACTCCAAAAAGGGTCTGGGCTGGGACCTGGACTTTGTGGTGCCGTTCGCTGCTATTCCTGAGAATGGCCGAGAGATCGACTCCATTGACTCTAAGTCTGAGCTGGCTCACCGCATCATGCTGACCAACCTGCTGCGTCTCCTCGGTTCTATCAAGACTCAGAAGCACGCCCATGGCTTTGAGACCCGCCCGGCTCAAGTCATCCTGCCTCTGTCCCCCAATCACGGTACCTTCGGTAATGACGGTCTGTACTCCGAATCCAAGCTTGCTCTGGAGACCCTGTTTAATCGTTGGTACTCGGAGAACTGGAGCAACTACCTCACCATCTGTGGTGCGGTCATTGGCTGGACTCGTGGTACCGGTCTGATGAGCGGTAACAACATGGTTGCTGAGGGTGTCGAGAAACTCGGCGTCCGCACTTTCTCCCAGCAGGAGATGGCTTTCAACCTTTTGGGTCTCATGTCTCCTGCGATTGTGAACCTGTGTCAGTCCGACCCTGTTTTCGCCGATCTCAACGGAGGTCTGCAGTTCATCCCTGACCTCAAGGGCTTGATGACCAAGCTTCGCACCGATATCATGGAGAGCAGCGATATTCGCCAGGCTGTCATCAAGGAGACTGCCATTGAGAACACTGTTATTAATGGAGAGGACAGTGGTGTTCTGTACAAGAAGGTTGTTGCTGAGCCTCGTGCTAACATCAAGTTTGAGTTCCCCACGCTCCCCGACTGGGAGACTGAGGTCAAGCCAATCAATGAGTCTCTTAAGGGTATGGTCAACTTGGACAAGGTTGTTGTTGTCACCGGTTTCGCCGAGGTCGGTCCCTGGGGTAACTCCCGGACCCGCTGGCAGATGGAGGCCCACGGCAAGTTTTCTCTGGAGGGCTGCGTCGAGATGGCCTGGATCATGGGTCTAATCAAGCATCACAATGGTCCCCTCAAGGGCAAGGCCTACTCTGGCTGGGTCGACGCTAAGACCGGCGATCCTGTTGATGACAAGGATGTCAAGCCCAAGTACGAGAAGTTCATCCTGGAGCACACTGGTATCCGTCTTATCGAGCCCGAGCTGTTCAAGGGATACGACCCCAAGAAGAAGCAGCTGCTTCAGGAGATTGTCATCCAGGAGGATCTGGAGCCCTTCGAGGCCTCCAAGGAGACCGCCGAGGAGTTCAAGCGCGAACACGGAGACAATGTCGAGATCTTCGAGATTCCCGAGTCTGGCGAGTTCACCGTCCGTCTTCGCAAGGGCGCCAACCTGCTTATCCCCAAGGCTCTCCAGTTCGACCGCCTGGTCGCTGGTCAAGTCCCGACTGGCTGGGATGCCCGCCGCTACGGTATTCCCGAGGATATCATCGAGCAGGTGGATCCCGTGACCTTGTTCGTTCTGGTCTGTACTGCCGAGTCCATGCTCTCGGCTGGTATCACCGACCCCTACGAGTTCTACAAGTATGTCCACCTCTCTGAGGTCGGTAACTGTATTGGATCGGGTATCGGTGGTACCCACGCTCTGCGTGGAATGTACAAGGACCGCTACCTCGACAAGCCTCTGCAGAAGGATATTCTGCAGGAGTCTTTCATCAACACTATGAGTGCCTGGGTCAACATGTTGCTCCTGTCCTCCACTGGTCCGATCAAGACTCCTGTCGGTGCCTGTGCCACTGCTGTTGAGTCCGTCGACATCGGTTATGAGACCATCGTGGAGGGCAAGGCCCGTGTCTGCTTCGTCGGTGGTTTCGATGACTTCCAGGAGGAGGGCTCGTATGAGTTCGCCAACATGAAGGCTACCAGCAACGCCGAAGATGAGTTCGCCCACGGTCGTACCCCGCAGGAGATGTCTCGTCCCACCACCACTACCCGTGCCGGCTTCATGGAGTCGCAGGGTTGTGGTATGCAGCTTATCATGAGCGCTCAGCTTGCCCTCGACATGGGTGTGCCTATCCACGGTATTATCGCTCTGACCACCACCGCCACTGATAAGATTGGCCGTTCCGTCCCCGCCCCCGGTCAGGGTGTCCTCACTACTGCTCGTGAGAACCCTGGCAAGTTCCCGTCGCCTCTGTTGGACATCAAGTACCGTCGCCGTCAGATGGAGCTGCGCAAGAAGCAGATCAAGGAGTGGCATGAATCGGAGCTCCTCTACCTCCAGGAGGAAGTTGAGGCTATGCAGGCTCAGAGCGATGAGTCCTTCAATGCCTCTGAGTACATGCAGGAGCGTGCCCAGCACATCGAACGCGAGGCTATTCGCCAGGAGAAGGATGCGCAGTTCTCTCTGGGCAACAACTTCTGGAAGCAGGATTCACGCATCGCTCCCTTGCGTGGTGCCTTGGCTACTTGGGGCCTGACTGTTGATGACATTGGTGTCGCCTCCTTCCACGGTACCTCGACCGTTGCCAACGACAAGAATGAGTCCGATGTGATTTGCCAGCAGCTCAAGCACCTTGGCCGCAAGAAGGGTAATGCCGTGATGGGAATCTTCCAGAAGTACCTCACCGGTCACCCCAAGGGTGCTGCTGGTGCCTGGATGTTCAACGGTTGTCTCCAAGTCCTGGAGTCCGGTCTTGTTCCCGGTAACCGCAACGCTGATAACGTTGACAAGGTGATGGAGAAGTTCGACTACATTGTCTACCCCAGCCGTAGCATCCAGACCGATGGTATTAAGGCCTTCTCGGTCACCTCCTTTGGTTTCGGTCAGAAGGGTGCCCAGGTTATTGGTCTTCACCCCAAGTACCTATACGCCACTCTCGATCAGGCTCAGTACGAGACCTACAAGACCAAGGTTGAGTCTCGCCAGAAGAAGGCCTACCGCTACTTCCACAACGGCTTGATCAACAACACCATCTTCGTTGCCAAGAGCAAGGCTCCTTACGAGGATGAGCAACAGAGCAAGGTCTTCCTGAACCCCGACTACCGGGTGACCCTTGATAAGAAGACTTCTGAGCTGAAGTACTCGACCACTCCCCCCAAGCCCGAGGCCTCCAGCGAGGAGAGAACCCGCCAGATGGTTGAGTCTTTGGCTAAGGCCAACGCCACTGCCAACTCCAAGATCGGTGTTGACGTTGAGAGCATCGACGCCATCAACATCACCAATGAGACCTTTGTTGAGCGCAACTTCACTGCCAGCGAGCAGGAGTACTGCCGCAAGGCCGCCTCGCCACAGTCCTCGTTCGCAGGCCGATGGAGTGCCAAGGAAGCCGTCTTCAAGTCACTGGGTGTGAGCAGCAAGGGTGCTGGTGCCGCTTTGAAAGAGATTGAGATTACATGCGACGCTAACGGTGCTCCCGTGGTTAACGTAAGTACTTTAAATATCATATTGTCCAGTGATCAGCAACGCTAACCTTCTTTAAGCTTCACGGTGCCGCCGCCGCCGCCGCCAAGCAAGCCGGTGTTAAGTCGATCACCGTCAGCATCAGTCACAGCGATTCGCAGGCTGTGGCCGTGGCTGTTTCGCAGCTCTAATTCCAAGATTGTCATCTCTTGTGCTATTTTCCTGTTCACATAAGTGCTGAGAACAGCTTGATCTTCCCTTTTTCTCCCCATTTCGAGACGTGATGACTGTGATTTATGTTTGTGTTTCTTTCTAGATTCGATCCAGTTTCGTCTCCTGGTTCGTTGGTGTTTATAATGGGAGTAATGACATGCCATAATTTCATTTATATCGAGTTTTTATCTCTGCCTTCAATCGTAAGACCCTGGTTTTAGTGCAGGGCTCAGGCCTGTAGTTCATCTTTGAAACCTGTAGTATAAGGGGCTTGGTCTTGCTCTGTGTCTAGCTTCATGGAATTGGGCATTAATAGTACGTTTCCAGGTCCTTGACATCTACAGAGGTTTGTATCATGTTTTGCGTCATTCAATGCACACAATGTATTATGGGCCAACTGATTGTTAAAATAGATTTTTGAATGTGGGCAAGAAAAAAAAAAACAAGAAGATATTTATATTTACATCAAACGTTCGTAGAAACTGATCAGTTGGTCACTGATGCCCGGTTCAGCGGTCCCCAGTTCGCGCGGGGATTGATCTGATACCGGACCAGACGCTTTTTCGAGTGCGCAGCTGAGGCTTCACGACCCAGGGCGGGATCGAATTTGACGTTGAGAGTGCTGGGATGAGGGCGCTCGGAAATCTGAGTGGCAGGCTTTTCCTTCTCTGAGGCAGCTACTGGCTCAGGTTCAGCTCGAGGAATGGCCTGTGAAGTCTCCGCCGTTTGCTTCCAGGCTTGTCGAGAGCCAGATCGATATAGAGAAGCCTCTACCTTGGTAACCAGGTCACTGACATCACGGCCAGACTCCACGGCCGAGAGAATATCTCGCTTCAGAAGAGATAGCCACTGATCCCCATCGTCGAGCTTACGGAGGTTATCACGACTCTTGGCCATGATTGCGGCACCAGGAGTGCCCGGTTTCAGGGATCCTTCCTTGATAGGACTCTCTTGACGAATCCACTCGCGCATGACCTCCCAGATGACACTCCAAGGGGCATCGGTGCGAACTGAGTTAGGCTTGGCATGACTGCGAGTGGAGCGGTAACCGATGGAATGAAGAGCCCCACGGAATTCATCGATTGGAGCAGTGGAACAATGCAAAACTTTTGAAAGGCTACCGAGGGTCATGTAGAAAGGGTATGGGTCCTGACGAGTCGGATCCATCCGTGGGATGATGGCTGGGTACTCGGTAGCCTCACCCTTTGTTTCGGTGGCCTCCGACTTAGAGGAGCCACATAGGGTAAGGTCCAGGTCCTCCTCCAGGGCCGTGGTCAGCATACCTTCAATTCGAGGGATGGTTTGATAAGTAAGAGGATCAAGTCCCGGAAGGGTTGCCAGGATCTTCTGAATGAAATGTGGGTTATGCAGCGGGCCCGCCCACATGGGGCCAGCAAGATGAGTCTTGAAGCCACAGTGCTCGCAGTGCGTATTGGCGGTAGGCCCCTGAGCCAGCCCATGGTGGTGCAGGGCGTTGCCCTTGCGGTTGAGCTTCTGTTTTAGTGCGGCCAATGGCTGGGTCGACCAGGCACCACAGCCCGAATCACAGTTGTAAACGAGCATCGAGTTAGCACCAAGGAACTTCACCTGCGCTGGGGAGCGATACACGCGCACAAACACACGAGCGTAGAAATCGATCGAAAGCGAAAGCAGGGGTTCAATTGCCATGCCATACTTGCCAGCCGACATAGCCAGACTGTTGAGGATCAGTCGTAGCCCACCCTCGTGCGAGTGAGAGCCTTTCATGGGCATGCCGCCATACAAGGAAAATGACTTCTCTGCATAACCAGTCGAGGCCCAGATACTAGCATCAGTGCAGGTTACGCAGAGCAGACCACCATCCTTGACACCCTGTACTGCAGCGTCCAAAAATGGTGCGGCAGTGCCATACGGATCCAAATCAATGACATCAAATTTCTGGACCGAGGATAGTCCGTACATATATGCTCGTGCATCGCCGAGGTTGGGTGTGATGCGGGTTTCGAGCTTATTGTACTCGATGTTTGTCTTCATTGAGTTGATTGCAGAGGGTGACAGGTCATTAGCGACCACCTTGGAGACCATTGGAAGCTCCGAGGCATACCGAAGAGCTCGCAGGCCTGTCGCAGACAGAGCGTCCAAGACGGCAAACGACGGTTGGGAGGGTGCATCAGATGGCGCCTGCTGCTTCTCTTCTGGCACAAAGCCTGGTTGCTCTACCGTGGCCTCTGACTTTTCTTCCTTCCCTTCCTCCACCCTTTTGGAAGCTGGTTCTTCCGCATCGTCCTCGCGCTTCCGCTTTTTGGCATTGTCGGCCCCATTCTCTGCCTTGCGCTTCTTCTTCTGAGCCTCTTTCTGCTCCTTCAGATCCATCGCATGTTCACCAAAGGCACGAATTGCCAGGACACTAAGATCCCGGTTGAATTGCTGAATTGGGTTGTAGAAGACAGCCTGAGACTCGTCGTCGCCCTTCAGGTCTTTCTTCGTTCCCTTGGACGCGGCTTCCTGCGCCGGGGGATTTAATATATGGGCCAATCCCTCCTTGATCACATTGTATTCTTTGCCCTGGTATTGCACCCGGGTGCTGGTGGAATCGGTTGAACTCTCCATGGCTTTAGGTGAGTGACAGAACGATTTTGAGAGTGCGGGAGTACGAAGGAATTGAGGGCAGGTGGGGCGATTTGAATTAAAAGCGCATCGCGGGAGCCAAGTAAAGATCGAGTGCACCGAGCGGGAGTTCATGGAAATTCTTGATCAATCCATGTGGCAGAGTCTAGGAAGTTGAAGTTGAAGTTGAATGGAAAGTGAAAAAGATTCCTCGCACGGACCAAGTGGGTTCATGATCCTCATCTACATACAATATGCAAACCAGTTCCTATGTCTGAGGGTACCATTTTTCTCTTTCCTCTTTTCATGAATTCTATTAATAATTAATCATCTTAGTGGCGTCTATGAATACAGTACATTATGTGCATCACAATCCAATCGTCAACTCCAATCATAACCAATCCCCAATGACTGGCACTTGACTATACATGGCATTCCACCCTTGCGCCTCCCAGCCAACACCTTCACCAGCGCGGCCAACAATACCAAGAGCACCGGCAAGCCAGATGGCAGCGCCAGCGGCCGCAATGCCATTGACCATCCACCACATTTTGCGCTGTCGGTTTGCTCGTTGATGGTTCTCGGGATATCCCAACAAGCCCTCCAGCGAGCCCTTACTTGTGTGCTGTTTCCGGGCAGTGGTGACTCGCCAGCCCACCCAAGTTGCCCAGCCACCAATGAAGTGCCACACACTAGCGGTGACAAATACCAAGTAGAAGATATTCCAGAACACGGGGCTGCGCGCCACACCATGGGCCACATAACCCAGTCCGACGCCGGAACTACTGCCTTCCACCATGAGCGGTGTGATGCGATTCACCACGGCGTGAAGCCCGATCAGCGGGGCGAGAAGATATCCGGAACGAGCCTGAAGAGAGATCCGAGGCCACCAGGAGAGCAGGTCTCGTTGGGCACGAGTCTCCGCACCGTATAGTCTTGCGCGTCTAGAGGAGCGAAGATTGCGCAGGGCGATACCAGAGACAACATGGGCGACGATGGGAAGAGTAAGGACGAGATGTTCCAGTCCAGGAGCCTGATAGAGTGGTCGCGTGAGCAAGAGGTAGGGCTCACTGGCGGGCACCGATCGGGTCACGAGCGGAATAAGCGCGGTGTTGGCAAAGTGTAAGATAAAGAATACTGTCGGAGGATATGTCGAGTATTTTTGGATGCCGGATACTGTAGATATAGTGAGTTACCAATCGGCGGGAAAATATTTCGCTATAGGATCAACATACGCAATGCATCCCATCGATGCGGTCGAAGACCTAATGTGGGCACCGGAAACCCACATGCTCGTCGTGGTTTATCTTTAGCTGGTTGAGGCAAGAATTCCTCGGACTCAATGTCCGGAATTGAATCGTCGTTCACAGGTGAAGGGTCCAGTTCTTGCATAGAGATGATGGACTTGGCGTCCATATCGACCGGTTTGGCATCTCCAGGATCCATATTGATTTTCACGAAGAATACTGAAAAGTAAAGAAAAAAAACAGAGATGACACAAATAGGAGATTCGTTCTGATTATATCATCATTCGTGGCGTGTGTCAAGAGCGTTGAGGAAGAGGAAATCAAGGAAAAGAAAGTTGGGGAAGAAACGCCGATCCGCAATAGAAAACACAACGTCGCTGATAGGTGCATCCTTTCGTTTTAAACCTCTCCATCATGCCTCCAGTAATGCTTTCCCCTCCCCTCTACGTCTGGATATTACTGATTTAATAATACAGCGCGGCTTCACTAATCCTGCCCCGAAGGTAATAAACTCCCATGCTGTTACCAAGCACTAGCTAACCCATCTCAGACCGAGTCGGCGCGGTCCGCCCTCAGCTCCTTCACATGCACGCTATGCAATAAATCTTATTCACGACACCCGGAATATGAAGCGCATATTGGTTCCTACGATCATCAGCACCGGAAGCGACTCCAGGACCTGAAACAGTTATCCCGCGATCCCAACGCCGCAGAGAAGGCGCGACGCGCAGAGCGCAAAGCAGATGCCCAGGCCGGGCTAAGAGTGATTGATGCGCCTATAACCAGTACCAACTCCAGTGGGACTGGCGGAGGAGGATTCAAGAAAGGCGGCTTCAAGAGTTCTTTCGCAGCTGTCAAGGGCGTCGCACCTGTATTGAAGAAGAATGTCTTAGGGGACGACGATGACGACGAGGCCCAATCGACCCATAAGGATCAACCGGGATCCACTGGCTCCAAGTCGGCACGCGGAGATGACATAGATGCAGAAAGCGATACCGACGAGGAATATGCCCGAGATGAGCAGGGTGAGGGATACTACGACCCTCGTCGACCTACTGGTTGCCTTGCTGGATGTGCTGGGCTTCGGTGAATCAAGTTGAGCTGCTTGATAGCCCAAAAATATGTTCGTTCTCCGGGGTTTAATTTGCATTATCAGAGGCGTTTGGGCGAGATACCATGGCGTCAGATCCTGTTACTTTACTGAAGACGGTTGCATTTAAGGAAGAACCTAAGATATCAAAAACAATGAAACTGGCAATTGTCTATCAATCTAAAGGTTAAGATAGTGAGGGTGATGGCAACACCAATTCAAGCATTTACGCTGGAGGAATCAAGAGGCGACTCTAGGAGTAATCGTACATAGGTTTCCAAGAATCGGCCTAGGCGAGAATAAATAGAGACATGATGGAACAAACAGGAAAAAAGATAGGACAGATGAAAAGGGTACTAGGCACATGGTTTTATTACTGCTTCAATATCGCTTCACTTACACCCGCAGAAGCTTGGCGGCCTGGCTAACGATGGTGTCCTCCTGGGGGAAGGCCATGTTCTCCAGACCAACGGCGTAGGGGGTGGGCACCTCAGCACCAGTGACACGGACGGCGGGGGCAGTCAGGTAGTCGAAGCCGTACTCCATGGCCAGAGCCATGATCTCGGAGGACACACCGAACATGGGGTATCCAGACTCAACGACCATGAGGCGGCCGGTCTTCTTCAGGGAGGCGATGATGGTCTCGACGTCCAGGGGCTTGACGGAGCGCAGGTTGATGACCTCGGAGTCAACACCGTACTTCTGCTTAAGCTCGGCGGCAGCGGTGAGGGACTGGCCGACACAGCGGGAGAGGGAGACAATGGTCAGGTCCTTTCCGGGGCGCTCAATCTTAGCCTTGCCGATGGGGAGAACGAAGTCGTTCTTCTGGGCGGCCTCGCTCATGGGAAAAGCCTGGCCGTACATAAGCCTATTCACAAATTATATGTTAGTCTCTGTTTCCCGTTCTCAATCCGCAAGAAAAAAAAAAGAAAAGAAAAGAAAAGAGAGAGAAAATTGTTTCAAGGACCACAAAACATACTCGTTCTCAAGAAACACAACGGGGTTAGGGTCACGAATAGCAGCCTTCAGCAGACCCTTGGCATCCTCAGAGCTCCATGGGGAGACAACCTTGAGACCGGGAATGCTGCCGTACCAGGCAGAGTAGTCCTGAGAGTGCTGAGCGGCGACACCGGCGGCGAAACCGTTGGGACCACGGAAGGTGATGTTGCAGGGCTGGATACCACCGGACATGTAGTGAGTCTTAGCGGCGGAGTTGATAATCTGATCGATGGACTGCATGGCAAAGTTGAAGGTCATGAACTCGCACTAGAGATAAGGGACAATTTGATTAGCATCTCTCTTCTACCCCAAATTTGGGCTTCAATTCTCGCCGGAAAATTACTCACAATAGGGTGCAGACCAGCCAGAGCAGCACCAACAGCAAGACCGGTAAAACCAGCCTCAGTGATGGGGGTATCAATAACCCGCTTGGGTCCAAAGCGGTCCAACAGGCCGCGAGTGACCTTGTAACTGCAAGTAGAAATCCATGTTAGGATGTTTTCCTTCCCAAGCAAATCCCGGCCATTCTATCAAATTGACCAGACATCAAGAATGGGGCTCTTACGCTCCGTTGTACTGTGCGACCTCCTCGCCCAGAATGAAAGTCTTCTGGTTGAGCTCCAACTCCTCCGCCAGGGCCTCGTTCAAGGCATCACGGACAGTAACCTCCTTAACACCGCCCTCCGACGCATATCCTCGGGCGCGCAGAGCGGATTGAGCGCAAGCAGACTGGGCAAAAGCCGGGCGAAGAGGGGTGGCCAGGCGCGAAGAAGCCAGACGGGCAGCCGGGCGGAAAAGTCGGGAAGAGACCATGGCGAGGAATTGATATAGGATTCGAAGGGACGGAGAAAAGAGAAACAAAAATTGACAGATCCGCAAGGCCGAAACGGGCACACCAAGCGTGAGATATCAAATTAATTGGGGTTGGGGAGAAAAAGGGAAGGCCGCGCTATGAATCTTTGAGATTCAAATCGGAAAGATGTTGGGCGCTGAGTCAGCCGCGCACCTCACCGGCAGCTCCTTCCGTAACCGTACGAGCTCTTTTCCTTATGTTAAAGGTACTAACTATAGGAATGGGAGATAGCTATTATAACTAGCTCTCAAGGTACTTGCACTTATCAGATCTAACCATCCCTTCTTCCTTTCTCTCTCTTTCCCCATCTGATCTCAACGAAAACACCGGGTACAATCTACTCCATTTCCGGCCCCGGCTCGGGAAACCTCAAGGATGTTGTTGTCCGTGTTGCCCTGGCTCTTCCCGTCGGCGCTCGCCGCTCAACCATCTGCACCCGATCCAATCCCCGTACCCCTACGTGACCTCGAGTTTGGCCAAATAAATTTCCTTCATACTACTGATACTCATGGCTGGCTGGCCGGTCATCTACAGGAGTAGGCCTCCAGAGCTCCGGTTGTAAGGCCTCAAAACTAACAGTGTATTTACTGCAGACCATCCTACTCCGCCGATTGGGGTGACTATATCTCTTTCGCTACGCATCTGCGGGAACAAGTAGAAGCACAGGGTCAAGATTTACTGGTCATAGATACAGGTGATCGGGTTGAGGGAAATGGTCTCTACGATTCATCCGAACCCAAGGGCATCTATCTCTCGGAGATCATCCGCCATCAACACATCGATGTGATAACTTCGGGAAATCATGAACTATACCAATACAACACATCCAATAATGAGCTATTGACGACTGTACCCAACTTCCGAGGTCACTACCTTTCATCCAATATCGATATCTATCACCCTACAACCCAGGAGTTGGTTCCACTCGCCCCACGATACAAGAAATTCACCACCAAGGTCCAAGGCATCCGCATCGTAGCATTTGGCTTCCTCTTTAACTTCAACGGAAACTATAATAATACAGTTGTGCAGCCCGTGGAAAACACCATCCGGGAAGACTGGTTCCAGGAAGCCATCCAGGATAAAGAAGTGGATCTCTTCCTAGTCGCCGGACATGTCCCGGCGCATTCACCGGAATACCGTGCGATCTTCAAGGCGATCCGCAAGGTCCACTGGGCCACCCCAATTCAGTTCTTTGCTGGTCACCAACACATCCGCGATTATGCGCAATATGATTCCAAAGCCATGGCCCTGGCCAGTGGCCGATTCATGGAGACCATCGGGTTCATGTCGATCGACGGTCTCTCCACCAGTAACCGACCAACTGTGGCTTCCACCCCCGTGTTCAAGCGACGGTACATAGATAACAACCTTTTCTCTTTCTACCACCATACTGGACTGGATGAAAGTTCATTCCCGACCAAGAAGGGTGTGGAAGTGTCCAAGATGATAACCGAGGCACGGAGCGCCCTTGATCTGGATCAAGTCTATGGCTGCGCCCCTCGCGATCTGTGGATGTCGCGCGTGCCTTACCCACACCCAGATAGCATCTATACTTGGCTGGAGACTGAAGTGCTGGCCACTTTATTGAAAGATGATTCTCGCCGTAGTGTTCCTGCCGTCGCCATTTTAAACACGGGTGGAATACGTTTCGATATCTTCAAGGGCCAATTTACCCGTGACAGCGCATCCATCATATCTCCCTTCATCAACGATTTTCGCTACGTGAAGGATGTTCCATATGAAAAAACCCAACTTATTATGGATGTACTCAACAAACAGACAAAGATATTGGAGATGTCAGAAGACGAGGACGCTCTATCTATGACCGAGTTAGCGTCCCCTGACCAACGAGACGTCGCAAAGCATGCTGCCTCCAATCAAGAGGATTGGGAGAGTCAGTTGCTTTCCATGACTGCCGGCTCTCACCAGATCCCTCTTGTGGCCAAGCGCGAGGATGTCAAGATCATCCCCGGATACACAACCAAGGACGATGCCGGTACAGATGGGGACGATACCATCCATTCACCCATCAGTGCCTACCAGGTACCCAACTGCATTCAGGCCCTTCTGCCCACCAACGAAACAAAAGTGCCTGAGACGGTGGACCTGGTCTACATTAACTTTGTTCAACCGTTCCTGGTGCTGGCTGCCAAGTACGCGGGTCTCGATATCGATTTCGTCAAAGATAGCGAGGTGTACATGCCCAACACTACCATGTCAGATCTGATTCGAGACTACGTGGAGACGAATTGGAAGTGCGAGTAATACAGCCATCTCCGAGCTTTCATATCGATTTGCATCAAAGCTTGCCACGAATGCTTCATCGGGGGGTTTTTTCGTCATATAAACTTTGTAAATGTATCAATACATGGAAGATTTGGTATATCATCAAGATTGGCTGCCAATGGGCCACTATCTCTCTTTGATCAATGAACTATGTAGATATACTCTCAAATATGATACATGCCTTGATAGACCAGTAGCTCCTTCACTCATCGCCTCCAGTGTAGGTAAGCACACCCTTTCCACTGCGGTACCCACCCAAAGTGCCTTGCACGCTCTCTGCCAGCTCGGGGCCCTCGGATTGCCAGGTCCACTTGACGTCGTCCACGGGAATGTCTTTGAATTTACCCGCACGAGTCAGCTGCAGCACATCCTTGATAGTATTCTCCTTCAGCATCGGGTTCTTATCGCCCCACCTGCTGACCCAGAAGCCATCAAAGACAAGGTTCTTGAAGATCAACAACCCAGAGGGCAGTGCTACAGGTTGCTTTGACATAGCACCGTATGTGACCATGTGCGAATCCGGTGCCAGGGTCTTTGCGAGTGCCGTAGCGTTCTTTCCACCAACGCAGTTTAGTGCAAGGCGGATCGGCTCTCGTCCTCCACGGGTGGCCTCCTTGATCATATCCCGGAAGGGACCGGTTAACATCTCTTCCTCAGTCACAACGACTGTGGCACCGAGGTCCTTGAGCTCTTGCTTAAGCGCCTCCGTCTCCTCGGGTGTCTTTCGTTGACGAACAACGTTGATCGTCTTAATACCCCACTCACGGCCGAGTTGAATCGCAGCGCGTCCAACGCCACTATTAGCACCATTCTGGATCAACCATTCCTCGCCCGCTCGCATCCAATCCCACTCGCAGAAATCCCGGATCATTCGATACGCTGTCACCGGGTTGACACTGACGGTACCAACCTGCAGCGGCGTCAACCCATCCTTGTTCTCAATGCGGATAAGCTGCGACTCATCCATCTGAGCGTGTGTGCGCCAAGTACCCTGACCAGTCTTCTTCATAACGACCCAATCACCCTGGGACAGATTCTTGACACCCGCGCCGGTTGTAATCACCTCGAAGGCACCCTCGTTACCGCCGACGGCAGCCGGCTCGCTTGTGCCGAGAGTCGAGACAAACGGGGGTTTACTAGGGTATACACCTTGGATCTGGTTGACATCGGCCGGGTTCATGGGAGCGGTAAGGAGGCGAAGATTCACTTGGGTGCCATGCGGGGCGGAGATGGAATGCTTATGTAGACTGTCAGAACAACACGTTAGCGATCTCTAATCACTGCAAGGAAATTGTAGCAGAGAAATCGAACCTACCTGAGGACATCTTTGGGCTCGCCATATTTGGAGTAGACCAGCGCCTTGGATTGTGTGTAGCCATACACGGAGATAGACCTGCGGCCCTGCACGGGGAGAGTGGAGCTAGCGCATGGAGCTCTGCCCCCCAGGCTTGCAGCTCTAGATAGGCCGGATTGCCGGGTGCCTTGGGCGGCAGTTCGGAAAAAACTACGCGACAACATTGCGGATATGTTGGGGTGTAGATGGAGTGCAGAAGTATGGAAAAAGTTGTAGGAAGGGGAATTACGGCAAGGTGGAGATGACGTCTTGTTTCGGTGATTTCACTCGGCCCGAAGGAGCTCATATACTCCACGGTTGATTTCGGACAAGGTCAAACCTGTCTGGCTACTCATCGGATGGTCCTCCAAACAAGGAACTGTTTTTTACTGCTCGATAGTCCTTCTACTCTTCAATTTAATCATGCTGAGAATCCATCTTTATCGGCCTCATAGCATTCCCCGGTTATATGCTACTCCGCTTTGCATGCTAGTCCCGGGACTATATTCAATACGTAACCTTGAGATAGCCAAGTGTATACACTCTACATGTGTCAGTCTAATTGAAACATCATGGGAATACGCTACTCTGATCTAGTATAAATCTCTCCGTTCAAATGTCGATGGCACTCGTTGGCACCGGTGGTCCTATGGCATATACGATATTGTAGTAGCATTCACAAGAGCATAAGCCACTGATTAAGGCGATGAAAGAGCCTGATGATCATTTGCTGACTGGAGTCATATATACTTCAGGTTCCACGGTTAGCTTCTTTGTATAGAAGATGCATTAGATGCTAGCTATACTTCCCGATAATAAACGATAGGCGATAAGCGATAAGCACACTGATCTTCTCCCCAATTTGCATGTCCATCCGCTCTCGATCATACCTGCTTCTTCTGACTCGATGTCCCTTCTACGCGAGGCAGAGAAGTGCATAGCTAATCAACATACCCATGGCCTCAATGCCTTCATAACTCCATTACCCCGCGCGGGCCAGTGGTTGGATCGCGTGAGGGAGGCGGACCGTCGCCGGGAACAAGGTAGGTAAATGCATACAAAGCTGATCTGAAAATGGTATAGCTCACTCTTGCTACTACCATAGGAAAACAAACGTCTACCCTCGATGGCCGTCTGGTGGCAATCAAAGACAATATCTGCACGCGCGAACTTCCGACCACCTGCGCTTCTAGCATCCTGGACAAATTCGCTAGTCCATTCAACGCGACTGTTGTTGATCAATTGGAGGATGCTGGGGCCATTGTAGCTGGCAAGACAAACCTGGACGAGTTCGGAATGGGGTCACACTCGACAAACTCGCGGTTTGGCCTGGTCAAGAACTCGCGACGCGACAAGGATGGCCAAGATCTTTCCGCTGGTGGGAGTTCAGGTGGCAGTGCGGTGGCGGTTGCAGCCGATCAATGCTATGTGTATGCGCTTGGACATCCCTTGATCATAGTTTTATATGCTGACTGAAGATCCGGTTACAGTGCGCTTGGAACGGACACCGGAGGCTCCGTCAGACTTCCAGCGGCGTACACAGGAACTGTTGGTTTCAAACCATCGTATGGTTTGATATCACGGTGGGGTGTCATTGCCTATGCGAATTCCTTGGACACCGTTGGAGTTTTGGGGAGAACTACTTCTAGTGTTCGAGATATATTCTGTGGGTGTAGCCTCCCCGGTCCAATGATTATATCAAGCTGATGCGCTAGTAGCCATTCTCAACCATCATGATGAACGCGACCCGACCAGCATTTCTGCTCGCTCAAGATCGCGCATCAATTCACACCTTCAAACTTCACGGCTCGCATCTCGATTGACTTCAACTCCCCTCCGGATCGGTGTGCCATTGGAATACAACATTTCCGAACTAGCACCGTCAGTACGGCAAGCCTGGCTAATGTCCCTGGCCCATTTACAAGAGCAAGGTCATACCATTAAGCCCGTATCATTACCCACTACAAAGCATGCTCTATCGGCATATTACGTCCTTGCCCCGGCCGAGGCGTCGTCGAATCTGGCAAAATATGATGGCGTGCGATACGGCACTCGTCATGATGGACCAGATAATGACGGAATTTCCGAAAGCTATCTTTACTCGAATACGCGGGGCCATGGCTTCGGGTCAGAGGTACAGCGTCGCATTCTTCTGGGGACCTTCAGCTTGAGCGCTGATGCCATGGACAATTACTTCATCCAGGCACAACGAGTACGTCGACTGGTCCAGCAAGACTTTGATGCTGTATTCCATGCTAGCAATCCTCTTGCTACCAATGATCTGGATGCAGGCCGTCCTGGATTGGGTGATAACGTGGATGTCCTCGTGTGTCCTACAGCACCATCCCCTCCACCCCGGCTATCTGACATAACAGGTAACTCTGCGGGCTCCTCCCCCTTGCACGCCTATGTCAATGATGTTTTTACCGTTCCCGCAAGCTTAGCGGGTCTGCCTGCCATCTCCGTGCCAGTCACTGTGACTGGATCTAACCAGGACTCTGGTACGGATGGTATGACCGGTATCCAAGTGATAGGCCAGTATGGAGATGATGAGCTGGTGATGCAAGTTGGAGAAATACTCGAAGGTCGCCAATTTGTGGGCTCGCCATAGCTGAGGCCTGAATTTATGTATTATAAAGAGTAAATGGAGGGGATATCCCCGGGGGTCTGCCAGGACAGCAAGGCCAATCACAGAAGAAAGGGCCTCAAACGGTTATCAGAAAAGTGTACGATGACCTTGATCATCATGTAATATCATTGAATCTTGGTATCAATAGCATTTGATCTAAAAGTCAAAAACGCCTTGCCGTGTTGCTGCGGATGTAGCTCGGTCAGTATGTGTCGAGTGATCTGCAAGCATATTATAATTCAAATTGCGCCACCCCATCATTTATGTCTCGGTCATATCCATGTCCTCATCAGCTAAGCGTACGGGGATTTCCACAGCGATTCTAGGTGTCCCAGCCGTCCCAACTGTTCCAGCAGTCCCAACGCTCATCGTATCCTCCCCAGGAGAGTTCACAGCATCATCCCCATTGGCAGCCAGCATCGCGTGGTGACCATTGATAACTGAATCAGATGCCCCAGCACCAGTAGCCGATCCAGGGGTGGCAACGGAGACTTCCGGGTCAAGCGCAGCTCCGACACCACCTTTCAGTACTTCCGAGCCTCTGATGGCACCAGAAGCGGTATCCATCTCCCCATTATTGTCGCCAATAATGTCGCCGTCGACACCACCCCAGGTGAACATGGCTTCAACCTCGTCCACGATATCGGCGACTACATCTTCCACAATTTGCTCATTGAAACGGTCGCCAATGGCCCGGATAGGCTCTCCAGTCTCAGTGTGCTCCGGTGGACCAATCCACCATGGACCCTCAAACCGACATTCAACGGCACCGCCGCCATAGCAACTGACCGCTGGGTAATAACCGATCATGCCATCGTCGGCGTTCTCACGCTCGCCAATCCCAAGGTTGTTTGTACTAGCAAGGCGACTTGCCGGGGGAAGAAAGGCGAACAATTCTTTAAATGGGGAGCCCATCTTCACACCGTTTTTGAAAATAGTGATGCTGGACCCGGGTAATGTGCGTAGCGATGCGTCTTCGCTGTTGAAGGGTGACGGGATTCCATAAGCTGGCGGTTCCTTCAGGTTGAAGGCGTAATCACGAAGGTGTTTTGTGGAGAAGACGTTGGACTGCTGCCAACAGAAATCTGATTTCCAGTGGAAAGGAATGCGATCTCGAATGATATTGGTAGCGGTGGGCTTTCGTGCAGCGCCCGAGCCATCGCCATCCACGGCAGGATTATAGGTACCTTCGACGACCTTTTTGTGTAGGGATAGTGGAGGGAGGCTAATAAGCATGCCAATGACATCGCCTTCGTTGATAGCTTCACCCTTTGGAAAGAAAGATTCGCAGCGCATGCGATTGACGACTTCACCGTTCACATCACGAATGCCGTAACCATAGCAATCCACCCCAACATTGGCATCGGGGTCGGCGTCACGCCGTGCAAACCCGAGTCGAACGTGACCACGAGACCCAGAATCAGGGGAACCGTTCACCACTCCGCTGATAACACGAGCCTCATAGTATAAAGAGCCTTCTCGAGCACACACATTCGCACGCGCTGTGTGCCATGCATCAGTTGTGGTCACTGCCCTGGCATCTTGTGAGAAGAAGATCGCAGCAGGCGAGTCCTCGAAGCTGAAACGGGCGTGGTACGGTCGAAGGTCAGTCTGGCGATATTTTATGTGAGGAAATCCCGAGTCGGCAATAGCATAACTATAGCGGAACCCATTCTTATTGGTGAGTTTATCTGCTACTTCATAGAAATCCCAGCTCTTGCCAATAACGTCCGACGTCTTTGTGGTCACCTGGTTGTATTGGCGTGGCAATGGCGGGTAATGGTCTGAAGAACGAGGTTCAGCAAGAAGCAGTGGACGGAGAATTTGTAGGTCTGCGCTTGGGCGAGCCACGCTTGCTGCCGTGGAGCGTTTCTTAGGTGGGGGTGCGCCTTCGATATCTAGACCCTTCGCTTCACGCTTCTTGCGGCTGTCACGCTTGTTTCGTTTTGCGCGCGCACTGTCTCCCTGAACAGATGCGTTACTAGCTGGTGCAGGGGATGATCGTGGATTTAATTCGGAGAATGCGCCATTGAGAAGAGGGCCACTGCCAGGAGGTATGATAGGAGAGTTGATGTTGGAGGAGGGGGCAGATGACCCGGGAGCTTGACCGGATGCCATGGTAGATCCGGATCTAGAAGTATAAAGGACGCGAGTTGGTCTTTATGTGGTCGTTGTGGCAAGAGGTTATTCAGGGTAGCTTGACCGAGCGAGAACAAGGAGCTTCGAGAAGGCAATAAGCTTATCGGCAAACGAGTATAGCAATGCTGAATGACTCAAGGGCCCTCAGAGAGTGTTTCAGCGTGACGATTGAGCTATGAGGAACCAAGAAGGGGAGGGCGTTGTGCCACAAACCCCCCGTTTGATGTTGAGTGTAGTATTCTGTTGCAGCCCGGGAGGCACGCCACATGAGTAAAAGTAGCCAAAATTGAAGCTTCTAATTCTGAGAGAGGCTTGCAAGGAAGTTCCTCAATCCAAACCGAATTGGTTCAAGGCTGTAAAAGCAAAGTAGTGAAAGAGATTCGGTCTTCCTAGGAAAGGTAACGCGCAGATCCGATGGAGAAACGACGCAACGCGCGGCAGAAAAGTGTCTGACAGCCGCAGGGCGGTGAGGTACACATATCAGGCGGTGAGTCAGATAGGACTCCGCCCAGCAGAAAAAAAAATAACTGATTAGGTCACATGATTCAAAATTTAACCCACACTTTTACTACATTCCGGTTCACCAACTCAGCAGGACACCTGGTTTCCTTTTTGGCTTTAAATTAAGAAAATCGCCAGACAGAATTATCATGCCCAAGGCAAGCAGTTCCCGTGCCGCCGCGGCCCGCCGGCATAATCCTCTAGCAGACGATATCTCGTCCGCGGGGCACTTGCGGACTCAGACCAGCAAGAAGGGCAAGCGCCAATCCCAAGATGAGGAGAACGGAGAAAATGGGCAACGCTTCATCGATGCCAAGATGTCCCGGAAGATTTTGCAGATCGGACAGGAATTGGCCGACGAGGATGCCGCGGAACAGAAACTCGCTATGGGCGCTGTGGAGCCGAAATCCAATGCCGCATTCGAATTCGATACTCGTTTTGAGGAGGAAGCATTGTCGGATGATGAGAACTTCCAAAACGACGAATGGGTCGATGATGATGTCGAGGAAGCGGTAAGAGCTTCGACAGGATGCTCATTAAGCTTCGATGGCAGGTTGCTAATACAACAAGCAGGAGGTCAACCCGAACGATCTTGAAATGTTCAACAACTTCATGCCCGGTCACGAAGACGATCCTATTTTCAACCCCCGTGAGCAAGGTTCATCGGGCCAAACAACGAACCTTGCCGATTTGATCTTGGAGAAGATTGCCGAACATGAAGCCAAGATGGCAGGAGAGAGTGTTGGTGGACCGCATATCCAGGGTGGTGGAGCTCCCGAGGATGCCGTCCAGATCCCGGCGAAGGCTATCGAGGTCTTTGAGAAGTAGGTTATTGTTCTAAAGTCCCAGTATGTACGAACTAACCAAGTTGCTAGGGTTGGTATGATCCTCTCTCGCTACAAATCAGGCCCTCTTCCCAAGCCGTTCAAGATCCTCCCCTCGGTGCCAAACTGGCAAACCCTACTTGATATCACCCAGCCCGAGAGGTGGACCGCCAATGCTGTCTATGCAGGCACCCGCATCTTCATCTCATCCAAGCCCCACATCGCGCAGGAGTTTATCAACACTGTGCTGCTAGACCGTGTCCGTGAAGAAATCCACGAGACTAAGAAACTTAATGTCCACACCTACAACGCGATGCGCAAGGCCCTCTACAAGCCTGCGTGCTTTTTCAAGGGCTTACTCTTCCCACTTGTTGCCAGTGGTACATGCACCTTACGTGAGGCCCACATTGTCTCTTCGGTGATTACCCGTGTGTCTATCCCTGTGCTGCATTCTGCCGCCGCTCTCCTCCGTATGTGTGATCTGGCAGCCGAACAATCCCTCCGGTCTCTGGAAAGTACTGGCTCTGTGAACACCTTCATCCGGGTCTTCTTGGAAAAGAAATACGCTCTACCCTACAAGGTCATTGATGCCCTAGTCTTCCACTTCATGCGTTTCCGTGCGGCCGACGGTTCTGAGGATGCTTTGATGGGTGACGGTAGCTCCAAAGGCTACAGGCTTCCTGTGCTGTGGCATCAGTCATTGTTGGTCTTTGCCCAGCGGTACCGCAATGATATCACTGAGGATCAGCGCGAGGCTCTTTTGGATCTCTTGTTGGTTCGTGGCCACAAAGACATTGGTCCTGAAGTCCGACGAGAACTGCTAGCTGGTCGTGGTCGTGGAGTGGTTGTTCCGGACGCTGAGAGGCAAAACGCCATCGACGCCGGTGATGACACGATGGACATGGGCATGTAAAGTGTCCATCTGATATAGCTCTTTTTTCTTTTATGTCTTTTGTCACCCTCCTCCCCCTGCATATACCACCGACGAACCTGGTCATGAGCACGTACTTGATGGGATGGCGTTTTATGTCTGATTTTCTTTGTGGGATTGCATATATTCCCCTGGTCTCTTTTGGATAAGTCTATAGATGATATCTGTAGAATCAAAAAGTATCTTACCTTTCCATTTCAAATGTCCTAAATTTATCGCCTATACTCCTATGGTCGTGCAAACTTGCGCGCATTAATAACTTGTGAACTCGAGTCGACCCCTTAAAACCCAAGATCGTATTTCTATGAAAACGGAATTGAAGACTTCTTATCACTTCGTCTCATAAGTCACCTCATCTTCTCAGGTCGATCTCTTCTTCCTACACGGGCCTTCGTCGAACAATCTCCATCCCCAACTTGAAGGTAAGATGATGCCCATGGGGGTCTATCATATGTTCTCATGATTCCCATGAATATCTGCACTTACACCACTGTCTGAACTCTGAATCCAAGTCATTGACACCAGTGCGCGATATTGACAAACTGACATAACAATCCTCTAGGCGTAACAACCTTCAACAATTCAAGATGCCTCCCAAGGCAATTGATTATGCCAAGGGCCTGACGCCCAATCAACTGAAATTCCTACTCCTAGGTATTCTCTGCATGGAGACCCCGCTCAAGGTAAGGTTGACTTGGGCTGCCAACTTTAATGCTACTTGAAAGCGCAAATGAATTGAATTTTGGTACCATAGGTTGATTTTGAGAAGCTCGCCGCTATGACCGGATACCAGGCCAACAGCGCACGTTCTTCCTTCAACAGCGCCCTCCGCAAGATCAAGGAGACCCACGAAGCTGGCGCACTCGATGCTTCGGCTGATCCTGCCGCTAATGCCGCCGCAGACGACAATGAGGGATCCGCCGCGCCGCCCAGTGCCGGCAAGAAGGCCAAGCCCGGTGCTAAGGCTACCAGTGGCAACAAGCGCAAGCGACAGAAGAAAGTCGATGCTGAGGAGGGTTCAGGTGTGGAAGTGTTGGAGCCTGCGCCTGACTCTGAGTAGGCACAGTGCACTCCAATAGCGTTTCCAGGATAGCATGAAGCTATCGATTTCTTAAGACTGGATCTTGGGCGTTCAGACGCTCTTTAAGTACTAAGAGACTAATCTCGGTGGCCTTTTTTTCACCTTTGCCAATTGAGCGAAGGTTCAGTATTTCGCGGTCTTAATCTATTTTCTCGCCTTTGAGCGAAGGTCATGTTGTCTTCACAAATCGTAGAGGGTCAGTCTTGTAGGTAGATCAAGGTCCGTACATGTTGGTCGGATGTGGTCAACGTGAATGAGTGGCATGACCCAGGTCACCTTCTGTCGTAGAGCGAAGGTTCAGTATTTCGGGTCATAATCAATCTTCCGCCTTTGAGCGCAGGTTGTTTTTTGTCTTCACAGTCATAGTGTCGGGGTGTCAGTTAATGAATGTGGTCAGGGTGGGACAATCTGCAATGTTTCCTGCATGAGAACAATCAGTGCCATTAGGGCACGTTTGGGATCACAGATCCGTTCAGTCACCTTCAGTCCTCCATCTCAGAGGATTCACATGCTCGGATATGTATAATCAGTGTTTCACGCTAGTTGGGCCTTTATTTTAGGGTCGTTCGAGAACATGTCAGGGGAATTAGCGGGTCCAGGAGTATGTACTGTAGAACGTACTGTAGAACGTACTTAAGTGCGCACGCAATATACTTGAAGTATGCGGAGTCGGGCTCACGGACTCCGCCGGAGAGTTTCCCTGCAATTAATCCGTTATCAACCCCACCACGTACATGCGTACATGCTGTAACTCAGGGGCTGAAGACTTCAATGCATTAGCTGAATTGTGGGGTGGATCGACTGTGGCCAAGTCGATCAAGCTGATCATTGAAGAAGCACTGATTTATTGACAGATCAATTGAGACCTATTATAGGACGGTGGTACATATATTGTCTCTAGATGTGTCATTAGGTTACAGATCATACTGTAGTTAAGCCCCTCGTGCCTCTTCTATTGCGTTCGACAATCTTCTTGACCCCGCCCCAATCTACTTGCCGAGTTCCCCCTTTTCACTGCATTCCAAGGTCTCAGGGGCTTGCGGGGCCGGAATTGCTGAGAACTGATGTGGAACGGAGAATTACAGTGGGAACTCCGAACCGGCCCTCATTCCGTCTCATTCATGCAGGTCTGGACGCACTGCGCCCGGATCCACTCACTTCCAAAGACACGAATGATATGACGATATTCGCCGCACGTCGCAGCAGTCTCAGTGAGTGACAGCCTCGATGTACACTGGATGGGTCGTGTTACCAGCCTTTTCAGCCCCGAAATGCCTATGCGTTGGCACCTACATATATGTCGTATAATTAGAATCCTCAAGGGAGGCCTTATTGCAAGGCCTCTGGGGGCCTGGTAATTTACCCCAAGGGTTAGGTAAAGAGGAGATCAGGGAGCTGGAGCCAAGGAGCCTGGAGCCTGTGGGTTGAGCACTTTAACTGTGAATCGACTATTCATAGAAACCTTGGAAGTGGACTTTGGAACACAATGAAACAAGTGGAATCCAGGGGCGCAGGGGTGACTTTGGTGCTCTTATTGGTGGACCCATTGTAATTCATGTAATTTTCAGTATTCTATGTATCAGATGAGTCACGGGCTGACGACGCCATGAGGGAGGTACTTGACGTATCATAGTGTTTACTACGTGGAGTCAGGTACCACCCTGTGTTTCCCCCCTTAAGGTCCCCCTTTGTCCCACGGTAATTCCGGTATTCAGGGATGGCCACGCTGGCCTCTACTTAAACGTCCTCATCCGCCCACTTGATTGCCACTTTTTCAAAGACACCTGGCCTCTTGACTCTTCGCTGAGTCATTCCTTCCGCTTTCTGCTTCGGTGCCCGTGATGACAACGTGGCCTTGAGTGTGTAAACCCATATGACCCTGACAGGGTCCTTACCCACTCTCGATCCCATACATCACACGGCACCATATCCTATGATCTACGAGATGTCCGACACCATCAATCCGCTGGACCTGCCAGCATCTCCGTCATCGGAGATGTTGACCGTCTCCCCTGCAGACACCTCCTTAGACACTCCTGAACCGGAGGATCTTTTGGAGGATGGAGAGAAGAAGCCGACGAAGAAGAGAAAGTCCTGGGGCCAGGAACTTCCAGTCCCAAAGACCAACCTCCCACCACGGTATGTATCCATCTTGAAACACAAGTGGAGATAGTTCTGGTGGCTAATATATTCCTGCAGAAAACGTGCCAAGACAGACGATGAGAAGGAACAAAGACGCATCGAACGGGTTCTCCGGAATCGCGCCGCCGCACAAACGTCGCGCGAGCGCAAGAGACTCGAGATGGAGAAGTTGGAGACCGAGAAGATCAACATGGAACAACAAAACCAGTTCCTACTCCAACGGTTAACACAGATGGAGGCAGAGAACAATCGCTTGTCTCAACAAGTGGCCCAGTTGTCTGCCGAAGTCCGTGGCTCTCGCAGCACCACCCCGAAGGCTGGCTCCCCAGTCCTCGAATCCCCCACCCTCACCCCCACCTTGTTTAAGCAAGAAAGGGAAGAGCTCACCATGGAGCGCATCCCTTTCCCCACCCCCTCCACCGAATACTCCCCCACCCTCAAGCCCTCCACTCTGGCTGAGGCCTCCGACGCGACACAACATCCTGCAGCGGTGTTGTGTGACCTGCAGTGTCCGTCGCTGGCCTCGAAGGAGCTGGAAGTGCGCTCCCTCTCTTCGACCTCAATGTCGAGCCTTCAGCTGCAAATGACGCTGCAGCTCCTCTTTCTGACGATGACTTCCGTCGCCTATTCCACGGTGACTCACCCTCTGAGTCAAATCCTTCATTCCCTGAAGACGGGTTTGCCTTTGGCGTTCTCGACGGAGGAGATCTTTCAGCATTTCCCTTTGATTCTTTGGTTGATTTCGACCCCGAGTCTGTCGCCCTCGAAGGCGTCGACCCGACCGGTTTTTCGGATGAAGCTTCTCACCCGACTCCTAGCTTGCAGCCCAGCCTTGGCGCGTCCACTTCGCGATGCGACGGGCAGAGCATTGCAGCTAGCGGTTAGTGAGCAGTTTTCCCCGCAAACCGGGTCGGCCGACGCCCCGGAGGGCCGACCGCGGTGGGAGTCGTTGTTGACCATGGTCTGGGCAATCGATCGTCTCAACCAGTCGCAACTACCCCGGCGGACTATTATGAAATCCGGCCGGCGACGCAGTTATGGAAAGAGAATCAATCAACGGAGTACACGGAGTTCTTGGAGTTCAAACATGGGGACATTACCTCTACTGGGCAAGGAACTATGAGGGTAGGGGTCTGATTTATGATTATTATATGTATACTAGTTGTCTTTTCACACGAGACCAACAGAACCCCAAGCCTCAAATTGACTGGCTCTTTATGATCATTTCACAGTTCACACTGTAATCGTAAACATCAAACCTATTGGGTCATCCGTAAACACATAATTCAGAAGTCCGGTTGCACGGCATATTATTATCGCTGCCTAAGAATAGTCAACCATCGAAACCACTAGACCGGAGACATGGTAAAAATGTGCTGCTTAACCTGATCGAGTCTGGTTGATGCGAAAATAGAGCGACGCTAACAGCCACTGAATGCGGTCAGTGACGTTTGCCACGCGCCAATCTCCTCCCCTCTCCAACTCCCCCCCCAGATCTCCGGTCATAAGACGCCTCATCTTTGTCCTCTCTCCTCATAAACGTCTACATTCTACAATCTTTAATCTCTATACAGCCACCATGGTTCGCAAGGACCCAATCTTCGAAGCCCGCACAAATGTCAAGGTGAGTTCCCCCCCCGCACTCCGCTCTGCATATCAACAGCCCCTCAAACCCGACAAAAACAGTCACTAATCACTTTCATGTCCAGCTCCACTCCAACCGTCTCAAGAAAGAGGCCATGCGCGCCGAAGCAACTTACAAATCCGAAAAAGCCAAAGCCGACAAAGCAATGAAGAACCGCGAATTCCAAATCGCCCGCATCCACGCCGGGTCCGCCGTCCGCGAAAAACGCCGCCAAGTCACCCTGAAATCCGAAGCTGCCCGAGCCGACGTGATCATCAACGAACTCAAGGCCGCACAGAGCACCCGCGACACGTCACGGACACTCGCGATGGCCTCACGGGGTCTGGACGCGGCGTCGAAGAGCGTGAACCTGGAGCACCTGGTGGCGCATGCAAATAATTTCCTCGCTCGGTCGGAGGACTTTAAGATTGCGAGCAGTGCGATTGAGGATGTGGCGCAGGGAGTGTCGATGCAAGAGTATGGAGCTGAAGGAGAGTCGGAGGTGGATCGGATGATGGAGCAATTGGCGGATGATGCGGGCGTTGATATGCGTCGGGCGTTGGATGCCGATCGCGCTCCGGAGGCGGAGGTGAAGGAACAGCAACAGCAGCAGCCTGCTGAGGTCGAGGATGGGTTGGAATCGAGACTGCGGGCTTTACGGGCTTTGACTTAGTTCATGGACTATATATCCATGTGCCCTGCACCATCCTCTTCCACTATCCTCTGTGCTTGAAGACCTTTATGTTGTGCTCATTCTTAGTCTGCGTGCATCGAATCCTTAAGGATCGGGATAGAAGTTTTCTTCTGCGCTTGTCATGGCGCCCTTACGAAGTTATGCCTTTCAAATGTTTGGAGAATACGGGGTTTCTTCTGTTTGTACATCGGTTTTGCTGCAGGAGTTTGTATAAAGTTTGATGTTTTTCTTCAATCCTTAGTCAATGCTACCTAAGCATGCTAATCCTAGAGGCAATGCCAAGCTCGGCCAACCCCCGAGAACTGATTGGTGCAGCCGTCGCTTATATTAGCCTCTTTTCTCGTCTGTTCTCGGAGCCTCGTCGAATGCCAAGAGATTTAGAGTCTCAGGGTCTTGGTCCTGGCCCTTCAGGGTCCTCAGTTTCCTCGATTTTATGGTCCTATTGAGAAAGAAAGAAGATCACTTGAGGTCTGCGAACTATCCTATTTTTAAATAATTCCTATCTATTGTTTTTAAGCGAGTTCAATCGACCTAGAACGGGACTCAGGACCGAGACTAATGAGACTAACGAGCCAAACTAAAAACTAAACGAGACTAACATCAGACCCTGATTTCCACTCAGACCAAACCCCCTGCTCGGAACCAATCGCATCTTCTCTCCAAAGCCCTGGGGCTTGTTTAGCTCGGAGGCGAAATTTCTCTAATCCCAAACTAGAATAACGTAGACTGCGGCTTTGTTCGCCCCCAAATATAGGGTCTTTGCCGCATACCCTGTGGGCTCCTCATAAAGCCGTGGGCGCCTGCAGGGTCTCGGGCTTTTCTTTTTTCCTCCGGGGAAGTTTTGATCTATAATTCCAGGCCCATTGCACAATGGCGCCTTCACGCTCGTTTTCGTATATTCTGTCGCTCGTTTTGACATTCAACTTCTTTTCATTCGTTCTTGCCGCCCCATGGATCGTCACCGAGGCCTACGAACAGGTCCGTGTGACCGAGTACCCGTATGATGACTACTATGAGACCGAGTCTCCGACAGTTACGACCTCGATTGAAGAGATCAAACTGACGGCGACCCCCGTCCCGGAGGCAATCTCTACCATCACCTCCGTTGACTCCTACTCGTCCGTTACCGTGATTGAGAAACTGTACCCTACCAGTGTGGGCACACCATACGATTACTATGATGACTACTACTATAATACGGAGAGTGGCAACCATCTCACCGTCTACGTGGTGAACATCACCTACTCGGCCCCGACAGCATGCTCAACCCAATGGACTACCACAACCGCAGTGACCGTAAACCCTCCCTATGCCGTCGAGGATCTCCTCCCCAAAACCGCCATGTCAACCTCGCTATATGTGGATAACTCGGAGCCCTTCAGCCCAACTACCTACACCTACGACTATATCTTTGTCGAACCCACTCAGATTCCATCCTCGTCACTGAGCTACCTGAGCTTGGAATATGCCCCGACCACCCTGTACGACGACAGTTGCTATTATGAAAGCTCAAGCTCAAGCTCAAGTTCAGGCTCAGGCTCAGGCTCGGACTCGAGCAGTTACTGTGAATACTGCTACTACAATGACTACGACGACTATGAGGGAAGTTGGTTCTTCGACTCATACTGGATGGGCATCTCCCCCTTCGCCCTGACCATGATCCTCCTTTTCGGCTGGATCGGTATCTTCCTTATCGCCGGCTTCATCGAAGCCTGGGTCCGTTTCCGCCGCCTCATGCTCGGCTGGCAGACACGTCGCGGTCTCCCTCTCTGCTGGGCCTTTACCGTGATGCCCTTCACATTCCTCCTGATCATAGCCTTCCGGAAAGGCTTCCGAGCTCGTAGCGAGACCGAAGCCGTCGCGCTCCGGGAGCAATGGGACGGATTGGGTTTCTGGAAAAAGCTCAAGCTCTTCTTCGTTTGGGGTTTCCGCTACAAGTACCCGCCTATTCTGGGCGAGGCACCGCCCCGTGTGAAGCCTAGTAAACAGCCTGGTCTGCAACCGGGTAGCAAGCAGCCTCGAGAGTCCCTTTTGAACCCGGCTCAGCCTATGGCATCGGGTGCTATCCCGGAAGCTTCTCGGGGTGTGGCTGCCGAGGGAGCTGCGGATCCGGAGATGGGTGAGGTTGAGAACAGCTCTCACCGGACTTCGGGTCAGGGTGATCACCCTGTTGGTGCGGCTTCGGGTGCTTTGGATGGACATCACGATGGGCAAGTTGGTCGGACTCAGTAGAAGCGTGGTTAATGTATAGATGGAGATATCTTATTAATGTGTTGGGAAAAAGCGAAGTGTCGGACTCGTGTGGAGAGTCGATCAGTGGTATATGGCCATGTTGATTTGTTTATGATTTGGAAATACCTCTCAGCCAGCTTTCATATAATTAATAACCTTTGCCTTGTGAAGTATGTGGATATCGAGAATCACCCCATTGTATTCCTTGAACACTGACATTCTCGGCTAAATTCTGTATCCCACGTCTTGATATACCCTCTCTCAAACAATCATAAAATTCTCTGGCCGCTGGCTGGCGCGGGACTCTAAAAATAAAAAATCGCAATCTACTCAGCCCCACCGAGCTACAGTAGGTTAGCGCTAAGTGATTGGCTGAGGCTGTGTGCAGGTCCGATGCATAATTGTTTCCATGTTTGCTTTTTCTATCTATCCTGATGTAGATAAGAGGTTATTCAGATGGTAATTAATACGCCTATGTACCAACCTCCAAAGTGGACGTGGTTTAGAAATAGGTACAACAATGCATTCATAGCAATTGAAAAAAGGATGCTTCTCAGATGGCATGAGAATCCAACCCTAAAACGGCCTTTCTTATTAACGTTCAACCACAAAAAAGTTTCCAACAAAAGCTTTGTTCTTCATAAATAGCTTCAATAGCCATACATAGAATGAAGGGGTGAAGAGATGACGGTGACAAGACCGCCTCTTTACCACGCTAGTAATCTACAAAAGTACGAGGAAATCGAAACTTGGAAAATGTTTCAAATGCCCAGGTAGACGTATGCACAATGGCATTATTAGGAGTCAGCCCTGGCCCTCGGTTGCAGTGGTAGCCTGGCTCGAAATTGTTTTAAATATGCTTTGTCCTTGAATTTGACTTTGATATTGGAAACCTAATCTTTAAAACCATGAATAATGTCTAATATGACGAGCAATTTCGGCTGGGTCGACGAACCCGACGGACGAGGAACATGGGCCATCCTCTCAACCTGCAGTTTGACTATTATTCTCTGCTGCTGGTCATCTGTTTATCCCAATATTCCTTCGAGATCGGACGGATCGTATAGACAAAAGTTAGGCAAGATTTATCTTTTCTGCATCGGCCTTCTTGGTCCGGAGTTCTTGCTAGTCATCGCTTTGGGACAGTGGTCATCTGCTCGGAAATCACTCAAGGTGTGTATATTTCCTAAGATTCCCTAGACTGCTTCTCTAATGAATAGGTTAGAAATTTCAGCATGCTGGCTATGAGAACTGGACTATTATCCATGCATTCTTCGCAGATATGGGGGGTTTCTCCTTGAGGGTCCTGGAAGCGAACCGTTCCCCATTGATGCTGAGCAGCTGTTTCAGTTGGTAGAAGCTGAATATGTCCCTTATCCCGATCTGGAGGTGGAAGATATCAAGGATAAAAGCAAATCAGATAGCATGGCAAGGTAAGCTTCACTTGGAGTCTGTGTTTTGTGCTACCTCTAATCATTTGGTAGAATTTTTGCATCATTACAAGCAACATGGTTCGTAATAAACTGCATCATCCGTGCCGCCCAGAATCTTTTCCTCACTACACTGGAGATCACCACATTGTCGTTTATTATAATTTTCTTTACCACCTCATACTGCTGGTATCATAAACCGCAAGATATCTCACGAGCCATGATTCTTCAGACGACTACTCCTATTGAGACTATCCGCGCAAAATACCATCCGCGCCCTGAAGAGAAGTGGTATCAAACACCGCTCAGCTTTCTTTCCCGCGATGAGTGGGTCATCAGTCGCCTGTGGCGCTTCTACATCCAGATAGTACACTATCTGCGCATTCCAATATTCACCCGACCAAAAACTGTACCTTGGGATTACGTACCCTCCGATACCTTCTTGCCTCTTGACACAATCGCAGAATTTATTTTTGCTCCATGCGTACTGGCATTCTTTGGCATTTATATGATCGCGTGGGATTATGGATTTCCTACACCCACGGAGAAGCTACTTTGGCGTATTGCGGGGTCCTATCAGATCTTTTATGGTCTTGCAGGTTCAATCAAATGCTGGCATGCCAATGTGTTCATTCTTCCTAGGTACTTGGCAAATGTTGACTTGACGGGTGTCGAAAAACCCCCAAGGCAGCCTATTCAGTGGCTGGCATGGAAATTAAGGAACTTGCACGTTGATCGAGATCCAGATTTGACTGTTCCGTTGAGGGTGCTGATTCCAAATGTCTTTTTCTGCATTTTTTATGTTTCAGCCCGGGGCTTCCTTCTGATCGAGGATTTTATTGGGCTGAGGAGTTTACCAGCGAGTGCCTTCGAGACAGTGAGTTGGTCAAAATATATACCTCACTGGTAGATAAATATAACCTCGGGAGGGGCTGAAATAGGTAGACTATACAGATATATACATTCACGTTTAAGAAAAAACCAACTTCAAGTGATAGAAAAGAAATTAAGGTCTGTTGGGATCCAGCTGGACAGTAAAGAAACCTTGGAAGAACGAAACAAAAAAAATTGAAGAGCATCATTCATGGTAATTGATTTATCAAGTGGAGAATGCAAAACAAAAAGAAGAACCGAACGCGGGGGTCGAACCCGCAACCTTGAGATTAAGAGTCTCACGCTCTACCGATTGAGCTAGCCCGGCTGGGCTTGTTGAAAAGAGGACAAACTAATATTTCATAAACAAAAATTTAATTTAACTCCACCTCGTATTCCGAATACCCGAAGCCCACTGGGGAGCGCGGGTATACATTCACATACTCCTGGCCTCTGGGAGCAAGACACATACCTGGGCATGGAGGCTGAGTCGGTAGGATCAACTCCTAGCCAACATGCAAAGCAGCCCGCGTGTTTAAATTGTCGGCGCAGCAAGATCCGCTGTAACCGACCGGAGGGTCATGAGCGCTGTGAGAAATGCAGACAAAGCGATGTTGACTGTATCGTGCCTAGTCACCACCTCGGCCGTCAGAAGGGTGTAAAGAAGTGAGTTGGACGCCCTATCCGACAGGACGACAAGGCTGATATCATCGACAGTAAACGCAAGGGGCTGGAAAAAGCTATCCACCAGATTGAACAAGCCATCAAGCGGCCCAAGTTTGATGTTCCAGGCCCTGATGATGCTCACAAAGTCATATCGGATTTGCAGGACTTACTCAGTCGGGTTCAAGGCCAACTGGCTAGCGAGTCGGACAGCTTCGCAGAAGCATCAGAGCGACCGCGGAACCTTCCGTCTCCGCACGACACTCAAGTAGATGAGAGCTTGGCTCTTGATGATGCGGAGAATCCGTTGCAGCTACTTGCGCGAGCTTCGGATTTGCAGCTCTCGCCTACAGGACTGCGTCGGGAATTGAAAGTCCCACCACCGCCACTGCTAGCGCCGCCGACGCTGTCACCGGATATCGTCTCTGCGGATTCCGGAGCGAAATCATTCTTCGTCCCGGCGCGGGCCAACTTGGATGTTGGGCCGGACCTGGATCCGGTTGAACTTGGACTGGTTACTTTTGACGAATCCGAGTCTTTATTTTCTTTGTAGGTAAATCTTACACTTTGAACATAAATGCATCTAACATTCATTTCAGCTTTTACCAACATCTTGCTCATACACGATGGGGACTAGATCCCTTGGTGCACACTGCATCATTTGTGCAGGCCCAATCGGCCTTTCTATTTACTTCTATTCTTGCCGCTGCGGCGCTGTTCTTACCATCTGCCGCGGCTTTATCAAAGAGACTGGGGAGGCATTGCAAATGGCTCGCCAAGCAAGTAATGGCGCAGCGATATAGATCTGTGGAAATTGTTCTCGCATTTATGGTGAATGTGCCTTGGATGGCACCCGAAGAGCGACTGGGCGACGATGATACATGCTCGTATATTGCTATGGCGCTCACCGTGGCGTTGGACCTATCATTAAATAAAATCGTGACGCCCTCATCGAGCTTTAGTGGCGACCTTTTGAGCCGACTGGCTCGAGCTGACTGCATTGATGCGAAGAGAGCATTGCATATGGATGGATTTGGTGACGTTGATCCCAATTCCGAATGGGGACGTCGACTACTGCGAAGGCGAGAGAGAACGTGGATAGCGTTATTTGTCGTTGAACGAGGGTGAGATTATTATCTGCTCACTCCCGAACACTATCTAACTCTGCTACAGTGTTTGTCTTGCTCGCGGTAGAAGCTACACCGTACCTCCAACGGCACTTCTCGAGAACTGCGATGTATGGCACCGTTCGGATATTGCAGATCGACGAGATGGTCCCATGAACTCCATGGCGGTCTTGCGCAGAGATCTTGTTAGTCCGACGACGACAAACTTTGACCACAAGCTGACCATAGTAGGATGATTTATTTAGAAAAGTCAAGTCCAGCTGTGATACCTATCGGGTTGTCGATACCGGATCCGAGGCTGCTCAATCGTACGCCCCCAGACCAGGAGGATATGCCAGGGTGCTAACATTACGACAGGATCAAATCTACCATTGAGAACTTTTATGAGCGCTGGTACAAGACATGGGTGTTGGCGATTAGCGAAGGTGGATGTAAGCACAATTTTCGCAAACTAAAAATTTTCAACTGACAAATCATAGCACGTTCCCTCCCACCTTATGTTGAGATTCTAGTGACCCATACTCAGCTTTCAACCTACGGAGGCGTCATAAACCATCCTACTGCACCGCTCGAAGTCAAGCGGTTCTTCCGGGCGGCCGGTCTCTCCGCAGCCCTGAATGTTCTCCGGGCCGCTATTCAAGGTGAATCGCGACTTAAGTCCATGCCCAATAACACCGTCATCATGATATCTTTTGCCGCATGTTCTGCTCTTAGCCTCAGCGTTACGCCTGGCGACAGCCAATCCAGCTTGGCGCCGAGCGTGCGGACTCTGATTGAAGAAACTGCCGGGGTTTTGGAGCGAATCGGAGCAACCCCCAGCCATAGAAAAGGGGCTTCTGTATTGTATGGGCGCTTCCTGCGTGAGCTCATCCGACGCAGACCCACCATTTCTCATGCACCTGCGAGGAGTCTGGATCATGATCCCTTACTTCCACCCCCACTGAGTCAGCGACCTCGAGTCCCCGAGCCTGCCATCCCATCAGGGGACTTGTGGACCGAGCCTATGCAGTTCTCTGCCATGTCGGACGATCAGATTGTTGACGCAGTCAATCGGGCGGGAAGTGCCTTTGGGGCATCGATTCCCGACGTGCCCGTGGATGATATGCTGTGCTGGGATTGGCTTGATTTTGCCAACACGGATTTTGGATTATAATTTAGCGTTTGTACTTGTATATTTTACTCAGGAATAATTTTGTACAGATGGGATAATGCCCGATTGAACCCGATCACTGGAATCAGTACAACCTTTTACCCGAATAGAAAGTTGATGTTGCCCAGGTGGAGAGAAGTGGAACCTCACAGCCCTGCGGTAACGTCATCGGGGACCCTGACTGGATCCTGCGGATGATTAATTGTACATAAACCCCTGGGTCCCAAGGTGGATCGCAATCGAGTCATTGTCAAAAATCCAGCCTATCTATTACAGTTCAAGTTATTTTCCAATCAAGCATTAGGAGCCAGAACATCCTCTACTTGGTATTCGCGAGCAACCCAAACGGCCCCCAAACTGGCCCAAACCAATTCGAGTGCAATCAAACCCTCAAAATCAAAATGGGATTCGACATGACCATGTTAGCCCCCGGTCCAGCCGGCACCTCTATGATTGGCGAGAGCAACATTGACGCTGCAGCCCGCCGAGGCTACGCGCGGAAGCAGCGCGAGCGCGAAGCCCAGGCAAAACTCGATTCCAATGTCAATCCGACAGAAAAAGATAGTGATACACAGTCCGAGAAGACATTGGCGGCGCAGAGTAATATGGAAGATGATAGGAAGAATGAGGATACGCTAAGTCTGGCTTCTACTCAGGTTGGGAGCACGAAACGGGAGGGCGGAATTCGGGGAACTTGGGATCGAGTGAAAGGGAAGTTTCGATAGTTTGCAGTTTGCAGTTTGCAGTTTGTATGATTTGTCTTCTGTCATAATCACGGAGTTCAGAAATAGACGCCGAGACAAACAAGCAAGATAAGCTCCTAATGCCAAATCCGGGGAAAAAGCGGGGGAAAGACCCTGGCGCTCGGACTTAAATATGACTGCCGTCAGACTTTTGCTCCTTTTCCTTCATGCATTGAACGCTCTCACAAACATTAGTACCTTAAAAAATTATCATGGATCCTAAACCCAGGATCATGGAGTTGGAGGAGAGCAAGCAGGGAGCTCTAGATCGATTTGGCGATTATGAGCACCAGGAAAAGCTCACCCGTCGTTTGCTGTTGAAGCTGGATTTTCGGTATTGCCCCTTTCTCATAAACTCGTGATGCATTGCTTCGAGAGTCTCTTAGCTAATGTGAACAAACAGAATCCTTCCCATGCTCGCCCTGCTTTTCCTCTGCTCGTTCCTCGATCGTACAAATGTTGGAAATGCCAAAATCATTGGCTTGGAATCCGACCTCAACATTACAGACCACCAATATGACATCGGACTGACGGTGTTCTATCTCTTTTATATCTGCAGGTGGGTTGAAAGATGTTGCGTGATGGTTTGGACGTATACTGATGATTTCAGTGAGCTGCCGAGTAATCTTGTGCTCAAAAAAGCGTCCCCGAAATTATGGCTGCCATTCCTGACGGTCGTATGGGGGATTATCACCATGTGTCTGGGCTTTGTACAGAATTATGGTGGGTTCGTGGCTGTGCGCGCTCTGTTGGGCATTGCCGAAGGTGGACTGCTGCCGGGCATGGTGAGTAGCTCGAGATAAATGGAAATGTGAGAACCAGTCTAATCCTCACAGGTACTCTATCTGTCTTCTTTCTATAGACGCACAGACTTGGCCCTCCGCATTGGTCTGTTCTATACTGCCGCATCTTTGTCAGGCGCTTTTGGAGGTGAGTACTCGGCATCTGCAGACTAGGGTAGCACTCTAATTGCTTTTCTTCCAGGCCTTCTTGCTCGTGGGCTCGCGGAAATTGCCCCTCGGGGAGGCTTGGAGGGCTGGAGGTGGATATTCATCATCGAGGGCCTTCTTGTAAGCGAACACAACACTGGGGTCTCTCACAGTACAATACTAACAAGATAGACATTTGCATGCGGCGCACTAAGTTTCTTTGTCCTTCCAAATTCTTTGGAGTCAGCATCTTTCTTGACAACCGAAGAGAGGGAGTTTGGTTGCGACAGATTGATGTTGGACAATCCCATAAGCGTTGATGGGTATGTATTCAACCTTTCTGGGAAGGCAGCGCTAACATGTGATTAGAGCCTTGGCTGCCGAAGAGCAATCATTCATGTGGTCAGAAGTGCGACGAGGCGTTTTATGTGTACAACTATGGCTCTCTGCCTTTGCGTATTTCTCCATTCTGTCAGGCCTTTACTCATTTGGTCTATTTGTAAGTTTCTCTATATCCAGTAAGTTCAAGTCACTGATTTTATAGTTACCAACCATCATCAAAAACCTTGGATTTGCCAAAGATGCCAATGAAGTCCAGTTGTGGTCGGTCATTCCTTATGCAGTGGCAGCCGTCGTTACAGGTAAGATGCCCGCCTTAAAACCACGTCATATGCTGATGCGTCTAGTCATCGTGGCCATCATATCGGATCGTCTACACCTTCGAGGCGTGATTATGCTATTTACCCTGCCCATTGCCATTATTGGCTATGCTGTTATTGCAAACATTGACTCTCCACGTGTCCAATATGGCATGACCTTTCTCATGGCGACAGGACAGTATGCTAGTGTTCCATGTATATTGGTGTGGATGTCAAACAACTCGGCGGGTCACTATAAACGAGCGACCACGTCAGCACTGCAGTTGGCCATCGCTAATTGCGGAGGATTTGTTGCAAGTATGCTTCCAACTTTATATCCACCCTTTTTTCCCCAGACTAATCAATGGCAGCTTTCAACTATCCTAGCAAGGATGGCCCACAGTTCCATCGGGGACACACTATTATCCTTGGCTTACTTGTCTTTGCCTGGTTCATGTGAGAATGAAACTCCTACTACTTGGCACTATACTAACATTCACAGGATCCTATTTAATGTTCTTTACTGCGCGAAAGTCAATCGCGATAAACGCAACGGCAAGTATGATCAATACGCAGGGTACAACGACGATCGAAATCCCGACTTCAAGATGGTGTTGTGATCATGCTATCACAATACTATACGCCAAGCATCTCTCGAAGATATAGGCCGTATTTTTTTTTTGAGAAATGAAACGTGAAAATAATTTGAGATTCATGAAGCTGATTTCTACCAACTTGAACGAGCGTTCCAATCATCCTTCGTAGCAGCATGAAATCGTCGACATTAAGAACATCCGCATCCTCACGCACCAAGGCCTGCCATCTCAAGCCAACAGGCCAATTCGGTGTACCCCAGTACCGTACCTTCAAGCCTCGCGCATGAGCCGCATCAATTTGATTCTGCAATCTCGCCATCTGGACCGACTAAGCGGGAGAGAACCGATGGCCTTCCGGAAGTCAACAGAAGCATTGTAACCACTTTCCACATTATACGAGAGCTCCTTTGTCTCATCCCAAGATTCATTAATCGGTAAATAAAGATCAGGGTCCATAAGTGAGTTCGTCTATATCATAGAAGATATCCTGGTATTTAACATTCGCCACAATCCGATGAAACGGAGCATCTCCCGTAGCAACGACCTTTATAGGACGAATAACCCTACCAGAGCCATTAAAGTAACTTCAAAACCCTCTTTCTCATGGGCGTTCCAATTGCTGCATCAACTTCGTCCAAATTTACTTGCGCTCAGCTTTGAACTCGATAAGAAGAACCAATGTCTGTTTGGGATCATTGGCGAACACGCCGACTAGGTCCTCATGCCTTATCCCGGGGACAGATGAGGTATCGGATGACCGTGGATTATGTTTATCTAGCATACCCAGCAACGGATCAAGATACAGACTGCGTAGCGTTTGGCCCTTTAGCAGTGTCGAAGATATTTGACCGACACGAAGATCATCGATATCCGCTTCCACGCTACTGCACCTCGCCGTCAGAGCAGAGTATAGAGGACACGGCGCCAGTAGCCATTGTGCGAGTGACAGGAACCAGCATTAACACCATGGGCAGACCCGCCTGAGAAGACGGAGGGTCAATGACCGGGGATGAGACCCATGTTACGGCCTTCTACTATGCAAGTGAGGATATTATCCCATGCAATTGAGACAAGTATTGCGACTGTACTGCATCGTGTTAGTGAAACCGGGCCATCTCAATGCCATGAGGAGAAGAAAATACATTAGCCCGAGTAGCATGTAGAACGGCCACTGCAGCATGCGACATTCCATCCTTTTCGATCTTGACTCGTCACAATCCGATTCCCACTCTGGAAGCGACGGAGGATCAATAAGAGAGTACTTATTTGTTGGTGGTTGGTTCTCAAGCTCAACGTGTTCAGGGGGTATAAGGTATTCATTTTCGGGAATGGAAGGCAGCGGAATCACTCTTGACGATAGGTACGCGGAACGCATGACGACAAACTGCCAAGCGTTACGAAAGCTTGATCAACATAGGCTTCAGCCGATCTGGCGATCTTGTAGATTAAATGCAGGTGGAAATTCATTGATTTGGTCAGATGGTTGCCTGGAGGAGTAACAGTGGAGAAATCAGTTTAAGCGATGCGAGTAAAGCGTCTGCCTAAAATAATGCGTAGGATGTGATTACGGCGTCTCCGCTTGACGGTGACGCGGTTTCTCAGAATAAATGCTCCTCTGCATTTAGTTTCATGCTATTTTTATTGCTCTTGTGCCGTATCATATCTAACGTAGAGTCCAACATGCGCGTATTCTAATCGCTTTATCCAATTTAAACAATCTTCAGCATCCACAATTTATCTAGCTCAGCGCGTCCAAATTGAGAAGTGAGCAGCACAAATCACTGAGTCTCTTCGTCGTTCTCCTGTGCAGCTGCAGCTAGCTTGCGCTGTTCGGCTTCCTTAGGGGCAAAGGTGAACAGCATGCCGAGATCGTAAATAACCTTCAAGCCACCAGCCAACATGAAAGAGACGCCGAGCATGTGGTTCCGGGACAGGATTCCCGTAATAAGCGGACCAACACTCTGGGTGGTAGTCTTAACCACATTGACCGCACCCATGATGGCTGTCCGTTTATCCTTTGGCAGGGCCGCGGCGAGGAATGCACCCCGCGGGGCCACATCCATACTTTGGGAACAGGCGCGCAGAACAAGGAAGGTCAGTGCGAGCGGGAGATTGTTGGGTACAGAAATCAGGGCGAGACAGATAGTCGATGGCAAGTGAGTGAAGACCATGGTCTAGAGTGGTTAGCCGGCACATTTTCGCAAGCTGGGCGTGACATACCTTGACATTTCCGATGCGCCGGGCAATGGAAGTTGCGACTAGCATAGAGGCTGCGGAGATACTGCTAGTGAAAAAGAAGATAGTGCCCAGCTCGCCCTCGGGCAAACTGAACTTTTGGTGGAAGAAGTATGTCATCCACGACCTGACGGGGTTAGTAAGAGCATATCACAGCAGGGAAAGAAAACCTACATTGATGCCAATCCAGAGGCAAAAGCGTCCAGTCCAAACAGAATGAACAGTCGGATAACCAAGGACCACAGATCTCCCTCGACAGTAGACCAAAATGACTTCTTCTTGGGAGCCTCTTGCTCAGCAGAGTTGGAATCGGCCAAGAGAGGACGGGTTTCCCCATTCTGCTCCTGCTCCGGCGCTTCTTCAGTCTCAGCCTCGACCTTGGAAGTCAGACCCAGAGTCAGGATCAATTTGACCACACCAACACCGGCATAGATAAAGAAGATCATGCGGCAAGAGGGAATGAATTCCCATCCATGCAAAGACTGCAACGAGCTAATAATCCATCCGCAGACAAGCTGACCGAGCGCAGTACCCGCCGCACCGACCAGCGAGTACCAAGTGAAAACATCGCTTAGCTTTTCATGGTCCGTGAGATGCGCCAAAGTCGATTCCTCCACAGCACGGAAGGGACCAATTTCATTTCCACTAAACATAAAGTCAATACGCGACCATGACGCGGCAAAATAATAGAAAAATCACTTACCTCGGACTGATAACACCAAAGACCGCAGCAGCCAAAAGAATCCAATAATTGCCCGTCATCGCAAAAACAATACCACTACCAGCCATCAAAAGCGATCCCAACGAAAGTACAGCCTTGCGACCCATCGCATCCGCGAAAAGAGTCAAAAAGAAACTGATAACGACATCTCCGACCAGGGTGAGTGTCATGAAAAGACCAATCCGATCATCGGAGATACCAATGGCGGATAGATACGACGCGAGAATAAGAGTCGAGCCGCCGTATGCGAATAGTCGGACAAAGCGCTGAGCGCAAAGTAACTTGACATCGCGGGGCGACCGCCACATTGTGAGAAGACCCAATTCATTCAGAGTGTGGGTAATGACGCGCCCAGGGCGTGATTGAGATCCCGCCATTGTTGAAGGTTGACAAACGGAAGAACGAAGATAAAGATTCCAAGACAAAAGCTTTAAGTCCGAGCGGGAACTCGCGGTTTTGCCGTTTTGACATTAGTTTAGTGGAGCCTCTAGGCTGCAGCTACTATCATGAACAATGATTGGATAACAGTAGGAATTTCGCCGATAGTGATTCAAACAGCTTGAATATTAAGATAACATATACACATTGGAGTGATCTGTATTACTCCGTCTTTGGTGGCCATTTCACTCGTCGTTCAGCACGAACATATAGATTGTTCGGTCGAATCAACTGGAACATCGGATCATATTCGATCGGCCCATCATTCTCTCGGATAAACTTGTACCGATAAACAAGCTTCGGCAAGAACACTTTAACTTCCTGCAATGCAAAGTTGAAGCCAATACACATACGTGGCCCCGCAGCGAACGGAATGTAAGCCGCCTTGTGGCGGTTCTTGACCTCGTCGCGATCCCAGCGATCGGGGTCAAATCGGGCAGGATTATCCCAGACCGCGGGGTTGTTGTGTACATGGTGCAAGGCGGGGATGACAATGGAGTCTTGGGGAAGTTTGTATCCACCCGGAAGAATCATGTCGACCTTCGCCGTGCGAGCAGGTTGGTAGGAGGGATTGTGGCGACGCTGAGTCTCCTTGATGAATTTGTCCATGAATGTAAGTTGGTCGGTGAGATCAGCGGTGATCTGGGTGTCGGCTTCGATGCCGTGATCGATGAGTTCTTGAAGTAAGCGATCTTGCATACCGTCGTAGTTGACTAAGGAGTAGATCAACCAGGACAGTAGAGAGCTGGTGGTGGTGAAGCCAGCGCCAGTGGCCACGACTAGTGCTTGCATCAAGCTGGTTTCGGGCAGTTTCTCTCCCTTGTTGTCCGTGGCACGAATAGCATAGTCTGCTATGATTAGCTTTGTTTTGACTGTGGAGTAGGTCAATCACGTACCGACCATGTTGGACGCCTTTAGAGCCGCATCCTGGAGAGGAAGGTCCTCGACACCTCCACGTGATGCGTTCGCAATAGACTCATTGACCATCTCAATGATCCGTCCTCGTGCGTTCCGCAACTTCTGTGGATCTCCAAACGGCAACTTGCCGTACCAGTCTCCCCACGCTGACACCTTCTTATTCAGAGTTAGTGATTCTGCGATGCGGTACACAAGCTCATGAGGCGGTGCGTTGGGCGATGTAAAGTGGTTGAAATCGATGCCCAGAACCAGCTTGCCCACAGCTTGGGCGCCAAGCTTCAGCATATACTGATAAACGTTCCATGCTTCCCCTTGCTCATCGAAGTGATCAAACACTGAGAAAGCATCTTCAACGGTCTGTTGCATGGTCGGCGCATAGTGACGGACGGCTTTCGGACCAAAAGCTGGGGGAAGGAACTTGTGGGCAGCACGCCACTCTGGAGTATCGGTGTCTCCTAAGAAGACGCCAGCCTCCTGGTTTTTGATTGGGTATAAGGGGTGAGACTGGTTGATTTTCTTGGTGAAAAAGTCGGACTCAGAGAAGACGATCTGAGCCAGTTGAGGATCGTTGGTCTGATAGATCGTACGACCCATGTTGGTGGTTTTGAAGATGGGGCCATATTGATCAAATAGACGTTGGTGGTTTCCTAAGTGATCGGGGTAGACTTCGAAGAAGTTGCCCACAAATGGAAGACCCTTGGGACCGGGGATTTCCCGCACGGCCTTGCCATCGATGGCGATAGCGATTGGCTCTTCACTCGAGAGAATCTCCGATGGAGTGGAAAGTTCTGCATCCTCTGTCTGGAAGGAGATTCCTAATACCTTATTAGTCTAAAACAGAGTATATTCTAGGGGTAGAACATACCACTTGGCTCAACAATGGCAAATTGGCCTGCAATCCAGAGCTGAATACCAGCATAATTGAGTGTTGATTCCAACTCAACATTGCGAGCAGAAGCACTGGGCTCACCCAGTAAGTAGAACTGTTTTACCGACATCTTTGGATAAGTATGAATGTCTATGTCGAGAAAAAGATTCGACGGAACCACTATATTTATAAAAACATAGCATAATTCGCGCATGAGATGGAACTTCCATTTCGAGCCCTAGGGTGGACTCCACCAATTCCTTGATTAAAATGAAAAAAGATAGGGGAATTGTATAATTCCAGATTTTCATAACATAGACGCAAAACTAGACGTCGCAGCCTGGTTGCCTGCCTCGGTATCTTTTGTGTTTTAGATCTTGGTTCCACTATTCCGTTCAAATTAAGTCATGATCGTCGACTAGACCCGCTTGGAATGGCGCCCTCGAAAAAGAAAGTCTACGCTTTCCCCTATATGGATCATAATAGAACAGTCTTTCGGGATTGAAGTGGATTCGGTATCGGGTTCTCGTCGTTGGGACCGTTGCCGTCTTGCCGAATTTGTTTCGGCTTCTAATTTCCACTCCGAGGCATAATGCATCTCGTTAGATTGGTTGGCATTTTATGCATTATTTGCGGTATTTGTTTCACATAATTATCTGTGGATGATCCAGGAGAAATCGAGGTCCATTTCATTTCATTGTCCATTGTTCACCCCTTTCACTCGTTCTCATTCATCATGGCTGCAGAAAAAGAGCTCAAGGCCCAATGGCCAGTCGAGACTGAGCTACCGGAGTATACGCTGAAAGACGTTGCAGCGCATAATACCAAGAAAGATACATGGATTGTTATCCATGGACAAGGTAATTAATTTCAATCTTGGGAACCTGAGACCGTCCTAACTTTGATAGTCTTTGATATCACGGAATACCTGCAAGATCACCCAGGCGGTGCAGAGGTGTTGGTCGATACAGCTGGCACAGATGCCACTGCAGCTTACGAGGATGTTGGTCATTCAGAGGATGCGCGTGAAATCATGCAGCCTTATCTGGTGGGTGTACTCAAAGATGCCCAGCAATTTGTTCGACCACAGGCCGTTCGAGTGGTATCACAGAAGGAGCCAGAGAAGAAGTCCTCGAGAAGCCCTGTAGGACTCGTCGCCGGTGCTTTAGCCGTGATGCTCCCAGTCCTTTATATTTGCAGTCGGGGAAAGCTTCATTCGCACGTAGGCGCCATCTCCCAGCTCATGCCCCATCAACTGAGGGGTTTCCGTCTTCCCCGGGGTGGCTTTGTGAATGGATTCCTTGCGGCAAGCACCATTAGTGGCGCAATCGGAGTCTTAGTCGCGAAACAGGCCAGCCGATTCACCAAAATTGATTCTGGTTTCATGCGTTACCCACCGCGCATGAAGGCCAAGAGGGTGATTCGTGCGGATCCTCACTTGACCCGTGGATTCCTCGAACCGCAAAACTACCAGAGCCTCCCTCTCGTGCAAAAGGACCAGCTGTCAGCGAATGTCTACCGCTTTGTCTTTGCTCTACCTAATATCAATAGTGTTCTTGGTCTGCCCATCGGACAACACGTCGCCATCAAGGCCGTCGTCGACGGCAACTCAGTGACCCGCTCATACACCCCAACCTCTAACAACCTCGACCGCGGCCGGCTCGAGCTAGTTGTGAAATGCTACCCGGAAGGTCTCCTGAGTGGACGATACCTAGCGGGGCTATCTGTGGGTGATGAAGTGGAGTTCCGTGGGCCCAAGGGCGCCATGCGCTACCACAACGGACTCTGCCGCAAGATTGGCATGGTGGCTGGCGGCACAGGAATTACACCCATGTACCAAGTGATCCGTGCGATCTGTGAAAACGACACCGACACGACAGAGGTTAACCTAATCTACGCGAACCGCAGCGAAGCCGATATTCTGCTCCGCGAAGAGCTGGAGGCATTCGCCCGTCGATACCCCCAGAACCTCAAGATCTGGTACATGCTCGACACGGCACCAGAAGACTGGGCATACGGAACGGGACACGTGGATCGCGACGTCCTTGAAAAGCATCTCCCAGCGCAATCGCCCGACACCAAGATTTTCCTCTGTGGGCCTCCAGGCATGGTCACGGCGACCAAGAAAAACTTGGCAGGACTGGGATTCACCAAGCCAGGACCGGTGTCAAAGATGAGCGACGAAATCTTTTGTTTCTGAGCCGAGGTAGAATCGAAATCGAAATATTTTAATTAGTGTTGGTTTAGTGTTGGTCTTAGTTCATTGATTAGTGGAGTCAAAGTTGGAAAATTGACAAATGGAGTTCGAGAGAAAGTTCATCATTCCCGGACGTCGTTCTGGAAAGCGTTAACGCGTCCGATACCCAACAAAAGGGAAAAAATTGTACATAGACCCGCTTGTCAAGCCGCACCCGAGTCTCCACTTGAGTCCGAGACTTTGCATCGGGCCGAGTCCTCTGCGATAAAGATGAACCGAGGCAAGTCTCGACTTTTGCGCGGTTTAGACGCGTTGAACACGTCGATGTGGGTCCCAGAAGCAGAATCTAGTGATGTGGGTCGAGCGGGACTTATGCGAGTCCCAGGGACGACGTATTCAACTCGAGGAATCATATCTCGGCAGAGAATGAAATCGGTGAATTGCCTAGATGTAGATCAATTGGGAAGGCCAATATCATTGAACTTAATATTATTCATTAGGCCAGGCGTTATGAAGTTTGGGCATAGATAATTCTTACGGGGTTACTAAGTCTTGCCTTGGAGGGCTCTTATCTCAGAAACAGAAGAGAAAAGAAAACACCAGGCCTTGAACCTGCAATCTTGCAACTTCAGGAGAGATTGAAGGGATTCAAAGAAACATCGTCCGCAGCCGCATTGTATCTCAGCTATACGCCCACACCTTCAGGGCAATTTCTTATAAAATAAGTTCAAAAGAAAATGTAAACAAAATGAATATTTTGGCTTTTGTACCAACACTGTGGCCGGACTCCCACTCCCCAGTAACACGAGGCGTTGAAAGGAGCGGAACTCTTCAAAGGCTGACAAAGATGGCCCAAGTCAATTTGATCATGTATCGCTAGGACTCAAGCCGCTCGACCAGCAGGACTCATAACATAGTTCCTTTCGAGGGTATAAGGGAACATACGACTTTTCGGTTTCCTTTCCCCCTTACACCTTATTCTCTACACCCTATAGCGGCAGGAATGGCGGAGGTTTCTTCCATTTTCGCTTCCATCGAAAAGATTGGTTGTCACTTTCTTATTAAACCTCACATTACTCAAATATGGTCGCAGCCCTCCTGCCGTTCTCGGCGCAGGTCCAATGTGGTCACATCCATACCTCCGTACCAGCATTCTACTCTTTAATAAACGAGGAGTAAGGCCTCGTGATGTATGTTATTACCCACAAATTATGCATATCCGAGTAATTCAAGTAAAGTAGAATTCCAAGACTTCTTGCGTACACGGGCGAGGAAAGACCGAAAGTTGTAGTCTGGGCTAATAAACGACGCCAAAGCGGCATTCCAATTTCTCATCTGTGCCACAGTGCCGCACCACCCTATGCACAGCTATTTCTTTCACTATATATTCCTATTCAAAGTTGTATCTAGTACATACGACCATAGGGTGTGGAGAACAGGGCTTCCCGTCCGCTCAGCCGTACTTAAGCCACACGCCGGTTAGTTAGTAGTATGGTGGGTGACCACATGCGAATCCTGACTGTTGTATGTTTTTGTTTTTTTGTTCTTTGGTAGAGAAGGTCCCCTTGCCGCCCTACCCTTTAGCCCATTCAGGCCATTTACTTGAATGTCCTGAATACCACTATTTTATACCTGAAATTCCTATACGTGCCTAAAGCGCTAACGTGGCCTTCCCCTCCTAACCTTTTCCTTATAGGTACGTTATTATAGTCACTACTATTTAGTCTAGCTTGGGCTACTATTTTTCTATGGATATAGTGTAATTATTATTATTAAATGGTAAGTGAAACTTTCGCTTCTATTATTAAGTATCTCCTATTGAGTATAATATTATATCTTAATTAAGAATTCCAAACTCCACCTTAAAATCATCTCCTAATCTATGGGCCCACCACCCCCAAAAGCCGGTGTCTCTGGATTCCGGTCTGACTTTTTTTTTGGTTTGGGTTGAGGTGAGAGGTGAGTCCCCAAGATTTCTTGTCACCAACTAGCTCTGGTTTGTCTGCAGCAGTGCCTCAAACTTAAAATCTCTTTCGCTACATGGATATGCCTTGCATAGAATCAGTGGAACCAAAACCATACCGGACTTGAATTGTACCCATCACTGTGGCTGACATAGTGGAAAAAGCTTCTTCATGATCTGGAGGACTTGAGGTGACTGACCGCAAAGTGAGACAGATATCACATGGCTACCCGGAACAAATGGACGCGGGTTGCTGGTTGCCCAACAGCGGATGTATGGCGGATGGGATTGTTGGTGACATCTTGGCAAACGTAATAACGCTCATCCATTGATGGCTAAGAGAAAGACTTTCCACTTTTTTCGAAGTTATTCTGTGAATTTTTGTGTGGTGCTAAGCTGTGTCAAATCTAACGGTCTACAAGGACTCAAAGATTGTCAAATCATGTAATTCGAGCATGCATGGGCAACCAATGGGATGAATCTGGATTACAGATAGGAAAAACACAGTCTAAACTAATCAGGTAGGCGGAGAAACATTACTCTCAAACACGCGGAGTGAAGGAAGGCGGTGTTTTGTGCTTTTATTAGCTTCTTATTGCTAAGTAGCACCTGCCCGGCTTTCATTTATTGCATGAACTGCTCTTTAGAGCCATTATCTCCATCATCCTCAATTGTGCTCAATCATTCCCAGTCCTTCCTAGTCGTATACGCATTCGACAGTCAGGGAAAGTCTTTATTTTCTCTGCAGACGCGTCGGGGTTCTGGGCGTTTCTTGGCTCACACCTAGTAAGTGCAGGTAGAAATTTATGTTCACAAATTTTCCAACTCTTTTAAGGCTCTTGCTATCCCACGTCAGTCGAACGAAATGAGCAGAGTCTCTACGAGACAGATTCCACAAGGAAAAGAGGTTGCTAATCAATTCGAAATTCCCTTTTCTTTTACTGTTGTGTGTATCGGAAGCTGTCCCGGAGATGAGGGAGAGAGATGGACAGGATAAAGCTGCCATGTACTACTTTACTTCTGATCAAATAATATAATATATTAGCTGCGTAAATTGCTAGGCTTGCTGATGGCAACGACGAATTCTACCACTAGTCCAATGATGCTAATTGATGTAGGGAGTGGGGATTTTTGACAATACATCCCACAAGCCAAGTGAAACCGTAGTCACTACACAGCTTCTTCATAATTACACATCGCAGTTTATGCAAGTAAAGTCGCAATTAATGAAGATTTGAATGCTAGCTATTGGCTTATTCTGGTATATGAGAATAGGCAGTGAGTTCCCCTGCCATTTGGACGGGACACCTGGGATTTTGGTTGACAATGTATCATTCTCGAGATTTTCACCCATGTCGCATTCACAAAAGAAAGTAGAAATCGAACATGCCGTTACATACTAATAATTATGGAATTTTGAAATTTCATCAGAAATCACTCGAATGACATTCGATTCAGGAATCTGTGGAAGTAGAAATGCGGTTAGTGCCCAACAGTGCCTCATGTATCCTTATAGTTCTGTGCAGATTCTCGTCCATTGCTAAGGTACTAACTTGAACAAATAATTAAAGGAACCGTTTTTGCGATGGTTGGAGCCAAGGTCAGGCACAAATCGAAGAAAGTAGCTGTAAAGTGAAGGCCCCTTAGCTCAACGGTAGAGCTAATGCACATGTCGCTTCATCCAATTTCCGTCTGCGTGCGGCATTTGCGGAGCGCTGCAACATTAGGCTGCGAGTTCGAATCTCGCAGGGGCTACTCAACGTCATCCTTTTGGTCTCTTCTTCTCTTTTCTTTTCCAGGGCTCCCTTTCCACTTTCGACTAAGCCAGAAAGTACAATATGGTCCAGATTTCGAGGTGTTCGGCCCCACTTAATTATATTCCACATGTTGCTTGATGATCTTATTGCGACGGACCAGGCAGACCAAGACGACAGGGGAAGTCACTGGCACGGACATCTTGAGGCCTTGGACCCATAGGATACCTCAAACGAGGTCAGGTAACGCATGTGCACATGTGCACAATCCATTCCATACTGCCCAGCGCCGGAGCTCAGTTTCACCAACTGAAGTGTTATCTAAATGTTCTCACTTTCTTCAGAGACGTTCTTGCCCCTATATAAAAGGAAAGGACGGATAGAGAGCAGGACTGACGACAAATATTTGAACAGTTCATGCCATGAATATTAATCAAAGGACTCTATAATCTTCATCATGACTCTTATCATCAATATGCTTTAATCCGGGATTGATGTAAGAGAAAGATCATTCAAGTTTCTCGCCAAAAGCAGTCAATTTCAAATGTACAAACATAAAGATCAATCTCACATGAGCCTGGAAACTATCCTCTCCTGGTATTTGTCAATCGATGCTTCCATCTCACCAGTCTTGCTTTGATTCTATCCTTCCAGGACGACTTCGGGTTGATGGGAGCCCTTTTCCGACGTCTTCTTCTAGCTCGCACAGGTACTTCGTAGTTATCGACAGCAATGGAACTCCGGTATTCCTTATTTCCTCCTGTAGGGGGTTCTTCGTTCCGCCAAATAGAATTTGGGCCTTGGTCTACTGCCACTGCTTGCGATAGGAATAACTCTTGATCTTGATCCATAAAGGCGCCAATTTTGCTTGGTGGTTTCCGCGGAAGATGCCCTTCCTCAAGACAGCCAAGTCTGTTCTGGATTGTAGAATGCTCGGTGATATGATTCTGAAGCAATTGGTGTACCTTAGTATGGGAGTTAACTGATGCAATCCTCAATGCCTCCTCCAGTAGAGGAATTAAGAGTGAATCCATCCTTTGAGCCACTGGAAGCTTGAGTAACTCTTTCATAAATTCCAGGTCCCCATGCTGTGAAGCTAATGCGAGGGGCTGTGGCACTTCTGGTAGTGTATCCTGATTGACAATTTCAGCCCCATCGTCCAAGAGCCAAATAACCGCGGCGGAATCTCCCTTGCTGCATGCATTGTGTAGAGGCGTCCAGCCTTTCTTGGTTTTGTGATGCACATTCGCATTGTTGAAACATAGCCAGAAAAGTGCTGAATACCGTTCCCTGAACAGGGGTTTGACATTGGCTGATAATCTTGAACCAGTCTCCAGAAGCCTACCTTGAACTCCACATGCTAAGAACAAAGGTGTGCGACCAAACTTATCACATCCGTCCAACTCGGCCCCTTTTTTCAGAAGCAAGTCAGTCGTTTCACCATCATCATGCTGCGCAGCGAGGTGTAACGGGGTCAGTCCATTTTCATATAAAGCATTGATCTCGATATCCCCGTAACTTTTGAGAAGTTGAACAGCACTTGTGCTGTAACCCCTCTTTATCGCAATTGACAAGGGCGTATCTCCAGATCTATCCCGTTCATTGCAATTCACCCCTTGGCGGCCTGAAAGAAGTGAGATGGTGGCTGCATCCCCAGCCCACGCTGCCCAGAACAAGGCTGAGCGACGTTTCCGGTCTACCGAATCAAGCTTGACGATTCTCTTTTCGCCCAATATCAGTACCTCTGCCACGTGGAAATGACCCTTTATGATGGCCCACATGAGTGGTGTGCGCTGGAAGTTGTCTCTTGCATCTGGATCTACAACATCGACCCCGAGGAGCTGTTCGACGGAATTTTGTCTGCCATTTCTTGCAGCCATTGAGAGCGGTGTCTGGTAATGCTTGTCCGTGGAGTTGGCATCTATTTCAAGACGCCCTCGATACAATAGTAGCTTTTGAACAATCTCAGAATGCCCCAAACCAGCGCTTAATGACAACGGCGTTTGTCCCGCATCGTCCTTTTTATTGAACTCTACTCCAGAAGCATCCAAAAGGAGTTGAACTATGGCGACCTTGTTGTTGGCAATGGCCCACCAGAGTGGCGTGCGATTCTTGGTGTCAGCTTGGTTCGGATTGACATCCTGTGTTTCCAATAGCAATTTAACCACAGACTCGCGACCCCCAGCGGCCGCCCAGGAGAGCGGCTGTCTTGTTCTTTTGTTTGCATCAACAAGGATGGCTTCAGGATTGCGATCAAGCAGTTCACGCACAATTTCTTCAAACCCCATACCTGCTGCCCAAGATAGCGCTGTTCGCTTGCCAACACACATGGTATTGGCGTCAACTCTTTTTTTCCCAGGCGCATTCATCAATGCCCTTGCCATAGTGATGTTGTTGTTCTTCATTGCCCACCACCACGGTGTTTGATCTTTGCCACTATGATCAGGATTGACAGTGTCGCTTGCAAGAAGGACTTGAACAGCATGTCGATGACCTCGGTACACCGCACGGGTTAATGCATCCCATCCATGTTCGTCTTTCATATTAACTGTCATCTTGTCGCATAGCGGAAGTAGCTGTTGGAGCATAGTTCCATGCCCCTTGGCTGCCGCCCACCATAGGACTGTGCGACGCTTTTTATCCTGGGAGCTGACATCAAATTGGCATTTGGCAACGAGTAGTTGAACGACTTCTTTTCGGCCATTCATGACAGCCCGAGTCAATGCATTCCGCTGTTCAACATCTTCATGGTGAACTTCGATATGGTCATTCGCCAACAGCTCTTTGAGTACAGCGGTATGACCTTTAGCTGCAGCCCACCAAAATGCCGTTCGTCCATCCTTGTCTTGCAAGTTGGGATGAACATTCCGCATATGGAGAAACCTTCTAACAGATTTGATATGCCCATTTCGTGCAGCCCAAAGAATCGGTGTTCTTCCATCTGCATCTGGGGAATTGACATGAGGATGAAGACTCAACGCCCTGCTCTTCGCGATATCAGAAAGCCCAAAATATGCCACCAAATGAGGTGCACGCATTTGTCGTGACGAATACAGGTCTGTTATATTTGAACTAAACAACATCATTACCTGACTGCATGCGTCGATCTTTTCTTCAAGTGCTAGAAAGGCTTTAATATCTCCTGCGAGATAGCTCGAGCATTCACGAGCATAGTGTCCCCAATTTTGTGCTGCATAGGCATACAGTGGATGTTCATTGAGTCTTTCTTGAAGCTCAATTTCATCCTTGCATACTCCTTCGAAGACTGGGAAAGACAGATACGTGATGCACGTCTTCAAAATACTGTCTCTGGCCCCAGGAAACCAATGAGAATAGGTTTCCTCGAAGTACTTTCGAGCGGTGGAGTGGACGAATTCCACATTCTTGCTAGCAGTCCCCATTTGCAGAAGACCGCCACAGAGAGAGAGAATATAATTGCTATCACTGATGTCATTCCTTCTTATCGCACGGCGACCGGGAGTGACAGCAATCGCATGTTGTATCTCGTGTATGGTCAACTCCCTTCTGGACCACAAAACCCAGAATATTGCGCTCCGAGCAACATTTAAAGCTTGACCACGGAGACCGCTCTCATGAGTGATTTTTCTCATGGTCTCTTCATAGAGATGCTCGCATCTCTCGGATCCATATTTTAATTGTCTTAGCTTCCATCGAAACATTGGTGCAGACGTTGTCGATTCCAAAGTGTTGAGTCGCAATTCAACAAGCAGAAACCTATGAAGAGGCATTCAAGCATTAGCTAAAGGTGAAGAGCTGCACGGGTTTCATTTCTTTGCTCCTTACATTCCTCCTGTATTTTTGGTAATCTTCTCCTTCACCTCATCTTGAAGTATCTTCCTCTCGCGCACAAAGAGGGGCATTCCACGTAGACGCCCCTTCACATAAAGAGCTAAATCCTGTTGATCCGCTTGAATCTCAATACGGAAAATCCCATTCTCCTTGAATCGTGCTTCAATTTCTGGAAGAGGGCGTGAGGTCGCAAAAAACTTGACCCTCTGGGTCCTTTCCTGCAAGGTGAAGATTTGATCCAGCAATTTATGTTGACTGTTGACTTCCAGACATTTCATCAATGCCATCGACGACAATGAACACTTGGTCATATGACTTCACGACATCACACAAGACCTCCATGATTCGAGTAGGCGAAGGATGTCGCTCACGATCTGAGTATTCCTCATACATGGCTATCATGCTTTGAGGAAGCTTCAGAATTCTAGGAATCAGTTGTATAAGTATACTTCCAAAGACCTTGACAAGATTCTGCGTCCTTTGCTGTGGTGTACAATACCAGTAGGCAATGCCTACTTTTGGACGTCCAGATCGTGGGAAAGTGTTGAATAGATGATCTATCACGATGGACGTTATTATCGTCTTTCCAGCGCCTGGGATTCCATGACAAAAAAGTATTCCTTGGTCACTTTGAATCCAATGCACAAACTGGGATTCATTGAGGAGCCACTGTCCAGATCCATCATTCCATCTACCTCGCAAATCATTCTGTCGGGCAGAATAGTCATCAGGTGATAACCAGCTCAACCACGCCCGCAAATCATCTTTCATCCGTCGTCGATAAAGGTCCGTTGGTGAGGCTGTTCCCACAAATTGTCAGTATATGTTGATCACCCATATAATAACCAATTGATTAATAGAGGGTCAATATGGGGATATCAATTTCTCAAAATAGGTAAACAAAGTTGATAAACAATGCTGCGTCGGCGAGAATTGTCAATTTTGTGACTTTACCATGAGAATGAGTATGAAAGTTTATCCGAAGGGAGGAGTTGTTCTGGCCGATCTGAATTGCATTGTTGGTGCCAATGAATGATGCTGATGCCATTGGTTTCACAACCGAGATTTCACCTTTGAAGCGAAGTCGATTGAAATGATGACTGTTAGCGTTGAGGGGTAATTTAGGTCTCAAGAAACACCAGCATTGAAAAGCCAACCAGCTGGTCCTTAGTCAGCGAATCTATTAATAAGTGACAGGTTGTGTTTGTTTGCAGTAAGTGGTCTATAATGGCTGTGGCTCCGGTAAACGCCTGGCCGACCCTTTCAGGGGCTTCCGGTCGGGCTGTCCCCGCAGACACCAACGCCAGAATTTTAAACACCAACCATGACGTGCGCAAGTTGCTAGATTATACAAGCAATTAGGCAGGCCATCGAGTCCCTCCTTGGCTTCGGCATATGGGGTGGGGGCATGGGATTGAAATGGGGCCCCATTTGCCCCCATCATGGGTGGGTCCATAATCATGTGTATTTTTCATAAATATGCAGAAATATTGGTTTTCGAAGGGTAAAATACTACTTTAAATACCTCATATATAACACAGATAATGAAAACTTAGCTTTAAAAGGCATGAACTCTATGGTTCTACCCTATTTTTTCATTTTCCTGTTTTTTTTTATACTCAAAGCAAGCACCCTAAGCCACCCTATAAGCCACCCTAATACCCCAGCGCCTATAATCAAAGAAGCACGCATAATCAATCAAAGCACGTATAATCAATCTTACTAATCAATGATATACCTATTCTATATCATCCCGTGTCTATCTACTTACTCTAGACCTTCTAGAAGCCCTAACAGAAGGTAATCCTCCATCATCTGACCTTTCATCTGAAGAATCTTCGGATGAAATGCCCCTTTTTCTCTTCTTAGGCTGCCTAATCGAGTCTAGCTGTTGCTGCTGCTCTTCCTCATATGAGCTAATTAGGTCTAGGTCCTCGATATCACTAATATCCTCGAGTATTACTCAAGTCTCCGAGTCCTTTGGTCCCGCCTGTTACGGCATGATCGGGAGATTAGGGCAGAATGGTGAAGTTGGACGATGGGATGTCTAAACCATCCCGATTCCCAACCAAAGCTCAAATATACGACTTGATCAAAGCGGGGTATATCCCTCTTCTATTTAATCAGTGCACTTAAGGGACCAGTTTATACTTTAAGGATTAGTCTTTATCACATTTAAGATATTCTTTTCCAACTTCAGAAGTACACGCATCGACCTCGCCTAGTTAACTCTTTAATTTTAACACTTATTAAATAGAACTAAGGTACGAGTACAGTTTTTTTTTTTTTTTTTCATTTTCAGTAAGACTTAGCGTGGAATTTTAATATTTTAATGACTAGAGAAGTCCATAATATCTCTAGTATAGTTCGAAGTTAGATCATACTAGGCACGTATTTTACATCTACGGTATAAGCTAAGCGTTAGTGAAGGAGGGAGAAACCAAACGAACACTTGTAGTAAGTCCGCTCAGATTTTATAAAGGCGCCTTTTCCTGCACAGGCTGAATATTCAGGTGAAGAATATTCAGGTGGGTGAAGAGGTGCCCGGATTGCCCTGAAGAGAGCTGAATAAAGCGGTGAGCCGCCCACGCAACGCATCGTGGGCGCTAGGTGACCACCGACATAGAATAACTGCTGTATGTCTTTGCTTTCTGGTTTCCATTTCTTTTTCTTCAACTTTTCACTGGTTTACAAGCACATACACAGAACAATAGATATGGCGAGTGTATTCCTCCGCTTTCGCTCCATTTACTGGATGGTCCGAGCCCCGCAGGCTTTATCATTCATCACTTTGTTGTCCCTATTTCAAATAAACTCCTAGATGCCTCTGCATTTGCATTATAATCTAGGAAAATCCTAAAGAGAAAGAAAATGAATGAAAAAGATACTCAACAGGCCATCACGAGTTGGCCAGTCATAAGGACCAAAATCTGACGATTGCAACGTTTGGAACCTTAGGAGCGTGTATTTACTTGATGTAGGCCGCGTTCCACGCAGCCCCTGATTTGTTAGGGAGTGAGCCGGGGAGGCCAAAGACGTTCAAGACACAGTTGCCCCTATTGCCCAGGGGTCTTTGTCCTTCCCTAGCATAGATCACACTGTTGCATAAGCTGTTCGATATGCATGCATCAACACAGTCACTGAAAGTAGACTTTTCTAAGACCTGAAATCCATCCGCTCGGTGCCCTGTGGATATTAGAAAAAGACGTTAAACAAAGTGGCTATGATATCAACGTACATGTTCCACAGTAAACAGTCACGTCTTTGTCCGAAAGACTGTAGTCAAAAGGCCCCGAGCCCGAGTTTGAAGCACCTGAGACTTAAGTTAGAATACAGTATGTTTCAGTAGTAGTTGACTTCCCAGCTTACAAGAAGCATTTAGATCAGCGGCCTGATACTTGTGCAACTGTTGCGAGCATGTGTCCGCGCTGGCGGCACAGGCTTGTTTAGTGAGTGCAGTGGCGCCAAACAAGAGGATAGCGTTGGTGAACTTCATTTTGGAGAGTGGGGTAGATCAATTTTGAAGTGTTGCTGAGTTACTGCAAATTCGGGTCCCGAGTCTCTATATATACCCTTCTGACATGGTTTTTTTTCTTTCAAGTTTCTGCGCGGCAGGCTCATCGTGTTACATTTCTCTGTCCATCCCCTGCATGTATGACAATATTGTGACAAGCCTACATGAGCAAATTCTCATGCATGCAATGTTATATTGCTTTTCTGTTGGTTGAACAAAGGTGCTGGGCCTCCTTGGCTCCAAAAATACAGAGAGCAGTCACGCGTTTGGCAATTTTACCCCTGCGTGTACCCTGAATGCTAGACTTCGCCCTTCATTAAAGGATCCAGTCTTCTGAAATTTTGCAACAGACATAGGATATCAAAAGAATGTTTCCAATCGAAATCATAGATAAGGCGAGGACTTCAAAAAATTCAACCAAGAAGTTTCGGGTGCAAGATGACCAAGTGGACATGTTTAGGACATTGATAGATTATCGATTTGCCCAATCTTGAGTCGCCACTGCTTCAGTTATCACAATCATTTCGTGGTAGTGTCACCTCACGTGCTATTTTGTTTGCTCCGGAGTTTTGTTCATTCTCCATCTCCAAGGATCTCCTGTTCAAGATGCCCACCTATCCTCGCCCCGGTGTGGCAAAGGCTGCATTTGCAGGGTGAAAGTTGTACAAAGATCCACTCCATCAATGCAGGATCCCCGGAAACGCGTGAAGCGCACGCTATTGAAAATAGCCCTATGCACGCGATCCTGTCGATCTTCCGTCACCGCCAAAGGATGATCTACCAGAACTTACCGATCGACGTCGGTCCATGACAAAACATCTGGAATCACCTGCCGTTCAATTCCAGATTTCCTCACTCAAGTTTTCTCGCTTCAATTCAGCTCAACCCATATTCTCCATTTTCCTAGCATTGTGCGCATGTCAAATTGCCACGAATATCTCTATCTTCCCAACGGGCGCTTCTTGTGCCCGCTTTAAATTGGCCGGGCCCCGCATCAAAGAGGGCCAAATTGAATCCTCAAGCTTTACATGACTTATTGTGTCGCTTTCAAAAAGTGCGATAAAATTATTACAAGCGCGGTATTGGAAACCTGAATTGTGGCATAAAAGAAAGAAAGAAACTGGCAGGCTATATTACAGCGAAAATAAAAAATTCTATGAATCTGTCAATGACACTTTGTCAATGCTGAGTGAGAGACGGCACGAGAAATTCCTAGGTATATCTCAAGACTGCATGTTTCCTAGTGACATTTTACTGCTTGAGCTCCTGGAGGTGTCTTGTTCGAAGGCCCACGATGATCAACGTGAGTGTCGCAAAGACCTCTGGAAGAAACAAGAGTACAACGCGCACGGCGGTTGACCCGTAGACTGGACTCAGGTCCCTTCGCTGTGTGCAGACCGCGACAAGGACGTAGATAACGCGAATTCCAATAAACAACAAAGCAGTGATAGCACCCTGAAGAAGCTGTGCGAGATGCGGTCAGCTAAGGATATTGGAAGCAAGGAACGGCTTCTGGAATACATACCGCAGTGCTGCCTTGGAAGGTTGGAGCATGGGTCACTTCCCTGCGGGAAAAAATGGAAATAGTCGACCAAAGTAGTTGGAAGACCCAGATCACCACGATCAAGGCCGTTCCAGCTTTCCACAATGAATAGCTATCCGGCTTGGCTGTGCCTTCGTATATGTCCAAGGCTCCAACAATAGAAAGAGCCATGGCAGCACCCATGGTGCCAGTTGTGATGATAATAACAGACCATCCGAGCATCGGGCTTTTGGAAGGGTAGCGATATACTCGACTGTCTTTTGTTAGCTGACAAGATCCCGAAACATGGAGTATAGACGCACGCTTCGTGCACCAATCCGTCAACAGCAAGAAGCAGCGGTGAGATTCCGATACTCTGGATGATGTTCGCGGCTAGAGCGTTACTGCCTTGAACACCTAGCGCACCGCCGACGATTCGAGCCACGCAGAAGATGTTGAGATAGTACCATGGCAAGAAACCGGTCCATTTATGCTTTAAGAAAATGTAAACGACGATGGGTAGGAAAAAGAGGTAAACAGCGAGGTCGGCTGGAAATATCCCGTTCATCTTGGAGGTGTTCAATAGTTATGTTTTTATGGCAAAATGAATCGGCGCAAGTTAAAAGCGATCAATGGCGAGTGGTGGCCAGGGCGTAGAGTGGAAATGTTGAGGGTGCATATTGCGAGAAAGGGGCAGATATATAGTCTGCCAGTTCGACACAACACAAACTTCAATTCATGCCGACCCAAAATGGCATACTCCTCGGGGAAATAAGCATTGATGAAATGAATGCCTAAATGCCAACAGTGGACCCCCAATGATATCCACTTTTCGACCCCACATAGGGAGCCAATTTTGGTTTTGGGGGCTGAAACGGACTGCGCCTGATTCGCAAAGCTCACCCAATCAACTCTAGCTCACACTCTCAGCCACATTGCTTACTCTCCACCCTTGGCTGATTTAAAAACTAGACGCACCCCATCAACTAGCGTCCGAGCCCCATCAACCTCGTGTTTCCGAACCTGTTACCCCTTTGGGACTCCAGTTCGAGCCCCTTGGCATGGTTTACAGAGGAAAGCCCAGTCTGGGCTGCGCTTCGTGTCGAAAACGGCGACTGATTGTACGTGGGCGCTCCTGTGGCTGAGTGACAGCTCATTGACTCGATAGTGCGATCGACAAAACCCGTGTTCGCAATGTACCCGAGCGAACAAGGAGTGTGGGGGCTATCGAGATCCCAATACCCTGAGGATTTATGATCAGAGTAAAGAGGTTGCCGTGAAGGCTCAATCTCGGCGAGCTGTCGTTCGGTCCAAGTCAACTTCTCCGGAAACATCGATGTCCCCATCAATAATTCTCGAACCGATCTCGATTGATGAGAAGGCGACATCTCACATTTTCACATTCTTTGTCGGCAAACATGAAACTCGTGGAATTCTTTCATTTCTCCCGGACTTATTGAGCACGGACCCGTCTTTTACCCTTCAAACCACAGTCAAGGCCATTGGGCTGGCCAGCTTGTCGAGAATCCACAACTTACCTGAAATGCGGCGATTGGCGGGCCTCGAATATTGCAAAGCTTTGCTTTCGCTCAATAAAGCTCTGCAAAATCCAGACACGGCTAAGACGGACTCCACTTTGGGGACTGTAGCTCTGCTTTCCGTGTATGAGGTGAGATTCTTAGCTGACCATCATCTGACAAATCTAATCGTCCAACCAGATGGTATCAAGCCATGATATGGTATCGAATGACTTTGATATCATGGATGGTTGGTTGAATCATGTCCATGGAGCCATGAGGCTTCTCGAAATACGAGGCGTGGAGCAATTAGACTCTGACTTGGGAGTGGAGCTGTTCACAACAGTACGCTTACAGAATGTTAGTACTCTTTCTCCAATAGTGGGTCGCGTCTAATCTATGAGATATAGGCAATCAGTAGCGTGTTTTTCAGACGGCCCCTTCAGCACTCACCCACAATATCAGCAATATCGGAAGTCGCAAAAGCTCGACGCGACGAAAACTCTCAACCAATTGAACATTTCTACAATACACTAATTCAATTTAACGACCTTGCCACCGAGGTTAATGACGCCTCCCATGGAAAATATACAGTCGAAAATTTGGGAAGGTATATCGGAAAGGCTCTTCGCCTTGATGCCGACCTACGATCCTGGACAATGTCTCTCGGTCCTGGTTGGGCTTTTACCAGTATTCAAGAGCCGCTTTCTCAGAATGGCCACACCCCCTTTTACATGCGTGGCGACTCATACCACTCCTACTATAATGTCAACCTTGCCTCAATGTGGAATCACTTCCGCCAGACGCGTATTGTTCTCCACGAGATGATTCGCATAATGGCAGTACACTTGTACAAACTACGGAAAACATCCGAATGCGAACAGACAATCATTCAGTCCGTGACTATAATAAATCAGATGGTGGATGATATTTGCGCCAGTGTGCGGTTCCACTTCATATCGGATCAAGCTCGCTTTGGAGGCGCTATTCGTCTGCTGTGGCCTTTATTTATTTCGGCTAACGTTTCGCACGTAGACTCGGAGACTAAAGATTGGATCGCACAAACATTGGCCATGATTGGGAAGATTATGGGCGTTCATCTGGCTACCATCATGTCACAGCTTATACGCAAAGGAGAGTCGTTTGATATGATTCCTGGCACGTGAAACAGCGGGATTTGTTATAAACATGGACTTCGTCTGGTAAAAACAGGGAATTTCTCTTCAAGATAGATCTTGAATTGATCAGATAATCTAACCTGCCACAGTAACGTAGATGGCGCATTTCCTAAAACACAGTGTCAGCGATGCCCAATAAAGGAGCGACCGAGTCTCCTACCTCAACTGCTTCCGTTAAGAGTTTTTGACTGGACTGACACGTCCCATCTCGTGTTCGTGCGGCACCGACACGGAGGTCTGGTCTTTTCTCCCGCCAGGCCTAGGGTGTGGTACTGGTCCATCCCCGGCTTTTTCTCCCGCAGCTTGGTCGCGCTTCTTCTTCAGGTACATGAAAGGAAGGAAAAGGCACATATTGACAAGGTCTCGGTTGGCTAGCACAGATGGAGTGGAAGAAGAGATGATTGGTTTGAATGTGACTATAGGTATTAGGGCCCGGCGGCTAGGTGGTTGAATATCTGAAAAGGCCGATAAAACCCGTGGGATACATGTAGGGACTGGTGACATTTATATCCGACCAAGGCCCAAAAGACCATGTACGAAAACAAGCCTTGAAAGGTCAATCTGTAAGAGCATCTTTGGGCCCATTACCTATCAATCGAGAAATAATGTCAGCTTGCAATTCCAGGGGCCTTGCACGCGCTTTGCTGATCAGAGCTATTAGCTGGAACCCCGAAACGCTAGCCCAAATAGGCAAGCAGTTCAGAACTCTAACGTGGGGCCGTTCAGCCCAGCTCGCGTCGGTACCGGAAATAGGCAGCGTAGCAAAAGAGAGAGAAAAGTTGATTAACTTATCAGAATAGTGCTTGGATCCTGATAAGCAGAACGAATAGTCACTTCTATCCCAAACAGGAGGATTACGTGTCTCCAATCCCAAGGTGCTGATTCATGTTGATTCTCCTCCCCTTTGTACTAGTCGAAATTCCCAGCCATGGAGAAACAAGACTTTGGCGGTTTTCTTGCTTTTCAAAACATCGCCACTAAATAAGGGGCTTTAACCGACATGATTGTGGCCACCGATGCCGGTTCGCCGGCTCCGAACTCGACACAAGCCCGAGTTCGAGGTAAGACCTACCCAAATGCCGTGTGCCGAGCCTCTTTGATTTGATGTTTCGGGATTTGTCAACTATAAAACCACGTGAGCGGGAACTAAGCATCGAGATGTGTCATGAAGATCAATGCAAGACAGTCATAAACAGGGCCATCTCAGGCGGGGTCAAGTAAACCAATAATCTTCTCCAACCTTTCAGTATCAAATATGGAATCCTTCGACGGCGGAATCACCGGACACTATGTCCTCGAAAGCAGTTGTATTGATGCGTTTCGGATTGAAACATTAACAATTATCTATAGCTGTACAGGCTAAACAAAGGTCTGTTATAGTAATATTCACCGGTGAAATATGTCAGAAGTCTGTCGCAGAAGCAATGACCTCCCATGCGTTACAGACTTTCGACTTTGCCTCCGAATTGCCTCGGATCGCTTGCACCCCATCGGCTCCTAGAGGAAGGCATGGTGGTAGAGTCATGCCCTCACATCTTCCCTCACCTTTCACGGCCTTGATGATAATGTCAGCCGCCTTGCGAGGGTCTCCAGGTTGATTCCCATCTCCATCCTTGCAAAAATCACTCCTTCAAATTAGGGTATCATGTTTGGCGCTCTGCATAAAACATTTCGTGGGGTCCACACATTAGTCCGAAAAAGTCCCGGTGTAAGCATACAGGTGCGAGACCAAAAGGCGTACTTTCGGCCGCAATATTGGGGACTAGAGATTCGAGCAACCCTTTTGCGCCGCTGTAGGTGCTAGCTCCAGGGACATGAAAAGAACCGTTCCAGTTCCCCTGCTGCGCATAGAAGGCAAAAAGCACGGGGTAGATCAAGAGGATCAATTGCATTGGTGCGGAGACTGCGCACTAGGGATGCCTCGCTATGCGGAGTCAGAATAAATCCCAGGAAATTAGACCAACAGGGTCCGCCAGTCAGGTAATCAGGCATACGAACTCGACTGAAAACCACAATCACTATTGCAGCCGCTTTGTCCGGATGCTGTAAAGGAATTCTCGGATGAGCACGCCGCCACAGGAATGGCCTAGAAGATAGGCTGAGGGGAGCTCTATCAATGCAGCGTCGGGCAAATTTGAGTTTGATGGCTAGTTTGGGAAAGTCAGGGCCAACGAATAAGCCTCGCTGTGCCCGTATCCTGCTCTGTCGTAGCCTCGAAGGTGTAGACGCATATTTTGTCGGCGATGAGTCAATGAGCCGCCGCCCATTCGCTTCGAATGCCCCTAAACATACATTAACAATTACTGGAAGCTATGCGGCTCGGTGGATGATTTGTCTGGTTCCCTGACGCGAAAATGCACACGTTACGGTCCTCGATCAAATCCATACCATCGCGAGTTCCGGAATTGCAGCAATAATTGTGATTCAGGCGTTTTGTTGGCAAAGAGGGCTGTGAGATGTTGGTCGTCTGATGGAAAATCAAGGAAAAGGCTCAAAAGTCAGCATGGTGTTGTGTAAGCCGCGGGTGCGACGCGTCCGAAGTTCGGCTAGTGGGGTTGATATGAAAATTGAATGATCATCACGAAACCACTGATATTCGGTGCGAGATACTAACGTGATATTATAAAGCAAGTCTACTGATAGCTCTCGAGTTCCTCGGGACATTCACAGACAAGGGAAGTGCATCCAGCCAGCATTCGTCATCATGATGCTAACAGGGGTGCTGCACGGGTATTCTACTCCTGACGGTGTTCATGGCATGCTATTCGGAAGCTTGGCTAAACGAGTCGAAGGTTCCAGCGACCACAAGGTATGAGTACAATTGTAGATTGGACTTATCGACCATTCGACAGTGTCAGCTGAGTCATTGAATAACAGATCAATTAAAATATTCTGTTGGCAGCAAAAATTGCACAATAAGAGACGCTTTGCTGTCAGTCATGTCAGCAAGGCTCATCGAGACAGTTGAGGTGAACTTACCTGTTGAATGCATCGATTGCATCCTAAGAGACACCTCCATCTGGAGCTTCCGCCGGCCACTTAGAGACGTCAGTGCAACACCAGGTTAATGTTGAAGGAAGACTTAGCTCATCGACCGACCAGATAGCCACCATAAGTCTTTGAGGATCCTCGGCTCGGCTCGGCTCGGTCCTGATATATGGATCTGGCTGACAAAACGTTCAATCAACGTTCCACCAACCGACAGCGTCAGCTAGGGCCATGAAAATAGGCCCGGGGACTTCCCTGTTAGCTTGCAATGACTGCGTCGTAAGAGACCAATTCCTGCCAGCCATGTCAGTCAGACTTTAAAGACAGACAAATCAAATGAACTTACAGGTCGGATGCACCGAGTGCGCTTCAAGAGGCACTTTCCTGTCGACCATGCCGGTCTGTCATGTGAGTCGAAGCTGCATGCCGGTGATATTAGCCAAGCTCAACATGACAGAGCAGATTGGGAAGCTAACAGGTCGGATGCACCGAGTGCACTTCAAGAGGCGCTTTCCTGTTGGCCATGCCGGCCTGCCATGTGGGTCGATGCTGTATGTCGGTGATGTTAGTCAAGCTCAAGCTGATCGGGAAAGTGTAGATTGGGAAGCTTACATGTCGAATGCACCGAGTGCGCTTTAAGAGGCGCTTTCCTGTTGACCATGCCGGTCTGCCATGTGGGTCGATGCTGTATGTCGGTGATGTTAGTCAAGCTCAAGCTCATCAGGAAAGTGTAGATTGGGAAGCTTACATATCGAATGCACCGAGTGCGCTTCAAGAGGCGCTTTCCTGTTGGCCATGCCGGCCCGCCATGTCGGTCGATGCTGCATGTCGGTGATGTTAGCCAAGTATCATTATGACAGAGCAGATCGGGAAGCGTACATGTCGATCGCAACGAGTGCACCATAAGAGACGCTTTCCTGCCGCAACAAAGTAGAATCTAGCTGTGATCCATCAGCGTAACGGGGGCAGGAATCCAAGGATTCCTGCAAGAAAAATAGACGTAATGACTGTGAGTAATGATGGAACGCAGCAAATGACAAAGCAAAATGGAACGCAGCAAATCGAACACAGTAGCAATGGAACGCAGCAAATCGAATTCGGTAGCAATGGAACGCAGCAAGCCAAACACATAAAAATGGGACGCAACAAACTCGAACACAGCAAAACTGAAACCAATGAAACACAAAAAGAGCCGATGCCACTCCCGGAAGCACAAAGTCCATACACATCAATACAAAGCGAAGTCAATGAGTTCCAATACACGCGGCGCCACAACCAATGAGTATCCAAAAGGAATTTCGACTGGTGCACAAACGTAGTGCTTTCATGGCAGGTGCTAGATCTCGACCACAGGCAATGCTCACGGTTTCAACCAAGTCAACAGAAGCATGAATCCAACGCACGCAACGCCACAACCTATGGCCTTTCTAATCGAAATCGATTCAGACTGACAGGTGACCACTCTGTGGTACTTTTGTGAACGGTGCTGGAGATCAAGTTCATCGGGTGTAGGGGCCGCAGGGTCAAAACACCAGGACTGGTAAACACGCTTCTGAATGGGCGGGAACAGGGCACAGGCAGGAGGCGGGCAAGGGTGATACATAGGCTTTCGGGCTCGCTGTTGCATCCACCGCTCGACTACGACCACCTCTTCCTCACCGAAGTGAACGCGGCGGTCGTGAGCCGATGTGCGGGGTGCGCCAGACACCTTCATGATACTTTGGGGCTTCTGCGGCATCCATCGCTCGACTTCGACCACCTTTGCATCACCGAAGTGAACGCTGCGGTCGAGAGCCGATGTGCGGGGAGCTTTAGTCGCCTTCAAAATACCTGCCATCACAGGAGCACCATGGGGGGGAGGGGGAGGAAGGAGAGGAGAAGGAACACTTGCAAACAACAGGTTGCTACGGACTCGGTCAACTTCCCGCAGATACGCAACTCTGGCCAAGATGACCTTGCGATCGTTGGGATAGCGCCGGAGCGATTCAAAACCAGTGCGCTTGGAACCTGGGATGGGTGACAGGCGGCGGCGGAGCGGAGGATTCAAACCTGGGAACCAGAAGAGGGGCTTCGGCTGCTCCTTCTTGACACCGCAAGTCGGATACAGCCTCAGCTGAGGAGGCAAGTCGAAAATCGAAGGCTGAACCATCGTGCCGAAATACCGGGCGGAGGCGGAAAGGGAAGAAAAAAGGGGGGGAAACGGACAGCAGGGACTTCTCAAAAGAAGTAATCGCAAGCAACAAGAGGGGAGAGCCAAACGTCAAGAACGAAGTTCGAGGGTAATAGCAGTACAACCAGATGATGCGGAGGGGGAAGAGAAGAAGAGGAAAGGAAATCACAACAAGAGAAGTTATAGACCACAGCACTTCCCAAACGGGAAGGCACCAACCTTCCTCATGGCAACAGGCAACTAAGGACCAGCACTCATCATGACAACTCGCCATGACAACCTCAACGTCAAACGGCAATCACAACAATATCATCCCAGCTACTTGAGCAACGACAACTGCCATAGAGATCCAGCGTCCTATTTCCGCTGTTCCCATCCACATTTGAAGCTTCTAGGCCATCACCATCTTGCCTGTTACTTTTTTTACACAAACCCTCACTTTCAACACCTAGTCAATATAACATACTCATGACTTTCACCTTGCTTGGAGGGATTTAAATCAAAGATTTAACCTTCACAATTAGCTGGATTCCAGATATTCAATTTTATATTCTATTCTTGACTTAGGGTTACTGCATTCTCCCGCAGCACAGTGTCTGCCCTACGTATGCGGGCAACCTTAATTTCAGCCTCCCGTTTGTCTTTCAATACACATGGGCAACTGAGTAGGTACGTCTGTCATCTTACGTATAAATACGTAGCCTCATTTCTTATTGCAGCTGTCATTGAAGTATATTCGTTCGACTGCAACGGATGCTGAATACTACACTTCAAAGCTGCAGTTGACAACGTAATAAAATGATCTCAGTCCAGCAGAGATAGAAACAGCATTTGTTTGAATTTTAATAACCTGCACATTGCAAGAGATCATCGATATCTCTCGACATCATACGTCTACGTCGGCCATGGTCAGTGTCGTGCCGGTAATGACGTCATCTTAGACCCTGGACAAATTTCAAAACCAACCAACATGGATCACCCCAGATGTACCCTCAGTATCTTCACCTGATTCTCATTTGCAAACCTGATTCTGGAATAACACTACCATCACCTTACTGACCTGGCAATCAAGACCACGGATTAAGGAAATTGCGGCCCGGTCAATCGGCCCAAGCACGCGATTTATTTCTTTCTTAATTCTGCCGATCGCAGCACTTGAATCTGTGACCAATTCGATGCCCAGACATATGCATGATCCCTGCGACACAAACCTTTCAGTATGACAGAGGTGGATCTTCTTGCGAAGCTTCGTGAGGCGATCAAGTGAGTGTATAATTACTCCTCATGTCCCCTATTCGTCCAATCTAATCCTAGCAGAGGACCCCATGCAGCCATCCACCGAATGAACATCTCGAGGATCAGCCTCTGTGTACCTCCTCAAACCCTCCGACCCACCCTATATGCGTTGGGATTATCGCGCTATGCCGAAATATTCTATGGACTGGAGGAGGAGTGGGTCGCATTCATTGGTGACCCGACAGATTGGATCGGGGAGGAATCGGTCGATCGCACCCCCGATTCGTCGCTTGACAGCAGTCAGCGCATGAAATCCCTGTTGCGTATTCTTTATGTGCCCGAACTCCTACGGACAAGGTCTCTGCAAGCCGATCTTTCGTTCTTACAGTCCGTGGACCCGAGCAGTACGGAGCTGATTCGTGAACAAAATCCTGGACTGGAGATCAGACGATACATTCATGACCACGTGGGGCAACACCCTCATCTCCTCGTGGCTTGGATCTGGATCTTGTATTCGGCTGTTCTGTATGGGGGCCGCGAGCTCCGATCGCAACTTCTCAAGGCTGGACCAGAATTCTGGGACTTATCGGCGACCGAACTCAAGGCTCATAGAACGCCCTGTCCGTTGTCCTTTTGGCACATCGATGATGATAGTGCCGTCAAAGCCAGATTTCGAACATTGATGGTTGATGTCGACCGTTTATTGACACTCCAAGAACAACAGGATATTCTCAACGAGTCGCTTAAAATTTTCCAGAAGCTCGAATTATTGACTTTGAGCTTAGATGAGGAAGCGAAACAAACCAATCTTTGAATCATGGGCGCCACCGATTTCACACGAACACGAACACGAACACGAACATCCCTTTATTGCATTATTCATGGCTTCATGGTATCATTTTTGTGTCTGCACTGTCTATTGTCATGAGCAGTTTGATGTACATAAAACTCTTTCCACGGTACGACTGCGATACATCGCACCCGTTAATCAGATGATACCCAACACAAACCGCGTCCAAAATTTCAACCTTTGAAGAAATTCAGTTATCTTCACCTCCTTCTACTGGCCTATGCACAATTTCAGGACTATGTCAGTATATTTATTGCGCTATCTAACAAACATCGTGGCATTTCCAAGTCTAAACGAGCGTCTTCGCATGATAATCATGATTTCATAAGCCATATTTGAGGCTTCGCCTTCCGTGACATAATATCTCCCAGACCGAACTCTTTGTTTGATTTAGCAGCCAAGTTGTCCGTGGTTGTTGCTGATGCACTTGTCTAGGCATCCAATATGTCAGTTCGAGCTCTCGCAATATCGGATTATCTAACTCACTCAAATCGATTTGGGTGCGGACAAAACGGTGACCCTCAGCAACGTTGCGACACATGCACTCCATCTCGGTATTGCCTCGGAGGGTGCAGTTGATGCAAGAACCTTGGTAGTTACCACTGCAAGAAGTTAGAAAGGTACACTGCGATCCTCATTTATCTCGAACTTACTTCTTTCCGCACTATAGAATAGTTAGTCTCATGTTGAACCCTCAACTCCAAAGGAATGACTTACTTTTAGGGATCCTTTGTTGTTTTTGATGCATCGGTTAAGGTCGATGCTGCTTTGAGTCATAGTCCCCTGCTCATATTCACGGCAATCGGCGGAGAGTGTATTGCCAAAGCTTTCGATGTTCTCGCAGGTGTTTGCGAACTTGGAGCCAGAAACGGCCATGACGAAGAGGGAGATCATCCCAAGGCTCTTCACGGAGAACTGCATGATTGTTGATTGGAGAGGTTGAGGTTTATTTTGGAAATTGAGATGATTTGTGTTGATGATGAGAATCATAATGTGGGTGATATTCCATCTTATTTATATTGTCGCTTGGCCGTAGTGAGATGCTCAGAGCTACAGACTGATGCGCTGACTTGCAAGAGCTCTCGGTTCTCCTTGCTTGGACCAAAGCTCGTATCAGAGGTCCTGAGTCAACTGAAGGTCACTTGAGGTCACAGTGCATCGGGTCTCGGCAAATCTGGAAGTGACGTCGTAGCTTCAAGCGCAGATAGAGCCATTGTGCTAAAACTCTTGCCATAGCAAACGATCTCATTCCAGAAATATCGATTTAAGCACAGTTAGGATAGGATTCTCAAAGGGTAGCACTCAAGCTTTTGATCATTCCTTATCAAGCATATATCCTATTACTATCAATTTACCAAGAGCCATCTCTAATCTAGCGGTGATAGCTTTCTCCGTCATTCTTCTATCCAGGGGCAGTGGATCCCACGGTGATCCCTGCAAGGGGCCGAGTCCCCACGAACATCAATGCAGCGAGCACTCCGCAATAATCATTAGCTCATCTCCAAGACCAAGCCAATGAAGATCCAAGACATACGCTATGACACTAAAATATGTGCCACTGCATGGCATGGGCAGAGCTTTAGACGCACGTTCGCGAGCGCAGCCTTGCGCCACCAGCATTCCCCACGCCAGACTCGTGTGGAAAACCTGAAAGCTCTCCATTGAGCATTTCTGTATGAGGCTAATCCATGTGGTTTCTCCAGTCCCCCTTGTTGGTTTCTCGGTGTTATGTTATCTTCGGTTTAGGATACCCTTTACGTCAGCAAACAGCCAAAACTCGGTCGCACGGTGTTGCTATAAAATCAAACACAATTTATTTCGATGGTTTTTTCTCTGAATTATCCACACTGGCTGATAATATTGTGCTCTGCAACCAATAGTGAAAGATTGTCACAGCTAAAGCTATTATGGATCCAGCCAAGAACCGAGGGATGAACTCTCCACGACTTTATCTGCACAACGTGAGGGCGAGGAATGAACACACAGACCGTCGTAGATAGCTCTTGGTAAAGCTCTTGCTTTCACCCTATTTACTCACATGATTCACACTAACTACGACTTCGGGAATGAGGGTGCAACACACCCATGACTATTCTCCATCTGGCTGCCAAGAGTGGTTTTATCCGTCCAACCCAGCCTGACCTTCAACCATATCCACATTTACCCGCCAATGAACCAGACTTTCCAGGTCAAGGCTGAATCTCTTGGATATCAAACTTGGCTTCCATTCAGGCTCAAACCTAGAAGGCCGGCTTCAGGTATCATAGAGCGCGACATCCACGCATTCATTGGCAGGAATGAACCGCGGCGCATTCCGCGATAATCTCTACACGGAGAGGTAGTCCATTACCTGGAAAGCAACAGCTCCTGCTCACTGTCATCCATTTTCCTGGTCGCATTTTCTTTATCTTTCTTTTCCTGCAAGCTTATGCCCCCCTAATAATCCGGAGACTCCGCCGTGCCCTAGAGAATCCGGGGAAGGGACTAGTAAGTGGGGCCTGTCATGCTAGCGTCGGTCTACTGGTCTCGCTTCTTCAGGTTTACCGTGGCAATCCAATGGAGGGCCACGGGGCCTTACCTAAAACGCATTAGACTCATTAATTCTCGTATCATCTTCCGTTCTCTCGCCTCATAGCCAATCGCTTCGAAACGCCCAGCGCCCCTACTCCTAATGTCCCCGGCCACTTTGGCTTCATAGGCGAGCTGACAATCAGAGACACTGGCCATAGAAGCTTTTTGTCACGCCTTATGACCCTTGTATTTATTTTAGCCTGAATAGAATCTCCAGGTCCAGGTGTTCGAGATCGGGAAAAGGGCCTCATCCCGGTGCTGGATCACATTATCTGAAGAAGAGGATTGGATGTGGGGAGAGCCACCCGTGGCCTGCAAGCTTATCCACACCATGATGGTTTGTTGCTAAATTAATTGCTAGCGTCAAGACCCTTGATTTTATCCTATTTTGCCGCTAAACTAGACCCTGGCTGTCATGCTGATTGTCGCCTCGGCTCTCTTAAATACTTTCGCGTTCCCTCGCTGATGGACTACAATTAGAGCCTAACTTGCTGGCTTATCACCATATTTCCTGAGCCCTTCATACTCCATAACCTCAGGTTATAGGTCACCATCACGATGGGCAAGGACACTTTCGAGCTGGCGGGCCAGCAATGGCCAAAGGTCACTTGGTATAAAATGAAGGGAATGCGCTTCGTCTATCTTACTCTGTGGGCGGCTATGATCACCTCCGCTACGAACGGTGAGCATCTCATACCATTTTATTGAACTTTCCTCGCTGACAATCAAATTCAGGATACGATGGTTCATTGATGAATGGATTGGAAGCTATGGCATCCTGGAATAAATGTATGTTTTCTCCATGAGCGAACCTGATCCTTTCTAATCCTCGTTTCCAGCCTACAATAACCCCCAAGGCGCCACTCTTGGACTTCTCGCTGCTTCCATGTCTATCGGATCGATGCTTTCCATTCCTGTGGTACCATATGTTGCCGATATGGCGGGTAGACGTGCTGGTGTTGTTACTGGGTGCATCATTATGCTGTTTGGTGTTGCGATGGTCTCGATTGGCTACCACATTGCCTTATTTGTGGTCGGTCGCATTGTTCTTGGATTTGGGCTTGGAATCGCGCAGGTCGGTTCACTCTTTGTCTTTCTCTATCGCAATTGCTGACAGCTGCAGGAATGTTCCCCTCTGCTCGTAACCGAGTTGGTCCATCCCCAACACCGAGCTGTCTATAGCTCCATTTATAACTCCCTGTGGTACGTGGGAAGCTTGATTGGCGCGTGCGTCGCTTTGGGTATGTTTTCTTGATCAAATGGCTATTTCATTTTCTCATGGAACTTCTAGGAACAAATCACATTATCGGAAGTGAATGGTCATGGCGCGTACCGTGTCTTTTGCAGGGTATTCCGTCTATTTGCCAGCTCGTATTTATCTGGTGAGCGACCCTACTATATTTGAATCGACGGCTCTAGACTGACTCTGAATCAGGACTGTGCCCGAGTCTCCTCGTTGGCTCATTTCAAAGGGAAAGCTTGCAAAGGCGAAGCAAGTGCTCGCCTACGTTCACGCTCAGGGCGATGAAGACGACGCATTAGTCAACGCGGAGTTTGATCAAATCCAACAGACCATCGCGCTGGAGAAGGAGCTCGAAAACAATGGCTGGTCCGAGTTCTGGTCTACTAAGGGTAATCGACACCGCTCGATCATTCTCATCTCGATTGGTTTCTTCTCCCAGTGGTCTGGAAATGGAATCGTGTCATACTTCCTGCCTACGGTATGACCTTGTTACTCGTTCCTTATCAAAAGTCAAACTGACAACACTAGGTTTTGAAAATGATCGGAATCACCAATAGCAACACCCAACTCACTATCAACCTCATTCTCAGCGCTGTCAACGTCGTATCTGCAACCGGCATCTGCTTCTTCGTGGATTACTTCGGTCGTCGCAAGCTCTTCCTGACATCCAGTGTCAGCATGCTCGTGTGCTTTATCGCGACTACTATTGCACTCGCTCGTTTCGACGCGGATCTGCCGAGTACCAACAGTAATGCAGCTCACACAGTTATCGCCTTCATCTTCCTCTTCTACATCTCATACAATATCGGATTCAGTGGCATGCTTGTCTCCTACTCCTCCGAGATTCTGCCATACCGTCTTCGTGCCAAGGGTCTAACTCTCATGTTCTTCTGCGTTGATCTTAGTCTTTGGTTCAACCAGTACGTCAACCCGATCGCCTTGCTAAACATTCACTGGAAATACTACATCTTCTACTGTGTTTTCTTGGTGTTTGAGATCTTTGTGGTTTGGAAATACTATATTGAGACGAAGGAGATTCCGTTGGAGGAGATTGTCAAGAAGTTCGATGGTGACAGCGCAGTTCTTGGTGGTGCTGCTGCCAGTGAGAAGATTCAACAGATTACTGGGCAAGCTACGGAATTTGATGGCGAGAAGGCTATTACGACACAGGTTGAATATCGCGTTTAGGTTGGAGGTACCGGAGAGGTTTAATGATTTGCTATTAATGGAATGAACCAGCCGGTGATGGTCTCTTGATTGAATATAACAGTCGACATCGACACTAATATCAACAATGCACACATCTTCGATTCTCTATGTCTAGCTTTACTTTCTCATATCACTTTATCTATGCGCGGCCTCGTATCGCGATACTTTCCTAGCTGAGATTTTCGGTCAATTCTATATGACATCATAATTCCGTTGTCCCACATGTCAGCGAACAACAGTCGTGTGCTTCGACTCCATAAAAGTCCAGACCTCAGTGATCAACTCTAGACCTGAAATTTCTTATTGAGCCTGGCCATTACCCCTCAGTGGAATAACAGCGGAGTCCGAACAGGATCCATCTCCCACCCCGAAGAACCAGGTCCACATTGCAGGGGTCAAAAGAGTCAAAGGGGGCTTAATTTGTAAAGATTTCGCAACCCTGACCCTCTTTGCCAAGTACGAAAATTCACTAAGAACTCTTGGCCCCGCAAGTACGTGGATTGCCTTTGGCCAGACCAAGCCTGTGGTTCTGAGGCGTTCGCTGGAATTTTAACTCCGATCTTAGTCAAGCATCTCTTGAGACATCGCTACGGTAGTAATTTCCGGCATCTCATGCAATGTGTCAAGTTGTATGATCACACGTGTGAGTACCGAGAATATCACCATGCCACATTTACGCGAGCGTGGATGATTGGGTGAAATACCGCACAGACAAAAAGAATCCAGGCACATTGGCATCATCCATGGCTCTGATGAAATTGAGCAATTGAAAAATTGGGTCACCAGGGGCTGATGCTGATTGGTGCAGGGTTAAGCCCTTTGTTTGCCAAGACTGTAGAGAAGTATTGTGATTGGCTGACATTGTCAGCTGTTCCTCCACTAAGCAGACCTTTCAACCAATCATACTGCTCTTTGCTTCTTGCCCTGAACCACAAGTGACGAATCCATAGAACAGAAAAACTCAACTCGCCAGTTAATCGACGTAAGCCTGAGCTGTAGCTTTTCAATTTTCCACTTTTTGTGTTTGGAAGAGTCCTTCAACAATGCGCAACCCAAAATCTACAACTTAATAGTACAGCTATAGAGAGATAATTCAAGACCATACGTCATGTAGCCCGCTGTACCGGTTCAGTTAATGAATCTATGATCACCAACGCTAGTGAAAAGTAGCCGGAGAACGTCCGGATTACCCACTATCCTCCGGTGCCGACGGAGGCCCACTGCGTTAATTCCTTCAATTGAGCCATCGCTACGGAGTAGATCTCCATTTTAACTGAAAAAACTTTAACGGCTGTGTCCACAATTAGGTTATGGCTGCATTGGACAGTTCAATTCCCCATACACACTTGTATCATCCAGTTCCACTCAAACTCCGGTGCCTTATTAAAGAGATACCATGTGACCTGACACAGACCACGATACACCACCCCCGCGCTTAAAGACTGAATAATGAGCATGCGGAGGTACACAATGTCTAAGAAAGCGGATCACCCATAATTCGAGTAACAGAGCTAGTCTTCTCCGCGAGTATACATTTACAATGCCGGGATTCTGTGGTTCCGTGGCTACTCTTGCCCCACCGGGAAGAAAACCACAAAGTCTCGACACATAATAAATTACTGTTTGTGACATGTCCCCGTTGCCCTAGAATTGCGACTACAGTTCCTCAGAACCAATCATGCTGCTCCACCGTTGAACACTTCGAGGCGAACCGCGGATGGGTCTATCCCCGATCTTAGCGCCAATCGAGTCCCTTCTGTCTAATTCGGGCTCCACCTTTACCTCCTGGCCACACGTCAACCCAAGGCTCCGGCCCTTCTGGAACCTCTAGATGTCGCATATTCTTCCTTCCCCACTCTTCTCATGCGCAGCAACTTGACGTATGCGTAGCCCTGGCGCGCCTTCCCATGGGTAACTCGGTCAGGTACCAGGTACGCCGGCCTGTGACTGGACACCCATATTCCAGGAGGCAAACGTGGCGGGGAATGGCAAAGATTCTTTTTTCAAGCACAATGGGTATTTATATCTGGCGTGGAATCCCCTCGTCCCAATGTTGGATTCCATCACACATTCTCTCAATCACACTCTCTTCTACATTCTTTTTTGAATCTTGAGAAGTTTTATCTTCTTGTCATTCTTTTTTACACTGTCCTTCCAGTCAATCATTTTCAAAATGTACTTCTCCAAGTCTCTTATGCTGCTGGCAGCTTTCACCTCCGGTGTCCTTGCCCGTCCTCAGGGCAATATGCGTCGTCAGGCTACCGCCACCTCCAGCGCCGCCTCTTCTGCTTGGACTGCCGTCCCCTCCAGCTACTCTACCTCCGGCTTCGGCGCTAGCACCAGCTCCTCCGGCAGCGGTGATACCTACGAGGGTAACGTCGGCAACCCCTACGGTAGCAACATCATTGAGGTTTCCGCCTCCGACGCTAGCTCCTACGAGTACGTCGTCCAGTTCACTGGCTCCAACACCGATGACTGGACCGTTGCCATCTGGAACAAGTACGGCGAGGATGGCACCATGGACGGCTGGTATGGCAACGCTTGCCACACTTTCACTCTTTCGGCCGGTGCTACCAAGTACTACGCTTTCGATACCGATTCCCAGGGTGGCTGGGCCGCTGCTGAGGGCTCCTCGATCCCCACCAACAGCCTCGGTTCCTACGCCTCCACCTGGGGTGAGTTTGATTTCGGCTCCACTAGCAACAGTGGCTGGTCTGGTTTCGATGTCTCCGCTATCCAGGCTCAGGATGCTGGTCTCACCGTTCAGGGTATGAAGATCTGTGATGCTCTTAGCGGCACTTGCTCTTCTATCACTACTGATGCTGGTACCGTCGACAACGCCTACACCAGCGCCGAGTCCGCTGTTGGTGGTATTGGTGGTAACATCTCCTCCGGCCCTGTCCGTCTGGCCGTCACCATTGACTACAGCGGATAAGCTCGACGGGTTGTCAAAAGCTTTGCCATTGCCATTATAGATATAGACTTATGACTTTCGTTTGATGAATTGTTTTTAGGCTTGACGCCTTTCAGTTGGTGTGGATTCCTTTCCTTTCTCTTGATCCACTTAAGAGATCGAGGCTGGTCCTTTCTTTTCTTGATGATGTCTCATCTCTTTTTACCAATACCTTTATCAAGACCAATCTGAATCAAAATCCAAAATACAAAATTATACAAAAGTGTCTTCAATATTAAAATCATTCAATTCTGTTGTAAGTCTCTTGGGGCTAGACTCTACCCTCAAAACATGTGGTGGCCATGTGGCGGCCATGACCGCATCATTGCATACGTTGCCTGTCTCCACTAGGGTTGCCTTTTCGGTCTTAGCGTGAGCTTGTCGCTGAACTGAGTCTCAAACACACTCGGTGACCTATCAGGTGCAATATATCAATTCATGTGCCTTTGTAGGCCACTTCGGAGCCGTGGGATCCGCCTACGTGAATCTGAAACCTTGTGCTTCATACTCGCGAAGGGTGACGAATGCTGGAGCCCTAAGCGCCCAGCAGTTTCAGCCTTTTCTACATCTTCTTTCGATATTAATCTTTGATAATCAATTGACCCAGTCAGCAGCATCTCACTACTGGTCAGCTTCGATGAGTTCTGAAATATCCACTTAGACCGGAATTGCCATGCCATCACCCCTCGGATCACTCCCCGCACTATATACTCTCTGCCCATCCTCCATTCGACTGCGAATAATCTGGCCTCTGCCGAACAAATCCCGCTGCCACCCCGTTCTAAGCTTGACCCGATGTCCCCTCTTTTTCAATCCATCAATTGCCTCTGAGCCTATCCCTTCCTCGACATCGACCCACCCCTCTGACCCGTCCGTCTCAACTCCAATGCACACCCGTGGCGCATCTAACGCCTCTTGTGGACTCATCCCAAACACTAGCATGTTCAGCAATACCTGTACATGACCCTGTGGCTGCATAAACCCACCCATTACCCCAAATGCCGAGTGAAGCGACCCGTCAGGATTTGTCGCCATGGCCGGGATAATAGTGTGGTATGGTCGTTTTCTAGGCTCCAGCGCATTAGGATGCCCCGGCTCAAGTGAGAAGTTTGCGCCTCGACTCTGAAGTGTGAATCCGCAATCTGCGGGGATGATTCCGCTTCCGAAGCCGTGGTAATTGCTGTTCACAACCGATGCGGCATTGCCGCTGGCATCTGTCACGGCGAAGTATACTGTGTCGCTAGATCGGAGGGCCGGGCTACCGTGATCGAGGATACCAGATGCGTGTTCAGGATTGTATAAACGAGCGCGCTCTGCAAGGTAGGCAGACGAGAGCAGATCTGGTGTGGTGTTGAAATCCGGGTCGGATATCCACCAAGTCCCGTCGGCGAAGGCGATCCGTAGAACTTCTATGAGCAGGTGTAGGTACTCTGCTGAGTTGTGTGGGGGTATTTCAGATATGCTCCCTGTTTGCTCGAGCTCTTGAATTATCCCAAGCGCCATGAGTGCTATGATCCCTTGGCCGTTTGGCGGATGTTCCCAAATGTCGACGCTATGGGACTTGTTCGGTGTGTAGCGCAGGGACACTGGCTCCACCGCGTCGCTGGCTCTTTCTGCGTGATACTTGAGATCACCCTCTGACAAGTAGCCCCCAAGGTCTTGCATGACTTGAGCGATTGCTTTTGCAATCCGGCCAGAGTAAAATCCATCCTTGCCATGAGTCGCTAACTGGAGGAATGTGTTCGCGAGGGTCGGATTTTTCATGATCTCTCCTGTATTTGGTGCTCTGACTCCATCCGCCGCAGTCGAGTCATATTTGAGCATTTCTCTGAAGTTGGGTGATGCTGCTCGGAGGGCTCGTTCATTGGCTTTCCACTTTCGAATAAGAACCCGTCAGCTCATCCATTCCATATCCACTGTCCGACCTGTACTCACATAGTATGCAGAGATTTCCGATACAGGAAATCCATTCTCAGCCAACTCTATGGCTGGTCCCAGGATGTCTTTCATTGACAGTCTCCCGCTCCCAAATCTCTCCACGGTATCGATCCAGCCCGCTGCTGCCCCCGGAACCGTGACAGCATACACACTCGTGAGTGGAATACCACCGGGCTGGTTGTCACCCAAGCCCAGTTTTCGTCGAACTTCTTCCAAGGTAATGCTAGCTGGTGCTCTTCCAGACCCGTTCAAAGCTTTGACCTTTCTCTTTTGGGCATCGTAGTACAGACAAAACATGTCACCGCCGATTCCTGTGGACCAGGGCTCCGTAACATTGAGACATGCGGCTGCAAGATATGAGATTAGCTGGCATAATTATTCCTACGAAGCAACTGACCAACGGCGACCGCAGCATCCTATCTAGTTATTAGCATCTATCCCTGTATGACTGGAGTGTTATTCCTACCGCTGCGTTACCTCCTCGTCGGAGGATACTCTGTCCGGCTGCTGCGGCTAAAGGCTGGGTGCAGGCCACGATTCCATTGAGACTATGAACGACGCTTCGTCGGCTTGCGAAAGGTGTAAATGTAGAAGCCATTGAGCAAATGCTTTGTTCCCAGTGACTCGTGTTTTGGAGGATAGAAATGGCGGGGAGGAAAGGGAGAACTCCGAAATGCGGGGATCGACATAATCAAACCAATTGTACTTCCGAACTATAACTGCGATGGTTCCAATCTCTCCAAACCTTCACCTGATCAGCGCTGATCTCTGAATCTTCACATTTTGTTTTTTTTTTCCTCATTACGCTTATTCTTCCGATTTTCTGTCTCTCTTTATCGTCCCATCTTTCTTGGCTTTCGCTTTTCTGTAAACCGTCTACCAGATGGGCCGACAAAATAATAAATTTAGGGGGTAACATTACTAGCATCATCGCAGGCAAAACAAGCTGCGAAAAGACTTAGCAGTGTCTGCTTGCGCAATGCTTACTGCAATGTTGAGCACCGGTCTGCATAGGCTCTAATGTGCTATTGTCACAGCCAGGACTTGTGATTTTACGGATGAACTGAACGCTTATCGCCTGTTTCACGAGGTTGTAGTACCCCCTTTGAGCACGGTTGTACGAATATTCCTGTGGGGTTTTCTGATTTGGTAGAGTTGAATCATATGTATTTTTTTGATGGGTACTATCTTGATGATCAACCCTCGTTGCGGCTATCACACTTCGATATGCAAAGGCGGAACATGATAGCTAGATGCATTTTCAACGATATATTTTCGAATGTCATGTTCCTCTCAAGACAGTCTTTCAGCTCCTGCTTCGAAGATTCCGATGAATTCCTTTGGGTCGCCTCACCAGAAGAAGCCTTGCGATCGCATTCATCAGCAAAGTCGTACAGCGCATTGGCTTTCTCCTCGTCAGACGTGGATACATTTGCAAGAATGCGTCGCCTAGCAGCCCAAAGAAACCGGTTTGTGCGGCTTTTAGAAGCTAGCATGGATAACAACAACACGCATAATAACCCACCAGCTTGGTATCTGTTCGAAAACATCAAACCTGTCTTCTTTCTGGTCGACCATCATGGCAACCCAGTCGCTCATAATTGAGGGACGACTAATTACCAGGCGACTTTTCCACGCAAGAGAGGCCAATGCACTACCAGAGCTCTTTTGGTAAATTGATTCGTAATAAGGGGTCCATTTAAGATGCGCAGAGTGTCGCTTAGTGTCTACCCAGAAATCGTCGGCAATCCCATTACTTGTGGTAGAGACAAAAACAGCATCGCTTGATAAATCCTTATAGGCATCTCTCGTAAGGATACCCCCTGATTCTTTGGCAAGGTTGCGTGACTCCTGGCAGACTGACGGGTGAAGCCCATTCACTTTCGCTGTGGGAATGACTTTGCAGGGATAGGACCCATCGGCACTAGGCTCATCAAGATAAAGCCGTTGTAGGTCGGCAAATCCGTGTCCCATACGCGATATGGGAGGTATAAACGCCATACCTGAAGTCGCAGCTCTGTCGGCAGCTAAGGAGAAAGATGAAAGGAATTCTAGGCCATCAGTAGACTCTGATAGTGTGTGTAGAACTTGGAATGACTCTAGGCTACCTTGGAAAGCCTGCTGCCTGCCAGCAATAGTGGGGGTTGACGGCAATAGGCACGGATGCCAGTGGTCGAAGTCTTCCCCTTCGCGGTGAATGCAGATAAGGTGGTAAAGATTATCGTAGCGAGATGGATAGGGGAACCTTGGAACCTTGTATAAATGAAAAGTCAATTATAGTTTGTACATGGTTGTTCCGAGCGGTGCAATAGGCGCCGTTTCCAGCGGCCCACTCACCGTGTCAAATTTAAACTATTCAATATCTAATTAGTATAAACCCCCACTATCTAGGGATGTTACTATGACATATATACTCTGATTATACCTAATAGCTAGTTAAGTATAATGAACGGGCTGACGTGGAGAAATCAACATATGTATCTACGAATACAATTCGACAATCTCGTATTGAATCTTGTATATGACTCCTCTCCATTACAGTAGGCAGGAAGATAATCCGACCCCATCACAACCCGTGATATCTACCAAGGATGACAGCGTTCTTCGAAATAATATAGCCATGGCCAGACCAAAGAGTTGTGACTATGACAACATACCTAGTGGAAGAAATGAGCACGGGCGGGGAAGGACACGTCAGCGCTTCAGTTTGTGCAGGGTGTTCAGGTGAAGAATACAGGGCTTCAGGTATTCAGGTAAAGGTCTAAAAAGAAAAGGCAGCAGGGGTTCTTCTCTACCAAAGAGAAAAAAACAAAAACATACAACAGTCAGGATTCGCATGTGGTCACCCACCATACTACTAACTAACCGGCGTGTGGCTTAAGTACGGCTGAGCGGACGGGAAGCCCTGTTCTCCACACCCTATGGTCGTATGTACTGGGATTTTACTCGAAGTAATTTATGTATTGTAATAAGAATCTTGGAAGCAAAAGACTTGAACTATTAAAGGGAGATAATTGAAGGAGCCTAGTCTATGGAGCTAGGTTATGTGATAAAATGGTGATATTGGGTGACAATATACATTTCACAATTCAATCGAATCCGTTTCAGTGCGAGACTCAGAGCCGAAACTAAGATAGCTAAGCGGAGCCCGTCCGAAATGAACCTTGACTGGCAGCCTGTGTTCGCACGCTGAAAATCTGGCTCTGTCATCAAATTGGGGTCAGACTCTGGTAAAACAGCTCTACGTGCCAATAGGATGAATCCTACTCGCCCAGTTCAATTGGAGCATGTATATTCTGCTGAGCTTGTCCTGAGGGAGTTGATGACAGTGAACAGCTCATGTTATATATATAGCACTCGAGTTGAAAATACCATACAACTCATTACATATTTTATTTGGTCTCCAGTCAGCAAGAATAAATTGTAAGATTTGCCCAGTAGTCGCCAGATCTTGAAAGACTCACACATATATCTCGATTTATCTCGATTTAGAGATGGTAGATTGCCTATAGGCTTATCACGTTGCTATGTTAGAAGTATGTGAAGCGAAGGAAAGGTGGTTTGTGGGTCGAGAAAAATAGCTTTAGTGCGGCCCCAATTCTTAAGCACTCCCACTCAACTTTCTGTCTAATCTATTACGCACTCACATTCCTCACCTCAGTATCGCGCGACGGTCAAGCAGCTCTTCAAAGCTCTAAGCATGCCACTCATCAAGACTACATATTTCACCTCAATAGTAATTCCAGTACATACGACCATAGGGTGTGGAGAACAGGGCTTCCCGTCCGCTCAGCCGTACTTAAGCCACACGCCGGTTAGTTAGTAGTATGGTGGGTGACCACATGCGAATCCTGACTGTTGTATGTTTTTTTTCTTTTATTCATGAGTGGGTAATAGTGGTTATGGACAGTGGGGCGAAAATTCCAAACGCCCACCTGCACTTCACAGTCTTATGATGATATATACCCGCCCGAGGCGTATCTCCAGTAAGCTTTACCAATTGACTTTTTGCTCCAACAGTCGAAAGAAGAGGCTCTTATGGCCTCAGGCGGGGTGCGTAGTCTACCATAGCGTAATGGAGCGACCAACCAAAATAAAGCCTTAAATAGAGACTAGTCGTACCCAGCCAGACCTTGATACTCGGTAAATTCATTTCAAGAAATGGGGAAATCCTTTAGAAATTATAACAACTCCAAAAATCATATTATGAGACTGCGAAGAACGAAAGACAAGCAAACATAATTTGAAAAAAACCATGGAAATGCGGCTCGCAGACACACTGAGCCATCACTTGGATGGATGATGCTTCAGGCGATTAGAATAGTCTCGCTGTAGATAAATCAGACCCCAAAGATCCGTGCCGTTCATATACACCCTCAAGGATGCCAGAGCGCGTTTTTCAACGCTAGCTTCCTCAAGTCGGTGAAAGGCAAGCTCCATCTGTTCCCTTTCGAATTCCGCAATAGCAAGAAGTTGCTCTTTCATAGATGATGAAGGATAATTCACTTGCCCATGACCATCAACACACATTGTCTTTTCTTCTGAGCTAGAAGAACGAAACTCAGGAAAATGAAGGCTATTGAGATTGTCTTCGTCCATATCACGCGCCACAGATCCGTAGTCGTTATACTGGCGACACATTATGGCCAGGTGCCGGATGACGCTTCGGCTCAAGTAACGTTCCAATGGTGACCCCTCAAAAGCAGTCTTTGTGGAACCACTGATGACACATAGGAAGAAAAGACTTGCCAATGGGCAGCTAGTGTCATCTGCACCCACTGACCCAACCCATCTCGGATAGTCGGGATTGACTGTGCAGTGGGTAAGAGAAAGCTCAACGTTGCTCGCGACATGTGCAATATGCCCGGAAAGATAATAGTATATTTCACTGGCAAGTTCCCTCTGCATGAGTTGGGAAGATTCCAGCACTTTTGGGTGCCCCAGAAGCCAATTAATATAGACTCGGAGTCTGTTAATAATGGATTCTTCGGCTTCAGCAAGCACCGGTGGCACATTCACTATTGAAGTGAGCGGGCTTTGATACGATTCGTGGTTGCAATTTGTTTGCTTTGACGATGAAGCTTGATTTTCGTCTTTAGCATTCGCAGTCAAGTTGCATTCATACTCGAGATGTTGTCTTAACCGTTCAAGTGCAGGTTTGGAGAGGTCTTTGGTAGAGGTCTCCATGAACTCATCAGTTTGGTACCCGAGTAGTGAGATAAAGATCAATTCCCAGGTTGTGTTCGGCGAAAGGACATGGTTCCCGATATTATTGCATGCCGTCCATATTACAGGTATCAAAATCATATGCTTGTCTTTTGTATTTTGACCCTCAATAGGGAGATAGATGTCATGCTTTGCTTCCTGTAGGTACCTTGTCCAAAGGGCAGCTTCGAGCAAGGTCAAATGCCATGAAACCACAGTTGGTGCCTGAAACATTGGAATAGATTGGAGCAACGTCTTTATTCGGTCAACATTTTTGGGCACAGTAAAATACTGCAAAAGGTCCGCGCTGAAACACAAAGGATCCACATTTGCATTGAGTGCTGCAACAGCATACACCTTGCGGAGGAGGCCACTTGAATACGAGACTTTCTCAACCCAAAGATAATCGTGATGATCTGACTTCATGGGATCATTCCAATGAGCCTTCACATATCCTTGTGCCCTCAAAAGGGCAGGCCGAAGCTGGTTGTCTTGGAAATCATGATTAAATGGCAGACGCATCAGTTGGCTGAGTGTCAGAGCGCAGTATGACGTGACTTCCATAGAGTTATCCCAAGATCCCTCTTGGCCCTGCTGCGAGAGCATTCGGGACAACATCTGAACCAGACATAGTACTATGTCTCGAACCATTGAAACTGAGGAAAATCCCTTCAACTGGGGGTCTGTGTACAGTTGAAGAACTGTGACAAGTGCAGAGCTCAGGATCATACATGAATAATGTGATGAAATGTTCCATTTGTCGGATAGATCCCCTTCTTTCCATAGTTTAAGAAGATAATCCAGCACGGCTTCAATGTCCTTAATGTAGGCCGCGGGACTCTCGGATAAGATCAAAGCCAAGAGAACGTTGCAGTTGGCACTGAAACTTGGGTTGCGCTCCATCTCAAAGGTCTTGAAACATGGATGCGATCTGAAACTGGTGACCATTGGAGTAAAGTCTACCTGATCGCCTAGAATATTTATCGTCATTAAGACTCTTGCTGTATCATCTGCATCGGGCATGATTCCCGGTGCCCAGCCAACAAGACCACTTTGATGCGACGTAATGGTCTTCAGAAAAACGCGTAGGGGGCGCAGATGAGAAATTTGTTCTTCACTTGGCAACCCCACATGGAGGAAGAGTGTTGAAAGTGCCTGACAATCACGATTCAAATTAGCAACCTCCTCAGATCTGTTTGAGTTAAACAATGCTGATGGTGTAATCACTCACCCATGAAAGCTCGAAGTTGCACGTCGGAAATGCTGCTGGAACTCCGCCAGCACTGTCTCCTGAACAGCTGACCAAGCGGTTCAGATATGTCTCAGCCCGAGGATCCCATTCATTGACATACATCAAGTATGCAGATGTGGCAGCAGGGGAGGCCATCACTCCGTTTTCCACAGTACAGTGGTGTTTCAACAAATCAAAATCGACAACACCCACAAAGGCCTCCAAAGAATGAAGCATTGTCGTTTGCAAGTCCGAATATAACATCTCTGGGTGGAATTTCTGCATCTTTTTGGCATGTATCATATCCAGAGATTTCTGACCTGGAAAGCTGAAATGAACACCGTATTGAGCAATACGGCAAAGGGTACTTGGGACGATAAGTTCAAATCCAACTTGGTCACTTTTGGCCACATCCCAATCTTGGAGAAGGGCTTGCAGGCCCTTAATAGCACGCTCAATACGCTGAGAGATGTCTCCTTGGTCATTTTCCCGGAGAGTTTGCTCCCTTCGGCTCAGCAATGCGAGAAGAGATGCCGCAGTCGAGAGGATTCCATCCACTGGCGAAGAAAATCCAGGCCAAGCGCCGTCCGGTTGCTGCAGAGACAGCACATATTGGAAGCACTGAGGAAACATCCATTCTTGCTCAGAATTCTGGTTTTTATATACCATGGACATCCACGCCGAGTCATATATACTGGGAGTGAACGATCCAAACTGAGAAAGGCCGTGGACACCATCTCGGGCTAAGTTGCCCATGAATTGGAGGAGGTCATCCGGAGAGGTACAGCTTTCCAAAGACATTGATAATTAGTTGCAAATTTCCTAAGTCCACAAACAAAGATAGAGTTAATCAAACCTCTGTAGGACCAGAGCATGTGGCTTTTAGTGGACACCGCTAGCCTTTTAATCCACAGACGACTCACACGGGTAAAGTTCAGGACGCTGGCTCTCAGCCACCTTGGCACCAGTCACTTTCCGGGGGCAGACACCCACCCAGACAATCACCAGAAAATTATTTGCGCAATGCGCCTTGTGGGTCAGTATAGACCAATGAATCTAAGAGGATGCGCTCACGTCCGCGATTTTTAATGATCAGTCCCAATAAACTAGCTCCAGCTCGCTTGGCCCTTGCCATGCCATGTTTTCTCATTTCTTCTGTTGTTTCTGTCCAAGTGCTGCGTATCCTGTAGGATCGGCCGTCTCTTCTCAGCATGTCTACATAATCTCAAAAGAGCTCTCCAAGACACCACTCTGTCTCCAACGTCACAAACAGGCACAGTTTACACCATGAAGTTAATCGTGTATTCATCAGTGATGTGAAGTGATCAGGTATACATGCAGCCTGTGTAACAAAAACTGCGTGGGTGACCTATACATGCATGTAGTGAGATCTATCATCAATGACGTCATCGGTACTACCTGAAGCATGGGCATGTAGTACGTAGATGCAGGCTTCCAAGGCTTCTTGGAGAGGTGCCATTGGCAGAATTGAAGAGACCCTGAAAAATTAAAAAATGACTAGAGAATCAGGAATGACCAGGTGAGTCCCTATGGTAGCACATGTAGGCTGCAAACTTAAATGCATGTTGACGTGCCCTTCGCAGCCGAAGGATCTAAGTCGGGGTCTCTTTCAAGTCTTTCGTGTCTCAGCTGAGCTGTGTAAATGTTTCATTGGATATAACAGGAGATACAACGGCATGTTCAGTCTTCTTTGGCCTCCTTCTGTGGAATTGTCTTCTCTCCTTCGAGTTGAGATGCATTATATGGGCTTTCGCGATCATGATTTACCTTTCGCACCGGGTCCATCGCTCGAGGTGATTATACTAGTAGAAGTTGAAATAGGACAAAATATCTTTTAAGTAGGGTTCATTTGCCGAAGGTGCCTAAAGGCTCCGAAATTAGTTTACTGTTTTGTACGCCGTGTTTTGATTTCTCCTCGACCCATAATCAACTACGTGCGTTTCTACTGCATTGCGCCGAAAAATGGAAGGCGATTAACAAAGCGCATTTCCAGGATATATGACGATATTTCCCATGTGTAGAGAGCGCCAGATCTAGTGAGAGACGAAATTTGCCTTCTACGCTAGCTTGCCTGATACTCTCGGGTGAACAACGTAACGACTGATTGCAATGCAGGATAAGTTCCTTTTCACTTCATGTTCTAATACATACGACCATAGGGTGTGGAAAACAGGGCTTCCCGTCCGCTCAGCCGTACTTAAGCCACACGCCGGTTAGTTAGTAGTATGGTGGGTGACCACATGCGAATCCTGACTGTTGTATGTTTTTTGCTTTTTGTTATTTATTGTTTAATAACAATTTCATGAGTAAGTCGAATGGCGAATTGTGACGACGACGGACCATCAATTGAACCTAACGCAAATGGCACTGTGAAAGACAAAAACTTTCGGAACCGCCAGCTTTTTATAATTCCATACTTTGGGAGCGTGAACATTCAAATCTGAATCAATTGATTGGTCTATATACTCTATACCCAAAGTAGAAACAATAAGAACCGAACAAATTGGAAAATGAAACAAAAATGGGGGATCAAGGCTTGGTCAGCTGCTCCTTGCGGAAGAACATGAAAAATCCGATAGGAATTGCCAACTGGCAGCTCAAGGCAATCCAAAACCATGGCTTCGAGATCCCCTCCATGATACCCGCCGAAAAGTCAGGGAAAACATCACCAGGACCGTCACGATCTGGAGCACTAGCACTAGCGATTAAAGTCGTCGCCGTGCCAATCAACTGAGCCCCACACAGCGATGCTGCAATATGAATTCGTGTCAGTGTTTGCAGCAGCATCATGCCAAATCCGACACCTTGAATGGAATCCAAAACGCCCAGCCATAGCCATAGTACCCGACCGCCCAGGGCACTGCCGCGTGGACCACCCACAATCCATGGCACCCAAAGCCCAATACCGGAGGTACCCCAGAGCATCTGCGCCCATCTGGGAGCCCCAAGGCCAATCGCGAAAATTGGCAAAATCCACGAATGAGTCTTCGATCTCCAAGCCAGCAGTGCGAGAAGCACGTACCAGACGCCGATGAAAAATGTCAAAGTAAGTAATAACACCACCCAACCAGGCGCGTACTTGGAGCCCCAAAGGTAGGCCCAGTTGCGCGAGTAGGGCATACTGAGGAAATAATTTTGCAGCACCACTGATATTGAAAACCAGATTATGATTTTCCGGCGGAAAATGCTCTTGTAAAAAGCCGGAATCTTGCCTGGGGTTTGGCGGTAGTATTTTGGCAAACCGAGATAGAGCGCTACTGCTATGGTAAACAGTAGAGCGGCTATGGGTATCGTTATGCCTGCCGCAACACCCGGGGATGCAAAAGCTCCACGCTGGCCCCTTGTTGCCAATTCGGAGCCCCAGAAGAAAAGTGCCGCGACATATATATTCTGTGTTCCCTGAATGAGGCATGCGCGATAAACCCAGGATTCAATCTTTGAGCCCCCTGTCAAAAGTTAGCATAAGATACAACCGTATCGGTAGTCAGGTAGGTACTTACCGTCATCTCCAAAATTGAGAGAAAAAAACAAATATCCACTGGAAGAGCCAATGATATAGAATGCGGAGGCAATATGGTATGCCCAAGCTTGTCCTGAAATGTTGGAACTGAAACTGGCAACACCAATAATGGAAAATGCAAGACCGTAAAGAACAAAGGGCAGCGAGAGAATGTAGATTGATGGGATGCGTCGAAACGCGAACCACCAACCGCAGCTAGTGACGATGTATATACTTCCTAAAATGTAGAGAGCCGCGGGGCCGCTTCCTGATCCAGAGGTGAGTAAGGTTATCTGAGACGAATTGGCAGCCATTATCTGACCCAAAGCGAGTAGGATTGAGTAAATTGGCCAGTCCATGATTCGGGTTGATAGCCAGCGTTGGATTGCAGGCGGTCGTTGGAAATCCCCAGGCAGCAACATCTCCTGTGCTGAAGAGTCCTCCCAGCTGGATTCATTACCATCGAGGTCATTATCCAAGTCATTACCGGGGGATGGTGATCTTTGAGCTCCAAACAATGGCGAGGGCATGGGCGAGGGCATGGGTGACGGGCTGCGTGATCCGCGACCTAGCCTGACTTCACGCATATTGTCCGACCATTCTTTTTCACTTTGCACGATGAAATCCTCAATACACAGGTCGGTTTCGGAGTTTTTGCCATTCAATCGTTGCAACAAACCCTGGAAATAGCGAGAGTATTTTCCAGTTTCGTCCTTGAACGTGGGATCTGCATTCTCCAAGGAAAAACTCTGGCGCGTGCTTCTGATCTGGTCCAAGCTTAAGACCGAAGTCGACCTCAGTCGACCCCTTTGCGCTGGTGAGTAGGCCCGGCTTATCCCTAGACCTGTCATACCCGCATAACTTGATGCAGGACCCGAAACAGAACGACCGCGTCCATCCTGTTCCGCATCATCTGAAGCTCCCTGGTTGAGAATCGCCTCTGCCTCTTCCGTCGACATAGCCTGCTCATCTGGATCCGCAGTCTCCTCTAGCCTAGGTGTGAGCGCAGTACCCTCATGCAAGACAGTTCTTCTTGGTTGATGACCAGGACCAGACCGGACACCCAAAGAAAGAGTCCGGGTTGGGCCCCCAGCGGGAAACTCAGAACCTGAAGACCTAGGTATAGGGTTCATCTCTTCGAAATTCAGACTCGGGGTTTGCATCATGACTAGTGATGTCTGACTGAAATCTCGTTGGTGCATACCGCCAGCACGCGAGGAACCACGAGGCTTCCAACGAGAGGGGTCAGTCTGCTCTTCATGCATACGAATTGATCGCAATTGCAAGTAGTCGAGGTCTTCGACCCATCGAGCCACTGGAAAGCGTTGTTTGGCAGAGTTTGCTCTCATAACTGCGCGGTCGGCCTGCTTCGACCCGATGGCACTCTCAATTGCTGCTTTGAATTGCTTTTGAAGATGCTTCACTGTCATGGACTCGACGGGAAACCACCAGCCTGGCATTTGGCCTAGCCCACCAACTAAAGCCCCGACTCCAAGAGCACCTTTTCTCCCAAACTCAACCGCGACAAGGCCAAAGGGCTCATCACGCGATGGTATAAGAGCAAATTCAGCACCCGTGAAGATAAAAGGTGGCAAAGCAGTGAACTCGGGCTTCGAGAAGACCCGTCCGGGGTAGATGGTCATCATTTCCTGCAATTTCAGCGCGGCAAATTTGCCATACATATCGATGACTGGACCGACACAAATCAGCTGTACATTGGAATGTTTTTCCAACATGACAGGGAAGATGTCTGCGATAAGGTCGACACCTTTTTGAACTGACCACCGACCGACAAATACGAACAATTCAGCATTTGGGTCTATCTTCAACCCTGCCCACTTTTGTGCCTGGCAGCGGTCAGTTCCTCGAGAATTTTCGTACTCCGGATCAACCTTAATGATCTGACGAGATTCAGCCTCAGGATCCCAGGGCTCGGTATCGGAAGGATCTGGGTTAGGAAGTTTGCCGATCTCTTTCAGGCCCCAGAAAATCGGATACCGCGCGTAAGATCGATCACCATATTTGTTAGACACGCCAACTGCACCAAAGCCACGCTGGTGGACTCTGAGATAGCTAGCTCCAGCATGAAGAAGGTTGAATACTTCGCCAAACTGCACATACTTCCGGATGACCGGAATTTTCAGGTTGAACACCTCACTAATCTCATCAAGCTCTTTCTGTTCACGCAACGGCCAGAGTCCTTGAAACTCGGCATTGTGGAGCGACAAACAGCAGGGGATAGTGCGCGGAAGAAGATAGAGTGGTGCTATCGCCCCGTGATAATCGTTGATATGATAGATGTCGATCGGAAAGCGCTTGGCTGTCTCGGCAATGCAATTATTCCACGCACTGTAATATATTGCGCTTCGAAGATCGTCCATCCGTGGTGGATATGGCTCTGATTTGGTCTGCTGACGAAAGATAGGGGCATCCAGAAGCACATACGTAATGTTGCGTAGCTTGTGATATTGGACCTGAACTTCGTAGACAGTCCCGGCAATCGCGATGGACATGGGATCAGACGGTGTATCAGTTGGATAGTCAACTCCACCAACACAGGGTACCACCCATATGATGTCGTGGTGTGGAAGGTTCTTTCCCATCAACTGCGCCATGACTCCGAGCCCGCCGATCTTGATTTTGATGCTCCAATCTTCAATGTCGTACTCCAAAGTGGCCAACAGTACTGTCCGCTTTGGTTTCGGAATTGATGTTGCGGCCAAAGGGACAACCCCGAGTGCACTGACTTGTTTCACCTCTATCATTGAGGTCCCTGTATTGTCTTCGCCTTCAAGTTTTTTGAAGGCTTGACCGGGACGGAGGAAAGCCGGCAAGAAACCTAGATGAAGACTCTTACTCACGCCCGTGCGGTTGAAAGTGATGTGGTAAAAAGCGCCCATATATATCCAAATGCTGAGCCCGCCAGTCAACACCGGTATAACCCACAGCAGAAGATACAATATCTGTTGATGCAGCCCTTGTCCTACTGGAACAAGCTCAAATTGCATGTTTCCATCATTCAGTTCCATTTGGTAGGCCATATATGGCGCGGGTGGAAATCCGGTTATGTTGACAATATTGTCACCAACAGAAAGCGAGTCCGGTTGAAGGCGATTTAACCGACTGCTGTTTAGGGTATTTCCGAGTAAGAAAGTTTGGTCAAGCTTCTTGTCAGGGTTAATTCCCCAAACATTCACCTGGAATTTGGACGGCCATTCAGCTGATAGGTGGAATTTCCAAGCCTTTGTTTTGTCATCAAGAGAGAATGAATTCTTCAGTCCAGCATCTTGCCCATATTGATTGAAATCTCCAAAGACAAACAGATGAGGAAATCGCCTTGGAGACTTGTTTGCTCCCCGTAAGTCCATATGCTGAACATGCTGGCTACTTCCGGTCATCTTGCTCCAGTACTGCAAAATGACATGTCCACCTTCCCATTGCTGCTGTTTAGTGCCGGACCATGGCAGATTGCTGATTCGGCTTGGGGTTCCATCATAGGCTTCCCAGGGGCTCCAAGAGCTCTCCCAGTTGGTGGAGTAACGCCATTTATCTGCACCAGCAGCTGTGTGCTCCACGAGAAAGCCATCCGCGTCTGTCAACTCTGTGAGCCCGGTATCTGTATAATTTGCCAGCATCGGGAATATCATTGGGTTGTTTGTAGATCCAACGCGAAACATCAAATGATCGACGGAATTTGTAAATCTTGATTGCGTTGCCGTGGATGCATTCTGGACCGTCAGAGTATGAATTCCATGAGTGACACTATCCACAATAGCCTTCCACGACCATGTGGAAGGAATCTGACCCGGGTGTTCCACGGGCTCAGCTTGAACCATTGTACAGGAAACGCTGTCAGGATTGATCCTAGGAACGTTTCCACTTTGTGTTTTGGATGATATAATAATGCTCTTGGTGACAGTATCGCAATCCAGTCTTTCTGAGAACTGAAGCTCTACATCAACGCTCTCTCCTTCATCAATAGTAGCGTTTGATTCAATTCGAGCGTCGTATCCGGGGAGAAACTTGGTCATCACAACGGGAGGGGAGATCCATTGTGATGATGGAACATATGCGCGGAAGTCAAAGGGTTGGAAGGTACTTGGACCTAAACACCCATTGTAATCAGTGGAACCATGGATACCCAGTTTGATCTGACTATTTTGCAATAAAATTTCATCGTAAGGCGCCAGCAAATTCCTAACGGTGATTCCGCCGCTGAAAGGTGCCAGGAAGCCGTTGAACGCCGAGCTGCAGTCAAAGTCGTATCGAATCGAGCTGTTTTCGTTGTGATAAACAAGCCAAATTGCCGTTTCATTAGTCGGATTGAGATCATTCACGCCGGGATATTGATCACGAATGACACCCCACAGTCCAAGCTCCGTGATTGTGCCATTAGACCCTGGCAAGGTCACATTGTGGGTATTCTTGGACAAAGTCTCTAGATAAAAGCCATCTTCGAAGGTGGGCACGTTTTCACGAAGATGGTAGAAAGATTTGATAATATTGCGTACGGGATGGGTGGGATCCCGGTGGTCCAAGCCTACTTCATTGTCGTAGCACCCGGTCAATGCAGACTCAAGGGGAAAGTCATTATAGCTGCTTGAACCCAGTCCATAGCATCCTTGGGTCTGCCAGGACGGCGAAGAAGTCATCGGTTGCCGACCAAACAAGCCAAGAGGGCTGGTGCTGTCGAGGAGGTAGAAGTTTTGCTCTTCGCCCCAGAGTAGGAGAGGAATCCCAGGTAGATGTAGGGATGTGATAAACTGCCCCAATAACATCTTGGCTGTTCCTTGTCTGATAGAAGGCCATCGAAATGTATCCTGATTGGCTGTGCCCATCATGTGTCTCGGGTCAAACTTGCCGGTGTTCACATTGATGAGGTCATTGGATGTGAGAATGTCGTTCCAGGCGTCCACAAAGCCAATGCTAGTATCTCCTGGTGCTGTGTAGTTACCATCCAAGCCCAGGAACCTTGTGAGTGCTCTGTAGATACTGTAGTGGAATACTGCGCCATCCACAGCATGCCCTTCAGGCTCTCGAATGAAGTATCGATCGTCCGAGGCGTTGGTGAGAGAAATTGCTTCTGTCTGATTCTGCGGCCTCATCTCCGGCTCTCGCCCGCGGCCAAGATAAACCGACGCATATGAGTTGCCGGCTGTAAACTCGCCACTTATCAAGAAGTTATCCTTGCCTAGGCGAGAGGCGCATTCGCGAATCGCTCGAGAGGAACTTGCAAGTGCATCGACGCTAATTTGGCCTGCTTTGTCAATACGGAGTGCGTCGGTGTCCAGTGATGTTATCAACATGCAGGTAAAGTGCTCGATTTTTTCTCTGACGGATGGGACCCATTCACGAAGTCGATCCTGAACCAAGCCCGCTTTGGCGAGAGACTTTTTCCAGTCAGGTGCGAGGTCGACTGAATCTATGGCCCCGTACTGTTGTTGGCTCGGTCAGTTTTCTTATCGATGATAAAGGGGTTGGAAAATGCAGAACTGAAGGGTACTGACCATATCAAATTCACTGTCATAGCAGCCTTTGAGTTCATCGAAGAATGGGTCGGAGCCATTTTGAACGGGCATTCCGTCTTCAGCGTAGAAGGTAGGATATTTGCATTCTTGGTTATATTTATCCCCCGGCATGAAGTCGAAGTATCTCTCATTACCTTTCCAAGCTGGTTTGTATTCCAGCGGGTTCAAAGGCGCGGTACTGTTGAGAAAACCTTCAAACCCGAGCAAATCTGCCATACTGATCGCGACCTCATCAGTTTTGGTCTTGGCTAATGATATGAGGTGAACTTACGTGCCGTATGTACTATCGGTCATCACATACATCCCTCGCCTGTGGATCTCATCAATGGTAGATCTCCATTGCTGAATGGTGCCGTAGTGTCTATCCAACAAGCTATAGTCCAGTGGCTACCTCAAGTTAAATACTAATCAAGACATTCGGGCATTGTAACGCTTACCGAGTAACTATCTGATTTCCATGGGAAGTTCGTGAAGGGGGTGCCGGCGATGTAGATTCCCTAAAACAGACATCCATTGTTAGTCATTTTTTCCTTGCCATAGAAGGAACCAACTCACTTTGATGCCAATGCCTTGTATGTAGTCGAGTGTCTCTGATAGCCCGACTAAGTCGCCTCCAAAACGATATTGATTCGAAAACGTATCGGTCTCGAACACGGTGCCATTGATATCGTTATTTTCGGGGTCGCCATCAACAAATCGATCAAGGAAAAGCGTGTAGAAGGGAAATCGCCAGTTGGGAGGAGAGGGTTGGTAAGTATGTTCTGGCCATTTGCCCCAGTAGTCAAAAACATTCTTCGCAGTCTTGTTCTCGTTGAGATTCCATTGAGAAAATTGTGGGTCATAGCGAAGAGCGGATATTGATTGGCTCAGAAGAAGCAGTAGCAAGCCAGAGGCTTTCATGGTCCCGACTGGCAGGCTCCAAGCCTAGCTTTATTACAAGGAAATCGTTGAGGGAAACTCTGGTGCCTCTGATATGACATGGAATGGAGATAGTAGCGATAATAGGAAGGGCCTTTTTGAGAGGATTCTTATACTCAATGAAGCGGGCAGTGCATTCTAACTTTTGGTTAATACTCTTCGACATTGCAAATATCACCCAAACCCTATAAGGCGACCACCGGCAGATGATCTCACAAGCCTTGGAAGCCTTACCTGAGATACAAAGTTTTGGCAAGCTCGTACACAAGATTAAATGTACTCTTTAATTTCGTTCAGAGTACCTTGGCACAAATTTCTGCATGATATCTGACAGGCGTCATTGCGGTGAAGCCGTTACGAAGTAGCAAGTGACAAATCCGAAAAGGCTGTTTGATAGCGTAGTAAAATTCCAAATCCAGCAACAGAGTATGGTCAGAAAGCTACACATTGTGAGTTGATTCTTCTGTATTCGCTTTCCATTAGCCATCGATATGATACTTTCCGCTTCTAGTTCCTCACCCAGCCAAAAGGCTCGATTGAGTGGATAAACTCTAAGCATGACTTTAATTGCCACAGAATATAGAGTATGCAGAGCTTATGTGGCTTGTGGCTAAGCTAGTATGGTTGCCTGTTCCATTTATTGGCGAGAATATCAGCTTGTTTATACTATACGAACACGAGGACGTGGCTTGCATCTACGGTGATGCCGAACCGATACATTATTATTCATCATGGGCTCGGATTGTGGTGAGAGCAGCGATTTACTAATCATTCTTAGTCAGAAGTCTGTAAAGTCGATGGGTCGTTTCCGAAATTATGATTAGAATTCCCCGGACAATGCTCCCAGGTTGCAGCGCGCTTAAGAATCTTGAAACCAAAATGCCGAAAAACCAAAAGTTAGAGTTCAGATCATGTAGCTTATACTTGGCAAAACGAACACACTAGTACCACAACATGTGACAAAGCATGACATGCTCAATCAGGAAAGAAAGATGACAGAGATCGCGGGAAGAACTAAAGCAAAATAAATGAAGAACAGGAAGACAATAATACCTCACCTCCTATTACAGAGAAAGACAGGACAAAGTAGCGACACGAGGTGCTCGGGGATCACCTGGTCTGCCACCAATGTGCACATATCTTTTCAAACATATATGTAATCAATGAGGGGACCATAATATCATATGCCCCCCAGATGGAACAATTTTGTTTCTTCCACCCGGGCAAAGGGTTGTGAGTGTCAAAGCACGCAAAACATTAGAAAAAGTAAGCACGGGTAAGAATACGTCCATTGTGCAGGAGCCATGTAGGGCTGAAGTATGCATATGGTTTGTAATATAGTTTGCAAGGGCAGTTTTCTCGACAAATCAGAAGAGAAAAAAAAAACAAAAACATACAACAGTCAGGATTCGCATGTGGTCACCCACCATACTACTAACTAACCGGCGTGTGGCTTAAGTACGGCTGAGCGGACGGGAAGCCCTGTTCTCCACACCCTATGGTCGTATGTACCAGAATTCACTTCGAATCGAAATACATTGAGGATTATAGAATACTTGGTGGAATTAACGGAGCACGGTGGCTTTTATCGGATCTCGTAGGCCAGTCAGCTGAGCGGCCGCAGAAATATAAATCTGGGACATGCGGGCACATTGTCGCTTTAGCATTTCTTTTCTGCTCTGTCATTCATCAGTATCAAAACTATGCCGATCAAGAAAAGTATACAAAAGGCTCAAGTGCTCTGTTTAAAGAATTCTTCGTTGATGTTCAAATGTTTGTTTAGTATTATCACTATACTCGGAGTTTCCACTGGGCTCTAGATTACCCTCAAGATTACCCTCGTATGATATACTGAACGTGGTCGTGATGTGCCTACATCGTACGCCAGCAGCTGTTCGCGACTTGTGTCACCCTTCATTCATTATACGCCATAGCGCATCTTCGATTTTCTGTCTTTCGTCATTTCTTCGTCATTCTTTGGGTAAGAAATGTACTTGCTATCGTTCGTGCGGTTCTTTCGGTGGCAACAAGCTGTAAGACGAGCACTGATCAGCCTAGAAAGGTCTTCCAATTTTTATCAATCATGACATTGAGCCAGAAAGTATGATCGCCCTGATCATTCCTCCGCCACACTTCCTTTAAAAGTTGTGCGACGCGTGAGATAGGCTTTGACGGTAGCCTGCCTGCCAAAAGCCGTAGTCTCCCCATGGAAAATTCACGGAATCTGGCTATTTCCACGTCCCTGTGTGAATTGGTAGCACGGAGTTCAAAGGCGGCCGTAGCAAGCGGGAGTAATTGGACACATCGAACACCCGAATAAGTGGGGACTGATGCAAGTAGATTCAAGACGTGCATTGCTAGGCCAATGAGCCAGGAACTGGTCATATCGCTTCCGCTGTTTGGTTCAACGATGCCCAAATGAGGGAAAATTCCTAAATTCCCCGCGTTCAGTCTCCATTGAAGGACACCGGGAAAGACACGATATATCTGAAGTAGTGCTGCGCATCGAGTAGCTTCAGCTGAGACTATGAAGTCATTTTTGCGGGTAAACTCATCATGTACGTCTGCAATTTCATCCTCCGTGGGAATATAAACGGACAAGAGATCCTCTTCCAATTTCGTGGCTGAAGCCACCAGGTCCAAATCTGCCCCCGCTTGTCCAGCTGATATCGTGTGGTCTTGCACAAGACGCCCGACCTCAGCAAAGAGTAACATTACTCGAGGCGCAATGCCAGTCCATGGATGGGGTATCACGGCGGTAGCTAGGGGCCCAGCCCAAGGAAAGGTACCCGTGTCCGCTGTCAATGTCAATGCGGATCTCAACCCTTCGCCAGAAACAAAAGCCGCTACCATTTCCCAGTAGATCAAGGCTTCAAGGAAAAATCTGAAGTTCTGATTAGGTGGTTGATGGTGCTCCAGGCCTTGACTCACTACCCTTGCACGTATAAGGGATCTAGCAATGCTCAAATAAGACAGACCCAGGTCACTACTATCGTGCCAAGAGGCAGACACGCCCAGAAGTAGCGTTGCAAGGAGGAGTTGATCGCCCGTTGAGTGCGTATTTGAAGCATTAAGCAGCTCTTCGAGGAACGCAGCATGTGCCTTTTCTCGCATCTTGGAAGCCGTGACTTGCATGCTGGAAATCTGATTGGAGAGGTGGGCAGCTGCGTTGCTTTGGATGGCATAGTAAATTAGAGGGGACTTTTGCCAAAGAACCTCAATGGCGGTCCGGAATGGGTTCTTCTCCGAGTCGAAACATGACCACGTTGCGCACGTATCACGGAAGTAGTATTGGACTAGTGTCGTGGCTTCGTTTTCCAGCGATGGAAGTAATGGTGGATCTTCAATCATGTGGAAGTACCGAGAAACAAGAGACGACCACTCCGTCGAGTCATGTGACAAGCTGACATCCGCAATGCTCTCAGGTATTCTCATTAAATCAGAGATATTATTTTTATCAGCAGTCTGTCCGAGCTCCAAGTCATCATATGAGCTTCCATTCGAATTTCCAGTGAAATCGCTCGTTGTTGGCATATCCCAATCTCGTGCTAGGTCTATGGGATTCTCAGCCAAAACGTGCGATGGGCTTTGCCCGAAAAGAGAATCAATATCGACGGACGGAAATGAATTGGTCGTTGTACCCATCGTTTTGAAAGGGGATGGGGGCGATTCTTCCATAGTGAGGTCATCGAAGCCCTCGTTCGGATCATCCTGCACAGCATTGTGGTGTTGCCGTGAAGAAATACCGATTCTACCCTTCTCAGGCTGTTCATTCAAACCTGTCCTGCAGGGTTTGGGATGAATAGAGGAAGGGTTAAGTGGAGATTCTGGTGCGACTGGGGACTGTGACTCTGACTCCTTTCGACGACTGCCTTTTTCGTGTTTCTGAGACCATCGCACGGAGAGGTGGTAACGGCAAACAAGGTTCTTCCTCGTACAATTACCGCAGGAAGGTTTGGTTTCGTCGCATTTGCGCTAATAACAAATTAGCAAGCATTTTTGCGACATGTGGAAGATACTGAACCTTTTGTTCCTTGCATTTGGTACATCCTCCGCGACTTCTGGTGGAAGACACCCTCATACTCTTTCGAGCAGCTTGAAACCTCCAAGATCACCTAAGTCGCTCTTAGGGGAAATCTGGAAAGGCTTCTTTGTCGGATACAGTTGACGGGGCGTGTGAAGCTCGACGTCGGTAGTTGCAATCAAGAATTTTGTCCGCTTCCACCCAAATGTTGGGTGGCAGTGTGGTAGCCGCCGTCGGTTGACGCACCCCAGGCAAATGTGGGCCTAGGCTTTCAGGTGATCCTGCTAAGAAAGCCTATCACCGCCATAGAAAAGATGAAAATTGTACCAGCCAATGACTTGAGGTCCAATGAATGTGGGCACTCATATCGTACTGCGGGGAAAGATAGGCTTCATTGGCTGTCTCCACTTTCTAAAACGCCGTCACATTGGTCAGATAAAAATGTGGCTTTTTATTAATAATAGCAGTGATTAGCCAATAACCGAGCGTATCTTATCAACGAATAGGAAAGGAGATCCACCCAAGGCACCAAATGAGATCGAAAATGTGGAAAAGGTCAATTGGTTTACAAGTAATAAGACCTTCCCCGGTGGTAACATAAACACAGATCAACCACGCACTCATTCATCAAACAACAAAATAAGTATTTAGCTAGTCTCCACAGACTATTACCAGTTACGTGGCCCGAGGGCTTGGAATGTATTACTGATCCCCCTGTTCATGTCAAACAAACACCACCCGAGGATTCCAGAGCTGAATAATCTTCCTCATCTTTCCATTGCGCACTGTGAAGTGATTCTTCCACTTGGAGAGTATCTAATCCAGACATGATCTCACTGTTTGAATAAGTTAGTACTCTGTTAGCCATGCCAGTACAGGGATAGACTGGGAGCAAAAAGAACTCACTCGTCTGTGGCAAGAACCTCAAGGCCAGGAATACAGTCCAAGCCAGCAAAAATCAGATAAGAGACTCCAAATGTCCAGGTAAAGCCAATGGTAGCTTCGATGATCTGAATAAAGACCTGATGGAAGTTGCCGTCGATAAAAACGCCGCCGGCAATTTCGGTCGTTCCATCAAAAGCAGCCACTCGTTGACTGGCAAAGAGACCAGTAGCAATAGTCCCGACAAACCCTCCGATGCAGTGCGTGGCAAAGCTATCACCATTATCAACCCACTTCAGACGGCGAGCCAAAGCAGTGAACTTGAGTCGTAACGCTTGACGACAGACCAATGCTCCAACAATGCCGAAGAAAAGGGATGTTGTCATGCTGATGAATCCAGCCGCGGGAGTGATCATAACTAATCCTGAAATTGCCCCGAGGAAGGTAGAGTCCAAGGAGAATTTACCGCTCTCATAATACGTGAGTACATTCCAAGTTAAGGCTCCGGCAGCTGCACATAGGTTGGTAACACAAAGAGCATGGACGGACTTGAAGTTGAAGCTCAAGGTGGTGCCAGCGTCAAATGCAAGCCAGGATCCCCATATAGTGACTAGTGATAACAGCTGAGAAATGGTATTGTGTGGTTTGTGGAGTTTCAAATGCGAAGGTGTCCGAACATTTGATTTTCGCGAGCGAAAAAGAGGATGTGAGAGGTAGACGGAAATCGCAGTCGCAGTGGCACCACTGCAGATGTGCACAGGGGTACCGCCGGCAAAATCGAGGACGCCCATTTGGTTTAAAAATCCAGATTCGGACCATACCATGTGGGCCAGCGGGCAGTATACAAAGGTGGTCCAAAGCTTTTACCCGGGTCCATTAGCCAATGATACTATATGGCAGCGAGCGCCATATTTGGAGCGAATTTCAACTCACGAAAAGAAAGGGGATCAAGGGAAGCAGTCTGCCTCGTTCACAAGATCCTCCGATGGCAATTGCCGCAACGGTGGCGGCAAAGATAAGCTGGAATTCACTGAATAAGATGGCTGGAATGGTGCCCACCGGCTGCGCAAGCACGCCTCGATGGAAAGCATATTTCAAATCCCCGATGAACCCATTGCCTTCTCCGTAAGCTAGCGAGTAGCCCAGAATGTACCACTGGAGGGATACACAGATGACCGCCAGCAATGCGGGGAAGAAAGATGCTAAGGAATTATGGCGCGTTGAGTACCCCGAATAACCAAGGCCGACAGCTGGAATGATTCCCCAGCAAATAACACTGCAGATTACCACGAAGAGAGTATCCGTTTTGTCGCAGTTCTCCCAGTCGGCCAGCACTTGGGCGTCCATGGTGACAGAGCAGAGGTGTTTGCAAGAGTCCCACCGGGACGCGATGATTACTGATCAGATAAGAGGACGCGAAGAAGCTAGGCTGACAGGTGCGAATGGAGTGAACATGTATACTAGAAATGGATCGACCACCAGTCGCCGAGAAAGGAAGGTATATGCGGCAAGATAAGGCATGATAAGATAAGAGTTGGAAATAATCAGTTGCAGGTCCAGAATGCAGGTCAGCTCACCCGTTCTGAGAGTTCACCTCACCGGTGGGTCCACGCTAAGGTCACGTGCCAGGCAGGTCAGCTCATCTTTCCCCACTTTTATGGTATTTATCGCAGTTTTCATCCAATCAATCTAGTGTAACACTGTAACTATATGTAATAGATAACGAGAGCTGGAGTTCAGCCCACCTATGGGTCTGCGCCAAGGAAAACCACGTGACTGGACCCACTATTTCAGGTGTCTGAACTTTTTGTACCGGTGAGCTGACCTGTAGTCACTTTGTTTTGCCGAGGTGTTACTCTCACAGGTACGTGAAGTACTGTCGACTTTTCTTATCTCAGCCCTATCTCAGCTTCGTATCGAGACCGTGACGTCGTGTGATTTGTTCTCACTCTAGACGCGTGGGACTTACGCCGCGCGATATTGACGGATTTTGCCCGCCAAGTATGCTTTCGCTTACCTCACCGCTAGAGGTTAGGGGCCGAAAAGGTTACAAACATTGTATTTTGGTATCACACGTCATCCCGACCTGATGAAGTTGATCCTACAAAATAAAGATCACGAATCAGATCAAAAGAGGTTGGTTATTTATTGAAAAACTCGCCCTTCGTTCATATACTATATGGTGGCGCATTTGAGCCCTCTGAAATTTGCTATTCTTCGGGAAAACCCTCCTTCCAGCCCCTGTTTTATATCATGTGCATGTCATCTTTCTTCGAATGCCCATCGAGTACAACTATTAGCTATAATATCATGAGCTGGTTTCTAAAAAAACTTTCGAAGAAAATAACTCTGTCTTCATTTGATTTTACTCTCTTAAGTATCATGGCTCAGTCCCTCATCCTGGAGGAATCCTAGTGGCTTAGATCCCTGTCTCAAAAGCCCACATCGCTCTCAACTAGAGCTGCAGCTCGGTTGACCCAGTCACACTGGGGCGGGGCTTGTCCTTTCCAACTTCAAACGGGCTTCGTTCCCCCTTGAACCAGTCAATTTGACATCAACTCGATCTCCAGCTCGCTCGCTGAGTGTGCTTCAAGAAATAGCCTACAATGAACGCGTCCCCTTCTGACCTAGTACTCGATAGCCGAATCCAAGTTGAATTTAGCGGCAGCGTCACATATCGATTTTCCACCCAGTCCAGCGTGTCTTCCACCCAGTATTTGAGACGCAGACCGCGAAAGGACGCATGGCAGGCGGTAAAGATACTTGGATGTGGATCGTATGGCGCTGTTTCTCTGCATAAATGCGTGACCAACGAGGGCAAATCAGAACTACAGGCCGTAAAGATGATTGAGAAGGCCTTCGTTCCTCAGGGCGGCGGCTATTTCAAAGAGCTAGAAGCGATCGCGAAATCCTCACAGAAAAAGGTACGACATGCTTGCGTCCAACAACCCGACGTACCAAGCTACTTTGAGCAATTCGTGCTTACATTCTGATGTAGTACGAGGGTCTTTTCGTTGATTTCATAGGATGGTATGAGAATGACGAGTCTGTGTTCATTGTTATGGAGTATATGGAACATGGCGATCTGGATTCGCATCTCAAAGGGCCGCTGCCCGAGAAGGAAGCTCGGGAGATCACGTTGCAGATAACGGAAGGCCTGAAATCCCTCCACGAAAATGGATTTGCTCACCGAGACCTCAAACCTGCGGTAAAACAACTTCTTCCAAAAAAGGAAGGAATTTTTGCTAACAAGAGCAGAATACCTTCGTCCTTTGCAAAAGCCCTGATTGGTGGGTCAAAATCGGTGATTTTGGCATCAGCAAACGTGTCCATGAGAAAAGCGGCCTTCAATCATCGGTTGGATCACCGACTTTCCTTGCCCCTGAAATGCAGATGGTTTATTTATCTGACATGAATGATCATGACCCCGTGCTCCGATATACAGAGAAAGTTGACATATGGGCGCTTGGTGTCATGGCGTTCTATATGGTTTTCCACGAGTATCCATTCTCCCCCAGGAGACCCACCTCTCTGCAACAATATATACAGGGAGAAGATCTACCCTTCCCAAAAGCTCCACGGTCGGAAATTAGCGAATCTTGCAAGAGCTTCATCAAGGCTGCATTGGCCCCGAACGTGTCAGAAAGATTATCAGCGAACCAAGCCACTGAAAATGAGTGGTTGAGGCGCGCTGACAGTCTATCTGCGGAAATGACAGGCTTGAAAATAGAAGAAGACAATTTTCCGGGCAATGCTTCAACGGAGGTATCACCAAGCGCACTGGGGCCTGTACAAAAACCGACTTTCAATGACTATAAGGATTACACTACGTCTTCTTCACATGAAGCCATACGAGCGCACGTACTGTTCAATAGTTCGGAACCGTCCCATGGAAAGAAATCTCCTTCCCCTGCAAGAAAATCCGATCGGGTTGAAAGTCTATTTGACTCCTCGCTTGACGAAGATCCGATAGGAATGCAATTAAAAGAATTACAGTCTCTTCATAGCCTAGGGGTGCAGCATTTTCGCCAGAACGACTTCAAGAAAGCCGAGTCTATGCTTCGAGGGGCAGCCCAGGGACGCAAGCAGTTGCGGGGATTGAAGTACCAGGAGACTCGCAACACATACCATTGCCTGGGCGTCCTTTACTACCATATGGCCAGGTACTCAGAAGCCAAACAATTGTTTCAGTGGGTACTGGAATACCAGGAAAGGCTGTTTGGCCCGAAGGGTATATCCACGCTCAAATCTCGTTACTGGATTGGAGTCTTGACAGTTCAAGAAGGATATGGCAAAGAAGGGATGTCTATGTTGCAGCAAGTAATGCATCTTCAAAAGGATATTCTCGGGCCAAGTCACCCAGATACTCTTCTTTCACGTTCTGTAATCGAGCAGCACAAACCTCAAATATTGGCAATGGTGTCGCAAAATCCCTCCTCTTCCCGGCCTTTGGAGGCGGAAATGGAAAGGGCCACAAGGTTCATGCAGCAATCTATTTGGAAGATTGAGCCGTTGCTTCGACGATCCGCTACCGGTGCGAAGAGATCTTCGAAGACGCCATGGAGAGCAACTGGCCTGTATGGAAGTTATACACGTCTTGTCATAGTGAGGTTACCAATCAGCTCTCCTCAGCCTGTACCGAATTTGAAGCCAAATGATTCAGACTCATCGAAAATTGAGACATATTACCGCACCATGGCTGAGCTTGGTCAAAGACTGCATGGACAGGAATATTACAATGCCGCTCAAGGCCATCTTGAAGCGGCAGTGAGTGGGCTCCAGAAAACGTTGGGACCAACACATGCCGATTCCCTCGATGCTCTCTATTGGCTTGGCCGCAATCGATATGAGCTACGCGAGTATCAATCTGCCGAACCAATTTTTAAAGAATTGCTACACGGGCTCATTGAGACCCTGGGTAAGAGCGATAGGAAGACATTAAATTCTTTGCATGCGATTGGACACGCTCTTTCTAAGCAAGGAAAGTATCAAGAGGCTGAATTCGCCTTTCGTTCTGCATTTAAAGGGCTGGAAAAGATAAGCAATGTATGTGACCAAGGTCTAGTGCACACCCTCTTCCAGATTGGATTAAATCTACACATGTTAGGCTATTCCAAACAGGCCGAACCAATTCTCCAGGACGCTCTGAACAGAAGAAACTATTTGCTAGGACCGAGAGCTGCAGACACAATCGAGTGTGTCTTCTGGCTTGGATGCGTTCTTTTCGATCTCAAAAAATACTCCGAATCTGAAGAAAGTTTTCGTCGAACTCGCACACTTAGGCGAGAAATCACAGACATGGCAACGAGTCACTGGCTAGGGCTAGCCATGTATTGCCAAGGAAAGTACGAACAGGCCATACCATTCCTCCATCGAGCATTTTCGTTACAAAACGATAGACTTGGAAAAAATGACCTGAATACGCTGAGATCCTCCTACTGGCTTGGTTTGGCGTACTATCACCAAGCTAAGTATGACGAGGCGGAGCATCTCCTTTCGGAGGGGATGACAGGTATGGAGATGCTACTCGGGTTATCAAATGAAGATACTCTGGACTGTCTATGTTGGTATGCAGAGGTCCTTCAAGAACAGGAGAAAGACGAGTTGGCAGGGTTGGTCCGCCAAGAGTTAGCGCATGGCCACATGCTGTTGTTTGGTCTCGAGTCTCCAAGAAGTCTACTGATGATTAAGAAATGGGTCTTCTCACGGGAACCCCAGGAGAAGTACCTTGGAGCAGATAAATTTTTCCAAGAAAAAGGGCTCTAAAGCAGCGGACTCCCTACTTATAATATTAATAGTGCCAGAATTATGACAAACGCTCGACGGGTCCTATTCGTACTAACGAATGTAAATCAAAGTAACTAGTTCCCATAAGTGCTGCAGCGATATCAAAATATTTGAGAGAATCCAACTATATCCAGCACATCAATATGTATATTATATATTGTTCCGGTGGATCATTTATAAAAGACCCTCGTGATATATTGGTGGTCGTGGAAATTTTCTCCCTATATGGTAACATACATATTATCCAATCATCAATTGACCAAGTCGCTTTCAGACCACTCCATTTTGGCTCAGTCGCGATCAGGAAACCCGGAAACCTTTGAGGAATGGCATAAATTTAGTAAGCTTCTGACATGCAGCTTCCTGATCTTGGAGGGGGTTGTCTTCCCTGCGGCCGGATGCTTTATGCATCCCGTCCTCTTTCCTATTTCACAAACTCTCGCCCGCTCGGGAGCATTTGGCTGTCCGTGTGTTCAGATCCTGACTCTCCAGCATTATATATTCCTATTCAAAGTTATATCTGGTACATACGACCATAGGGTGTGGAGAACAGGGCTTCCCGTCCGCTCAGCCGTACTTAAGCCACACGCCGGTTAGTTAGTAGTATGGTGGGTGACCACATGCGAATCCTGACTGTTGTATGTTTTTGTTTTTTTGTTCTTTGGTAGAGAAGGTCCCCTGCTGCCATTTCATTTGAGTCTTTTAGCTGAACACCCGAAGCCCCTATATTCTTCACCCGAACACCCACCCCGCACAACCTGAAGCGCTGACGTGTCGATTCTTGCCAGATGCTGCATTTTGTTGGTCCTATTACAAATTGGCTTTCCAAAGACTGAATGTTGTGTAAGAGGGGCTGTAGACAAGTTAAGTACTTGGGGATGTCAGTGTGATAAGATACCGGAAGACCTTTCGATCGTGAAATAGAGTGATGAATAATATCGGAGAGGTACGTAGTGTCGGCGTAAGGCTGTACTCGACGTGAGTGCCCGTACCGGTTTGAATTGTCCCTTGAGGGCTGTTCAGGTCCAGAGAAGCAGGATTGAATCGTCCTGGCTCGGAACTAGATGGCCTATAACCTATGTATAGACATATAGGGAAGAGGTGCAGAAGGTAAGAGAGTATGTCATATTCCGAGAAAAAGAAGTGAGAGTGCTGATTGACTAGTATAACCTATGTACGACTGGATAGCTTCACTTCAATGCCACTTTGTCGCACAAAAAAGCTGTTGTGGGTTGACCATTCCCTAGTTGGATCGACAAAGCGAATATCATAGCGAGAAATAAGGGTAGCAAGAACCTTATACACCTCAACGAGACCTAAATGCTTACCGATACAGATACGACTCCCGCCTCCAAAGGCTAGGTCCGTATTATTCATAAGGCGAAGACGTTGCTCGAATTCTTCTTCGGTCTCCACTGTCTCGTCGCGAAGCCATCGCTCAGGGCGGAATATGTCAGCATCCTCGCCAAAGACTGACTTGTTTCGCCCGATAACGTAAGGATTCATTCCAACCACGCAGCCGGCTGGGACATGACGTCCATCGGGGAGATTGAGACCTCCTTTGGGTACGTATCGTTCAAGAAGCATGGCAACGCCGGGATGGAACCTTAATGCCTCACGGACAACTGCATTCAAGTATGGAAAATTCCTGGAATCCTTGTAGGAAGTCGCCGGAAATGATGACTTGGAATCGTGGGCAGGGATTTCTGACCTGAGGCGCTGCCAGACACTTGGTTGTTTTAACGAGTAGTATAACGCCGCATTAAGGGTGATAGCCGTCGTGTCCGCTCCAGCAATCATAATGACCATCAACCAAGAAATAATCAGCGTATCATCGACAACGTCTGGATGATTTTCTTTTGCTTCGATAAATTTGTCTAAGAAGTCTGGCTTCTCCGAGTCGTGGTATTTGGCGTCACTGCCCTGGAGACGGTCCACTAGATGTTGGATCGAGATATTGGTGATGGTACCGAAAGAGGGTGGCCCAAGCTTATAGATTGGGTTTTTGTCAAGTAGATGATCGAGGATCGGCATCTGTCCAACTAAGGAGAAATAATCCATAGCAGTGTTAGCTGTACTGAGAGTGTTGTCAAAGTCATAGCCTTTTTCTAGGTATCCGATCGGTTGACTAAATGTAGCTTGGCCAACGACGTCCCACGTATCTGCGCACGTTTAGTTTCAAATAACGATGGCTTCCTCGCAGAATTGGATCGTCGGAGCCAACTTACAGTAATTGATCCATTCTCCAAGGTCGCATACTTGGGAAGAATTTGATCCGTCCACAAACTTCTCGTCTAAGCGTTGGCAAAAATACTGGATTATGTTGTCGATGTGGGGCTCAAGCGTGAGAATTCCATTCAGAGAAAAGTACTTAGAGACGGGCCTTTTCTGTGCTGAATGGACTTCTGGCTTGCATTCGCTGAAAAGATTATAAATGATCTTTCCGTTATTCACAGCACTGCTACCGTGGTAAAACTCCGTCTAGAAAAAGATTATTAGCTTTAACTATCAAGGGGGGCTTCAGATAAACTCATCCGCCGAAGTAAGATATACTTACTTTGAGATAGTCCTCTTTGGTGTTGTAAATAGTCTTGACCAACTCAGGAATATCTAGGTCTAAGACGTTGGGCGCTATCCGCACCACAGGACCGTACTTTTTGTGTAGCTCTTGGATCACCAAATGATATTTTCCTCGCCGGACATGATACATTCGCCACAGGTTGGTCCATCCTAGAGGAGAGAGGTGTCAGATAAAGAGACGAGTGGCTTTAAGAGACATTGGACAGAGTAGGTACAAGCTAGCTTACCGGCAAGAAATGGGCCAGGAAACTGGCCCAAGGGAGAAATTAGGTACGATGCCAAATACCATAGGGGCAAAACCGCCGCAGTGACGTATACAAGCCCTGTAATCTGTCCTATAAAGGTACTGAGCTCTAGCATTATTGTATGATTTCAAATTTGTGGTCGTGAATTATTTGACCAAAACGAAGATTTGCGACAAAAGTGTGAGTAATTTTGGGAGTAGTTGCAAGCTGACAGCCTCGAAGACTACTTGAGAAAATGGATCATTCCCAGGTTACAGTACATATAGCCGGTGTGAGCGGGGTTGCAACAAGGCATACCTGGGTGGGGACTTTCACTGGCGCTTACGGCGTTGTCGATCTAGGCCAACATTCCACCTTGGATGCGTCTCAAGTTACACAAGCTATCAGAGCTCGAGATGTGGCTGCCACTTCTGCAGGCAGCGGGTTACCCGAGCCAATGATAAGGAGAGGAAAAGGAGTGTAGGCGAGGCAACGGGGCTTGGGAGAACGCTGTGTTTCCCCTGCCCACCTATCGATAGCTGACATGTCAACTGCATGGACCTTGATCGCCAAGGTTCTCATGCCCATTACGCCCACTGTCACACAAATTTAAGCCACTGAGGTCAGTAGGACTGTCAGCCGCCACCTGCTCTCAGTAGGAATACCTCCCTACTTTAATTATTAGTATACCTTACTTCGCACAGCTCTCTTCACTACCACACCGCTTCTCATACTCAGGAGGTATGTTGGCGAAAGGCTACTACGAGCAGTGAGCCAAGCGATTGTAGTGCAACAGCTGGGGTTGGTTCATCTTGTTTCGCCCACATTCTGTCTGACCCAATCAGGGCGCGGGGATTCTTTAGCCGAAGAAGGTGTACGAACAGTCTCATCTTAGCTCGCTTTTCTCGCTTCAGCGTTGATATTCTTCGTTTTACACACCGATTTACATTTTTCTGTTGTACCTTAACCGGTGGCCAAGGCCTACGACAGTGGTGGTCATCAGATTCCCCCTGAGAATCTAGGCAGAGGTCAGCATGGAAATACTGCGGTGCGATGACGCAACTATCACCTATCAGGCAGTCTTTGCCGGCAACACTTGATAATTAGGCAATCGCTACCTACCATTTGCAAATACATATATCCAGTACAAGTCTCGCACAGTGTTTATATCGCTTAAAACCTGAAATACATAATGGTATATACCCAAGTGGGCGGTGAGATGGGGACCCAAGCAGAAGTACTGGCTCCGAGGGCCTCCTATGTAAGCTGTAAGGGTGGTTACGCGAACTATATAATCCATAAGAAAATTGAAAAGCAAATCAAGATCCATTGGAAAGCAGATAAACGAAACCTGAAAGGAAATCACATAACCACGTCAATTAAAACCCATTGAAAGAATACGATATCCAGAGCCTTCGAAAGCAATTGAAGTAGGACTAAAAACAAAACCCAAAAAAAACCAAAAAAAACCAAATAATTTCGCAGATGGAAATGAACCAAAAAACCTTGGTGTCTACGGCGTTGATCGTTTCCTTGATATCATCGAGAAAAATATCCGCTCGAGTGATGTAGGTGATTTTTTCCTTCTCACAACCCGCAAAGACCACAGTAATATAGAGGCGTCAATATTCTCGACCAGCCGAAAGGAAAGAGATCATTGGTATATTATGGCTTCCAGTTCAGGTAAATCCGTAAATTGGACTTAGTGTTAGCAATAGCGCGGTTCTATAGTAGAGACTAGCGAAGTTACAAGCTTAAACACCAGCTGGCGAAGTGAGGTTGCAGAGCTGTAAGATTGAATGCCAGGGCAAAACACAATAAAATATTATGAACAGCTACCCTAGCTGTTATGATATAAATCCATTCCACTATACAGGCACTCAAAGGCATAGATATTACATAAAGCACATCGGCATAGAGAAATTGTCACCAGGTTGCTCCGAAGAAACTTCCACCATTAAATAGCATCCACCTTCGGACAAGCCATCACGCTCACAGTATTTTTGATAGTCGTTGTGCGAGGGCCACGAGCATCAGTGATCTGGGTCGGTGCCGCGGTTACCACCGGCGAATCACCGGATCCATTATCGGTGGCCGTTAAAAGGGTCGGGGTGGGAACCTTGTCCAAGGTCACAGGGTGGGAATAGTCTGAGCACCAACCAATAGTCTTAGGCACGATTCCGGGCTTCACATGTTCAGAGGTAAAAGTGCTGGCGGTGCTGGGTGACGGAGCAGGAAGGACGTGGGAGTGATGATGATGATGATGGAAAGGACGGGAGCTGGGACCGGTAGGGCTCACCGTGACATAAACGGTAGACGCCGCAGCGCTGGGGCAGGTGGAAGTGGTCGACAATGGGGTAGTGTCCACACATGCCGTGCTATTGACGGGGTCCGAGACAGTGAACTTCTCTCCCTGTGCGTAGATGATGTAGACGTTGGTGCCGTTGATGCCGCTGATCTGGTAGCCCCATTCGGGATTGGTGTCGCAGGGGATTTGGACAGAGTGAGACAGATCCGACGTAGGAACGTCTACAGCCAGCGGAACATAAGATGGAGGCCAGGACACAAAGTTCCAAAGATAGAGACTGAAGTTGGTAGGATCGGTATCGACGCTGGTCCACTCGACGGTGATGGTGGACCCGGCTGCGTAGGTCGTGTTGGCAGCGGGATTGGTGATTTCAATGGCAGCGGCAAGCGAAGCGAACGAGGCGATCAGAGGGATCACGGAGCGCATCATCTTGATTCTCGTATTCTTTTGCTATATTTGTTTTGCGGAGAATATGATGTCGGATCTCCACTATCGGAGAATACAGATAGAGAAAAAGAAAAACAATAATGTTTGCTGAAAGGTACTTTCAAGGAGTGACTGATGATGATCCAAAAAACAATGATTGACGAGAAAAAAAAAGAATGACTGAAAGTTGGGATAGGAGCTTCGCCAATTGACAGGCAGGAATTGGGTCCACGAGGGTATAAGTACACAATTGCGGGGGATTGCCCTAGAAGTCCTCGGGAAATAAGTCAATGATCGGAAATTAGATGGCTTCGAGTGGTTCCTACCGTAAGCCTCTTTGAACGATCGTTGATCCGGATGTTCCCAGTGATTGGTAGTGTTCGAGATGATTTGTTGGGTCCGTGCCCGGCTATTTCCTTGGCTACAACATAGCTCGGATTAGCTGTACATAACGGGCGAGGTGTTCAGTCCGCCCCCCTATACCAGACATTCGCCGGTCGTTATCCTCAGCCATTAACACGCCACATGGTACGGAGTCCCACGCTCTGCTCAACATCTCGCAAATTGCCAGCCACCCAGATCCACAACTGTCTTTCACTTTCCCATGTGTTCGGATCCGATGCGCTAGGTTCCTTGGACCGAGGCCCCAGCTGCACGACTCTGGACCCTGCGTCGAGCCCCAGTTTAGATCTGCTGCCCCACAGCGTGCACTACGGCCACCAACTGCCCATCCCGCTGTCCCCGCAAACCATGTACGCTGCGCCCAAGACGGCAGTCGCCAGCCAAGGGTCTGCCTCTAGTGCTCCTCCGGCTCCGTTGCAGCGGACATACAGTTTGCACTCTTGTCCTCGCATCGAGTACGAAAGTGATTATGGCAACCTCCCCTAGACCAACTCATAACTTCAAGATTAGAGACCTTCCCTTTGCTCTACTGCAATTGACTTTGATTTGCTTTGTTCTAAAGGATATATTCACTGACAAAGCAACTGACAAAGAAACTCAAGGAGCGTATCGCACAATACATCGCTTTGGACTTTTGTTTGAATGATGAACATCGGTCTGTCGTATGCGAAATCCATTTCACTTGCCCTGCCAGAGATACTCCTTGTGCAAAGAAAGAGATGTGGGTATAGTTGAGTCACTTTGCATTGTGAACCTTCTTTCATTACATAGTGTTGCCATCTTTGGAATCCCTCCAAGCCCTGTCAAACTCATTCCAACCGCCAGGCGGTGCATCCCACATGGCCAGCTCACGAATCACTGTCTCGTAGCATCCATCGTTGGGCATATTACCCTGACAGACATTTCCACCAACAGCGATGTTGATAAGGATTCTGAACTCACTCATCTTCCTCGTGCCAGGCGGCTTCTCGGCTCTCATGATGGGCCTGCCATCAATCAGCCAGACCAAGCGTCCCCGGCCCGTTGTTTCGTCCTCGTCCCAGATAAAATCGTATCTCACTCCCGCCGGTGAGCTAATGTTGGGGATGGGGGTTTCGAGAACGCGATGCTTGTTCCAGTCGTCGCCGTTGAAGTGGCCCCAATGCAGACAAGTGTGATTAACAGCATCGCCGTTCCAAGCTTCCATTATGTCGACCTCGCCATCCTCGGGCCATTTGAAGGGGTCTTTAGGCAGCAGCCAAAAGGCAGGCCAAATACCTCGGGCCACCGGTGCCGTGATTCTGGCCGACAGACAGCCCCGTGGTCGACCGAGGGTCTGGTGACTCGACAGTCTGGCGCTGGTAAACTTCTGGGCAGGGTCGGGGTGTCCGTGGTTGATCAGAGCGCGCACGATCACCGCATCACCCTGGCTTGAATGGAATGAGTTTTGCGGGCTGTCGATGTAATTCTGCGACTCATTGTTGCCCCATCCATGTTGACCCTGTTCGTGGTAGAAGTTGGAGGATACCGGTGCCTGAGGATGTAAATTGGGCCGCCAGTAGATCTGGGGTTGCGAGTACTGTTCCTGGTGAGCTAGTGATGGTTTGCTAGAGGTTGGAATAGGCGGTGGGGGCCTGTTGTAAGACGGTTGCGGCTCAGGTGCACGATTGCTAATATCCTCCCAAGCCTTGTCTGCCTTATCGAGAATGCCCTGGAGTGCCTGTCTGAATGGCATGTTGAGTATGAACCTGGTATGGATGTTAAGGTTGCGCGAGTCGCGAAGACGCGGAAAGAACAGTAAGCAAAGCTGACGTCATGTTTGGGAATTCCCGACAAGATCGAATTCTTAAACTCCTTAAGATACATTTTCATAGCCTTTCGCCATCGTACTTCAAAAAAAATTTGCTCCCTTCCTGCGACTATGAAGATATAACCAATGGACACTTTATGCCTCCATGGGCTAGACTAAGATCAGATCGAGTGAAAGTTGGGCCCAATCAGCTGTATGTATCACATGACCAATATGATAACAAACCGATAAGGATCGTATGGTTTCAGAATGCAGGTCACCTCACCGGTTCTGAGAGCTCACCTCACCCGTTCTGAGAGTTCACCTCACCGGTGGGTCCACGCTAAGGTCACGTGCGAGGAGGGTCACCTCACCGGTCTCCACTTTTCTGGTATTTATCGCGGTTTTCATCCGATCAATGTAGTGTAACACTGTAACTATATGTAATTGATAACGAGAGCTAGAGTTCAGCCCACCTATGGGTCTGCGCCAAGGGAAGCCACGTGATGAGACCCGCTATTTCAGGTGTCTGAACTTTTTGTACCGGTGAGCTGGCCTGTAGTCACGTTGGTTCTTATCTAAATCTAGTCAGTTATCAGCTAAGTATTCACACCAAGAAGTGTCTTTTAGTAAGCGGTAAGCACTCGCTTAGCCTTGATGTAGAACCGTTCTCTAAATGATCACTAAGCTCCAGTTTTAGTGAGAATCTAGCAGCCGGCGCATTGCTGGGTGTGGTTTCTAGTGCCTCAGGCACTAAGATTATGCAAACCCTACAAACCTCTCGGTAGCGCAGCAAAAATTTGGCATTAATCACAAAATTAAAGATCATTAGCTCCTTATATTAGGGCTCTGTAGTGTGCTAAACTTAACGTTAGTCACATCATTGCACATTTTACATTCGACATAATCAATATTATCACCAGCACGGGCCTCTTTGCTCGCATTATCGCCAAGTATGGCAGAAACATGCCCGCAACACCCTGCAACGGAACTCTCCAAAGCTGAGCGCTTCAAAGCTACGCACCTCGCCGCGCGCCATGGCAACTACCACCAATATTATGCTAAGTTCCGGGCGCCCACCGTTCCGGACGAGCGCCTTTCAATTCTCCCTTCAGATATCCTCCGTAACGCCCGTGTCTTAGACCTGGGCTGTAACGCGGGCAAACTGACCTATGAGGCGATGGCGCATTGCGGCGCAGCCGCCTCCGTCGGCGTCGATATCGACCCGTGGCTGGTCGAGCAGGCAAAGGCGGCGTACCCGGATGGGCCATGCACATTTGAGCATTTTGACTTTGTGGATGCGTCCGCGTACACGGGTACCGCGCTGGGCAAGTTCGACGTTGTGCTACTGCTCTCTGTGACTAAGTGGATACATCTCAACAATGGAGACTCTGGGATGTTGACGCTATTCGCGCACATACACAGTATATTGAATGAAGGGGGCTACCTCATCGTGGAGCCGCAGCCTATGAGCAATTATGCCAGAGCTTCAAAGAAGAACAAAGAATTGAGAGAGATGTATAAGACGATCCAAATCAGGCCACCATTTGAGGATGAGCTGAGAGCGCAGGGATTTGAGAGGATACTGAATTTTGAAAGGGATGAAGAGGGGTTTGCTAGACCCGTACATGTTTGGAAAAAAGTATTATAATATGAACAATGAAGACGGCTTGAAATGAGACGGGCGAATTGGCGTGCATTGAAAAGACGTAGGCTTTCTAGTTGGTCAGTCAGTAGGTAAATAAGCGACAATCGATGTATATTTGACGCTGTATTACTTGGAGAAAGTGAGACTAAGATTTGTGGATAGGTTGGCGCACAGTAGTTAGCGTCTTGATGGCCTAAACCTCGGAAAGGTCCGACCTAGATTCCAAAACGTGGAAATTGAACTGGGGCCGAACCTTCGTGGCCCAGCTCTAACCTTGCTGGATCGATTTGCGACACTTGTTTTAAAGAATCGGCACGTAATACCCCGGTGGTACCGAATTGGACGGGATCTAAAAGTCGCCATCTATTTAGAGGTCTATTGTGTCTCAGCTAAGCCAACCTAGTCCCGTTTAACTTAATCAAAACGCTTCTTTCCTCCAATTTAACCCTTAGCAAATTCAACAACGAATCTCTATATGTTTCACAGTGGGGTCTAGCAAAGCTTTCGCTCTGATTGTCCAGTGTTTGGCCGGCACGAGGTCCGTAGATATGATAGAGGCGACTAAAGCTTGGCTATGATCCACGCTTTCCTCTTCCGGGAAGGTCCCACTTGACCGCGCCACAATAGCCTTAGAGAGGCTTAGTATGTGAAGGATTACGCGTCGGAAACCTGTTCAACCTGGGTATTTCACTGTACTGGGCTGAGGGGTACTCTAGAGGAACCGCATCATACAATTCTATCTGAACAGTTCAAACGATGGTACATTCCATCAAACAAAAATCTGTTGGCTAGGCTAACCTTTCGAATAGACACAGCAGAATCTCTATGCCGTAGCCATTCCTACGTGGCTTCTGACAAGCCTAGCCGCATATATACGCACGGGATCAGCCCAGCCTTTCAATTCACAATTCCCAACAAACACGGCTCTAGCCATCACACTATTGACTTCAATCGGAGGCATAGTCATGTACGTGCGTACAGGCCTGCTCTCTTCCATTGGAACTGGACTTTTCTTCGGTGCGCTCCATCTTCTCGGCTTTGTGCGGTTGTATACGGGTCAGTCCTATGGCGACATAACCTGCGCGCTGGCCTCTAGCGTGATGGCTACTCTATCAATTCCATACATTGGCGCAGCAAATGAAAGGCTAATACCGCGGGAAATGGGTCTCCTTGGCATGTATGGAGGAGTGGTTTTTGCGAGCAAGTTCAGCATATGGTCCTCGGTTTTACTTTCTCTTTCCATTATTCTTCTGGCTTTTTGTTCGGATTTGAGTCGACGTGGATGGAGAGAGTAGTACACAACGAGAGAAAAAAACGAGAGAGTGGATGATGATGATGGATGTAAATTCATACAGGTGCCCGATGTAGCTCGCCCTATATATGTTGCTTTGTGGTAGTGCTGATTAACCCACCAACAATGGATTACCAGCCTATATAGTGACATTAAATGACTTGAAGTATCTCGCAGCTCAAGCTTCTCGCTGGCCGTATTGAATGTAGAGACAGAAGACAAAGAACAGCAGAAAGGAATGTCCGGTCCGACCCTGCTCCAACCGGCAATGTCGCAAGGGTCTGAAGATAAAACAATTGCGGCCAAAAAAAAATTCTACTACGGGCGCTTATACTCTGACGATCAAAGAAACATAGTTGAGTACTTCATGAAACCTAATCACTAGAAGTACGTTAGTCGACGAAGCTCTTCTCGGCCGCGGGTTTAGAGCAAACCTGATCAGATATCTGCGATAAGCTAAACCCGCGGCCGAGATTTTACCGATATCTGGGTATGCACGACTGATTCGGATTCCAAAAAATGAATATAAATTCGCCAGATCCCAAAATTCAAACTCGACAAGATTTCAATTACAAAGATTACAAAATCGTAAAACAAATCACAATATGCAGGTTGGAGAACCACCAGTGATCGATTTCGGTCGTGAGTTGAGCCTTCAGTTCTCTAGACCTGGGAAACGAACTATGACACTGACAAAGACGGTCCACAAAGCATACTACGGCACGGATCCCGAAGCTAAAGAGCTACTTGTGCAAGAAGTGCGGGATGCTTGTAAACAGTTTGGCTTCTTCCAGCTCGTGAACCATGCCATTCCGACCGGTCTGCAGCAGCAAGTCCTTGAACAAAGTAAAAACCTGTTTGAGCTTCCACTAGAGACGAAACAAAAATACGATAAAGGTGACCCTTTGGGCTCTAAAATCAAGGACTTTGAACTGACAAGAACCGTGATCCAGAGATCGAAGGTCTCCAGCGAGGCTACGAGTGTCTTCGTTCGCAGAACTTCGAGAAAAGGACTAAGGGCGACCTCAAAGAAGGATATTACTTGGGGAAGAATTTACCTTCCGATGACCCTCTCGTGGTTCAAAGAAGATTTGGCCAGGCCCCGAACAAATATCCGTCAGAAGTCCGCGATCCAGAGAAGTTCAAAATTGTTATGGAAGAATATCACACTGTTATGAGCACTTTCGCAACCCACATCATGGAAGTCATGGCGTGTACATTGGATTTGAAGAAGGACTTCTTTGATGATTTTTGCGACCATCCGGTTGCAGTGCTTCGATTGCTGCATTACCCACCGCAGGATCCAGCTACAGTGGAAACTGAGAGAGGCAAGTATCCGGACATGTTGCAACCCACTTAGTACATGTGATACATGCTGATTTCCTGCTTAGGTATCGGCGCCCATACCGATTTCGGCGCAGTCACCATGCTTCTACAGGACAATACTGGCGGGCTCCAGGTATGGAACAACATATCGTCTGAATGGGTCGATGTGACCCCACTTCCCGGAGCTTACGTGGTCAACCTTGGGAATTTAATGATGCAATGGACGAATGATCGCTACTTGTCAAATCTTCACCGGGTCATTAACAAAAGTGGAGATGAGAGATTCAGCATCCCCTTCTTCTTTTCCGGCCACCCAGATTTCACAGTTGAGTGCCTTCCAAGTTGCATGGATCCCGAACAGGGCGCGAAGTATCCTCCTGTCACGGTCCATGATTGGATGGTAGGCCGAATTTCCGATACCTATGGCCTGTCGAATGGGAAAGCCATTGGTGATTTACGACAAGAGCTTGCGAATAGTACGGAGGCGAGGCAATAAAGTAAAGTACTAGCTTCGATCATATCTCACAAAAAGCACTCAAGATATCTTCCCATTGAGTCGTGCCGTCCCCGAATTGGCCCATCACCGGCGCAAAGCATGGGTCGGAGGAGGTTATCATTGGCGAGGTCTGTCTCCGCTGAGTATCGCTGAGTTTCGCGCAAGACATGATTTCCTGTAGAGAGAATTGTTCCCGTATTCCGGATTCAATGGCACAATTCATTTCGAGAAGGCTCTCAATGAGTCTTACTCCCCTGTTAGCAATAGTGCTTTTGTGTTGATTGTTATGAAGAAACTTTAAGCTTCTTGATGCGAGGTCTTGGATTTCTTGTGGGTTCAGTAAAGGCTCACTCTCTTTTGAGAAAATGAGCTCAAATAGAAGCCATAATGCAGCCGTCAATACCTGTGTGTTGACGGTCCAGAGATTTCTTGCGATCGGCGTGTAGGGGTCATCATCGGGTAGCAAGAGAAAGTGATGGAGATGGTGGCGCATAATTGGAAGACATGAGATCTATGAATTGTTAATTTCGATCATTTAGGCCACTAGGTGACGGTTCTTGCCTTTGTGTATGCAAACCAAGGATCTTTTAGACTCGGGATTTGGAAGTGGCGGTGAATAGAATAGAACTAGAAAATACAGATAAGTTCAGTGGGGCCCGAAATGCGAGGAGAATATGCATACTTTGTGGGCAAAAGATAAGAATAATACAGCTCTCTGTTGCGATATATGAGGAGGAGCCCCCCGGGTGTCTGCTGTTTTGGATTGAAAAAATTCGGGCAATCCAGCAATTAGTTCCTTCATCTCACGATCTGCCTGTAAAACTTCGGTGTAAAGATCTAGCATGCTGGCCTCAGTGTCTTCACGCTTTTGGCACATTCGGTCTTCCATATTCCATATTATTACGGCGACTGAGGCACGTCATTAGCTAGAATAATTCAGAGGAATTGTTGATTGACACACCGTGATTCAGAACAGATGTATAACTTCCTTGGGTATAGTGATCTTGCTCGTGCTTCTTTATCTCCTCGCCATCAACAATCATTTCAAAACTGTCATCGCAATTGCTGGGCATCGGTGTGTTGAATTGGGAAGCGTGAATATTGTACGTATTGTTGAAAGGAATCTGTAGCCAGTCTTGCCGTACAAGGAACCACCATACTCGCTTGGAGATCTCGCGATCAATCAGTCGTCTAGTGCGCAAAGTTGGATCTGTACATTGCGATATACCAGATTTGGAGTCAGGACCTAGTCGATGGATTGCTAAACATTGGGCTATTCGGCTCCCGGATGCCAGAAGTACCGAAATTCGATCGGATTCCCCGATATTATGGCCAATGTATATCAAAAGACAGATAGCTTGGACGCTGAAAAGCGTATGGCGTTTCATGAAGTCTGCCTGGTTCAGACTTTCGATGCTTTTCTGGTAGCATTTTAGGGCCAGGTCGTCTGAGTGTGAGAAAGCGTCAGAATAGCCCTTTAACGTCGTCAAGGTCACTTACGTCCACCGTGAATTCCAAACTCTGCCAGTTTGAATGGCTGAGCGTGGTAAAGAGTAACCTGAAGACTCCATTAGCCAGAAACTCAAGATTTACTTGGGTTTGGGTTCTCACAGCAAATATGGCATAATATAATGAGAGCCAGCCTCCATCAATTGAGGATATTTCACTGTACACAGTCTTCTCACATTGCTCCAGGAAGGAAGGCATATGGACCACATTATGAATCCAAGCAATAAAATCTTGGTGGTATTCCGTCAATTCTTTGACTTGGGCTGCTGTAAAAAGAAGCTCGGAAGTGCAGGACAGGGATTCAGTTTGTTGTGGCTGGTCAACTTGAGCAGCTTCCAAAACATGTTGGCGACTTAAGGCCAAAAATTCCAGCATGACAGCTGCATCTTGGGTTACCGAATCCACTGCACTTGGCCCAGGCTTATAGTTGATTGACTGTTGAGGAGTGATCGCGGGTGGACCGGACGTTGTATTCGTAGAAGCCCCACGAAGCGTTGGCAGCTTCGGCGGGCGATTTTGTCGCTTCGCATCTTTTTGAATAACTTCAGAGCGACGTCGACATCTATGTGCAATCCCTCGTTCCATGCAGGCCAGGCATGGGACTTGTTTTGAGCATCGTAACTTTCGGCGGGTGCATTCTGTACATGAGTAGGACTGGCGCTGTCGCTTCACTCGAGGTGGTGAGTGATCTGCATTGCTGATGGTGTTCATTTCTGCCGTGTTTGTTCCCCTTGAATTGATCAAAGGGGATTGTAATTGAACAAGAGTTGAAGCCGCGGGTGTGAAAGGGGGACCCACTGCGGGACGCGGAGATTTGTGATGATAGCGAAAATAAGATAACTCATTACGAAATACTGAAACTTAAATTGATTGCATTCGAAGGGCTGCTGAGCATCATAATACGTTTCTCAAATGGAGTGTTGCAGTCATTTTCAATCTTATATACTTATCCGTTTGTTTTAATTTATTTTTATCCCAACAGTTAGTCCGACATATGATATGAGTGATCAACATGTTTCTTTCAAACGGCGATAATCATAAGCAGCCAACAAAGCAACAATATGAAAAGCACTACCGAGTACAGCAAATAGATGCCAAAGCTGATGTGAGTGACCCCAAATGTCAAAGGTCCCGGGGCTCAGTCTTTCTGGAAATCGACAGACGAAAACAGTCACTCCAGTCAGAAGCGAGAGAGCTTCAAAAAGATACCATCCAGCCCCAATCTCAATGCTTGCACGATGCCAACCCAACTCAATCCCACTTTGGAGGATAGGCAACATGGCAGAGATAGCGAGTAACGAGAAAACACCACCCCTCAGATTCCTCATTCTATTACCTCCACCACCGGTATCAAACAGAGTGACGGCGGCGCCAATTGCAGAAAATAGATTAAGCCCCCAGTACAGTCTCTGAACAAGAGGTCTGCAATAGAACGCGTAGTATGTCATAGACGTACCGGCTCCAAGAGCAAGGAAGCAGATGCCAAGAATATCCATTCTGCCCCAGAGATGGTGGATGTTGTAGGAGTGGCTTCTCAGTGTATGAAATCCAGCACTGAGGCCGAAACAGATCGTTGCCGAGGCTAAGAAGGATCCAAAAGCAAAGACATCGCCATAGGTGATCTTGAGGTTTGAAAGTGACACCAAGCTGTTCAGTGTAAAACCAAGGACAATGAAGCCTATTGAGCCCAAAAGATGGGTCCAGATGTTCATCGTTTCCATATGTAAACAACGCCACAGGCGCAATGACCGCTTATATGAATATGTGGGCATCGGGTGGCCTTCCAAGATAAATTCGTTGTCACGCAGCCATCCTGGGATCGAATCTTTACTTCCAATGGCTGGCCAGTATGACTGATTGTCGGGCTTGGATGTGGCTACCGAAGTCTCCGTCAATAACGAGGAGGTTTCGACTGGAGACGACGGCATCACGCGTTGGGTCATCCTTGCAGTCTTTTCGGAATATTTGAATGCTTCGAGCACTGTTCGGGTCAGAGTTGAGGGAATCCAAGGAAATTGTGAAATATGTTAAGAGATGAAACAATCGTGGCGGGGTGCATCTTTTCCTCTAGTCTCCGAGCGCCATTTTGGCGCGCGGCACGCGTGAAACCCATCACACCGCATAGACACGTGTCACAATCAGCGGTCCAAAATTTAGTATCACATAGGGTTGTGTTAACTCAAAATGGCTTATTGGTAATAGCGAGCTAGCTTTTCACCCGGGACTTCACCATTGTCGCGTACGGTACACAATTGAATGTCAAAAAAGGGGGTGGGTGTGGGGACGGGGACGTGCGCTGGACCGCTGAATCAAATCGCAGCGCCATCCATGGGTCTTATCTGTGGGAAGTATACAAGTCTGAAGTTTGTGGGACCAATGAGTCCAGCTGATCTGAGATTGCACCTTGAATCCTTCTAGATATCTATTAAAAATCTGCAAACCTACAATCTCAGATTGGTGCAGCCCTTTGACTAGCAAGGATCATGCATGCCCTTCGTTCCAGGCACAAATTTGGAAACACGCCCGGCAGCTACGCGACACTAATTGGCCCAAATTTCTCAAGATAGCAGTAGGGCTTAAAACATGCAACTATATCTAAATCCGTTCCAGTGACGGCTGAATCACGACTTGAGAGTGGACTAAAGAGGTCTGGCCCTATGCGCCTTAGTGTCTTTTCCGTGACGCCCAAAATGTTGGTATGAGTGTTGGGTATGATATGAGGTGGCTATATCATCCTGTTGATTTGTGCCACTCATCCATGTACCTAGTTCATATTTTATCGAGCTTTCATTTCATGTTATGGGGGTCTCAAACAATACCACCGTCGGCTGGGTCTCTGGACCCAACACACGGGGAACAATGGACATCATTTGGTCCTCTTTGTTGACAGTATTTCTTTGTACTTGGACTGCAGTCTGTCTTAACCTTCCGAATCCTAAAGACGGTCAGTTTCAAATCCTCTGTCGCCGAGCAAAGTGGATGTTTTGGGCGATTGTCTCCCCAGAGTTGGTCCTCTCGGTTGCTATTGGACAATATGCCTCAGCGCGGCGATCTGTGAAGCGTTTTCGCAAACTGGGATTGAAACAAGATAGATGGAGTCTCCGGCATGGGTTCTATGCCGACATGGGTGGGATGCTTCTCCAACCTAAAAACAGCACACCCTTTCTTGTCAACAGTCGTCAATTAGCGTATCTGGTCGAAAGGCAGTACTTGGAATGCCCGAAAATTACACAGAACGAGATATGGGATAAGTCAAAGACGGATACCCTTGCTAGACTACTTAGTTTGGGACAGGCGACTTGGCTGATGATTCAACTCTTCGGTCGCTTCATTCTTAAGCTCCCGACAACTACGCTCGAATTATCGGCGGGTGCCATTGTGATTTGCACCTTTGGAACATTTATTTGTTGGATGCAAAAACCAAGCGATGTACAAACTGGAATAGTTCTTAGCATGGAAGTTAGCACCGCCGAGATTCTCCTTCAAGCTGGTGATCTCGCAGCTACACCTTACCGCCACACACCTCTCGACTTCATCGCCAAGCAATCATTTACATTCAGTTACGACGTGATGAGTTTTTTTAATCTACGTCTCGATGACAGAGAACGACCCTTGCGACGTTTTCCAAATGACCGGTTCCCAGATATTGGGACGCTTGAAAAGTTCTCTCTGTTCTGTTTGACCTCGGCATTTGCTTCCTTCCACCTCATAGGGTGGTATTTTACTTTCCCTTCTCGGACTGAGCTGATTTTCTGGCGGGTGTCAAGCTCTATTGTAACGGGTGCAACTGTCCTATATTGGATATTCGAAACAATTGCTGCTCGTCAGCGCTTTGGCAGATGGGACAAGTATCTGGTCTGGCTGGGTCTAAAAAGCCCACCACAACAGCAAAAAATCGATGCAGAGGCCGCTCTTGCGCGACAGGACACAGTCAGTCGTCTAGACGCCTTTGAAAAGGAGCAAAGGGAGGCAAAGCCCATTCTGCGGTGGGAAGTCGCTATCATTCTACCAGTAATATTATTGTATGTCAGTGCTCGGGCATATATGATTATTGAGGTATTTGTTAGTTTACGTCGACTACCAATTGGTGCCTTCACAACCTTTGATGTGGCAAACATGCTACCTCATTGGTGAACATACATTTTTTTTGTTCATATTCATGCCTTTGATGTCTGCCTCATGGTTCAAGACTCTATCTGATGAAGACTGTCAAACCATCGAAGCCGTACAAAGAGACGATACCGAACCTACAGAGACAAGCTCGGACGAATCATTTCATTTCCAACATCGTAATCTTCATTTACCCGGCCCCGTAGAAAGAGATAAACTTCGATACTGTATCCCTTTCCTTCCCCTTGTCGACACCAGTATATTCGGAGTACATACCCATTGTATAGATATTATGATCATCAAAAAACTTTCGTCCAATCAGCTGTGTACTTATGGTTAGCCCAACAGGATTTTTCACAACCGGGATTCATCCTTTGGCGGCGGACTAAGAGCAAGTTTTCCGGTTTCAGGGAGAGACTTGTTGGCTATATCGTGGTTCTGGACGTATATCTGAATTTAATATGTGATAGCTAAATGGTTTCCCCCAAGAAGAGCACTGTTAAGTGATGCTGAGTTAGATATCGAATACCTGTTTGCTTTTTTCCAAAAGACCTTTCAACTTAGTACCTTTAATATTCTGCGTGAATCCAAGCTTAAGTAGGAACCTAACGACATATGGTACACGAAGACCGCCATTGGATCTACCGAGTGGAGCGAATTAAATGATGGCCAATCATGCTGGCAATAGATTATACTCAGCTATATGATGTACTCTAACGATTCCATTAGCACATACGACCATAGGGTGTGGAGAACAGGGCTTCCCGTCCGCTCAGCCGTACTTAAGCCACACGCCGGTCAGTTAGTAGTATGGTGGGTGACCACATGCGAATCCTGACTGTTGTATGTTTTTTTTTTTTTTTTGTTTCACTGCAACGCGTTTGTAAAGTCCTAGACTCTCGATATATTCATACGAAGAAGATGGTGCGGCGATGATAGCAACCCGAATTTCATTTCTTCTGGCATTCTAAAGGCATGGACGGGCTGCCGCATGTCGGGGCACATCATGCGCCTTAATTGAATTACAGTCACAATGCTGGACAGTGTAACGGAGTGAACAACATGAAGTAGTGGTATGGTGTCTGTATTTCACACTTGATCGATAGTCAAAAGATATTGTAAATTAAAGCAGTATCAAAGCTACTCTGAAAACCTTTCCTGGGGAGCCAGAAATCATGTTCTCCATGTAAGATCAATCAAGCGTCAAGGGTTTCCTTAGTAACTCCCCTTCGAATGTTCATCCACCTTGACTGCATCAAGCTGCTCTGGTGCTGGCCTCAGTGGCCATAGGTCACCCTCAGGTGGTGCTTTTATCATGTGCGTCACTTCTTTTGCCCTCTCGTGGCCCGTATCTGCCGCTACGCGGATAATATCTGCCGCCGCATAAGCCTTGAAACCTAATTCTGGGAAGGCCCATTTTTGGCTGCCCGTCGCGGCCGGTATCACAAAATCTATCGCGCGGGCGATGCTCCCTTCCCCTTTCGGCCCTTCAAATTTCCACAAGTCGACCCCGACCTTGCGCCCCACGTAAGCGAGACGGGTCAGTGCGAGGAGATTGAAGGTTGAGTAGTGCCAGCTGCGAGTCCTTTTCAGCTCTTCGGGCTGAGACCCATCCGGGGCAATCGTTGCAGCGAGGTGGGCACGTGCTCCAAGGACCTCTTCGTGGGCACGAGCCGTGTCGCCGACAAAGAGGGCGATAGCGGCTATCTGCATAGCGGCAAAGCTGCCATGATTGTTACCCTGCGCTCGTTCTTCTCGGCCAAATTGACTGTTGGTCAGCCATTCAAGAAAACCGATATTCCACGATCGGAACCCCTCCGCGTCAGCTTCAGACCATAATGGTTCCCGTGGGGGAAAATCATTGGGCCCGACGCTGTCAGTGGCTAGGATGGCGGCAGCATCGAGTACGCTGGTATAAGCTTGAGAGAAATCGATGATACCAATGGGCCTGCCCGTCTCGGCATATGGGATGAGCTGGGCATGGTTGAGATTAGGATTCATTCGAGTCTCGGGTGTAATAAACCAGGAGCGCATGATATTGCCTGCGTGTCGCGCATAGGCTTCATTTCCCGTGTAGTACCAGGCTAGGGCCAAAACTGTGGACGAACTGTGTACTTTTTCCCAGTAGACGCGGTCTGTATAGCCCAGGACTTCGGGATTTTTCTTCCCGTCACGATTGATGTAGGGTTTCCCGTCTGGCGAGTCCGGCGATGGCCAATAATAAGGCGCCTGGCTGGTATAGTCGTGTAGGTCACCGCTGGGCGGGAGTTTCTTCTTCATGATAACGGACCAGGGGCCTTGTGTCAGCCATTCATCGGCCTGTCTCGTGAGAACGCCCAGCGATGCCTGTAGTGCGACATCGTCGCCGTCGCGTAGTCGCTGCCGAGCTTCCTCGAGCCTGAAACCATCTAGAACTACTGTCTGGGGATATGCTGACATTTTGACTCAACTAAGCAGTCTCGTGCAATGAAAAAAAGAGCGATCTAGAAACACAGGGATGAGCGTAAAATCCAAAGCAATACCTCGTTTCTCCATTTTCCACTGTATCGTGAACCTCCGTGCCTTCGGAGCGCAGATATCCCGGATGTCCGTGAAAACCGACGACGGACCATTTCTAGCCCGATGGATCATCTAAACGACTTCGCGCAATTCCGAGCTGTTCGTTTTGATGATTAATTGAATTAACCCATAGATAAGTATTCCGCCATTCTCAACAATTCATCTCGCATGTATCCAGTACACCACGAATCACCGCGCAGCACGAATAAATAAGCTGATAAGCAAAGTCTCGATCATGCTCACCTCCCCCTCTCAACCCGTCAATAAAATTGACTTTGATGAGAAGATGGTGGTCCAACTACCCGAATGTTCCTTAGCATGGGCAGATAGTCTCCAACCTGCCGATACCAAAGTCACGGGCCCACCGCTAACAGCTTGTCCACCCGTCGTGGAGGTAGCCGAGCTTGAGGAGCTATACAGCGAGAATGTTGTCGCCAAGATTTGGAGAACTGCAGATTCATTTATCAAGGAACATGTGTGTCAGCTCTATCATACTAACGCAGTTAATTATAATAGATGGCTTACCATGGATTATCAATGCAGCCATCTTTCGATGCGTACCCAGAGCATGTTCCCGAATCAGGTCCTGGTGCCGGAACATACGAGGCAAAGCCAGCCAGATTTTGGACCTGTGGCTTTTTCCCTTCGAGCTTATACTGTATCCTTGAGCGCTACACCAAATTTCCGAATCGCACTCCCTTTTCAGCCCTGCCATCAGACAATATTAGCTCCCCGGATTCGTCCTACCACGCCCAGCTCTTGGGCCTCTGCCGCGCGTGGTCTGCACCACTGCGTGCCCAGGCGTCAAGAACCGATACTCATGACTTGGGATTCATGATGCATTCCCTGCGCATGGACTGGGAGCTCACCGGCGACCCTTCCAGCCTGAAAGCTTACATCACAGCTGCCAACAGCCTGGCAAGTCGGTTCGATGAGCGAGTCGGGGCAATTCGTAGCTGGGACCAAATCAAGAGGCTCAACTTCGAGGTACATGACAAAGAGAACAATTTCTTGATAATTGTGGATAGCATGTGCAGTATGTACCCCCTCTCGCCATTTGAGTCTTTTACCCCAACCTTCAAACCAGAGCTTGAGTATCGGCTGACAATTCATGACTCGTGCCAGACATGGACTTGCTATTCTACTCCGCCTATCACAGCCAAACCCCACGTCTCGCTGCCATCGCTAAAGAGCATGCCCAAACAGTCATGGCAACACTCATTCGCCCGGATGACTCTACTTGGCACGTAGCCAACCTCGACCAACACGCACCCCAGAAAGGTACCGTTAAGTATCGCATGACCCACCAGGGACTCGCAGATGACTCAACCTGGTCGCGTGGTCAGGCCTGGGTAGTGCTCGGGTTCGCGCAGACCTACATGTGGACTGGCGATGTTGAGTTCCTCTCCGCCTGCGTTCGCCTTACCGAACATTTTCTCGCCCGACTGCGAGACTCTCCTGCCCAGAAGTGCCCTTGGGTACCCCTGTGGGACTTTTCTGACACAAGTGGGGAGGCGGATTCCACTGGAGACAGGCTGCGGGACGTGTCGGCAGGAATGATTGCCGCCAACGGCATGCTGCTCCTGCACCAGGCGCTGCAGGTACGGAGGGATAGAGGGAATAATGTGAGGTATGACGGGAGGAGATACCTGGATACAGCACTGAACATCGCGAGCGATACTATTCAGTATGCGTTTGACAAGGGAGACAGCGCGCGACTGGATGTTGACGAGAATGGAAAGGTAAAGGTGCCGGCGGGCAGCTGGGACGCAATATTGAGACACTCGACGGCCAATAACAACCCCGATGCGGTGATGAGGTACAAAGACCACGGGCTGGTTTATGCAGACTACTACTTCCTTGAGTTTGGGAACAAATTGTTGCGCATGGGGCTTGTATGAGCTGCTTAGTCGCTAGTTAGTGAAGTGAGGAATTGCTGTCTGCGAGCCATCACCACTCCGAGCCAACATGTCTCTTGAAATTTAGCTAGGGAATTAATTGGAAGTAGTGGCAGATAGGAAAGAAGACCTAGATGTGGCTTTTAGAACGAAAGATGATCTGATATGCTTATCCCTGGTCGCATACGCTTCAATATGTATATGAAATCTGCTTCGTCATTTCACACCACTAAGCCATGGCCCATTACACTAGCTAGGCTTAACTATCCACCAGAATGTTAGATGATTTGCCGAATTTAATCCGAATCCAATCGAATCAACGTATTCTGTAATAGAATATGGACTTCGCCTACAAATATTCTTACAAATGGAATATATCGGAACGAAATTTCTTGGGTATAAGTTTGATACCTAGTAGTGCTGAAAATAGTAGTGCTGAGTAAATACTAGCATGAGGGCTCTGTGGTGGCAGTTAATTAGCTGTGTGCTGATATATTAGATCCATTCACAAGCACAGTATGCTACCCACGGCTTACAATCCTCCGAAGAAATCTGTCCCATCTAGCGTGATTACGCGATCCATTTCGAGGAACTGCTGGCCAAACAGCTCATCCTCGTCTTCGCCGCCAAAGCCACTGCTGTTGCTGTGTCTGCTCTTGTTCTCCATTCTCAAGCCCAAGAGTCCCGCCACATTTGCTGTCGAAGATGAACTCCCCCTCGGTATGTTGGAAGGCCCTGCCCTGCCCATGTTTGTACCGAAATCAAACTGCCCGTATGAACCATATCGTTGTCGCTGCCGCGGGCTCACAACATCGTAGCGAACGGGCGTGCCACGAGGATCGTACGCGATGGGCGGGTGTGAACGGCTTGGTGGCTGTGATAGAGAGCTTGTCGGATGGGCGAAAGAAGTCATGCCCGTGGCCACCGTTCCTCCTGGACCCATGCCAGACATTGGTGGAGGTATCGTGTTTTGGAGGGAAGAATCACTGTTCGCAGTAGGTTGCTGCTGCATGTCTAGAAGGCCATCCAGGCTGGCATCTGACAGCATATCGCCGACCGAGGCATGTGTATGTAAACCAGCCATGTATCGGGAGTACATCAACTGAAGCTGTGCGGCATATTTAGTCATCAGGTCTGACACACCTGGCTGCCCCATATTGTCCGCGTCGTCGCTCCTGTCACTCCCCCTCCAACGGCGCGACATTTCCCTCAGACTATCCCCGAGATTAAAGAACTCGGGGGCCAAAGGTTCATCTGTCTGCCGGGAGACGGAGAGCCAATGCACTAGCAGGATGCGAGCAGCGACGAACGCGCAAAACGCGAACTGACTGTTGACGATACCGCCCATGTAGCACAAGTATTTGTCGGCAATGGAGGCGATCTCAACCGCGGCAAGCTGGCACGTCTCAGCACTGCAGGAGCTCGGCAGCTTGACGACATCACACCAAGTTACCGGCGGGTAAGCGATGTGCTGATGTAGCAGGATCGTTGCGGCGTTGTGCGTTAGGTGTGCCAAAGTCAGGTTCGGATCCATTTTGACGATTGACACGTCGCGGGAGACGTCCGAGTCATGCCACTGATGGGGGAGAAACATTTTCCAACTAATTAAGCCTCGTGTTAATCCTTCCCACAGAGATAGAAATATGGGGCAAAGCTCACTGGACAAGTCGCAGATCCAGTTCTTTAAACCTTGTCAGCCAGTTCTTGACCTGTGCTCTGTCTCCAAAGTCGATGCTTTGTTGCAGAAAGAAGGAAGTGACCTGGCTCAGGTTTTCAGTGGCCTCGATACAATATGCAAATGCTCCTAAGTTTGAGATGTCCACCTGATCGCCTCCAACACCGTTGTCTCCATTAGGGCTGTAGTCATTGGTCTTTGAAGGTGACTCGTATAGCGTGGGAACATTGGCTATCGATTTACCGATCTTGGCCGCAGTCTTGTTCCATATACCAAAGAAGGGCGTTGAGACAGCTTCCTGGCGCGCCCATGGCGCTCCGCTGCATGGAAGTCGCCGTTGGACGTGGTCTGAGGTCAGGCTTGTGTTCCAGCTGCGCTTTGTGTTAGAAGATGACGAGTTCAGCATTTGGTCAATTGAAGTACGCACCCACAAGTGACTTGGCAGACTCTATAAATAGCTGGTCAGTCATGTATCTCCAGACAAACTTTTCTCGGGCTCATCAATACCTGTCGAGAAGGAAAACATTCCAGAACAGTCTCCTCCGTTCTTCTGACTCTGTCCAATCGTGCGGCCTTGACAGAAGTGTCAACGGACGAAGAAGTGGTTGCTCTAGCGAGGATAGGTCCGGCGATTCGACAGTCAATTGAAGATATTCGACTGTTCTCGTCAAAGAACCAATGATAGGCCACGCCTTGGAGGGATAGCCGCATCCCATCTGCAATAGAAAGAGTCAGGGCCAAATCAAAACTGGTGAAACTTCCAGGGATTGAGAAACAGTTGATGAGGCAGCTCACATAGTCAAAGGCTAGAAAGATCAGTGCCTGCATGTTCTCGACTGACACGGATTGCATAGCGTGAAGCATCACAACCTTTCTGGACAGTCTGATTTGCCTGTCGACATTAATATGACCAAGCTCAACCTTATCGACATCAAGGTACTTGATTGAGACAGCGACAAGTGAGTGAAGAAGTACCGCTAACCGATTTCTTTCGTCGGCATCCGCGAGCTTGGCCAAAAAACGTGCTTCGTGGAGGATAGGTACCCAGTGGTGTACTGTACGGAAGTGGATATCAACGATAGAATCTAACAAGTGTAGTGGAGGTGGGGGAGGTAGTCCATCATCCTCGGTCCATGAATTGGGATCCATATCATTGGTTCGGCGCCTCTTGTGGCCGTTGTTACTGGCCAGGGGCGGGGATGTCGCCGAGTCCGACACCAATAGTCCGTCATCAGAACTCAGATGCCTTTGGCGGAAAGTCTGGTGGAGCTGCTTGCTTTGACGTTGGCGCTCAACAGCTGGAGAGATGTTCTGAAGTTCGGGGTTGTCATCCAGAAAGGCCATTTGCGGTTTGCGTGCGCCAGATTCATCTAATAGAATGTCTTCCAGGACCTCTACAGAAATACTCCCAATTGTTCCTCAGTCAGGAGATTCGCAAAACCATCTCTTTACAGCTAGAGGAGCTCTTACCTAAACGCCGAGTGAGGCTGTCTATTGCACCGGTCTTCAGACCAGGTTTCTGTTTGCTCACATAGATGCACTCGCATGCTGGATTCGGACATACTAGTCAGTTTATCTCCCGACAGTACTACTTTCTGTTCTTACCTAGTCTCTGGCATTGAGAACAAGATGGACTCTGTCTCGAGCACTTGAGCTTCCTTCGCCGACAAGACTGGCAAGAAGGGAGATCGTTCCCGGCCGCGACTTCCCCCTCACCGGCGCCCGCGCTGGCCGCGTCAGGCCCGGACAAGTCCACCATTGCCCGTTCTCTCGCGATATTTAGATCCGGTCAGCTGTGGAGAAAAAGTCCGGCACGCAAGGTAGACCGGGCATCGGGAAAAGTAGTGGAGTCTGTGGGTGTGGAATGGGAGACGGGGTAGTTATTGGCCGAGGCTAAGAGGCCAAGCCGTTCCTGTCATTTCCCCGCATTTCGGATCTTGACTTTTGATTCGATAGCCGTCGATCAAATTCTGGTCTCCATGAATTTACAGGTCAAGTGGTGTATTTACGTTCTTATCACATAAAAAGGTTAAAATGTACTGATATTGCGCTAACCAATAATCTCAACTGCGAATTATCCAGCATTTAGACTTCGACTTCCGAACAAAATCAAAGTACGCATCTTGCATAAACAAGCTTCCGAGAACAACAATGCCATCCTATTTCAAAGTAATAGAGTTTCTTACTCTATCATTGTCACATGGGGCTCATGCTCCTTGTCCTCATCATGCGTAATTTTGGACTCCGAGTTCTTCGGCGGCCCGTCGAAAAGCTGACCGACCTCTTCAAGACTAAGGTTCTTGGTCTCCGGATAAAAGAAATAGACAATGGTGAAGTTGCTGACTAGCACACAGCACCAGACGATGTAATATTTCCACCCGATGGCTGCGAGGCCTACGGGGTTGGTATAACCACTGAAAATATTTGCTGCTGCATCGGCAAAGCCGTTGAGGACGAACGCTTTGGCACGAAGGTTGAATGGAGACACCTCAGCGACATACGAAGGGACCATGCAGCCGGGCATCTTGTAGAAGGCGCCGAATAAGAAGATAGCAAAGATGGTAGCGTTACCCAGGCCTCCATTGCTGTAGTCAATGCCCGCGTTGACCCCAGTGAAGACGGTGATCATCAAAAAGGCCACGAACATGCCAGTTAGGCCAATGAGGAACATTGGCCGCCGGCCCATCTTGTCGATAAGCTGTGACCATGTGTTACCCCACACGAAGCCGCTAATGGTCATGCCACCGTTGATAAGCAACTGCTTCTTAGAGCTGGTAATGCCAATTGACTCAAAGACCAGATGGATATAGTATGTGATGAGCGCATTGCCGCACCACTGAATGATGAAGCCAGATGTAACGATGATAAATAGACGGTACCGATTGGCAGACGTGCGCACCCACTCCATCCACGAGGCTAACGCCTGCTCCCGCTCCAGCTCGATAGCTGCTTCGATCTCGGCCATCTCGAACTGTAATAGCTGCGATGACTCGTCGCCCTCGGCGTGGTACTTGGTCAGAATACGATAGGCCTCTTCGCGCCGGCCCTTGTGCACTAGCCAACGCGGGCTCTCGGGGGTGAAGATCATCATCACAAGCTGGAAAATGGAGGACACAGCCTGCAGCAATGACGGCAAGCGCCAAGACCACGAGGACAGCATGAACGAGGTTCCGTAGGTGATCCAGGCGGCCATGATCTGACCAAGCGAACCGGTTGTGTTCTGAATGCCGATGACCTGGGTACGCTGGGAGGGATGCGCAAGCTCAGCGGCCAGAATGGGGCAAGCCATGTTCTGGATTGTGTTCCCAAACCCAATCAGCACACGCGATACAACAAACATGTCGTAATTAACCGAGGAGGCCTGGAGCGCCACTCCGACCAACAGGATGCACGACCCGATCATAATGGGCACTCGGCGGCCAAGACGTTGCATCAGCGGTGCTGCAATAAGGAGAGCCCCGAGTTGCCCATAGCGAGTGCCGTTGGTGATAGTACCCAGGCGTGTTCCTGTAGGATGGCCCAGCGCGTCCTGCCAGGCGTCGATAATCTGTAGGCCGCTAAGCATGGAGCCATCGTAGCCATTGGTCATGTCGCAAACGATACAACCCAGCAATAAAAGGTTGAGGGAGCGTAATCCGGGGTAATTCCACCAGAACCGCGTTCGCTGGTCTGTATGCCGCAATGTCACACCATCGACGCCGCGGACGCCAGATTTGTCGACGCGGAACATTTTTGTGATGATGTAAAGTCAATATGTGATAGAAGAATCTCTTAGAAAAACACCTTTAGCCGGCGTCTAGGCTATGTATGATGTTTGAATTTGGTCGAGAATAATGAACTACGGAATTGGACTGGGGAAATTGATCGCTCTTTATCTTGACAGGACCTGGTAGCGAGTTGAAAAGCCACCGGTATGTTCAATAGGACGCGTCTACTGCAGCGACGAGCTAATCTCGTCTGTCCGCAAAAATTACCCCACAATTAGAACTAATTGGAGCTAGTCTACTTCGCTTCCCCGGGCAAAGTCAAGTGGTCTGCGTTGCAGTGCAGCAGTTCCCCAGGCGGCGGGGTAGTGGTTGTCCCATTTCCCGGCGCGACCCAATGGCGGGATTACGGGCTATTAGCTCTCCGGGCTCCCATGAACTCCTCTGACCTATGGGCTTGAGGCTTTCAAACCTACAATAAATAAATTAGGTTGTTGATTCAGAGCAAAATGTAATCTGGGGAAATTGTGGGGAGACGCGATGTCACTATCCCTCTGGAGAAGAAATGCTCCGCTGCCCGTTCATCATTCGATCTTCCGTCACAGCTCTGGACATTGATTTTCCGGCATGACCTACTGGCTCTGTATATTTCAAACAATGAACAAAAAAAATCAGCAGGCATTACTCGAGCGAGTTATCGAATTCGCTAGACATTTGAAATGCCGCCTCTTCTCGGATTTTCTGACAATGCATTTCGTGATCGCGAAGATATTGAAACCGCGACAAAAGCTCTCGTTCGGGCACTCGAGCCTTACTTTTCACCAGGAAATGCCCGGGTCAAACTGCCTCTCTGCTCGGGTGCACATTTCGACGAAAGCGCGGCGCAACTTGAAGGATTCGCCCGACCTATCTGGGCGGTAGCCGGAGCACTCACGGAATTAGAGAACGACACCAAATCAGAACTCAAGAGGTATTCCGAACGCTTGATCGAAGGAATTACACATGGGGTTGATCCAGAACATCCCGAATATTGGGGTCCAATCGGGGATTGGGATCAACGGATGGTCGAGGCTGAGCCGATCTCATTCTCGCTGTTGATCGCCCCTGCAACTTTCTTTGACCCATTGTCGGAGCAAACTCGTTCAAATTTGAGGGAATGGCTGTCAGGGCTCAATGGCAAGGTAATGCCCGTGAACAATTGGCGCTGGTTTCGAATTTTCTCGAATCTTGTTTTGAATCGCAGGTGTGGCTTGCCAGTCGAGACGACCAAAACGTATATCGACGCGGACTTCGAAGTACTCGACAAGTTTGAAATTGGCAACGGGTGGTCGGCCGATGGAGTTTGGAAGAATGACACATTGCCAGGTCATAAAGCCTACGGTCGCCAGGCAGACTATTACTCTGGCAGCTTTGCCATTCAATTCAGTCAGCTGCTGTATTGTATTATTGCCGAGGATACTGACCCTGATCGGGTCTCACGGTATCGAAATCAAGCGAGAGAATTTGCTAGTCAGTTTTGGCGTTTCTTCGATGAGCATGGGGCTGCAATTCCATTCGGCCGGTCGTTGACTTATCGATTTGCTATGGGTGCATTCTATGCGGCTTTTGCGCTTGCAAAGTGCTATGATTCGTCGAACCGCTATACATCTGCAGGCTTTGTTAAAGGAATGCTTTTGCGGCATCTCAGGTGGTGGGCAAAGCATTCAGATCATATCTTCGCCACAGATGGAACCTTGACTATAGGGTACCTCTACCCAAATATGTTCATGTGCGAGAATTACAATTCACCACAGTCCCCTTACTGGTCCATGAAAAGCTTTGTGGTGCTTGCTTTGGGAGCTGACGATGAATTCTGGGCCGCTTCGGAGATTCCACATCCCTTATCCCTTGAATCTGTCGAGAGTTCACCGGTCCACGGGGTCGAGCTACTCCCTGCCCCCTGTCAGATTTTGTGTAATCACTTGCATGGTCAACATCATTTCATGCTCTCTAGTGGGCAATTTTGCCAATGGCCTTTGAAGGCAACGCAGGCCAAGTACAGCAAGTTTGCATATTCTTCAGCTTTTGGGTTCAGCGTTCCAACAGGAGGCCTTCTAACTCAACTGGCACCTGACAATACCCTGTCAATAAGCCGAGATGATGGAGAGTCCTGGGCTACGCGATGGGAAACAGTTGGCGATCCACGAATCAAAGTCATTTCGTTCAAAAAATCCGAGATTCAATGCTTGCAGAGCATTTGGAAACCTTGGAAAGCCAGCAAAATTGAGATCGAGTCGACGCTCATCCCTCCATGCAATGATTGGCCTGATTGGCATATCAGGTTACATCGAATTCGAAGCTCAGAGAGTCGTTCGGGTTATTCAGACACTCTAGATATTGTCGAAGGAGGCTTCGCGATACAAGCTAACGAGCCGCGAAAGATGAGTGTGTGGAGTGAAGATTGGAGAGACACATCCGAACCTGAAGCAAATATGGAAGCCAGTGGGTGCTCTCTCACTCTCAGCAGCGCAGGTGTGAGTGGCGTGAAGAGTGTCATTCCGTGTGAAGGTTCCACCGAAGGCAGAGTGTTGTTGTCTGACCCGAACACGAACTTGATCGAACCAAGAGCCGTGATACCAACCGTCCAGTACAGAGTTGAGATTCGACCAGGTCAGGAGGTGAAGATAGCTACGGCAGTGTTTGCTATTGCCAATGGGAAGAAGCATTTCTCCCGGGGGGAGCTATTTGAGAGATGGTACCATGAGCCCTGTTTAGCCGAAGATGTTTTGAGGCAATTGTAGCTTAAGTATATTCTCCGTTATACTATGAATACAACATTGTAAGGCATGGCTGTGGCCATATTGATTATTATAGAAGTGTCCAAAAGCAAGTCTTGTAACACGGGCTGAAGATATCAGTGAGAAGTATTCAGGTGCACAAAGGAAGATGTGCCCGGTTTTCCTGGAGAATGATGTGAGCACTCAGCCTTCTTCTGGCGCAAAACCTTGTCTTTGTTACTCAATTGCTACTTTAAGATCACGCTACCTAAGCATGGGGGCTACTTTGGCTCTTAACTACTCAAGATTAATATATGGTAACCATTCCATGATGATCACCTGGTTGATGGGCCCAACTCTACGTAAAGTGAGGGGAGGTTAAGGGTAAGGTATTGAATTCCCCGAATAAAAAGCAATGCAAAAGTCCGAACAGCAACACTTCGCAGATCCCTGGAACTTCTATTTAGATAAGATCCATGATTTGAAATCAATTGGACACATTTTTGGGGAGCTTTTTGTCGCGTCATTGAGAAATGCACTTTAACTTGTCTCGTCCACGTGCTGGATCGGATAGCTGTCTAAGCGCGATTTCCATCCGGTTTGCCATGCGCTCGACTTGTGCTTCCTCAGAGATTCTGGAATCAAAGCAGAAACGCAGAGAGACATTTCCGGAGGGGTCAAGTTGGCATTCGACATATAGAGGATAATCGCCAGATCGTTGACCCAACTCAACAATCGCGTCCTTTGATGCCACAAGTCCCTTGACAAATAATTCTGTGTCTGCGTCTCTATATCGGAAGTCCCCTTTCTTGATAGCTGACTGGACAACAAGCAGCACTTGGAAGTCGCAAGCCAATGCAGCATCATCACTTGCTTGGCAGATCTGCTCCAAGCCCGTGTGCTCAAAAGGAACCATAGCAGTTGCTTGTCGCTGCACCTTTTCTAGAAGTTCGGTGAAGCTTTCTTCTCGACTAAGCTGAACGCGTATTGGCACTGTACTGAACACTGGACCTGCCATCCGCTCTATGCCCGGTACTGCGACTTGTCGGCCCATTACTGTCGCCCCAAACAGCGCTTCATTTGAACCGAGTGTATTGGCGATTGCGACAGAAAGTGCCGATCGGATGATTGTTGCTGGCGTGAAATCCGTTCTGCTCCAGTCCAGATTCCGAACTACAAATTTCAATTCGTTGTTGATAAGAGACGGGGATTTGCGTAGCTTGCGCGATGGAAAGTGTGCGCACTCCAAATGGGTAAATTGAGTGCTCCAAAAAGCCATTGCTGCCTTTTGGTCACTTTCCGTGACATATTTGGTGAAAGCCAGCATATTCTCAAGAGGAGTTGGAGCGCGATCGTAGTAGATTTTCTCGGCCTCTGCCAACATGAGTCGAAGTGCCCATCCATCATACAAAGACCAGTGCATGTCCCACAAGAAAATGGCGTGAGGGTGGTCTGCTGACCTGACAATGGCAAACCTCGCTAAAGGCTTGCCGGGCCCCATCTGGCTTTTATCGGAGTGATTCTGGCAATCGCGAATAACCCCATCTGACATCCATTCGATCGCGTCTTCCAGGACCACTTGCACATAGCCCTGTACTGGGATGTTGACAATGCGTGTTCGCATAATTGGATTTCTGGACACAACTTGGTTCCATGCGTACCGAAATCGTTCAAGGTCAACATGACCGTGAATTTCCATGGCATGTCTAGTCATGAAATGCTCTTCTCCACACGCCATGCGAGAAAAAAGGCTTCTTTGAAGCGGCGTACATGGATACACATCAAGCACCTTGTTTTCTGGAATATTGCATAAAGACGCAGTTAAAGCACGAACTTGCAATTGGCTTACCACAGGAACCAACATTGAGAATGGTTTAATGGTGGCAGGCTGGTTTGAGACATGGGAGACGGCCATACGAGCCAGTTCGTGCAGAACAGGGGTTTGGAAAATGTCCGTCACTGTGAGAGAAATCTCGTGATCTCGGGCAGCGCTGACAAGCTTCATAGCTCCAATAGAGTCTCCGCCTATCCTGAAGAAATTGTCATCTGCAGTAATGCTTGTCTCGGAAATTCCGAGAACCTTGCCCCAGAGCTTTTGCATAAGTAGCTCGTTGTCTGTGGTAGGCTGTCGTCGAATTTGGTCAGCTTTCGCTCGTGACGCAAGCTCCTGCAAGGGTCTCGAAGCCCCAATAGCCTGGAGCTTCCGCCGGTCCGCCTTTCCTGTGGATGTGAGAGGAACTTCACGAATGGGTATGTAGGCTCTTGGAACCATGTAATGTGGTAGTCGGCTGCAAAGAAGCTCTTCCAGTCCACGAGTGGCATTCTGAACTGCCTCATCGTGAGCTGCCTCCGTCATTTTGGAAGCATCACTCAAAGAAATGAAGACTATCAAGACAACAGCTGAGGTTTGCTGATCTTTGATAGTCTCTGCAACAATTCGTGGCTTTCTACTGGCGTTATCGTGGCCTATACCAAGGGCTCTATGCACTTCGGTTTCTATCTCCCCAAGCTCAACACGCTGGCCCCTGATTTTGACCTGGGTGTCTTTTCGCCCGACGTAAGCAAGCGTACCGTCATCGCGATAACGAACCAAGTCACCAGTACGGTAAAGCTTGCCTCGGCGACCAGGGACTTTAGCTGTACCGCGGAGTAGCCACGCTGGGTCGTTCACAAAAGCAGCCCTTGTCCTTTCAGGATCGTCGAGGTATCCATGTCCGACCAAAGGACCCTCAATCCACAGTTCACCAATATTTCCAATTGGTACTAGTGTATCAATGTTCTCGACATCTACCACCCACGTGCTTGCACCAGCACCACGACCAATGGAAACTTCATTAGCGGGCAGTGTGTTGAGATCCTGGATTGTGACAACATTGGTCTCTGCCGGGCCATACGCGTTGATCACCTTGGTTCCTGGAGATGCCAGAGCTACGTCTCCGGGCAATACGGCTTCGCCGCTGAGATTCAGCACAGAGATTGACTGAAGCTTGCTCCAGTCAAGGTGCCGCAGCAAGGTTGGCGTGATGTGAGCATAGTTTGCGTGCAACGAGATTATGGATCCCTCAATATTATTCTTTCGATCGCTCTCCGAAGGAATGCACAAGCAACCGCCACATGTCAGCGCATGGAGGACATTACACCAGGCGATATCAAACGCATAAGACGCAAAATCGTACACTCGGGAATTAGCAGTCAGTCCAAGCAGCCCTTGCTGATACTTAACGATAGTGCTGAAGTTTTGGTGCGTGATCATGGTACCCTTGGGAGCTCCAGTACTGCCAGAGGTGAAAACCGCGAAAAGGACGTCGGACGGGTGTGGTGCGGGCAGAATGTGCTGCATCTCCGTGATAGGGCTTTCTAGCGATGATTGGTTGGGGCCAACGATAATAGTATTTTCCGCCCCAAGATGAAGTGCCAAATCAGAGTTGGTAGCTGATGCAAGCACAACTTGGTGATTAATCTGTCCCATAATAGACCGTAACCGCTCTTTGGGCTGAGTGATATCCATGGCAACCCCTGCTGCGCCGGCTTTCATCACTGCTAGCATTGCAACAGGCATCCACATAGACTTCTCGAAAAGGAGCGGCACGAACTTGCCCGGGCCCACACCCTTGTTTGAAATGTGATAAGCAAGCACTGTAGCTAAATTGTTCAGCTGCTCGTACGTCAAGTTACCATCCCAAGCGCAAATTGCTGGTGCTTCTGGGTTTGATAAAGCTTTCAATTCAATCAAATCATGCATACAGATCTGGACTGGCTCCGGAAGGGGAGTGTTCCAGGCCCAGATGGTTTCCAACTCCTGCGGACTTATCGGCATGATATCTCGGAGAGCCATTCCTCGAATATCGGGGTTGGACAGTTGACGGACAGCATATTCAAAATGATGGCCAAGACGGCGAGCACCTTCCTCACTAATCGATTCCAGACCCACCCCAATGTTGATGAATGCCTCTTTGCTATTAGTTGTGTATCTAATCTCAACACCATGTTTCCGAAGCTCCTGTTGATTGATTATAGAGAAAGAGCGAGCGGAGCTTTCGTTTTCAGCTGTGATCGTTGCTTGAAAGCTGCACGACAGGCCGGCCTCATGGCTTGCTCGGCGAATCACTGACAGACCAGTCCGGGCGAAGGGAGTAATTTCTGCGACTTTCTGCTCAACCGATTGCAAAAGAGCATTTCCGCTGCTTGTCCAGTCCAGTATTACACGGATTGGCAATTGTGGGTGAGGGTAACCTGGAATGTTACCACCAAACAGAGCTTCGACAGAGCTAGCATTCCTTGCGGCTACCATTGACCACGCCGACCAGATCTTTGTCATGGCTGTGAAATTATCGTTTGCAGTATTCAGCCCTTTGACACGGAAGCAGAAATTGTGTTCGTTTTGGCTTTGTTTAGTCTGGCCCTTAAGTGGAGGAAAATACTCCGTGTCAAAGTTTGCAAATTGGCCCTTCCAAAATGCCATGGTGGAATCCTCGGAATTTCCAATGAGATGATAAAAGAAAGCCTGACAGAGTGGTTCCTTCTCCTTTTCTCCATTTTCTTTGACTGTGGGAGTTTCCCGCGGTGACTTATTCTCGGTGGAAAGGAGAAATTCGATCGCGTGAACAAAGACCAATGCAACCTCTTCAGCCAAAGACTGACTTACGGATGACTCTCTGATCTGAATAGCGACTTTCATTCTCTCGCCATCAAGCTGGCCACTCAAAAGGAGATCATACTTTCAACAGTTAGTGGACAACAGAGATAGATGGATATAACGATACTTCACCTACCTCATGTGGATCCTGGTGATCCTGGTATTGCATCTCCATGCTTCTTTTATCTCGGGTAGTAAATCGGTCTGCCTCTCGAACAGTCAATGCGGTATTGAAAAGAGGTCTCCCACGTATTCCAATCCTATGTTGGACCTCTGCAAGGGATACATGCTGAAAACTAAGGTGCTCGATGGAGTTATAAGATGTTCTTCTGAGGACTTCAGCCGGCGACATCTGCAGATTCACTCGGCTGATGAGCATATTTGCCAGAGGACCAGCAATTTTCTCAATGCCATCTACCGGTATGTTTCGGCCAGAAGCTAGATAGCCAAAACAAACATCTTGCATACCTGTAAGGTAGAACAGAACCATTGCCCAGCAAACCTGAAGAAAGATAGGTCGAGTTATTTCTCTGCTTCTGCAGAAATCAAAAATTCTCGAGATAGATGTACTCGGGATGGCGATGTAACGAAAAGTGTCTTTTGTCGTGACTTTAGGCGGCGAATAGCTCCTTGGAACCTCACATGCTTGGACTCCCTCGAGAAAAGATGTCCAGAAGGAGACCGTTTCTTCTCTCGACTTTTCGGTTATGTGACGGACGCTTTCCTTGAACTGCGCCACCAAATGGAGAGGCACATTATCATAAGCAGAGACGATATCTTGTACCAAGATCGAGAGAGAGGCGCCATCGAGCATGGTATGATTGATATCTAATCTGCAAGCAATATCTTCGCCCGATTGACAAATTGTGAACATGTGGTGAGGTGCAGAGGGTGGAAACTTTGGGCTATCAAGGCTATAGAGGGCCTCAGTCGGACTACCGGAGGGTATTGTGATGTGCGAGGTGTTTACTTTTGGACCAGAAAGCACAATTTGAACAAAACCCGTGCTCTCGGGGTGAGTTCCAAAAATGGTCGACAGGATCGCATGCCGATGGGCCACCATCCTCCATGCTGATTCCAATCTCGAAGGTATGATATGGCCGCCTATTTTGGTGGGAACACAAGTCCAGATCCAAAAGGTTGCATATGAGCTCAGTCCTGCGTTTGCACTTAACAACATGCCTTCCTGCATTGGCAAGGCTGGGTACAAATCGGCAACATCGCTTGCATTGATTCCAAGACTTGGGAGGTGCTGATTCAAGAACACATCTAGACCTCGATCTGAGAGTTTCATCAAGGGAACATCACTTCGGGTCAAGCCGACAGGTGCGTTGATGAGGCTATCCACAGCAGTCTCCAAAGTTGGAATGAAGCTATCAAACCACCGTCTCAATCTTTCCTGATGCTTCAGTCCTTTATGGAATGTAAATGTCACAGCGAACTTTCCATCTTGGATCGCCATGTTTGCCTCGATAAGGGCTAGTCGTGTTGATGTCTGAGAAACAACTTCCAAAGAACGATTGTTCTCAAATGATTTCGCAAGGTTGAACAATCCGTCGGTACTTTCCAGCTGTTGGTATCGGCCTGCAAAGTTGACCAAGAGCTCGATATTATCGTGATCTTGGAATTCTTCCTTGCATTCTTCACTGTAAAAGCGTGATGCAAAGTAAGGCTGTCCCTTTGATGGAACTTGGCGTCTCATGTCTTTTGCAGATCGCACAGCATGAATGATGGTACTCTCAGACGTGAGATTGAGAGGAAGGGGATGCACAGTCGTGAACCATCCGACAGTTCCTGAAACATCAAGTAAGAGATTATCAGATTGTTCTCGACCATGTCCTTCCAGGAAAAGCGCGGGCACAGAGCGCTCAGGAAAGGCCTGTCGGAACGAATACCCAAATACACCAAGGATAATGTCCAACGGCTCCGTTCGTAAGGCATCATTGGATTGACCCATAAGAAGACCGGTGATATCACTATCCAGGCTGAAGGAACGATCCTCGGAATTGGTACGAGTATTTTCAGTTGGATCGAAGTCCCAGAATTCGAAGTCGGCCTTCGGAACTTGAAAAGGTAGGACCTCATCAGGACGCAATTTGCGAGCCATATCACTCTGTCCGTGGCACCATGCGCTAAATGAAGGGCTGCTTTGTGAACCAAGCTGGCCAAACTTGACATGTTCTTCGATATCGCTCCATATTATTCGCCAAGAAACAAGATCCACAACCAGATGATGCGCAGAGAGCACTAGCATTTGCTTTTCATTTTCAATATTGAAATGATCACCAGCAAAAACAGGCCCGACTGAGATGTCTAGCGTACCTTGTCGAGCTTGTGCAATTTCCAGTACATCAGACCTCCTGGTCACATTATGTTCATCGAACGCAAATTGATGATTATGATCATTCACTTCAGCGACAAACTGTGTCCAAACACCGGACCTGTCTTGATGGAAGCGAGCCCGGAGCATCCCATGGCGATTGACAACTGCCCGTAGTGCATTGTAGAGAACCGTAGCTGGAAGGTCCTGAGTCATCTCAAGAAGAAAACTTTGATTGAAATGATTGAGACCATTTGGAAAGAGATTGAGATACTTCATCTGTATCGGTGACAGAAGGAAAGGCACGCTTGTGTCCAAGTCTTGACTGGCTGAGCTGGCCGACCGGCCAGTGGTTATCAATTTTGTGCAACGCGGTGCCAGCTTTTGAATGGTTCCAGCCTGTAAAACATCACTCATGCTGACGGAAATCTGTTGTGCCCGGCATTTTGAGACAACCTGCATGGCTGTAATGGAATCGCCTCCAAGTTTCGTGAAGGCCTTGTCAATACTAACAGCCTTTGTCGGTAGCTTCAGGACGGAGACCCATACCTCCTGCAATATCTTTTCCATTTCCGTTGATGCAGCGACTGCTTCATTTTCCTCTGAAGCGGCGCGGTAATCTAGCCATGAAGCAATGCCAATCTTGCGAAGGGCGATGCGATCAATCTTACCAGTAATAGTCATTGGGATGGATGGAACCGGAATAAAAGCTGCTGGCACCATGTATACCGGCAGCTTCTGAGCCAGGATATCGCCAAGTCCTTTGCAGGCTATCCGGACTGAACAAGCGTGTTCCTCGTCTGTTTGATCCTTTGATATATTCATTTTGAGGAAAACAACGAGCACCACGGTTTCCATGTCTACTGGTTGAATGGTTTCCGCATATACTTGCAGGGGTTTTCGCTCCGAGTTTGTCGCCAGGAGTGCCTTTTGAACGTGTTCCTCCACTTCGCCTAGCTCCACCCGTTGCCCCCGAATTTTCACCTGCGTGTCTTTACGGCGAACATAAACAATGGTGCCATCCTCGTTGTATCGCACCAGGTCGCCCGTGCGGTATAGGCGTCCATGTCGGCCGCGGTGCCGGTGCCCCGGTCCCCCTTGTAAGAGCCAGATTGGATCCTCCACAAATGATGCTGCAGTTCTTTCCGGGTCATTAAGATACCCATTACCGACAAGAGGTCCTTCAAGACAGAGTTCGCCGACCATACCAACAGGTGTGAGTGACTGAAAATTCGCCGGATCCACAATCCACGTACAGACACCAACTCCTCGGCCAATGGAGATTCGTCCACTGGCGTCAATATTATGACACGTTGTCATTGGTGTGCACTCTGACGGACCATACATGATCTTTACCTGGCAATTTGTGCCAGCCAGAGAAACAACGTCCTTCGGCAAAACCTCTTCACCACCAAGAAGAAGCGAATCCAGCCGTGCAAGGGCTTGATGGTCAATATGACGTGCAATAGACGGAGTGAGGAAGGTGAGTGTAATGCGATACATTTCAAAGCACTCAAACAGTGTGTTCTGGAGTTGCTCATCCGACGGGACACAAAGAGTGGCCCCGCTCGTAATCGTATGGAGAAGATTGAACCAAGCTGCATCGAACGCATATGACGAAAAATCAAGGACACGAGAGTTACTGTTGAACCCAAATGCCTCATGCTGACAGGTTACTGCACTACTGTAGCTCTTATGAGTGATCTGCACGCCCTTGGGAGTACCAGTGCTTCCCGAGGTAAATACAATGTAAAGCACGTTCTGTGGATCCACCACTGGTAATCGCGATTGTTCTTCAGAGAAAGGCGTGTTGAGGAACTCAGTTCCAATGGACAAGACCTTACACCGACCGATGCGGTGCGCCAGATCTCTCTTTGTGATCGATGAAAGGATTAATCGCGCCTTGGTTTGGTCGACGACCGTTCGAAGTCGTTCCTCTGGTTGTTTCGGATCCAGCCCAACGGCGGCTGCCCCAGTCTTCATGACTCCAAGCATCGCAACAGACATCCAAATAGACTTCTCGAAGCATAAAGGTACCGTTGATCCGGGGCCTATACCCTGATCAAGTAGTCGATGGGCCAATCTGGTAGATTGTTCATCGAGCTGACCGTATGTCCAAGTGCCATCCCAGGCTTCAATAGCGAGCGCTTTGGGGTGCTCCAAGACTTTGAAGCGAAAAAGCTCTTGTACAGGGACGTTTTCTGCTTCGCAGACATCTGAGTTCCATATCCAGACATCTTCTAGGTCCCGATTTGTCATGATGTCAAGATCCTGGAGCTTCACAGTGTCGGATTCTGACCTGGACAATTGACGAATGATCTCTCCGAATTGGGAGATAATGCGTTGAATCCTTGACTGGGAAAAGATTTCTGAGGCAAACGTGATACAGAGACGAAGCCCCTGATCGGTGATTTGGCACTCTGTGACAAGAGAATGATTGCCCAACGTTTGCCCTGACAATTCTTTCTCAATCATAGTGGCCCCTTCAATCTGCTCTTTGGCAGATCTAAAAACAAGGAGAGAATAGAGCTCGGATGCAGCAGCTGCATCTGTACCGATTTGGCGGATCCAATGCAGGCCAGGTCCTTCATGTAACGCAATATCCTCTGCCTGGCTCTGAAGGCTCTGAAGGAAGTGACTAACACTGGAATTGAAATCTAGGACGGCCCGGACTGGCATCTTTGAAGTTATATGTGTAGTGACCGACTTGCCTCCTGGCACTACCACTTGTTGCCTATCCATATTCACACCGAACAGTGTCTCGTCAGACTCGCCAAGCCTGGCTAGCAGAATCGACCACGCTGCTCTGATGACTATCTCGGGTAAAAAATCACGATTCCACTTGATTGCTCCAAGCATCAAGTGAACGTCTTTCAGAATACCAACAGATGCTGGACTCGTAGAAACAAGGAGGCTGTTCTTTTGTATACTGGAGAGCTGTGCTTTCCAAAACTCCACTGTCGAGCTCTTTGAGGTACCAAAGGTTGACACGAAGAAATCATCGTAGAGAGACTTGGGCCTTTCTTGCGCAACAACGTTTCGCTCATTGTTAAAGCTATCAGACAGACTCTCTGGCTGAAGTGCGGTCTCTGAAGAAGTAAGATACTGAGTGACCGACGAAAGTAAGGTGCAAACTTCTTGCGCCACCTCATGACTAATAGAATACTTGTTATAGTACAGCTTGAGATCCAAGCTATCGGGGTTCAAGTAACCCTCAAGAAGCAGATCAAACTGAGTGTTCTTGTTAGTCGGGAGTCGATTTGCTGAACATTGTTGAGAGTACATACCTCATGTGGGCTGACCATATGATATTGTTCAAAAGCGAATGTTTGTCCATCACCCTCTCCAAATGGATTGGTCCTGAGCAACGATACCATGGTGTTGAAAAGTCCACCAGATACACCTAAAGCATGCTGTATTTCTGCCAAGGAGATTTGCTGGTGGTTTCTTTGCGCTTTCAACATGTCTTTTGTTGAACCAATGAGAGAACAAAGAGAAGCCTGAAGATTTATGCGACTGATCAACATGTTCGCTAATGGTCCAAAGATTCTGTTGCTTCCCTCAACTGGGATATCTCTTCCGGACGACATGTACCCGAAGCACACATCATCCATTCCAGAGTAATGGGAGAGAACCAATGCCCATGCAATATGAACAAACACTGAGCGTGTTATGCCAGCTCGCTTGCAGAATCCAGTAATATCTGCCAGTGAATCTGCCGAAAGGGCAATTGTGTGATGGATATCAACTTGCTGAACACATTCGGACAATGGATACTGTATTGGGAACTTGCACCCCTTTGTTCCAGAGAGGAAGTCAGTCCATAAGTTGAGGATCTCAGCATCTTTCCTGTTCTCAATGTACCTTACAACCTCGCGAAAGGGTGGAGGAGTTGACTGTAGTCGGCCATGGTAGACATCTACCACATCCCGTAGCAGGATGGACAGAGAATACGCATCACAGAGGGTGTGGCAAATATCCAGCCGGCAGGCAACTTCACCCGTGCTGGACTGACAGATGGTAAAAAGGTGCTTCGGCTTGTGGGCTGTGAAACCTGGTCGTTCAAGCTTACAGAGGGTTTCTTCGGGGCAAAATGAGGCTGTAACTTGAGAGACTGGGACATCCGATGTGTTCAGAACAATTTGACAGAAGTTCTTTCCATCCGGATGGGGACCGAAGACCGTTGAGAATATTTCGTGTTGGCTTGCAGCTGTCTTCCACGCGGCCTCGAGTCGGTTTGTATCAATCTTCTCCCCATTGTATGACACACATTTCCAGACCCAATATACTGCGTAGGAAGACGAACTCATGAGTATGCCTTCTTGTAGTGGAGAACAAGCGAAGACGTCTTTGATCTCATCAAGCTCGACTTCAATTTTGGGAAGCTGCTGTATGTCCCAGCCGCGATTGAGGATAACTGATGGGGTGCTAGATGCCATGAGGCTAGGTTGATCAGGCTTGTTTTTCCGCATCTTGATGATAATCTGAAGAGTAAAGAAGTACAGTATACCAAGTTCAATGAGATGTAAATCTTGAGAATTAGAAATTGAGCTTGACAAGATACCCTGATGTACACCCTTTAAATTTCCAAGGTATTTCAAGACACATTAATGATGTCAGAATAGCGGGATACGTATCTTTCCTACATAGACCTTCACATTCAGCAGCAACATCCACATGGTGGGTTTTACTTTCTGTATTCGTTTTGATGATCTAGAGTATGCACATAGTGCTTCTAGTCATCCCCAATGCGACTCAGCCAATCAGATGGGTTGTGCCAAAACTCAATAATACCAAAGTCAAGTCTGGTACTCCAGGCTTACTCTCTGCACATCCGAATATTGGCCAATGAGAAGACATGGCTATGCCAAGACTCAATAGCATGTGCAGGTTTAAGTTCCGTTAGTCTAGATCCTCTGCCCCTCGGGAGATCCCCCAGCTATCAAGCCTCTTCCCAATAGATCTTTCCAAGCTCGTGATAGTAGTATCACTCACAGCTATCTGCCCTCTCTAAAAATCATATCTTGTCAGTGCTCTCACCTGTCTTGGGCTCTTCTCCAGAGTGTTCCTTTACCGCGATTTATGTAAAACGAGAGGCCCAGGCAACCAGGCACACCTAGACATCTTTACCAATTTTTCAGACATGATGAGCCTACGATAAAAGGAAAGTGGCGGTGAAGATGATGAAGATCCACGTGGGGGAATAACAATGACTACGTCGGTCGTGATCCACACTGATCCACCGATCAATTACTGGCATAGTTCTGCGATCTTACTTGGTTTTCCTGGACGATTTATGGTTTCCTGTCGCGTTAGTCACCCCGTGCAGAATATAGATCTCATGCCTGTCTCACCTTTATGGCGTTCCCAATATTTTAGCTTTCTCGAAACTGTAAGTAATCAAGGAGAAGTTGACCAGAGTGGGTCTGTTTAGAGTTTCGATTAGGTTATAGATATGTATCTCATTCCTTACTTGAGTAAAGACAATGGAATGTATTGGATCGACGCCAACCTTGGAAGGGATCTAGTTACCAAGTAATGCTGGGATTAGCCCATCCAGAATACTCTAGAGCGCCACGCAATACAAGAAGGGGGCACTAGGAAGGTTAATTGTCAAACCAGTCATGTTGGGAAGTCTTCAAGGCAGGATATTTCATCCGAAAAAAAGTTGATATAAGCTTTTCAATCAAATGACTGAGGTCTTCAAGCACAAATGGGATATGACAAGCCAGGCAATGCACGACTCCTACTAAGAGGCAGGCCAGAGAGGAATGGAGACATTGTTATCATGTGTCAAATTGCCCAACTTGCGAAATGTCATCTAGGGCTCTGTGATTAATTTCAGCTCATTCATAACCACTAGAGGACGTACAAGCAAGATTCTGAGTTTGTCCAAATCTGCAAAGACAGAGCTGACAATTGGGATTCGTCCCACCTTTGCGGCATATACGAGCTTCTAGAAGACGCAAGGGCTGTTGAGCAATTTTGGAAGTAATAGCCGAGGCTCCAATGTTCCTAGCGCATTTAGTTGGCGCCATAATCATAGGAATAAAGGGGGGTGGGGGGAAGTCTCCAACTTGTGAAGTTCATTTATATGACTTTAATGCTTATTTTTTGATACGTGATAAGATTTAGACTGAGCAGACTCCACCAACCATAGCTATAGGCCTCCATCAACTGAGATTCCCGGCTCCTGCAACTCTGCAAATTTTCAGGAATGTGCCTCCATCCCAGCCCTCAATGGCCGTCTCACCGGTCAAAGCCTTTCCAAAAGTCCCAGTCCGGAACCAGTCAGAGTAGAGAGATTGGGTATTTTGAGGTAATATGTCTTACCGATGTCATCCGAAAATAAATGGATGAGAACCATAGTACAGTGGACAATAAATGGAAAGTGAAAATAAAATGACAAAACATTGATATCACTCAAAAAAAAAAAACGACAAACAGACAAGAGACCTTGCAAAGTCAATCAAAAGCTTAGGCCCACAAATGTATCAAGAGAAGCCCTTTTAAAAGAACCGGGCCCATCATATTTCTCACTAACAAGCATTTTTACAATTTGGCACAGTTTCTCACTAGAACCCCTTTGCTTGCTCCTTCAGGAACCGGCTACTGCCCAGAACCCGGACTCTCTAGCCCCCTGCAGCTCCGATGTAGTCTGTGGTCAAGTACTTACTTCGTGCTGGAAGCTTATTGTCCTCTTTATCTTTTCCCTTCTGTTATCCTCATCTTCTAAGCAGAATAGAGCATATCGCCCAACAACACCCCCCCCCCCCCCCCGCCTCCAACCCCTTCCCTATCACCGCAGCAATACATAAGAGAAAAGATTTGCGAGCCGCGCTTCGGGTCGTGGGCCTTTAAATGACCATAACTTTAGACTTACGGTTCTATGCTCTTTGTAAGTAAAAATTAACATTTTGATTCCAATTGTTTAGTAAGTTGAGTGACGGACTGTAACAATCAACCAGGGAACGGCTGTCTCAGTACAATGCTCGATTTATGTGTTCCTTTTATGGTTGGATTTGTCCATCTTGTCCCGGCTAAAGCTTCAGTAGTCCTCGTCGCCAGAGCTCTCCTCCTCTTCCTCTTCTGTGTTGCTGTCTTGTTCGTGGAGGAACAAGCTTCCTGTCAACATCTTCTTGAACGTCTCCTGCTGCCGATCGCACCACCACGCGTGCCGCCCATGCCGCTCATACGGTGTAAAGCTCACTGGTCTGTAATTATGATGAAGCTGCTCACGGAAGTCCTTGTTGCGTTGCCTTCGGATCTTCCGCTGCAACCACTGATGGGCCATCGGATCGCGGTCCACAACCTGCTCAATGACGGGATCTTGAATCCTCCAGGGATCAAAAACACACAGAAAGTCCGACAGTAAGCAAGTCTGCTCGAGATCCATACTTGCAATACACTCTTGCTGTTTGGCATCCTCAAGCAGCATCAGTTCCCAGATTTGATAGTGGGCACGGATGAAGCGGATTTCTTCAGGAAACGACAAGACCCTGGAGACTTGTGGGTCACAGTGGAGGCCTTTCTTCAAACGATCATGAAATGCAGTGAGCAGATAGTATGCATTTTCGGAAGTTTCATTGAGCCGAATAACGTCTGAGACTTTGAGGACCTGTGCATCGATGGCGAGATGTCCCTGCGTGGCCAGGAGAGCCCGTAAATCTTCGTAACAGGGTATGGTCGCGGATGAAACTTGATTGCAGATGTATGAAGTGTGCTCCTTCCAGATTTTGTTTAGCCGTTTGCAGCTTGCAGCGAGGTTGGCAACATTTTTGAATGAAGAGGAGCAACCGAAGACCACCACCAGAAGCTCGGTCGGCAAAGTCAACAGCGAGACGCCCTTTACGGGAGACAGGATCGCCATGACGCAGTAAAAGTTAAGTCAGCTAGCAGTTCGTGACGAAGAAGAGGAGCTGGACCAATATTGTGAGATTTTTGAAGAGTTGCACGGGTTGATAAAGTTATCTATGAACAGATAATCTCACACATGGTAGGTGGGTAGAAAAAGAGCAATAACTGAGAGAATAGGGGCAAACTGCGTACTGAAACAGTGAGAAGTGGAAGAAAAAGAGTTTTTCACTGACATTGGGTTAGAGGCCGTAGAGAGTGAAAGGAAGTTGGAGCCTATTCATAATGCACTGCCTCATGCATGCGTCACCTGACTTAGCAACCCCATTTGAAAGTGACAGTGAGTTATACGCGGCAACTTTCCGAGACAAAGAGGTACCATATCTTTCGAGAACAATTTACAGTACACGGTCAATGACTTGATTACGTAGATGCCATTTTTCGGCATTGCCCCCACTCCTTGACTGTACTGGCGGATTATGGGAAGATCAAGTGACTACACTATATGAGGTTGAGCCGCAACCACGTGATGGCATTGTGGAGAATAAGAAGAAACAAAACCACCTTCTAGCCTTTCTTAAATTCTTCGATGTGGAAGATGAAGCTTTCACTGCATGGTCATTTTGAAAAATTAGCCTATGGGTAGATACATGCGAAGAGGCCTCCAATACAACTTGCAATGCGGTGTTTTCCAACCTCACTTGGGCAGGCTGAAGCTAGTGGAGCCTCATCCTGAGAACATGTTCTATTACGTGTATGTCTAATTCATACATGATCCATCAAATCATGTATTGTCGTGGGTGGGTATAACTTGGAAATACTGCTTGCAGTCTTTTAAGGTTGAGAATATATATTTGAAATCATCGAACCTGACAAAAGGTTGTTCAAACCTTGGAAATCTTGGGAAATAGCTCATATGATCTTCGTTTAGAAAAGTAACTTCAAATATCATAACCTATCTCGCTGTCGGTTTTAAAGATGTCTCCAGGTAATTACCCACAGTTTAGAAAATTGATTATGTAAAGAATCATGCCAAAGAGCTCGGAGATACAGTTCCTCCGCGCCACAAGGCTGCCTTATCTACAAGCCCCTCTCTTTGTCTACTTAGTCCATTTGCCATTTAGCCACATCACGTAAGCGTTTGGTCAGGCCTTCGATGACTTTGTGTGATGTCTGAGACTGTCTGCAATTGGCATGGGCTCTAATACCCTTAATAGCAGCCGCATCGGCGGTGCTAAATCCCGGTCGGGGTGCAAAACTTGCAAGTTAGTACTGATCTAGCCTCATTTCAGGCTAATGCTAACTAGCCACCAGAATTCGAAGAGTTAAATGTGGCGAGGAGAAGCCATCATGTCTTCGCTGCTCCAGCACCGGGCGCAAATGTGAATATGGAGGTACTAGAACATCCTCCGTACTTTTCGCCCCCAACACAGCGCCTCCCAGCTTCAGTCTGATGGCATCCCCGAATAGTGGTTGTCACGAGCGGCGTGCCTTTGAATACTATGTCCAGCATGCATCCAACGGACTTGCAGCAGGGATGAACGTCGATTTCTGGACTAAAGTGACCCCGCAAATATGCCGCACCGAGCCTGCTGTGTGGGATGCCATAATCTCAATCAGCGTCTTATACGAACATCCGGATCAGTGCCTGGACTTCCCGCTCCTGAAGCTGCAAAAAGAAAAGAAGTGGGGCCTGAATCAAATTCAACGAGAGGCCTTGACTTGGTACTCCCGCGCCATATCCAGCATCCACTCCCAAATTGCGCGTGGTAGAGCAGATCCATATGTCGCACTGATTAGCTGTGTGCTATTCATCTGTATAGAGGCCATTCAAGGCCGTGTGATAGAGGCTCTCCAACTCTATGAGCAGGGTGTGAATTTGATTCTTACCTTGCGTCATCAAGTTGCTGTTGGCATGCTCTCCCCCCATAAGGCCTTACTTCTAGAAAAGACTGTCATACCCCTGTTCTTACGGTTGGGCTCCATATCTTTGACTGTATCAACGGTTAAAATTAGCGAGATCTTTGCCTTTGCGAATAATGACTTGAATACCACGTTCACATCCTTCGATGCAGCGAGAACTGCCATTTCTGTTTTATTTTCAGAGGTCACGATCCTTGAGCGAGAAGCAATGCCACATCGCAGAGCAGCCATTAGGGACTTGATTCCAGATGCGCAATTGCTTGCCAAGCAGCAATCGCTCCAAACAAAATTGAACCATTGGCACCATGCTTACACAAATCTCTGCCAACATACCGGCCGGGCTGAACGGTTACTCCTGGCATATCATGCCGCTATATCAATATACATCTCTACATGTTTGTCGCAACGGGAATTGGTCTATGATTCCCACATGTCAGACTTCACCGTCATCGTCGAGAATGCAAGTCTAGTTTTTGCAGCTTCAGGAGGCTCGGACTGTGTCCAACCACCCTTCACATTCGAAATGGGCTTGGGTCTCCCATTGTTTCTGACTGCAGTCAAGTGCCGCGATCTACACCTGCGACGGAAGGCTTTGGGATTATTACGTCAAGCACCACCGATTCAAGCACTCTTCACCTGCTCCCCTGTGGCTCTTATGGCAGAGAAGTGTATGGAATTGGAAGAGGATTACAACCGTTCCATAGCACTTACACATGATCCACAACTCTCTTATCCGTCTCCTCAAAGCTGTGGTTCGGATTCTTCTCCACTCTCTGCGTTGGAGCATGAGTCTACCGGTGATCAGTCTACCCTGATGCCCGAAGAGGCTCGCATTTGTTATTATAATTTTTTCCAACCTCAGGATAGGTGCTCTCCAGGGGTGATGAAAGCAGGGGTAATGGAAGGAGACACTACTGGAGATAGGTATGGTCAAGTATTTGAAGCCTTCCGGAATTACTATGATACAGTCAGCAATACGTGGCGCACGATATCCCATCGTGTGCTGTTATAGCAAAGGAGGATTTTTGTTTTTGGGAATATACCGGTGCATCAGTGAAACTGGAATTTAAAGCGTCACAATTCGGCCTAGCAATAGGTAGAATTTAAAAGAAGCGATGTGCACTCTCTGCAGAGCTTGCTCCTGCACCGCACACGATAATTTTGAACCTCTACTTCAGCCTTGAAATCGCTATATGCCTATGACCATCATGGCTCAGGCCTCATACGAAAGACTTCTCAATGCTGCTGAGCAAGACCAGTCATTAACTCAAGCCGTTTTTTGAGATGGGTACTTTAACCTGGATCTCGACTGACCTGAGGCCGTGGACCTGTAATTTTGATTTTGCGCGTAGTTTTATAAGAATGCCTTCTGAGTTGGCGATAGTCTTTCTTGATGTATCTGCCATCTTATTGATAAGCTTTTCAAGGTTAGCCCCGGCCTTGCTTTACGTATAATAGTAGTACCTGTATGATTACAGAGATCACAAATTAATTTGCTGACTACGACATTTATTATCATTCATCTCGACGCGCATACTGTAGGTCCACCGACCACTGTAGAGTCACGAGAACTGACTAAGCCTGATTAGGAAGGGGATCCGACAGGGCTGCATTCTTGACCATACCCGTTTGGAAAAATGGGTCTAGCAAGCTGTTCAAGTTGAGATATGGAGATTAGTGGGCATTTGGGCCACCATAATTTACCTCATCAAGCTCTTTCTTATTTGATTATTTGTATATGACTGTTCATAAAACCTCTCGCAATCTAGGGCTATACATCACTGTCGGGAATCTAAATGAAACTCATGGGCACATGAGCACTATCACGATAATGATTGTTGCAGTCTCGCAATCGGAAAATATATCTCAATGGTGGTGGTCGATAACATACCGCAACTACATATCAAACAAAAAGCGTCGAGTTACAAGGGGAAGCCCCCTAAACACTAGGGTGAACTGTACAGCTGAAGTTTATCGCAGTGAGGTGCCACCTGGCAGCGACGCCTGCAGACGGCCTGAATGAGCAGCCCGAAACCCCATGCCGGCCAGCGCGATATAGGCACCGACCGACAATTGTATCATTGTATTTTCTCTGCTTTTTTAAGCCACTTATTAAAGGCGAAAATTCCCGGATGCAAGGACCGATTAATCCAGTGCCACCTTCTATGCTTACTGTGTTGTAGGAAGCTACACATTGTCTGATTGGAGCCCAAAATGGTGGGTCCAGACAATCCAGTTTGATCAATGGAGTTGCTTGACGAGTGGACTAGTCCGCTTTTTCGACGACAGGAAGAGAGCTACAGCGTACCTACGCTCACTGAACAAACATATTTCCGCGGAGAACTTGGAATGACAGCCAGCGTCCCGTGGGTTGGAAGACAGATCTGTTTGGTTGGGGAACGTTTACACCAATCGGAAGCCTGCCGCATCTCGTATCTGGCCCCACTCACATTTCATTTGCGACCACAGACATGTGGTGACGCTGCTCTTGCTGGGCTGCATTCAAGGTCACACCGACCATTTTCCCGATTCGGAGTGCTTTCTCATCACAAACTCAGCAAGGGAGAGTCCAGGGAAGACTCGGAGCCGAGAAAAAAAGGGAGGGTGTATCCCACTTTAAGGATTCTCTTTAGAGGTTGGTGCATAGCGATCAGCAAAATCTAAAACATCTATACGAACCACTAGCCTTCATTTCGGTCGGTAACAAGTCATGTCAAAAGTCCTAACAAAATCCTGACTCGAGCCATCGAATCATCTGGACTTATTACCATTCCGGAGCTTTAGAGAGCCGGCCTAGACCCCTGCCTGTCCCAGCCCATCGGGTCTGTTAGCACTCCCCTTGATTAAATCATACAGCTAACTTATTGTGGGCCAGCGACCGTGAAACAGAGTCAAGGAGCATTGCAGTATCGATGCCGTCAATGACGAAAGTACGTTGTTGCATCTTCCATCTAGAGCTTGCTTGCCGACCTCTTGCCCAGGAATCCCAATTCTTGCGAATATGAGAGCAGTATACCGTACTTGCATTATCCCCGCACTTGGAACGAGCACGCCACTAAGGAAAATCTTGTGGCACAGTCTGAGACTATCACCAGACCCCGAGCTGAGTAACCGCGTTTTATGTCATAGCTTACGAGGATTAATCAAGTAATGGCTCGTCGGCCGAGTGATTCCGCAAATAAGGTACGACCGAGAGTATGACCAATGATTGAAAAGGTTGAAAGCTGGACTTAAACCTATAGCCTTATAGTCTTAGTACCTCGTGAAGTCATCCACTGTTCTCACAGCCGCTTTAGTCATTGAATCAACGGCATATTCCATAGAAAAACAAGCCGCAACCCCAGCTGGCCAAGAATTCTTCACTCCTAATGGCAGGATTTTCCTCCGGGACCTAAAGATTGGTAAAGTATATCAAGTTCCGTTCCATTGTTGAACCGAGAGTTTATCCTCCAGCACGCCTTCAAGCACTATATATTCAAGTGTAGAGAGAAGGAATTAATTTGTAGAAACTCATGATCACTCACTCCTTTGTATCGGACACGAAATGCAATCTTTTCGCATCCCCACTTGGTCCGAGATATCAGTATTCTGGGGCGAATATTTATCAATGAATACACCAAACGAATTCTCCCAATGGGATGAGTTCTCAGACGCATCCCCACCTCCCTCTCCATACAGTGGAGACGAATGCGATCACTCTAAAACCATCAAATACTCCTCATGTACTGCAAAACAACCCGCCTCCAAAGACCTCGAGGAGTCTTTCTTTCAGTCATCCGAGAAGAAATACCGAAGCGATATGTACAATGCCTTGAAGAGCTACGAAGAAAGCTTTGACCAAGTACGACTGATGAAACGGGTCTTGTGTCGGGATGGCACCTAGTTGGATGGAGGGACTCTGCTTCCTCGACCCGGCAGTCCAACTGGACAAATGAAATCAGGTGCCTCTTTCATGTATATGATACGAGGCTTCCTACGTTACGACGAATGATACCTAATGAAGTCACGTGGTGGGAAAAAAAGCATGCTACAATTATGGATAAAATATTTGGATCAAAAGTATATAACAAGAACATGCTGCAAAGAAAAGAATCGATGATAAAATTTTTCCTTTGGCCTGGAATGACGTATTCGAGTATTTGTTGAATTTTCCCGGACAGGTGTGTCGAGGTTTATCCCGTAATGGTGAGGGGAGTCCTGACAAGGTCTGGGTAGCCTGTGACTCTCAAATTGAACTCATCGCTATCGATATCCTCGCAGAATTGAGAATATGCATTTAATTGCTCAGTCAGACGCTGGATAAGTTCGGAGTTCCTCATATCTTGTATGTTTGTATTATGTAAGGAATCCGTAACCGAATCCTTGAAGACCTCTCGTCGCTCATCGCTACGAAGAAGCCAGGTGTGATAATACGTTTCACATTGTAATGATAGACAATAGAAGAAAGTATCCAGGATCCATTCTTGCCGCCGGCCTAACCCCAGGTAAGTCGCCTAATTTCATTAGATAGGGGTCCGAGAAGACAAAGATAGTGGATAAGGAGTGAAGACATTTCACTCTTTGGCTGTCAAGACTGTGGGTAACGAGAACAAGAAAGAATGTGACACAAATGAAAATTGATCAATGATGCCCATCTACTTTGCGCTCGTAGGATATTGAGTTTTATATTTCTCACATAAGATATCGATGTGGCCAGTCAGTTCCTGCGCGGAGTCCTTTTCCGCGAGGGGTGTGTGTGGTATTTGGACCTGGTTCAACACGTCAAACTTATCTTCTGAACTTGCCCCAGTCTCTGCAAATGCCTTAATGATGAGTGCAACATGCTGTGGTCACCAAAAGCACACTGTTGATCAAAGACCAAAATTCACACTGTCCATGCCATGGACAACAGTCATCAGCCTAGGTCACATGCTTGTCTCGCTCTCGCCCAAGCTATATGGGCTACGTTCGCGCAATCCAAATCCACTCAGTCTACAGCTACGAAATCCACAACACTCACTCGCCAAAGGGTGATCTAGAGTGTCGGCTGTGGGGCGTTGCTGCTCGCCCTCGCTACATTCAGCCCAGATGTCGATACGAGACAGCAAAGACCATCCCAAAGATATTATCTTACCTGGTCATGATCAGGCTCCATCATTTGAACTACGTGCAAAACAGCCGAGACCAAATCTTTGTCGAGAGATTATTAATCTCTCAGCATGACTTCCCGCGCCAAGCATGTCAGTGACTATTGCCGAACCACTTGCCGGCAAGAAAAAGGAAGATGAAAAAGCAGCATGGGTGGACAAGCTATCAGGAGCGGCTCTACGAATCAAGCGAAATTATGAATATGAAGGACCCCGCAATGTCGATGCCAAAGTACCGGGAAGTCTGGTGGTCTCAGCTCAAAGTTAGATGCACGTCTCATCGGTCCGGTAAGCCCGTGCGGGTAATTGCGAGATCGCCGTTCGGCCAAAAAGGAAAGGCTCAGAATGAAAGTTTCCTAGCAACGAACCATTACGAAGCAGGTGAGTCTTTTGGGTTCCTGGATCTCGGAAGGGGGCTTATTATTGGCAGTCGTTTGGTTTCAACTTCACCGGTGTTGCACCAACAAAGCCCCTTGCTGAGCCGAGAAACCACCACCAATTTACACGATTCTCGATAACAGCACTGAGCCCAAATCAAAATCAGGTTGGCGAGGAGATGACGACAATAGATTACCTTCAGCGGAATAACGGCAAATACGGCAAACTACCATCTTAGGAGAACGGGTGCTGCATTTTAGGTTCCATATGCGTCGTTGGAACATCAAAAAGTGCCTGCACAAGGAGCCTGGAACGGTTTAGCGGCCATGGATGCCTTCATCATCGTTTGTGCGGATGACTTGCAGGTCGCCTTTGCGATACGGGTACCCATGGAGTTACGTTGAGGATTCTTGCTGCCCACTTTTGCTTTGCGATCGGGATAACTACACATGCTGGAGGCCTCTCGCTATATCTCTGAGAGACATGCACATTCCGACTTTTAGATACATTCTCAGCCGTATATGTCATGCAAAGCTCACCCCTTCAAGATGGGTAAGTGCGCACGGGCTCGACCTGGCGGACGCCACCGTGCGGCGGAGGGTCTTCAAAACGCTTCCCGGAACTGCGCACACCGACTCATCCCTTGCGAACTGGAGGGACTTTTGTGAACAACTTGCAGATCCTTGGCTAGTGGTGACATGCCGCCCAGAAAAATGTCCCTAATATATTGCCTTTCTATCTTCAACCAGAAGATGCTACAACAGACAGTCGGCCATGAGTTACAATTATTCTCACTCGTTTATCGAAGACCTTTTGGGGTTTTCTGAGTATGAGTCAGCACCACTTGACGCTGAATGGGCTCCGCTAGGCTACGGTCCGTTGTCACTTGGAACTTTTACCAATGCGGCTCCAATCCCAGATGATCCCAACACTAGCCGCTCGCTGAACGCCAAAGTTCCTATCCCGCGAGCTTCAACGCCAGGCATTGCCAAAGCCCATGGCCGAGTGAGCCGAGCGTGTGAAGCCTGTCGCGAGCAAAAAGCGAAATGTAGCGGACACCAACCCACTTGCAATAGATGTGCCCAATCAGGTGCTAAGTGCTCCTATGGTGATCGAAAGAGGGAGAAGATAGTCAAGTATGTTTCACGCCACAACCATCAGCTGCTCTGACAAGTCCCAGGCAATTAACTGATTTGACCATCCGAGCGCAAACCTTCGAGGATCTGCTGCGAACACTCCATCCGCAACTGGATACAGCAGCTGCAGAACTGATCGAGCAAGCACTGACAACTGTGAGACTTGATCACAATCACATCAAGGCCGTAGTTAGTACTAACAATACCCAGGCCCCAATCAAAATCCCCAAAGCACCACAGCTCCCATATGGCTCCGTCTTTGCACTCGGCGCTTTTGACTGTACACAGGAAGACCTCAATCAGGATTCAAGACTGCAGTCAATGGGTTTCATAGGTGAACCATCGGAGATGGCATGCTTGTACCGACTCAAACGTCAACTTGATCAAAGCATCTCGACTCCTACTTGTAATCAGTCGATCTCTCACATAAACTACTTTCTGGATGATGCTGATGTTGTTGTTGATCAAGAGGTGGATCTGTCTAAGTGGCCCTCTCAAGCTGCGGCTGATCTGCTTGTGCATCATTATTTTGACATTATACATCCCACATTCCCAGCTATTGGGAAGCTGGCTTTCATTAGTCAGTACCGGAAATTTTATTCGAGCCCAAACGTGCGGCCGGGAAGCCGATGGCGAGCTGTGTTAAATTTGATCTTTGCCATCGCTGCGAGACATTTACTGCTCACAAGTGGTAAACCTTCAGTCGAGTTCGAAGATGATCTAGTCTTCTTTTCAAGGGCATGGCACCTCAACATGGACAAAGAAATGGCCCTGGAACACCCGGATCTACAACAAGTGCAAATTGAAGGATTGATGTCGTTTTACATGCTCTCTGTTGGTCATATCAATAGGTAAGTAATTACGTACGCCTCCGCTGCCATTATCACGTCTAACAAATACTGTTACATCTTCTTAGATCGTGGCGAATGATCGGCGTTGCTATCAGATCGGCTATCACAATGGGAATCAACCTTCGGAATGTTACCGAAACTGTTCCTCCATTGTCCAAAGAGACCAGATATCGATTATGGTGGGCTCTCATAACCCTTGAGATGGTTCTGTGTGAAATGACTGGACGTCCAACCTGCACGGGGGTGAACTTCTGCACGACACCACTCCCCGTGCCATATCCCGAGGAGGACTTTGGGGATGAGCGGATCATGAAGCTTATTACCGATCAGACGATTCGCAGCACCACCGCCATTTCTGGCTTGCCGAATAGCTCGATTACCTCGCTGGATAGTATCATTACGGCCAGCGCACAGCCCGAAGCCAACAACGGAATAAAGGTAGAACCAGAAGGAGCGGCTGAGATCCTGATACCGAACAGTTCGCTATGCCTACTATATGCAGTCGAACTCTCGCTTCTGATGCGTGATGCTGTCACAACTCTATATGCTCCAACAGCCGCCCAGAAATCTTGGCACGGGATTGAAATTGCTCTGTGCACACTTAACGACGATGCTGACAGATGGCTCTCACGCCTACCAGTAGAACTACAATTCAAGAGTCTCCGCTCAGGGCAACCATTCCTACGTCAGCGCATCAGTCTCGCATTTCAGTTCTATTCCACAAAGCTGGTCATCTCCCAGTCATGTCTCCGCCCAATAGCGGACCGGCTGTCGGAGGTGAAACCTGTGGTTACGCTATGTGAAAACATGGCTACCATGTGCGTCAAGATGGCAGGCCTCATGCTTGATATCCTTCCAGATAAACCCGACATGGCGCACCTAGAGGACCTTCCCCCATGGTGGGTTGTCTTCCATTATCTGATGCAATCCACTGTTGTGCATCTAGTTGAACTATTCACTCGGGCCCAGACCGGCACCCCCGAGGCTGTGGGTATTCTCAAAAACATTGGGAAGGCTACAGGATGGTTGGAAATGATGTCGAGTAGAGATCGGTGTTCCAAGCGAGCTTGGGTGGTCTGTATGGATTTACTCTCTACCCATGGTGCAAAGTTAGAGTTGGAGGCCGATTCTGAGAAATAGTTGCTAGCAAGATATCGAATTATATGCACCGATGTCAATGAAAAATTCCTTTGTTTACGATTCTCAGAAGTTTGCAATAGTCTGCATTCCATAAGCATGGTGCCGACCAATTAACATTAACTCCTCCTTTGGCAGATCAGGATTTATAATCGGATTATTAGGTTTAAATGACATTGCACCAAGTGGGGCGCCCAGATTTATTCGAGGGGAACAAATGCCGCTTCTGTTTACCGACCCCTGATATCACAGGGCTAAGGAATGTGGCTATCTGTCAATCTGAATCTAGTCTGACATTTCCCACTAGCAAGCTTCAACCGCAGCCATGGAGGCCATGGTGGGAACACAAAATAATTTCAAGGATTGGTTCACTGTCAAAATCGCACCTGCAGCATATAAGGTATAAATTCCGAGCATTTGTGAACCCGAATTACCTATGTCAAAGCACCGAAAAGATTAGGTTCAACATTTACGTTAATGTTCGCAAGCTCATCTCATGTCGATCATAGTCAATAATAATCGAACCAATCTCATGGAATTCGAGGGAATTCCCTTCCGGCCAATTGAACCATATTCTAGAAGGTAAACAATCAAAATGAGACACCAGCCTTCTTCTTACAGATTTTATAAATTCGGCACCGCAGCTACAACAAAAGCCCGCAAACATAATTTACCTTTCAAATCACCTGCAGGATGGCAATGTCTACCCGATCCAGATCACTTAGTCCAAGCGAATCAAATTCTGAGCTCAGACAAAACAAACACGGAATTCGATACAAGGTAACAGCAACCAACCAAAGCCATAGAATCATATTCTTACCATCTATCTAGTGGCCCGCTCGACGGCTAAACTATCAAGACTACGATCAAGGAAGAAAAAGAAAAACAGCTTCTTTCGCGTCAAACCACACCTTCAGTCTTGATTATACCGAGCTCGCCCCTCAAAGGAATAAGACTGATTTACCTCGCGAGCGGAAATGGGTGAATATTGTTGAAAGCCCACTATTCAACCACGGCAATGATAGCGCATTTTCACTCCCACGGTCCTCCAGACCTGGAATGAGCTTTTCGTCATTTCTGGCTTTGTCGAGTGATAGCCGAGCTTCATCTAGTTCCAGATCTACAGACTTGCCTGACTTGGAACTACGACCAACGCCGATCGATAAGCGAGGCCCTGGTAAAACCAACTTTCAGCACACAAATGGATCTCGAAGCTTTAGAAGAATCCTTGGTTGGCGCAAAAGGATGATCAGTCATTTTCATAAGATGTGGAAAGGGTAGTTGTTTTATAAGGTATTGGATAGATTTACCATAGAGCTAGGGCCTTGCTTTTTTTTTTTACTATCACTTGTAATGGATCCATATTCAATATTATATATTTTTCTTGATTCGTTAGCAAACGTCAGTGCTGCATATGTGAGGTTCTCATACAAATATTCAGGTGGCTACATGAACATATGTATTTGTGCACAATATGTAGTCAACTTGGAGTGGAGGCCACGAGATGAGATGAATATTACATCAAGGCCGGGAACTTTTCGAGAGCACCTTATCTATTCAGTGAGTACCAATGCAGACTACAAAAGCCCAAGTCCAATGGTGTAGACTTCTATAGATGCTACTTATCTCATTCGAGGCAATCGGCTCGGTAGAATAAGCCAAACTGTGATCGGACAGAAACGAATTGCCATCCAGTATATTGTACTACACTCTGCAGCCTTCAAGTGCAGGATGCAACTAGGATAAGCCCCTGCCACAGAACTTTGAAGACTGTTAGCTAGAAAAGGACAATCAAAATGATACCGATCTGACCCATTTAGCCCACTTGGACCGCTGGACCTGATTCAACCCGGTTCCTTCGAGCCTTATTGCTCTCGAACCTGAATCCGACTTCGAGCGAAATTGCACAAATGACATAGCAAACCATGGATTTAACTTCACGTAATGTTCCATGTATATTGCCTAAAGATTTGATTCAACTCTGGAGACTTTTTTTTTTTTGGAAAATCAACAAAGCCCCAACATGTCCCGAGATTAGTCTAATTCGATTCTTGACTTAGGCACCATCCAATGCTGGTGGCATTGATTATGGTGTCGTAGGTGTAGGTGCTAGACAGATACCCAAGGAAACGTGTGTAGGTGGTACATGTAGCTATCGGGTTAACAAAAGAAAGGTTATGCATAAGAAGCCTAGTTATGCATACTGATAAAGCAGCAAAGATCAGTCGCTCCGGCTTGAACGGAGTGTATAGGTGGTGTCGCCAATGACATAAGCCATAGGTCGCCATTAACTAGGCCTAATTAGGAAATAAATTAATTTTCAATGGCGACCTTTGCTTATATTATTAGCCTCGGGTCCTGTAATTTTAGTCTTAATATAACTATATTATAGAAGTATTTAGGGCTAGACCTACTACCTTACTTTATACCTATATTCTAACTCTTTAAAATTTAATAAATCCGGCAAAATATTAATAGAGGTAGAGTATAAGGTAAGTACTTAATAAGCACTTAGAATTATTCTACTAATTATTATCTATCTAGATACCTCTAATTTATCTTATCTCTATCTCTAATACCCCTTTATATATATAATATCTTAAATATATCTAAGATCTCCCTAAATATCTATAAATATATAAGAATAGCTTTACTTATATTATTTCTATATCTAAAGGAATAGAAATAAAGATTAAAACTATAGTTAAAAGTATAAGTACCTATTAAGCGTTTTATAAGCGCTTAGGAAGTGCCTATTAATCTTTAAAAAGATATAATACGCTATATAGCGAAATTATATATAACACTCTTTAAATTAGTAATCTCTTTTTAGGGATATAGATTATTTCTATAGTATAAGTATTTATATTAGAGTTAAGGTCTATAAGTAGATTTATCCTAATCTATATTATATATATTATTCTAAGGTAGATAACGAAATATAGAAAAAGATATAAATAATTTAGTATAGGGTCCTCTTCTAATCTATAGAGGAGCTATAGAGATATATAATTAAGTAAGTAAAGCGCTTACTAAGCGTTTTTTTAATATTTTCTAAGCGCTTATACTCTTAACTAGTAAATATTAAGTATACTAATAGCTATTCTAACTAGATAACCTATATATATCTTATATATAGGGAGTTAATACTTATATACTAGCCCTAAAATATAGTGATTCTAAGGTTAGTATAATATTTACTAGCTTTAATTTATATATATATTAATATTATATAGATATCTCTTAGTATATAAAGGATATATATCTAATATATATATAGAGACTCTAATAAATTAGGATACTATATATCTCTAGCTCTACCTAGACTAAGAGAGATTAATATATTATTTCTAGAAGATCTCTTTAAATATAGAGTAAATCTTTAATAGATATATTATAGAACTATTAAGTAGTAAGCTTCTAGGCTTCGATTTTATAATATAGAAGTTATAAAAGCGCTTATTAAATATTTACTAAGCGCTTAATAGAGTTTAAATACCCTTAGGGTTATAGTAGGTTTACTAAAAAGAATTATAGTATTTATTTCTATTAGCTTATATCTAAGAACCTTAATTAATATCTATATTTTCTTTTTCTCTTAATTAGTAAGTATATATACCCCCTACTACTACTAGATAAGATACTAAGTTAAATCCTATAAGGAGTCTATAAACTAATTAAGTCTATATAAGACCTATTATTAACTATAAGTAAGCGCTTTAATAGCGCTTCTTAAGCGCTTATATAAGGCTAACTTCTCTATATAGGTAAATTCCTTCTTAGTCTAGCGCTTATAATATTCTACTAGTATTATAACGCGTTTTTATTACCTAAAATTTACTAAAGCTTTAGTAATATTAATAGAATAACTACTATTATTTAAAAATAGCGATTACTATTATTCCTAGCTAGATAGGATTTAAATAGTATAATCTTTAAGATAGAAATAAACTAGAAAGTATAGATAAGACCTTATATATACTTACTAAGCGTTTCTTAAGCGCTTACTAAGCGCCTCTAGGAGTATATTTAAGCTATCTTTATAGACTAGGGCTAGATAATTATATACCTTACTATTAAATAGGCCTTATTATTTATTAATAGCGAGCCCTTTAAAGTAGATATAGTAGCTAAATAGCTTTATTATATTAATCTTAGAGAGGTTATATTCATAAGGAAGATTTAGGACTACTAGAGAAGTAAATAAAGCGCTTTATAAGTACTTATTAATCGCTAATATTTACTAGTTCTTATATTTTATTAGATATATACTACTAAGGACTTATAATATAGATACTATCTCTTATTTAAGAGAGTATTTAACTATATTAAGTGGCTCCTTAAAAAGGAGTACTTATTTTAATACCTAGATAGTATTAATATTAAGGTAATTATTATAGATATAGATATAAAGTAATATAGAGATAAGTATAAATACTTTTAAAGCGCTTAATAAGCGCTTATATCTATTAGGTCTTAGTGATTTCCTCTATAAGATTAATCTAGTATATAAAGACTCTTATATACTATTAGTAAATTAGGTTATCTTTTATTAGATCTACTTTAATTAAGGTATTAATAATTATTTAAAGAAAGAAGTATCTATTCCTACTAGCGTAGCTAGTATTATAAGATTAATTTTAGAGATATTAACCTCTACTAAGTATTATAAAGCTTTAGATTAGATTATTAATAGTAAGTACTTTATAAGCGCTTATAAAACGCCTACTAAACGCTTATATATCTAGGGTTTAATTTATATAGTTTTATTTATAAGTAGATAAGATATAAGAAGTAAGATTAGATAGCTTAAGGCCTTTACTAGAGCTACTTACTAATTCCTATAGCTATCTTTTACTATCTATATAAAAATATAAATACTATTAAGTAGATATACTATAAGGGAAATACTTATAGGTATAGATTAACGCTTTTATAAGTATTAATAATATTAGTTAAGTATAGAAGCGCTTCTTATATACTTACTAAGCGCTTATAAAATACTTTATAGTAATTATTAAATTAATAAACTTAATATATAGTAATATTATAACTAGAGAAGTTTAGGTATCTAGCCTATATATCGTATAGGTAGTATATTAGTATAATATAATCGCTTTATTAACTAAGATATATTATAATTTATACTCTTATATTATAAGCTCTATATCTAATTAAATATAATACTTTTTTAGCGTTAAAGATATCTAGAGGCTACTAAGATAGATAATAATAATAAAGAATAATTACTTAGATTTAGTAATTATTTAACTATATTAGGCGTATTAATCCTAATTAGGGTTTTAAGATCTAAAAGATTATAAGATAGATTATAAAGGTATACTCTATAAGCGCTTAGAAACCACTTATTAAGCGCTTAATAAGGGCTTATTAATATATTTTAGGTTAACTAGCCTCTAATAATAAGTAATAAATAATATATAAGTAATAAAGGACTTATTAGTAGCTTCTAATCTATAGAAGTAAATTAATATAGAATCTTTAAAATCATAATTAATTAAGTAGTAAATAAAAATAAAGAAATAAGAGATAGAGCTAATAGAGCTTAAGAAGTAGGCTAATAAGCGCTTTATAAGCGCTTACTAACTACTTTTATTTTTAATTTTTTTATATTTTTTAAATTATATCTAGTAATTAGTTAACTATAAAATTAATTAATTAAATAATATTAATTAAATACTCTATTTCTACTCTTATATATCTTCCTTATCTAAGAAGACTAGTTTAGTATAATATAGCCTACTAGAGTATCTATTATATTTAAGTAATTAAAAAACGCTAGATATTTATAGTACTTAATATTTATAGGATATTCTATATCTAATTAGTATAGATTAATCTTTTAATAATAGATTATATATACTATCTAGGTTACTTATATATACTATATAGCTAGTATATAGATAGTTATTAATTATAAGAACCTCTAGGGTATATCTTATATTAGCCTTACTAATCTAGAGAGATATTAGCCTATATAAGCGCTTATTAAATACTTAGTAAGCGCCTTTAGAGCGCTTTTATAACTACTTATATAATTAGTCCTTATTAAAGGTATAGATAGGATATTAATAGTATATATAGTATTATTAATCCTAGCTTCCTCTTCTATCTCTTCTTCCTTATTTTTATTCTTAAAGAGCTTATTATATTACTAGTGGGCTTCTATCTACTCTATAATAATAACTTAGTCTATATACTCTAGCTCTACTATTATTCTATTATATATTATAAGATACTAGCGAAGATTCTATATTTATATAGGGATCTAAGCGCTTAGTAGATACTTAAGAAGTACTTAAAAGGGCTTACTTACTATAGATTAAGGGCATATTAGAATATAATAAAAGACCTCTTTAGGAATAACCTTAATATAATTATAGGTACTTCTCTAGATAAAAGTAAGTAAAGTTAAGTACTTAATAAACGCTTAATAAGTACTTATCTATTTAACCTTAAAAGCTAGTAGCTCTAATATTCCTTTTATATCTTCTTATAAATATCTTTTATAGGAAGGCTAGTTATAAAGAAAGGTTAGTATATAAGAAAGAGCTTCTTTAGATATTTTAGTAGATAAAAAGTAAAGTTAATAGAAATATTAATATAAATTAGAAGAGAGATATATAGAAATATATATCTTAAGATTATATAAAAATAGATATCTAATTTCTTATAGCTTTAAGGATATTTCTTTATTAAAAAGTAGAAAAGTCTAAAATCTATAGTCTCTTTAATATATAGTTATAAGATCTCGCTATTAATACTTCTTTTATAATATATTAAAGCTAAGTAGATTAAGTAGTATAGTATAAAGAAAATTATAAAATAAAGAAACTTTAGGTATTAATACTAAAGTACTTAATAAGCGCTTAAGAAGTACTTTATAAGTACTATCTAATTTAATCTTTAAATTATAGCTTTCTTTAGTACTAGCCTTAAACTAAGTACTTAATAAGCGCTTAAGAAATACTTAATAAGTATCTAATTTAATTAAATTATTACTCTTTATAGTAGTAGCCTTATACTTAGTACTTTTAGTAGTATTAAAGTACTAGAGGAGTATATAGATCTAAAAGTTCTTTCTATATACTAAGCGCTTAGTTAGCACTTAATTAGTACTTAAAGGGGTAAACTTACTAAATAGCTTCTTAGTCTTAATATACTAAGTATATAAGACTTAGATCTTTAGATTACGCGCCTTACTAGCCTTTAGGACCCTAGCTTAGGAGATCTAATAAGTATTAATTAGTTAAGCGCTTAATAAGTATTTATAAAATACTTACCTACTTACTCTTTATAACTAAAGGGTACTTAGGCTTAAGAGGCTAGCTTAAAGAGACTAAGGTAGTAATAAGAAGGGCTAGAGAACTAATAACTAGAGTCTTATATTACTTTAAGTACTTTATAAGCGCTTAATAAGTATTTTAAGTAAGAATAAAATCTTTTACTTATCTCTAACCTAATCCTTTCTTTTATTTTATAAGTTTCTAGTCTTAGCTATAATAATAGGGTAATCTTTAGTCTACTCTTTAAGGAGATAAGACTTAATATAGGTATAGAGGTCCTAGGTATCTTATTTAGTCTAGATAAGCGCTTAATAAGTACTTAATAAGTACTTATAGGGGGATATACTTCTTTTATCTTTATATATATATAATTCTTCTATTAGTAAAAAGCTTCTTTAGGCTCTATAATAATATAATTAGTTATATCCTATTATCTAGTAAGTGCTTATTAAGCGTTTAGGAAGCGCTTATAGCTCTTACTTATCTTCTTATATAGAGGGAGCTCTAACTCACTAGACTCCCTAAGGCGAAGATATTCTATATAGTTCTTATTAGCCTCTAACTAGATAGGGGGGCGAAATATATTAGTTATTATAAATCTGATTTAAGTACTTAATAAGCACTCTATAAGTGATTAGGGTAGGTACTTATAGCGAAAGGGGGGTATTTAGGAAGCGGTAACGGAGGTGGAGAAGAGATAGTTATAGAAGGAAGCAGAGTTGGTTTTAGGTAAATAGTAATCTATTGTGGGGTACCTTCCTAATCGGGCTAGCTTACTTTTAATAGCGACCTGTGGCTTATGTCATTAGCGACGTGACCTATACCCTCGCTCGAACGGAGCCTACGCTATAGTAAATCCAGTCAACCCTAACCCGAAACCAAAACACATGCTTAATTTTACTAAAGCGCCTGGAGTCAGGCCTATCTCGCCTGTGCGCAAAGTAATTTTCTTATATAAAAACGCAGATTCCAGAGTGTCGAGATCTTTTTGGCTCGCTTGGCTCGGGAATTAAGCCTCATTTCTCTAGGGCCAGGGTGCGCCCCATGGACTAGCGCAGAAGGCGACCCACTTTTGCTGCACGATGTCAAAACCATCACTTACTCGCTTCCTGCCTTCGTGATTCGTGCTTTTCTGTTTGTCTCACTGAATTCGCTAGTCTGCTGCATTGATTCAAATCAATCGAATGAATTCCCATTGATCGGTTTCTCGTGCCAATTACTTTGCAAGAACTCGTGGACCCATCTTGAGCCCACTTTTACCGCGATTTTCTTCCCATTCTGGTATAGAGCGTGGCACTAGCGTTCTGCTCGCGTCCGATCACCTCCTTCCAGGGACTGATATGATGCCATTTAGCCCCAGTGGGGGCACTCAGTCAATAATAGGGGGAGCCGGGTGGATCGGTTGTCGACCATAAATCGCCCCGAGAGAGACAAAATTGCAGTCCTTTTTCGATACCCCAAAATGCAAGCGGGGATTTCTCATTGCAGCTCAGTGTAAGGATGGCTCTTTCGTGCTACCAAGGGGGGTCCCTTCGATGGATGTTCGTCTGTCTTGGGCTCACCACCCTCGTCTTATTATGGATGACCCTGCACGACCTTCATACGCCGCAGCCTGAACTGCAGTGGAGTGATCCAGAGGCCGAACAAAATCAGGAAGCTTTGAAAGCCCAGATAGCCTTGGATACACAAAAGAAAATGAACGAGCAAAATCTATGGAAAAAACTTGATAATATTCAAAATGCAACACTGGGAGTATGTCTACCACTGCTATCTGGTGATGAACACAGGTTAACTGATCGTAATATAGTTTGACAAGGTTTTCGCGATCAACCTCGCAAGCCGGACAGATAAGCGCGACAATATTGTTCTAGGCTCATCGGTAACCGGATTTGTGGTTGACCTTGTCGATGGAGTAGATCCGGAGGGGATGAACCCCAAGTCCTATCCATATGTCAGTTCAAGAAGTGATTTTGTTATTGTTTCCCTTCCACAGTGGCTGACAAGATCTTAGAATTGGAATCATGACCATTCAGAGTCAGAATATGCGTGTCGACGAGCGCATGTGAATGTGGCGGAACGGTATGCGCTCGAATCAGCAATGTTCTCGGCGATCTTCGAACTAATGATGTGACCAGAATCGTCGAAAAGCGAATGAACAGCGCCCTCATCCTCGAGGATGACGTTGATTGGGATATCTCGATCAAAGCTCAACTGCAAAACCTCGCTCTTGCAACAAGAGCCCTTCAAGGCACTGCGCCCGATTCCACTTCATCCCCATACGGTCATGATTGGGACCTTCTGTGGCTGGGACATTGCGGCATGTCATGTAAGGTGAAGGAACCATACTACATGACTCCACAAGACCCGACCGTCGTCAAGCCTCACCACCTGCCTTTGTATTTCTATGGAGTACCAGAGTACAACAAGACGGACGACAGTCGGCTTACATGTACCGTCTTCGATTCTACCTGCATGACCGCATACGCGTTAAGCTACAAGGGTGCTCAGAAGATCCTCGCTGCCCTTTCAGTCAACCCATCCGGCATCGCCGATGAAGTCGATACTAGGGATCAAATTGACATAGTCCTCGGTCGCATGTGCAAGGCTGGAACTCTCCGATGCTTTGCGCCATTTCCTTCCTTGATGGGCAGATATCAATCCGCAGGAATGTCTTCTAAAGGAACCGATCAAGTGGGAAAGGAGGCAGGGTCTCACATGGTGCCTGCCAGCAGTGTTGGAGTTGTGTATAGCACAATGCTTAATATTAAGCGCATTTTGAAGGGCCTGCGCACCGTTCATGCCACATGGCCTGATATGAAGGCGCAGGATGTTTTTCCAGAGGATATTCATATTGGGATAGGTGAAATACACCCACCGGTTGGTCCCTCTGAACTAGTTTCTACATCTGTGGATGCCAAAATGCCAGACCTGGCATCCCTCGAGGGACTCGAACCAGCCAACGAGCCGGATCCTGCAGTGGTACCAATGCCTTACGAAACGCCTGTTTCCAATTTATAATATATTTCCCTAGTATACATGATTAATTTTATATTGACTTCGCTACTGGCCTGATAGAAACTCATATACGGTATGCTTATCTGGTCTTTCAATCCTCTATCCCACGCGGTGTAAGGGTGCCAAAAAGCTCCTTGGCTTAGAAAGTCTGGGCTATTGGACTACCACAAAGACCAGTTCCTCTGCTAGGTTGGCATGATGGGTGCTTGCAACAGAGACGGAAGAAGGCTCTTCCGATTATCCCAGTATCTAGCCTACCTCCTAGCTTGGAAGCAGAATCAATAGCGGGCGGGCCCTGTCAGAATCAAGCACCTTCGTGGTTATCAGTAGGAAAGGTAGATAAGGCGGTCGGAATTCTCTTAGCAAATCTCCCAAATCTATCCGGTTGTGTTGCGGGAGATTCCAGTGTTCCGAAAAATTGTCATTTCCTCTGGGTGCGTAGTGACAGGGATCCAATGAATGCAATAAAACCTGAATTGTGGATATGGAAAATCGTCAACACGCTGATGACCCCACAATCGAATATCCGATTCCCTTCCGAAAAGCGGGGAAGTGTGGAGAAAGATTGTTTGAAAGCTTGAAAGTCAATCGGAACGATGATTAGGCGTGAGCCCTTTGGCCTTTATATAATCCCATTATTCGGATTCCGGATCATGTTGCTTCATGCAACTTTTGCTCAGGAAGAAGAAATTCCACACCCGCAAAAGAGTTTCCTCATAAATCTTTATCAACATGGGCCTTTTTACGGCGCTGGACCAATCTGAAAACTCTCCATACATGGGTTTCCAGTGGGCCTTGACAGTGGGATTGGTTTTCGTTGGTTCCAAGCTGCTTGTAGTAGTCTACAATCTGTTCTTCCATCCGTTGAAAGGATTTTCAGGCCCCCCCTTTAGCCAGATGTACCAGCCTATGGGGCTTTTATTGGAACTTACATGGTCTTAGAGCACACAAAATTGACGATGCTCACAAAAGATATGGTCAGTTGATCTAGAACCTTGCATGCGAGAACAGTTCACCTTTAATCCAATCCAACAGGTACTATCATTCGCATCGCCCCAAACCTGTTGTCGTTCTCGGATCCGGAAGCTGTGAGAGAAATTTACAATTCGAAAAATTTCGTCAAGGCCGAGGGCTTCTATGTACGAGTCTCGGCATCTCTCCTCTTGCTGACCTACTAATCTTCTGCAGCGTGCGAAGCGGATCTTTCAAGAAAACCATCTCCTCTCTTTCAGGTGCAGTAGCATTCATCTGGACAAACACGACATTTGAAAAATACTGAATCAATTGTCTTATTATGCAGGGACCCTCTTCAGCACCATCAGAGGCGAAAGCTCCTCTCGCGTGGCTTTTCCCAGGCTACTCTGACAGAATTCGAACCCCAAATAGCTTCCAAAGTGAGCACCCTACTTGACCAGTGGACCAAGCTATCAAAGCAAAAGAACGCTATAGATGTGTACCCGTGGGCACACATGTTTGGATTTGACGTCATCTGTGAGTCTACTTCTTCAGGAGCATCAGACACGTGTGACTGCCAATGAATGTTGACTGTGGCTCAGATCATCTCATGTTTGGAATCGATCCAGAATCCCTGAAAAGGGGAAAAGAGAGTGACATTATGCCGTGGCTTAGGTCCTGGAGGCCAACTTTCAATTACGTATGTCTAATATCCCCTTTTTGATTGGTGAATCTAACAAGGGGTAAAGAAAGAACTTCTTCCACAGCTAGAGAAGTGGGGCCCCAGCGCCCCTGGAAATGTTGGAAAGAACTTCCGCAATGTCCAGAAATGGAAAATGGTATCTCAGCAATTATTATCGAAATGGTGATGGGGAATTTTGACACAATACTAAAACCTCACGCAGTACGCAGTAGATATTGTCCGGTCATTCCGCCAAGAGGGGAAAACCACACCGTTTCTGAGCCGGGTCCTTGATGGGATTGATGAATCCCTTGGTCGGCCCCTCACAGATTCAGAACTTGCCGAGGAATGTATGGGTGGGATGTACGTTTTCTCAGCCCAGATGCAGAGCTTTAATCTAATGAAGGTAGGTTCGGTGGAAGCGGCACAACGGCAAATACTTTTGTCTTTGCACTTTGGGGCACCTTAAGACATCCTAATGTTGTTCGCTGCTTGAAGAATGAACTCAAAGCTGCTTTTCCGGATCCAAATGTCATTCCCAGTGCTGTGGTACGGCTCTGTTTTCAATACACAGCAAGTACATATGCTAATACACCATAGGAATGTGGAAAGCTATCATATCTCAACACTGTGTTGCAAGAAACTTTGCGATTATATCCAACGATAATTGCGATCCTTCCACGGATGGCCGTTCAGGACACCATTCTGGGTGGTACTCGTATTCCTAAAGGAGTAAGGAACTCAACTCTATACGTAATATTATATCTGACCATATGCCAGGCAAATGTGGGCATACAGAACCTCACTATTCATCGAAATGAGCAAATATATTCAGATTCAAAAGCATTCTGCCCAGAAAGATGGTCACAGACAAATGAGGCCCAGAGAACAGCCTTCGTCCCGTTCTCAGTTGGGCCGCGAAAATGCATAGGATCTAAGTATGTCCGCCAAACTGCCATAACGACAAGTCCATCAAATAGCAACATCTAATGAACTCTCTTTAGTCTAGCCGAGATGGAACTTCGAGTCCTTATAGCAGCCTTTTTTCGACGGTTCAACGCGTCTATCGATCCTTCAATGACGGAAAGAGAGATGGAACTATACGATGGCTTCAGTGCCTCCCCGATTGGAGGAAGGCTTCTGTTACATTTGGAGAAAGAGGATAGCTAGAATGAGGGCGTGTTTAGAAAAAATAAAAGAAAATTGATCGGCGGTTTGAGCTTCTGCCCGCAAACGTTTGTTTAGCTATACGCTGTGAAAGTGGAGACGTTTATCGCGGCCCGGAACTCTCAGGGTTGCATGGTCCAGCCCCTTATGAGAACAAGAAAGTGACCCACCCGAACATAGTATATACGTCGCTTAGCCCAAAGTTCTAGTATTAGTAAAATTGGCGAAACTGAACTAGTATTAACCCAATTTCAGTCCGAAACAGTAATCAAGTAACCACGTTTCTAGGCGTACTTTATGAACGAATTTCACCATTCTCTGAGCAGACGGGGAGAAAATGCTTCTATATCACGTCGTGGTTGTAGAAGTACACATGATCAAAGTACCATTCCACATAGCACTACTCAAGTGCATTACATCAATGACGAATAGTGTTTTCTGATTTACGGAGTACTAAATGCCGAGATCCCGGGTCGGCGTATTCTGGCTTCATGTGCGGCTTTCAGGGGCCAGTATAAGTGGGGCATCGCCTCCAGGGCTTCCGAGAATTCAGAGGCAAAAATCAGAGATTGGTCAATGCGATCGATGGATCTGAGGGAATACTAATCAAACAAGCGTGGGCACTTGCACGTGTTGACTGCGAAATCGGCATCACCACCTTTACTTCCGACGTCAATGGATCTGGGATGCTGATTAAGCACTTCATCCTTTTCCAACAGTGTATGCATGGATCGCACCATTCTCGCGTCCCTACCAATCTCATTAGAAAATGCAATGGCAAGTTCGGAATCTTGCGGCTCTTGACTTGTGCCACGCGACTGGCCAAGGCTGGGTAAACCGTGTAGAGTCTCTGCTGGCTTCAGGAGTTGATCCAAATGCAAGGTTTGATGACTCAGAGTCCGTAATTTCTGCCCTGGCAGACGATGAGGTCCATGATGTGAAATATACGTTGCCTCCTCATGTCGATTTCCAGGCCACTGAAATGCCGGCCCTACGCCGAGCTGCTCGGGACGCCTGGGTCCAGACCCCTGAGATGTGCGATTTACCCAAAACCGCGCATCTCATGACGACTTTGCTCAAACATGGTGCCGATCCATACGCATTATTTCGTCAGCCCATCTTCAGCTATAAGATTTTCCTTGTATTCCCAGGGGACACTGGAGATCCAGGATATGACGATGATGAGTCAGACCTCAACGCTATGCGATGGTCTCGTTTGGGTATCATCGAAGAGACGCTTCATGAGGAGTATGAGCGACTTGGACTACTGAAGCAAATAAATTTTGGATTCGCCTGCCGCTTCTCGGACATGGTCAACTACAAGGCTCGTTTCTCGCACAAATATGGGGCATGTAGTGATATGCACTCTTTCTCGAGGACGGTGCATTCATTCAGCCTGTCCTCGAATTTATCGGAGATGACCTAGACCTGGAACGACAGGATCCCCGGGGTCGCACTCTGTTTCTTGCTGCCTGTCGAAGTAAGCTTGGCTTGGACGGTGCAATTGATGGCGTCATCCTAAGCCTTACCCAGACGCGGACCTTACCGAACCCTTACCCGCAGCCGAGAAATACTTGGCAAGAGTCTGAACAATTCACCTCGACATGCACCGGCCCGAGCCTGCTTGAATTCTTAGTATCCCGCGGGGCAAACCTCCTCGCGGCGGACAAATAAGGCCAGAACGCTCTTCATCACATGCTAGCATTTGTTGACCGCGACAACGACGGCGTGCCCCCTCTCATCAATACTTCATTAGAGCATCTGGCCCAGCATTGTCCCAGTCTGCTGAATCAGCCTGACGGGGCCGGTTTCTATCCCCTCCATTATGCAATTCGACGAATGTGTGATTACCCGTACCAGTACGGCCCGCAAGCTCTCTTCCACTTCGAAACAGCCATTTATGACCTTTTGAACGCTAATGCCGATCCTCTTGTCCGTGATGGTCGTGGAAATATCGTTCTGCATTATCTTGTAGCAGGGAAGCTAGGCGAAGAAGACCGAGGAGGTGATGAGCAGAGACATCTGCTTCAAGTGTTCCTCAAGCGCGGGCTCGACCCAAAAGCTAGGAATACAGCAGGTGTTACTGCATTGGAAATTTCCTTTTTGACAAATGATGAGCCGGAATTTGAGGGCGAAGATCACGAGTACGATCATTCCTACGCTATTGGTCAAGAAGTTGTCGATGCGTTTGAGCAAGGAGGCTATATCTTGTCAGAGACAAATGCTGCCAACCAAAAGCTTTTACACCTAGTGGCTAAGATTGACTCAGACCGCGCGCCCCCGTGGTTCAATCTCAAACACAAGGGACTCGATCCTGAGGCGAAAGACAAAAGTGGGGAAACTCCTCTAGATATTGCCAAATACAACTACTGGATCAAGAAGGTTATAGGTGATTAGCATGGGAGTGGTCCAGGTAGACATGGGCTAATGTTAGCGCAGTCACCTGGGAAATGGAACACTGCAGCGGTCATAATTTGGAAGGGTCAAAAATGAAGGGTTTTACTGCTTCCACATCTGCCTTTACTGCCAATTAATATCACTGCCAGGAATTGATTTGACACCTTTTTTCTGTGATATTATGGTAGCTAGGGAAAGTATTTGCTATTGCTCCGAACCAGGGCTGTATACAATATAAAACTTTCCCGCCGGTGCCAGCAATTAGGCATTAGCCTAAGACTTAGGCTCAGTACTAGGCTCTAGGCCTAAGCCTTAGGTCCATAACTTAGACTATAAACATGACATATATACCAAAGGCCCGTGAGCTTTCTTTAAAGCATAAACTATACGGTTTTAGCTATAATTTCAAGTATTCCAAATGTAATAAGAGAAGTATAATAAAGAGGAAAATAGTAGGTTTGATCGTAAGGCCACCCTATAATAAGAAATTCATACACAATCCACAACTAGTATCGCTGTCATTCCTAGCTGGTTGCTTATTTCAAAGGTTCTTACTTCTCCCTAGTAATGCTTTGCCCAAGCTTAGTATGAAGATCATTGTCATGGAAAATTAATCTGATATTTCCGGGAATGACTCTGTGGTTCGACTTCGAATTTAATGGATGTTGAATAATGAAACGTTCTGCGCTATGACATTTTCACTTTCCCAAAAAGGCATGGTTGTTAATTATGGTGAATTTCAGATCTGCGTTGGGTCTTCCGGAGATAGCGGACAAACTGATATAAATTCCGTTTATGTTGAGTCTAGAACGAAGATACAACCAGATTACTAATAACCGTCCGTGAAAGGCAACAGTATTAGGGGCGCAATATTATGTTATGACGCACCTCGCACTCCGAAAATCCCGAACGCCGAGGTTGGATATATTGATAAAGATACACAACTCTTTAGAAAGTTTGCAGATTTCCAGAAGAGCCCGAACTAATCGAGTGCGCAAATGGCAGTTCCAAACCGCCCAGTGAGCTTTGTGCCAAGCAAAGCGGGTGAAGTAATCACCCTAGGAACCATGAAATTGCGAATCATGGAGGACGGATCAAATACAGGTTTGTCAACTCTGCAAGATCAGGTCAAAATGTTCTTACACGAAACATTAGATATGCGCTTCAGCTGCGTGGAACTAATCATTCCCTCGCGGACGAGAGGCCCCCCTCTACATTGGCATGAGATGCACGACGAATCTTTCCTCGTTACTAAGGGGACTGTTCGGTTTCATCTGCACGGAAAGCCAGACATCGATGCCAAGGCTGGAGACTACATTGTTATACCTACAAAGAGTCCCCATACATTTTCGAATCCATCCGATGAAGAGTCGCGTTTCTTCAATACGTTCACTCCGGCATTTTACATTAACTATTTCAAACTGCTTAGTGAATTTTCCGAAGAAGGGAAGCCTTTGTCCAAGGAGGCAAACCAGAGAGCAATGTCATATTATGCAACACTCCCAGTGCCGGAACCTTGAACTATCAATCAACTGCGGATCGATTCGATGGAAATGACATGTCACTTTAAGGCGGATTAGCTGTAATTCCAATGTGCCGTATTTGTCAGGCTGCATAGTTCCCCGAAATTCCGTTATTTCGGCCCAATTCCAGCATATCCCTTTCATTGAGTTATGTTCATTAATAGTTGATCTTTCAACGTGACACAAAATATATGTAGACACTAGTTTTAGGCCGTTTCAAGTTCTCTGAAAGTCGGAAGAAATCGCAGGACTTTCCTACCTAAGGAAGCTACACTTAGCCTTATACTTATTAATATGATAAATTATTGAAATAGGTATCCTAGGTGTATTCTTCTATAATCCTGAAGAGGTCTGAATAGAGCAGCGAGCCGCCCACGCCCGATTCGTGGGCGCTAGGTGACCAAAAACTTAGACATGCTGTTGATTTTTTTTTTCGTTGTTGCGAAATTGTACTTTTTAAATGATGTGTGAAGCGTTGGGGATCAGAATGCCGGAGACTGGGTGAGGGAAGTGAGAACGGAGTAGGAATTTTCACCCGTGAGATCGCTGACGACGTGATGGTAACCCAACAGATTAGCGAGCGGTCAGAGAGGTCATTTCTACAGGCTTGTGGCTTACACTAGATATTATCAAGTCTGTCACCACTGAAGGGAATACAGAGATAAAGTATCGCCAATCGGAACATCGTCACGCGACTAGGGATAACACGATATAATATTGACAATTTCTCGTCATTGCCTACAGGACAGGACTGCCTTTGGCTTGGCAAAGAGCGACCGAGGCAGGGGCAGGCTGTCAACCAGGCTGAGCTGTGATTGAATGAGTTGGGAAATCTTCCAAAGTCGGAGCTGTTTAGGATACTGATACAAATTGCAGTGTTTTGTATTAAATGTGAAATTTACGTCGTTTCCTGTTTAGTGCATATATGAAAGTGATACATACTATGGATCCGTTATATAAACTTCTCCTGCCAACAAGGTATAGAGCGAATTGAATTCAGAAGATAGACAAATATTCTTATAAAGTAGCGCCTCACTACGAGAATCTGGAACCTGTCACATGGTGACTCGTCGTGTATCAAGAGTACAAAGTTGCCAAGAACATTCTGGTGCGGTTCCCTGCCTGTTCCAATAGCTTCAACTTCTCCCCCGCGTTCAAACCCGGGGATTCTGTTCGACGCAGGGAATGGATCAAGGATTTATCCAGTGAAGAGCTGCCGCTTTCTCTCTCCGTCACGTATTTCAACGAGTTCAGCAATAACCTCTCTCGGCGCAAGGCTTCCTCCGAGGCGGACTGGTCCTGTGTCAAGGCACAGTTCTGCATCGCGAGCTTGACATCGTCATGGAATCCCATCAGAGGAGCTTTCAGCGCAAGCCAGTCCGCTCGCATGTAATCCCGTTCGTTGAACATGTTGAAGTCACTATCCTCCCACAAGTCCATCTCGGGAATGCAAATATCTTGGTCTTCCTCAGGTGGACAGGAGGAGTTGTACCAGTTGCTCAATCGGGTCATGTATGGCGTCTCAGCATACTTGGCGCCCTTGATCTGCTTCCTCCAATGCCAGCCTTTCAAGGTCTTTAACCCGGTGTCCGGCCAGGTGCATTTCACTTTGGGATTCTCTACTCGCTCAAAGCCTGCCAGAGCGGCGGGCTGATAGTTCAATACCGTACCCTCAACATGGGCTTCACGGTACGCCTTGCCCATTGCGTAGGCAACCACAGGGTGAATGCACTCCTTGGTATCTCCGTCTTTATTGTACTGACCCGGGGTGCGAGTGGTAGAGCCGCTGTAACCCGTGATGGAATTGATGCTATCCGGTCGATAGCCCATGCCCCAGCCTCCGTACGCTGTGGGATTCTTGGGATCAGGCACATCCTGGCGCCGTTTAGACTGGTCGAGCTTCTTTGCATAATGGCATTCGGAGTCGCCCTCCTTGAAGGACCGCTGCGAGAGGTCCACGATAGTACAGGTGTAATGGTGATAGAAACGTGCCAGCGCGTAGGTCTCAAAGGTCAGGTTGGTCTGTTTGCGGACCTGGTCAATCATCCAGACCAAAGAGAGATTTGCCATGGATTCCATATCCCCGTAGTGGTTCATGGTATCCTCACTACCACCACCGATGTTAATGTGGTAGCCCGGGAACCAGCATTGCACCAAATTGGTATGTACACCCTTGGGAAGGGACCACATAGTGGGAGGAAACGCGTGTCGGTGCTCATCAAGAGCAAGGGCATGAAAAGCGTTCTTGATATTCTTGTGCAGATTGGTGTCGTGGAAGCCATACTTAGTATCATTGGCGTTTCCGCCGAACGGAACATACTTATTTGATGGCCATCCAAGCGCACCCACGGTATCAAATACGCCCACGACTTCGATATCGACGTTTTTGTAGAAGCGGTCTTTCCAGTCCTTATTGACACTGTACAGAGCCCAGCTGCTTTGCTGCATTGCATCCGGAACATGGAATCCGTTACTGACAGGCTTGGGCTCTTCTTTCTTGAGGGGTCTCTTTTTGTACTCGTCGTAAATCGCCCACCAATCGTCCATCATGTCCGGAAAGCAGATGCCCAAGTTGCAGACCAGCCCTGCCACTGCGCGGGCCGTATAGGCGCCTCTTGAAAAGCCAAAAATATAGATTTCATCACCAGGAAGCCAGTTGCTGACCTGTATAATAGTTGTGAGTAGGCGAAGGGGCTGGAAGAAAAGTGATGATCGCAACGTACCAAAAAATTATAGGCCTCGCATACATTCTCCTCTACTCCTCTTCCGAAGGCACCTTCGAAGGCTTTTTGTCCCTTGGCCATGGCCTTCGCCGTTATCGACGCATCCTCTTTTGGGGCGCTATCTCCAGTTCCTACTCCTCCATCATAGTAGACGATCTGGTGAATCACTTCGTCCTCGCCGGTCTTCTGGCAGCTGGCGATGGACCGGCTCAACTTCGCAATGTTGGACGCGATATTCTTCTCTCCGTGGTTGGAGGATTGCCATGAGCCATCGAGGCAGAGAATCAATCTTCTCATGGGACGAATTGGTTCCGCTGGTTCAACATTCTTGAATTTTATGCTCTCACCCGAAAACAGTGGGTCGTCTTCCAGCGACTCCATGCGCAGGATTTGAAGCTTCGGCATGGTCTGCAGCAGTGTTAAAATAAAGATGCGATGGATTATAAGCAAGGTGAAGATAGGAAGAGAAAAGGTAAGAAAAAGAGGAGTCAAGGATGGCCTTTTATCCTTCACAGCTGCTGCGGGACCCCCTTACCATCACAATGGTCTTCTCTTGAAAATTGCCAGCTGAAGGGTGCGACTTCAACGTGGCTACCTGAAGGAAGTTGCCTGTCAGTCATTTTTGCCGAAGTCCGCCACCATTCGCTAGTCAGGTCGCGACTCACTTTTATAGAGTCACCATAGCCGACAAGTGTCTTAGGCCCTGGTTCCGTTTGCCACTTCCCCCCTTTCCATATATCCATCTAATTAACATTCGGTACGGTCCGGAGAAGTCTTTGGACTACCGAATTCTTCTCGGGGTGGGGTGGCATCCGTTGTTTCTCGCCTTCAATCGCCTTATTTCCGCAGGCTGACAAAGAGCTGAGCAAATTTTATCTTGGACCCATCTCAGCTTGATTTTCAATTATGTGTCAGGGGTAAGCAGCAGCTGTTTAGGGGTTGGCTTTTGCCTTGAAGATCGACAGCAGAAATTTTTCTAACCCTTTGAGTCTTTACAGTGGCCAGAGTACAAATGACAACAACAAGAAAAAGTCGATGAACCGTATCAACCTCCACTTTCAAAGTTTTTCAATTGAGATTAACCTGCCTAATCGCGTCTTAGGGGAGGGGGGATTGACTTTGGTTTCTTTGTGCCGTACATCATTTATGAGAGAGAGGTCTCCGTCGACTGTTTCAGCCTCTCCACCTTAAAGTCGCCAAAGCAACCGATAGCAGGTAACCCTCCTGAATCATTACTAGGGTTTCAACCAGGCGAGTACATGTTGAGGGTTATTACCGGGTAGTCCAACTTAATAATCTGATGATAGTTTCTACCATAGCGTCCAACGGTAATGGTGATTAAAATTCCGGGCGTGATGCACGCTAGGTAACTCGTAATTGAGAGTTCAGACGGGCCGCTTTTCATGTCGAAATAGAACCCCTATTTTTGTTAGCGTAAAACAGAGTCCAATCATAACGTTAGCTCCACAAATGAATCGGGCCTAGTGTTCGCGGCCGCGTAATCCGTCGTTGGTCGCGCGGAGCCGCCGTTTTTCCTCACCAAAACCAGTATTGATGTCTAGTAACATCACGTGCCATATTTCCCTTTCCTGTGATATTATTCTCTTCTTATGAGTAATAGAACTTGACGTTGTGATCCAAAATGATGAAGAACAAAATATCAGACCGTACATATCTCTTCTACCATCTCCTTGTTTGCATATATCTGGCAGAATCTTAGTGTTCGACAGGCGCGAAAACTGAGTCACGAAAACTAGATTGGATCAATTGAACCTCAAGTCTCAAAACAGTAGGCCCAAAACTCTTATTTAGGTCATGACATATTGATGAAATCCTCGCTGTGAACTGCCGAACCAACTGAATGCACACAGAGTGACTGTTGAAGATGGTTCATGAATACTGACCTTTGCAAAATCATCGAATGGGAATAGTCGCATCAGTTAAACAAGACAATACTAACTACCCATAATGCCAACCGAAAGGTGAGCCCCTACTCAACTATATTATCCAGTTGTCCTCCTCAGAGTAATTCTCCCAATCATCCCCTGATACACCACCACCTTCAAGGTTTAAGATATCATCATGTTGAAAATACCGGTAGACCCGAGTAGTCTGGTTTGTGTCGGTAATTAACAACTTCATCCTTGGCTTCGACGAAGTCTGGTTTGCCTGTATGACCCAGCTTTGCAGACAACGGACCAATTGCTCCAAATCACCTACCGCTTCGTTCGTCTCATATGATGAGATATTGTCAATAATGCAGATAATCGTGATTCCTTTCTTGACCTGGGCGATGAGCATTTCGAAGAGCCAGCACAGTTTCTTCAATGAAAACTCCTCGATCCGTGATAATGCCTGTTTTTTGATTTGCGATAGATCAAATTGGACTCGATAAGAGTCGTAGGAGAGAAGCTGACCGATAAAGCTGGCGATTAACCCCCTGGCACCGGCACGGCGACCGATCTCCGCGCGACTAGCCGTATGAAGCGAGCAAAAGTGAGTGAGAATCAGTACTTTGGGATTGGGAGCGGATTCATAAGCGATCCTTGCGCAGAGGTGTGTCAAAGCCGAAGTGCCATCTTCAGAGTCAAAGTGACCTTGAACGAGTAGGGAGGCATTTTTCCGCTCGGTCTTGTTGATCCAGTTTTGAAACTGCGTGGATCTCGTAATGAAGGGAAGTTTTTGGGAATCACGCTTGTTGAATCTGCTTGGGTGAACGTTCGTGCCCCGGTCGCTGGCGACCTTGGTTTCATCGAATGCGAGGAGGTGTAAAAGGCCTTCAGTGGTGATCAAGGGCTCCTCGGTCTTGGGGGAATATTGATGTCGACGGTCGGTTCGTTGGGGAACGTTCAAATGATCGTTAGATTGGGAATTGACACATAGAGTGAGCAAGTCTCTCAGATCTGGTAAGTCGGTTATGGATGGACTCTGCGAAGCCTGGATCCCTGGGGAAGAGCTTGCACTGATGGAGTTTTGAACTTTAAAGCCGGCAAGAGACAATTGAGGAGACGCTAGATTTGATTTTCCCACATTCAGATTTGATAAATTTGCAAAAAGAACACTGGCAATGGCGTAATACTGACCATCCATATTATCGGACAAAAGTTCGCCTTTGCTATCGAGAGATGGGTGTCCAGAGTAGAGCACGTATAGATTGACATATATGTCCGTGCGGCTACCTTCTGTGTTGTGACAACTCTGCTTGATGCCTTGAATATCTTCGCTGATATTCTGTATAGTTTGGCGGTTCGTGAGCTCTGCCTCTCGAGAAAGAGAGGTGGCGCGTTCCCTAAGGTCAGAAATTGATTGTCGTAGAGAGTCTTTTGCTTTCGGCCCCTTGAAGACCGCCGCAATATAAAGTTCTATACAATTATTGGGGAAACAAATCAGAGACGCGAGTTTCCCTCTAGAAAAGAAGCATGTATGTGTACTTACTAGACTTTGTTTCAAGACAGTAATAAACGATTTCCCGCAGCACAACAAGAACGTGGTTACATAGGTCAGCCATCTTTTCCAGCATGTTCATGCTCAACCTAGGTACTCTGTACGCATCCAGGTAGAACCGGGCTTCGTACAAGATCTCGGGTATGTCCGACAGCGCCACGAAGACTAAGCTATCCAGCTTGTGAGTTTCATCAAGGGCCTAAATAGCGTCAGTCGGAGCTTGGGAGCTGAGCATCAAATCAACCTGGTATGTTCCCGTTGCCATACCGATAACAATAGTTTGAGTCCGCCTGTACAATTATCGGGCGCTTAGCATCGTTCGCATCGAATATGGTAGGTGCATGCGTACCGCATATAGTAGACCCATAATCCCCAGCAGGGAGCAGGTCTAGCCACCCCTTCAGCGACTCCGTATATCTCCCGAATTTGGAGAGCGCTTTGCCAATCGGTCCACCTCCATGGCGGGTCTTGTAGTAGTTCTGGGCATTTTGCAGCTCCTTCATCACATCTGACCAGTGTACTTTCTGACCTGATGGTATAGGCTGACTGGCTTGGATTTGGCCAGGTTTGCACAATTTCAGCCGAAAAACCTCCAGCGCCTCATTCAAGGCTTGGACATTGCTGGTCGTACTTTTGAAAGACTCCTCACTAACAAAACATCCTCGACGATAAGTGATAGGTTTCAAGTTTTAGGCCATATTATGAGCAGAAGGTAAAAATGTACACACATTCGTTGCTTACACTCTAGCTCATCCTGAGCTGCGTCATTCTCCGGGAGGAAGGAGTTGATACGATGAACAAACTTTAGTTTTTCTTCGTCTTCGGCGGTGGTTTGGTGATTCTCAATGAAGCTCGCGGGGATATTAGTTGAATGAACTGGAAACTTGGTTACGGATTGTTTCGCCATCCTGTTCGTGGGCTATGTTGCCTGAAGAAAACACAAAGATGAGCCTCGTACTTAGTTGTCAGTTTATTGCAGTGACCAAATCCTCCTATGACCCTGCCAGCTCGGGAATCAGGTTGACTTCAGCTACTAAGAGGAGAAATGGTGAGGGGTAGGTAGGTTGCCTTCAGGCTGTTGGGGCGCTCTAATGCTTGAGGCTGCATGTCAGATCAATGATTGGCCAGAGGTCTCACGTATTTCCTGTCAATATTACTTCATGTCCCCCTCTGCTGAAACCCATACTAAATATAGCGCGGCTTGGGGGCGAGGGGTTTCGATCACCCGCAATGCATCCTCGTACGGTAGAGGGGAGAAAGTGGACAGGCTATTCGCTGATGGCAATCACGGGCCAAGAGGTTTGGCAAAGGAACTGTTGGAAGGATCCGTGCCTGATGGAGACACGTGCATATGCAGATGGGGCGCTTCTCCAAAATAGATCCCGCGTCCGGGTGGTTCCCTCTGGCCCGGCTAATCCCTACTAGTCACAGCACTACTGGGAGAGCAAAGGGTTCGAGCGCACAATACTTATCGCAAAGGTTGTCTGAGCACCAAAAGCAAACATCTTTCTGGCGGGGTAAGATTTTCAGCTGCCTTAAAGCAAGGCTGACGCGGCGCTGACAACACATCGTGTATATGTGAGGTGAACTGGCCTGAGCTTTAAAAGCTCAAGTCTGTGATCAAGTCCGCGAACTCGGAACTTTCTCGTCTTTTAAAGGCCCAAGAAAAGTTGCAGGAGCTTTCGCGTCATGGCAACAGCAATCGTCGACAGTGTAGATGCTCACTCCTTGGGTCAATCTTCCGAACCAAGTGGCCTCCCATCAGCCGCGGACAGCAACACAGACTTGTCTCAGACCAAAACCAGCACCCCGTCCTCCTCCTTATCCTCTGATGCCGCGAAGAGCGGTCAGGCTAGCCAGACAGAAGATGAACCTCGATTCTCGAATGTCCAACTCAATGAGAGGACTGAGGCAGAGCCTCGAATTGCGGATGCGAAAGTAGATCGATTCGTCATTGAACACTGGAACAGAGTCACCTCGCTTTATGAGGACCGTACTTTACAAGAGCGAATTGAAGATGTCCCAGCGCGACTCTTTCACGAGGCGATGCTCCATCGACTCTTTCACGATCGGCTGGAGGCACTCGAGGCCGCGATCCTTGGACCGCAGAAATTGGACTCTACGTATTATAACAAAAGCAAGGTACCTGATAGTGAGGTAACGACCAAATGGCTCAGCTGGCAAGAGTACTCCCTTGTATACGACGTGCCCGATTCGAAAGGCGAGTGGAAACACGTCCCGGAAATCGACAACAGCCCACAGAGCATCATTGAGGTTCTAATCGAAGAACCTCTATCGTTCAGAGCGGTGCGCTCGGTAACGACAAAGCAGGCCCCCGGGGTCGTCGCTGCGACAAAGATGAACATTGATGGCAAAGAGGCCAGCCTTCCCATGTTTCAAATTCGGCTTCGCTCGCCAATCCTCTTGAAAGTCTTGGATGAGGTCACAGACCAGCTCTCGGCGCGTGGCCCCCACGAGCATAAAGTCTCCTTCATGAGGTCCTTTAAACTGTTGACTCTTTTCTGGAAGGAGCTCTTGGAACATCAAAAGAAACTCGAACAGATCCATGGTGACAGCACAGCTGAAAGACAAGACCCTTCAACGGCAATTGGTCCTTTCAAAGAAACGGAGAGTCCGAAGGCCCTTCAACATCTACGGTTATTGAATGAATTTATGGCAAATCACTTAAGTCATGTCTTCAAGTTAAGGGAGGATTTTGAGAAGGGCACGGCTCGCAAAGTAGCATTCCGTGATCTTTGGCATCTTTTCCGACCAGGCACCACCGTCCGCACTCCCGCCGCAAAACAAATCCAACTGTGAGCCTTCCGATTAAATTGGAATCATATGACAAGTTGCTAACGCGAGTTCTAGATACCGGGTGATTCGCGTAACGGGAGGAAGACCGCTTTACGCCCTCGCTGGTGACCCCCCACCAAACTATGTCGGGGTCAAATTGAAAGACCAAGGATACTCCATGGGAAGTTTTATAGTGGAGTGTTTCTACATTGACTTTGATGGGGCTCAATATGGCCCAGTGAACCGTACATTCCAGATCAGGAAGTATGAAGGAGAGCGAGATATGACTGCTCTCCCAGTATATCCATTGCAATGCGATCCAGAGCATGAAAGCACTCACAAAGCGATGGTCACTCGAGGTGAAAGCTTCGCAATTTTATCGAACCCACAAAAAACAGCACATAAGCAATACCGTGGATTAACCCTGGATAAGCATCCAGAACAAGTGGAATCTCAGGTAATCATTGATTTCCAACTGGCGTTTCTAGAGATGTCAGACAGAAAACCACAGATCGGACTGGATAGCATAGTCGATCATGATAATCGAGAGACAAATTTGGGTTATTTCCGTTGCGTTCGATGCAGCTCAGAAGGCTGCTGTGGGAATGACTACATTGTCCAAGACTCCAGCATTGACGAAAAAGAAGAACAGCAATTCAGAAGCCTCCACGGGAGCTTAATTGACTCCACGGGAAATGCGGAAGACTTGAACCGAGACCAGATGGCTCTACTTCCCTTCATGGTCTACGGGTTTGTTCTACGTTCTCGAAAATGGGCAACATTCGATATTGAGAGCATTAGCGATGTCCAATATACCGACGGGTGGCAGAACTTGGTCATCAATGACAGTATTAAGGAAACTGTGTTGGCTATGGTTGAAAACCATGAGAATATCCCAAGCAAGTCTGAAGGGCCGGGAGGTTCCCTGCCCTCTGTCGACCTTATTCAGGGTAAAGGTAAGGGTCTGATTATCTTGCTGCATGGCGAACCAGGAGTTGGAAAGACTAGTACAGCTGAATGCGTTGCCGACCATACCAAACGGCCTCTTTTCCCGGTCACATGTGGTGACATAGGAGACAACGCTGAGTTTGTGGAGAAGAACTTGGAGCGGAACTTCCAGCTTGCTCATAAATGGGGATGCGTTCTTCTTCTTGACGAAGCCGAGTTCGTTGCATCCTTTCAATCTTACTCCCTTCATCAAGGCCTTGCTAATTTCACAATAGTGTTTTTCTTAAGCGACGCAATGACACCGATCTCCCTCGCAATGCGATTGTTTCAGGTAGGTCCGTCCTTCCCTTTGTTGATTATGTAGATAATATTAATTGTAATATAATTGCACAGTGTTCCTTCGAACCTTGGAATACTATAGTGTAAGTTCGACACTTCCAACAATGATACTTTCTGAGTCTCTCCTAACCCAGATAGGGGATTCTATTCCTGACCACAAACCGTGTCGGCCAAATTGACCGGGCATTCAAGTCCCGAATACATGTCAGTTTGTATTATCCAAAATTGGACAAGAAAACATCCATCCAGATATGGAAGAACAACATCGGACGGATCAGGAAAGAATTCAAGGCGCAAAATCCGGACTTCGATATTCGGGACAAAGAAATAATCCAGTTCGCAAAAGAGCATTTCAAGGACATCAAAGATAAGAAGCTGCTCAACTGGAATGGAAGGTACTGTACAACTTGCCATCATTCATTCCACGCACTCTACCAAATTCTTTATGCTAATGAAAGCCTTTTGTCTGTAGACAAATTCGCAACGCATTCCAGACAGCCGTTGCTCTTGCTGCCTTCGACGCAAGGAAAAACAAACGACCAAATGATATCATCCTCGGCAAGGAACAATTCACCCGAGTCGCCGCCGCCGCCGAGGAATTTGACAGATATCTCAACTCGCTGAGCCAGGGAAAGAATGATTCGCAACTTGCCGAAGAGCATCGCTGGCGCGCCGATAACTTCCAGAATCAACCTATGGTGGTGCCTATGGTACCCAATACGGATCCGGGTCGCTCATTATATGCATTTGGGCAGTCGAGTCGTTCTTCCAAAGGCCGAGGGCCTGATAGAGGGTTGTACAAGGAAGCACAACCTTCAGACACTGATTCGGACTCGAGTACATCGTCGGATAAGGAAGATTCCAATGAGCCATATCGTCAGAGTGTTGCAAGCGATGAGAGCTCCGAGTCTGAATCTGATTCGGTTTCATCAGAGGAGGACAAGAAGAAAAAGCGTAAAGGGAAGTCTACTTTAAAGGCAAAGGATGGGAAGAAAAGATCGAGTCATAAGAGGTCAAAGTAAGAGCTTACTTGCGGCTTCCCTCAAGTTTAGATCTACAGATAGCTTGCCCATAGACAAGGTTCTACTCAACTATTATCTCTCTTATAATTGATTATTTGACATCATCTAAAAAGTAGGAGATATTGCGATACGGATACTATATGAATATTGGTCCATGTCATACAAGATACTCTAGAATAGGGCTACTAAAGGAGGGTGGATTTGGGAAGGACGTAAAATGATGTTTCCTAGGTTCCCCTTCCAAATGGTGAGATTGCATCTTTTGCGAAATGAGCTGAATGCTCTGGTGGAAGACAAGTGGATGAATGTACATCTTTTTGTTCGCGAAGGCACAGCTCCTTGTAACCATTTCGGGCATTTAGAGCTATGAACAAAGCGATCCTCGGTGCGGGCAAGTCAGGTGACTTCAATTTTATTGACAACCTGTAGACCACTTTATGAAGTAATACAGAGGATTGTTTGATATGACATAATTGAGTATTCTTAATCGCCTCCGGAATCTGCCTTAGAGCTTGAATTGAAATTTTCGATTTCATCTAGCTTCTCAGAAGCCTGTGTAAAGTTTGATATTTATCTAGCGCCAAGCTATATCCTTGCTCACACCTGCGGCCGGTCAGGCTTCACGGTACCCTTTACCTTTGCGGTTTCCGTCTCACCCTCACCCTTTTTACTCTTTCCGGGCTCATTGACATATGGGTTCATGGTATCGGCATTAGAAAGGCCCTCTTGTTTAAATGACATGCTTGTAGGTCCCTTGGAAGAACCCATGGCTCGAGGCTATACGTAAGTCAGCAAATTAGTCACTAGAAGTCTTACACCATCCTATGTTGGGTGTGTGCGGGAACAGCGGCTTCACTGAGATAAGAGAGTTAAAGGATAACGAACCTCATCATGGGTGGAAGTAGTTGAGTTGGAGTCGTTGCCCTGGTTGCCCTCCGCGTTTTGTGCATACTCTTGGTTAGCTCCATGGTGTTCGCCAATAGAGCTGGTATTGGGCTTTTTCTTGTCCCCCTCCAAAGGTAGATCGTTAGGGGCAAACCCATAGCAATGGAGACTAGAAGCCTAATTGAGAAATTCGGGGTTAACAAAGCTTCCGCTAATGAGCTACTTGTCGAGGAATTGAGGGAGAAAATACCATCTGGGGGTACCACCCTTCTGATCACCCGGACCGGTAGTAGCATAAGATCTTCGACTAAAATTTGCCTGAGGTGAAGTAATTCCAACAGGGGTGCGGAATGACCGCAAAGTCGCAATGCGCGAACATGGCTGGCGTAGAAAATTCATTGTCGTATTTGTCGGATTGTATGAAATGTGCAGCGATGCGATTTAAATTGACACAAGACAAATTTGAGATGCTGAGTTCAGTGAGTTGGGTTACATTTAAACTGGGAGGTTTTGGGTTTCATCGTTACATCATCGGTGCTCTAGCTTGTTTCCAGATAAGGAACCAAACGTCAAATGATTTTGGGCAACGTTCAAACTGGAAGCAACACGAAGACTACGTCAGCGCTCCCCGAAAGGACCCAATTGATTTTTATTTCCCTGTTTTATGCTTACTTGATCAGCCGTACATTCCAAGCAGTACAGTAAGGTCATAGCAATAGTTGACTAATATAGGTGTCAGAGGTCAGGTGATCAGATCCTGTAGATAGATCAGCGCTTCTCCCCATGCTTCCCGCTTCTCCGTTTTAACCACTTACAGTACGATATTGGTCTAGCTGTCTTATTCCTTTCTTCCTGTCCCCTCTGATCATCGACCAGCGCCGCGTGCCGACAACAGATGGGCTCTTTTATGCAATGGCTTCCATTATCGAAACATTATCGAGAAGAAAAGAACAATTTATCCCAACAGCGGTCAATTTCAGTTTACCAAGCACAAAGGACTCATATCTGTAACTAGGTTTAACTTTATTTAAGATAGTGAGTGCATGATGATCTACAGCTAAATCAGATAATAAAGATGTGTTATGTAGCAAAATTCAAGATCATGTGACCAGCCCTTCAAACTATCAGGATGTTTTCGATGCCGCTGCTTTTCAGGGACTTTCATATACTCGAAAGTAAAAGCTGGACATTACAAGAATGGCGTTCACTGATTCTAAGTGGAGGGATTGCAATACCAATCGTCCCATATAGCCGCTATGAAGACATAATGACGTAGTTTCTAGATTCCACGAGCAACTTACGTCCTAAACACCTCATCGTGGGTGATCGATGCTTAGAACTTGAGCGGACCATGACGCTACCACGACAGCTTCCAGATCCTGTAACAAAGATTTTATATTGCGTGTAAGAAACACCTACTTAGAAGTGCTTTCCATGGTTTAAAGTCCAGCAGTATTTAGCACAGGCCGATCCCTATTTAAGACAACCATCTTCACGGTTTCCTCCAACAATAACATATATTAAGTATCTGACATCTTGCCCAAAGCTAAACTTGATGAAAAGGAAATGGTCCCAAAACAACCCAGGATGGCGCAGGCAAAGGTCTAGAAGAACCTGGGTGCGCCGGAGCTTCTGCTACGCACCAGAAAATCGCAAGTTGCTGAACAGTCCAGATCCATGCCAAGACTCCGATATTGTTGAGGCGCAATAGTGAGGCGAGCTTGGCAGCTTGGAAGATGAATCAGGAATCCGGAATTCCGTGTTTTGGTCACTCCCATTAATTTCATGGCTAGTTAGGTGCACTCTTCCCAATGCCCAGGTGGAATGTTGTTTTCCAAGGGGGTGGTTGCTGTAATGACTTGTCTCCGAGGATATATACATAATTGTCTAAATCGCATATGCAACAAGTGCACTCCCTCACATTTGCTCTAGTGTTCAGTGATTGATACAATGCTTCCAAGGTTCCAATCACTCCGCGCTAATGCTTACATAATGCGCACGAGGTGTGACGAAATTGTCCGAATGGTTTTTTTTTTAGTGAATTAGATTCAAACTATCTTCAATAGTATCAAAATGGACTTCGTTGGAAAGCGGTGATCGCAGACCGAACGAAACGATCGAGAGTTAAGGTAGATATTGAAGATGTCTCATTGCTAGGACTAAAAGAAGTACGTCTCAATTTGGTTCCACGATCCATACATCATTTTCCAGGATACAATAGGAAAGTCATGGTTGAAAGCAACAGTTCATGCTCAGACAGAACCTATGAGCTTATTTGGTCGACGGGTTCGGCATGCCGGAAGTATGTGGCCACGATCGGAAAAGATCAGCCAGATGATCGATTGGGGCGGTCATCAGTCCCACCGCAGTTTCAAACGGAGGTTTGTCGGGTGCACTGGGATGCGACCGCGACGGAACAAACATCTTCGTTCTGCCGAAAGACTTGGAAAGGTCTTCGCTCTCCTCCGTCGATAAACTTTCTTCCAATTTAGGAAGGTCCTCGCTTTCCTCTTCTTTGATGTGCTGAGTAAGATCTTCCATGAGAGCTTTGAGTGAAGGCTCGAATTGGGGATTCGAAGGTTGCATGTTCTGGAAAGCTTTGAGTTGTTCTTTGACCTGTAGTGCATTGATTAGTATGTACAAATCAGATATGTTAGGGAGCTAGCATACAGATTGGTGTTCTTTACGATCCTTGTCCGCCATAGCGCGGCCATCAGTCAGTAGCTTCTCGAATTGCGGGTAGACGACCAGCTCCTCGCCGATGGAGTGACGAGCAAGTTCCCACGTAAACTGATTCTGCCACTGTATCTTCTCTTTCTCGGTGGTGGCATTGAGGATTTTGTTGTAGTAATCCTCGATCTCACGATGGTCTTTCTTGATCGCATCACTGATACCGGCCATTGCTGCGGTTTGAGATATGTGGCACCGTTGGATTAACTTTCCGAATGAGTTTGCAGAGGTACGAGTAGACCGTAAGAATAAGAGTGACATTTTCAAATAGTCTTGTGGTATGTTCTACTCGCCAAAGACACGGGTCTTTTATAGACCATTGGACGTCATTGTCGGGGTAGCCCAGATCTACAATTGGGGGCTTCTCGGCCCAGGTCATGGATCTACTTGTCACCATCACGCCAACTCAAACCGAAGAGCAAATCAAGAACAAAGGAGAACTTACAGATTTCCCTGTAATCTCAAGAAACAGATGTGATGAGTGGACATCAGGAAAGCTTTCCTGACCAATCCCTTCACCTAGTCGCATCGACCATTATGCATCATCATAACATCATTTACATGGCGCCAATCATCAGTCTTTGGTTTCAAACGCTTTCCAAGCCTTCAGACAATTTAAGTTACCAGTGCGGGGAACGAAGTTTCCGCGAATCGGGTGCAGCCAACTCCCGCTTCTTGTACACCCTTCCATCCCACCAGATTACGCCGCACGCTGTTACGACTCTTGCAACAGCGAAGTAATAGAGGTATCGGTTTAAATAATAATGGGCCACTCAGAGCCAACTGGTTCAAAGGCGCTATGAAAAGGCCCATGTCACTTACAAGTACTTAGGAATGCCCTACTCAATAATTCAGAAAAACGCGCCAGGAGCGGTCGCAATCCCAATACGATTAAGAAGCACCACTTATGGAGCTGGCGCCAACAATAGCCGCAGCTTCAGCGTCGAAAACTTGCCACAGTCACCTCCCGGAAAAATGATGAGGTGAAGGTTCAAAGTCACGAAACCAGTGAGTCAATGAGCCAAAGTTAGTACATAAATCTAAATGGCCAAACCAAAACCGTGGCTGGGACCGGTTGGAATGGTAACTGCCAGTCCCGCATGATGTTTATCTAGCACTTATAAGATCATCCAAGCGGCCTTATCCCTCGCTAATGAAACTCACCAGTTCACGGTTCGTATCTAATAGTGATCTGAGGCTCGGGGAAGCGAGTGTCAATAATTATGCAGGTGCAGCTCAAAAAACAGTCTTACCTTTCTCAAATATTCATTGTTATTCCCAAATCTTGAGCATAGACAACCGTATATTGCTTTTATCCTGTCTTAAAGCGCATCGTTTTTGTCGGTCAAACATGGCGGACCTGGAAACTGGATCTGAGAGGAAAAGAGGAGCGGCAAGAATGGTCATCGCCTGGAACATCTTCTGTGGATGCTGGTATAGTAGGGCGGCAGACCAATTTCATCCATTCAAGATCATATTTAGGACATAGACAGTCATTCTTCACAGCAAATTTGCTACGTGCTACGTGTTGATGGAGTGATTCAACATACAAACAATACATTCTGGTATCAGCCTCAACATACATGGCGACAAGGGCTCTGAAAACACATTCATCACATCCTCAAGGTTCAACGTCAACGTCAATTTAAGCAACAAACATACTTTTCACAATTCGATGTTCGACATGATCGTATTCACCATCCACCATCCGGCTTGGCTCCCTTTCCTTCTTTTTTTTTTCTCATGTTCGTTGGTACACCTTCAATGAATTGACCTTCCAATATGACTCTTCAAAAGCTCGTGGGTTGTTCCGAACATACTCAAAGCATGTAGGTGCCTTGGAGGCACACAGTCTGCTGTTGGCCCATGCGCCTCCAGCCCAATCACCACAGAAGGTGATGTCGAAAACCTGTACAAAAAAGGATTAGCAATCATATCATATAAACAGGGCCGGAAAGCTTACAAGGTGAAGATTGTTGAATTGCGCGTCGATATTACAACCACCCGAGAAACTGGCGACTGGCGTACCCCATGTCGAGGGATCGGGTGGCCCAGTTTGAATATTCGCAGGGATTTTCGAGCGAGGGAAACGCCAGACTCGAATAACATCGCTTGTCCACTCGGTTGCGTAGACACCACCGCCAACTGCATTGAAGATACCGCCATAAGACTCGGGGTAGGGATCAACAATGCCACAGCCTCCAGCTCCAGCTGGCCCTGTTGAGTAGATGTAACAATTTTGTCGATCGAGACTGCCGCTGAATCCTGAGTTTCTGACTGTGCACCCGTCATGATTTGTGTGAAGGGTAATCTGATTCAGTGGACCTTCATTTATGCCTTCGATGATGTCGATTTCTCCAGCTGTGGGAGGGACTGTGCCAATCATCCAACTGAGTACGGTCAGCACTTATTTTTTCAATAATTCGCAACGAAGGGCTCGGGCGATAGAAGGAGCTTACAATGCTGGCCAGGTACCACATACAGCCCCAGGCATATGGGCCAGGTCCAAAATGATTAAGCCATGGTTGTAGGCTTGGTGGCTTGTCAGTCGCACACTTCGGCGACCGGGACCCCAAGCAGGATTTTTGTTGTCGACGCCAAGGTAAACAGAGCCATTTGATACGCTTATAAGGCCGGTAAGTTTTGCAGTTGATCTGTTGACGTAGCTCACAAAGCCCCTAGTAGGGTCAGCTTCCTGCATGATGTTGTTAGTGTTAATTTTTATGCACGAGACTAGACGTAAGGTGACTATACTGTGAAGAAGTCGAACTTGTCGAAGAATCGTTCATCATTACCAAAATCATCCTTCAATATGTATGAAGCAGTGCATATTGGCAGAAACAAAAGCAGCCACAGGGTCGTCAGAAAGAGGCGGAGAGACTGCATTGTCTCTGATTTGCGACGAGATGTCGACTTCAACATAGACAGGTATATCGATTTCAAATACTGATTCTGCTTCTGATTCTGTTTCACTTCCCAGAGGCTCCTCGAGTCGTTCGATTATTTGTTTGGACATCAGGAACTTGTGGGATGCAGAGTAGTTCAAATATATTTCAAAGGGTGGAACGAAGAAGTAAAAAGTAAGATAGAGGGCAATCGTGGGGAATCTTGTAAAATAGCACGCATTCCGGTGATGAATTTGGACGGCCGATGCTGGACCTGGAGCCGACACCAGAACAGGATCAAACCTTGTGCGCCGGGGCTTGATGCATTATAATCATGTCCAATTCGTACTAGTGCTAGTAATGTGTATTCAATTGACTCATTTCATCCTGTTGTAGATCCGAGCTTCTTATATACCATGCCATGTAGTTTTTAAACTTTAAAAGTGCACCTTGCTGCTAGCCGAAGAGACAAGCTCAAAACCCGGGGGAATACTGACTTCTAGTTCACAAAGTCTATCGCTCTGTACATTGATTTTTAGGTATTATATGATTTCCAACACAAAAGAAAATACATGCATATACATATACTACCCCACACCTGGGCATATGTAGCGCCCTTGATCTCCCTGTAATTGAACTTCGCGACCTAATTCTCTTTGACTTCAAAGTAACAAGTAAACTTACAAAGGAAGGGAAAAATGTTCGCCTGTTGAGAAGAAAGCTTGACTCATTATGCTTGAACTCGTCAAATATCACAAAAGGTCATATCACGTATCATATACCTAAGACGCCGTATATTATCTTATTTCTAGCGCTATGTATGCATTCGGTCGTGTTATAGTTCTCCATTCTGTGCCTGGCCATCGCCTTCCCCCTTCAGAATGCCTGCCAAGTGCTCGCCGATAACGTGTCCCATATAATCATATCCTTTCGCTGTGAGATGTAACCCATCATCAAAGATTTCCTCGATAAATTGTTCTGTCGCGCTGTGGTATGGAATCTTGCTGCAGAGATCAAACGCATAGCTGTGACAAAGTTAGCCTGACACATGGAATAATCATGAGCTTGAGCTTTACTATCGTTCCGCCTTGTGATCAAGAATGAGCTTGTTGAGAGCCGACCGTCTCAGATCCAGGTTGCTGACACGGGCTTGGCACTCGGGAATAGTCAAAGACAGAACCTTGGCACCTGACCGGAGGACAACATCCCAAGAATCTTGGAGGCCAGCGTAAATCTTTTCGGGGTCGAATCCGTAGCCGAGATCACTAAGCCGGGCATTGTCCATGATCAGCAAGAAAGCACTGAATAATGCAATGGAGGAAGACCCACTTTGTACCCCCCAGAAATATCACCCAGTCGTACTTATTGTTGTCGCACTTCATTTCTATGCGAGAAAGGAATGTTCCTGGGCGACACACCAGATCACCAGGCTGTCCAGCCACAGTGGTAAGAACATCAAGGCCTAGAAACTCATGTTCGAGGTGTTCCTTAAGTTTGATGGCATACGGATTATACCCTAGTCCGTACGAATAGAAACCAGCTGTGAGCGAGTTACCGAAGCAAAGGATCGAAAGTTGCCGGGACATCATGGCATTAACATTTCAAGGGTGAAAGAATTTATCTTTAAAATGGAAGATAAGAACAGAGGGGAAACCGTTAAGTCCTTTGTGAGTGAAGGTGTGGGCGCGTACAGGCAGCAAACTCTCCTAAACGGGAATAGCGGGAATTGCTAAATCAGCGTCTTGTCACCACGTGGCCTGGATATGCAGGCATCAATGCGCAGGGACACCTCCTAGCCACCAAGTTCACGCTGGTCACTTCAAGTTGACGGTTGGATTCCGTGGACGTTCTGTGGGACCAGACTCGAGCATTAAATACATGAGATTTTGGTCTTGTTTTTCTTTGGCAAATCGGCCAACTTCAGCCTTCTTGAGGCATTTACGCAAACCAACATGCCTTGCGCCTTGCAATATCACTTGATTGTAGTATTTAGTACAATCATGGATATACATATGGTCATCGAGGACCTTGGATTACTCCATAGAAATAAGGTTCGTGGTGATCCAAGATAAGACGAAAGCATTTCCCCATATAGCCGCTGACTCAGACATCAAATGAAAATGATGAGATATTCCATCGGAACTCCGTGATGACAAGATTTCCAACAGCCATGGTTTCCCATTCCAGTACCAAGATAGGCGATATGGGACGCCTGATTGGAATTAAAAAAGCCACGATAGTCGGGATCCTGATTAGGCTTAGGTGCGGCATGCTTATAAGAGCTTCTCAATCCCCCATAAGCATTGACTCAATTACATTTCCACACGACCTACTTACAATTTCAATATGGGATCCCAAACGCCTCAACCCCAGTCGTTCAAAATTCTCCCCGCTACTGAGGAAGACTTTTTGACCCTCGCACAAGTGGAATCCATTTGCAATGACACGTCCCTCGGAACACCGTTAGAAGCAAACATCACCCATATCATGTTTGGACCGCCTCATCCAGAGAACCACAAATTCCGGGCTAAAGGTCTCGTCGACCAGCTAAACAAAGACCCTACCATGAAGAACTACAAGGCCGTTGTGGAGGAAGACGGTAGAGAGAAGATTGTCGCCTGGGCTTCATGGAACTTTTACCCCGAGGTCACGCCTATCAAGGATTGGACCAATCTCGACTGGCCAGCACCTGCCAATCGTGAGGCGTGCAACGACATCATTGGTCGCATGACAGCCATGAGGCAGAAATATATGTCTGGAAGGAGATATGCCTGTAAGTATTTGGGTTAATCCACCTGAGCATGCCCGGATCTTTGAATGATATATCTGACACAGCAACAGTCCTACAAGTGCTTGCCACACTTCCAGAGTATCGTTGTCGGGGAATTGGATCGAGCCTTGTCCGACATGGCCTTGCCGAAGCAGAGGCATTGGGCATAAGTGATCTTTGGCTGACAGCCTCTGCGCACGGTCATGATCTTTATTTGAAGTATGGATTCCGGGACCTTGAATCCATTTTCACGCACGAGGATATTGCAAAGTATGGAGGATCGGGTGACCCAAAGGTCATGGCAATGGGACGACTCGGCTAGATCATACCTTGAGTCCTCCGGAGGAACATATATAAGCCATAGATTTTGTGATCCATGGATGTGCATGTGTACATATTTCCTGATTGGTGCGGACGGTTGTGCTGTTTGAACTGCATTCCAAGGTTGTTTTCAAGATTTCGCCTTGAAGTTCCCGGTTGTATATATTTTGATCTTTGACTGGTGAAGTAGAGAGAACAATAAATCAGTCCCTCCCCAATACTCTAATACTTCAAATGTTTACTCCACTGGTTCTCATATATCAACATTGGAATTGTGCTTCCAATCACCATGAAGATAGTAGAGATGAGGTCACCTCGGCTAGCTGCCAAGGTGGGATGTGGAGCATGCCCCGCGCTCCCTTGGAGGCGCGCATGAGATCACTCCAACTCCAATTCAACCCCAAACGAAAAAGGCCGACCGGCAAAATATTCTTGCTTTCAACTGTGTGTGGTATCTTATCGTTTCGTCTACCAAAATGTCACAGTCTCGACCATTGGGAGTAGGCATTATCGGTGCGGGGGTAAGCCAATCACAACCGAAGCTACAAGCTAGTAACAACAGCTAACATATCACTAGGAAGTCTTCCAAGTCTGCCATGGGCCCTGCTTACTGCTGCTATCACACCTCTTCAAGCTACAGTCAATCTGTGACGTGTCAGCCAAAACAGTCGAGCACTGTGCAACGAAGTTCTCCGTTCCCCATAAAACAACCACACCTCAAGATGTCATCGACAACCCCAACGTCGAGATTGTCTTCATACTCACATCCGACGAGAGCCACGCTCCCCTAACATGCGCAAGTCTAAAGGCAGGGAAGAACGTCTTCATTGAGAAGCCAGTCTCCCTCTCACTGCCTTCCGTGCAATCAATCATTGACGCGGAAAAGAACGCAGGAGGCGCCCGTGTGTTCGTCGGATATATGCGTCGTTACGCCCCCAGCTTCCTCGAAGCATTTAAACGTGAAATTTCGTCAATCCCGAAAATTATGTATGCGCGTGTCCGCGACTTCAGTGGGCCGAACTTCAACTTTGTCAGTCAGAGTGGTACATTCTCAGTCAAGCACAATGATTACCCGCCCAACGCCGCGGAAGAGCGTAACACTCGACTCGAGGCGCTGTTCAAGGAGGCTTTCCCCAACCAGGAAATCACGGATGAGAAGCGGAAGTTCTGTCGTTTCCTTGGTAGCCTTGGCTCGCATGATATTTCTCTCATGCGTGAGGTTCTCGGGTTCCCTGAGCGGGTGAATGGCGTTACGGCCAATGATCCGTTCTACAGCGCTATCATGACATTCCGCAATGCGGACGGTTCGACGTACTCTACGACTTATGAGAGTGGTATTGACGAGGTTCCTGTCTTTGATGCACACATCGCGGTGTACGGCGCTAAGAAGAGAGTTACTCTCAAGGTATGCAATCCTTCTTTCTTTACCGCTGAGTACATTACTGACTATATCTCAGTTTGATAGCCCATATGTCAAAGGTCTTCCCATTTATGTGGAGGTTGATGAGGTGAATGAACAAGGGGAGATCCAGCACCGGAAGATGCTTTCCTCCTATGAGGATGCTTATACTGCCGAGCTCCAGGAACTGTATGAGGTCTTCGCCAATGGAAAGTCGATCAAGTCGACTTTGTCAGATGCGAAACAGGATCTTGAAATCTTTGACATGTTTTATAAGAGTTGGGCTTCCAAATAATCTGGACATACAAGTGTTCTTAAAAGACATTTACCTACATACACCACATCATACATCATTTATTCAATTATCTCAAATGATACATCCAAACTCGTATCGTCAATGCGATCAACATGCGTTGGAATTGATCATGCATTGAGGTTGAGTGGTGAAACACATGAGAACGAGTTCAGCTGCGGATTTTCGAAGGCATCGATCATTCCTGGGTTATGTTAGCCTCATGTAATAACATATCTGGGTTTCATGTACATACCAATGACAGCTGCCCACATGCCTAGGCCACACATGGCCAAGGAAGCCAAGAAATAAATCACATGCCAGATATTGATGGAGACCTGAAACCAACCACCAGCAAAGAAGCCACGAATCCACCGTTGAGTAGCTGTTCCAGATCTCGTGACTTGTCCAGTGACTGGGTCAAACGCTTCTCCTTCCACCAGACCAGCATTCTTCTGGATATCGAAGCCCAGCGCAAACAACGGAGGTAGGGTATAGCTCAAGTTGAGAAGCATAGAGGCAGATATGACACTGACAAATCCAAAGTAATCGGGAACAGCAGCGCCAATGATAAAGGCGATAATCCACCACAATGGAACCAGGGCCGCGTAGATAATCTTACCACGTCGGCTTTCCATGGGTGGGACCTTGAAAATGTCGACAAGAATATTGTTGTAAACGACCTTGATGCCGATATTGCCATAAAGTCCACCCGCAATCAATGCGGCAATCAGCGTCACCATATTTCCGAGTGTCTGCCACCCATAAATACTGACACCCTGATAGCTAGGATTGAAGCTGTATTGTCCCTGCAAGTAGTAGACTACACACCCGTAAGTGAGATAGACACTATAAATGAAGAACTGAGCACTCCACATAGCCTTGATAAAATCTTGGGGTCTTCTCATCTCCGCCATAAACTCGACAAACAATTGTGCGCCGGCATAGGCCAGCACACCAGAAAGCATACCGTTCACTGAGCCGACCAGGCCAATTCCAGGAGGAATATTGTTGTAATGAATAATAGCCGGATAGACGCCATTCACGGGTGTGATGGTCGCGGCATTGGTATCACTACCCGCGGACCCGAGCGTAGAGATCTGGTAATTCGGAGGTGAATTGGCCATAACACCCATGGTCATGAAAATAACGAAAATATTTAACCACACAGCCAGATTGGCGATCCACCCGTATGCCTTCAGAGTCCGGATTTGTGTGATAAAGAACCCGGCAACGGCGAACAGGACAGGACAAACAGCGTAGCAGAGCTTGAATTTTGAGACCTGGGAGATGTTTTCACCATATTGGATTGTGACTTGACCCGTGATGAGTAGTAATCCGAGGCCTTGGAGAATATTTGTGACATGCCGACCGCCGTTACCGAACGTTCTGAACCCAAGATCACCATAGTTTTTCACGGGGAACTCGTAGCTGTCGACGCCGAGGTAAACGCGCCAGATGAGATATCCGGAATATCCGACCATCGCGCCGAATACGGTGTAGAACGCAACGCCTAGTCATTCTTAGCTTTATTCAAACAAAAAACGACATAAAGAGGAAGACTTACCAGGTCCCCATCCCAGCGTTCCCATCGCAAAGCCAGATCCATAAGGCCCCAAAATATCCGTTGTAATCAAGTAGAAGCCTGACAGGTTAGCACATTCAAATGGAAAATAATCCAGGCCAGTACTAACAAGCGCCCCATGAGGCCGACCGGAACGCCCGACTAGCATTCGTCCACTCCTCATCCGTGATCTCGAGTCTCCTCGCCCGATTTGTGAAATCCTCCTCCGTCAGAGTAGTAGCAACATCCTGATTCGACGCATTGCTTTCGCTCGACTTCCCAAACCACTGTCGTACATTCAGCACAGGCGGATCCAGAAGGTCCTGCTCGGCTCTCGTCTTCTGCGCGTAGTAGGTGTACTCCTCGAAAGAGACATCTGTATCATAAGGCTCGCGAGCCTGTGGCTTGATCAGGGTACTTGTGGCTGGCGCGTACACCTTTTCGTCGATGTGTTTCTCCATGGTAAATCCGCCTCTATAGCCCCTCGAGAATTTTTCAAAATTCACAAAGCCAAATTGTCGAGGGGAACGGGATTAATATGCGGAGAAGCTAAGCATCTCGGGACTAGTCCGTGCACACGGGGACAAGCATTCACTATGGCCTCCACCCGTTGCTGTAATTGGATAAGATCGACGTGGTATCTGTGAGTAAGGCCCCCCCGGTCGGCTAATTTGATAAGCTCCACGGCTGTCACTGGCCGCAGATACTTTGTCATATTCGTGAGTCAGATTCTGTCGACGATACTTCATTCTGGAGGTATTTAGGTGTATCAGGGTCCAATAACAAACGTGCGCAACTCTGTCGGCTTATTTCGGATATCTCGGGTCAGCGACGGAGTGGTCAGATAAAGGGGTCTAAGCGACTGTTTGTACTAGCCCCTTTTTCTGTGTTTTCTGCACGCCGTTGCATGATCGGAATTCGGCAGTTCTTTGGCTCCGTACGCTCCGACAAGAGTTGTCTGTCTTGCATTTTTGCATTATGATCAGCGACATAAGTGTACATCTGCAGTATTGACAGGACTGATGATCAGCGACACGGGACGGACTTTTGGGTTTCACACGCATTATTTGTGATGTTCTGTTCTGAATGTCTTTGAGCAAGTGCGTGCTTGGGCAGCAGTGAAGAAACGGGAGTTTTAGACATACTTTGTATCTTCGAGGAAGCAGCGTTTGAAGAATGACTTCGGTTGCTACCCTGGTGACTCGGTTGCTCTCAAGACATCAGCCAGGATCTGGCCAGATGAAAGCTCCGTCCAATTTCGGACGGTGCCAGCTGTCTCTCAGGTAAAAGCCGACGATCGAAATATCTCCGATGTTGTCGCGTAGTTTGGATTGGGTGGCCAGGCAAGAGAGAAACATTTCAGCGATTTGTAAGGAGAAAAGAGCAGACTTCTACTCGGAGAAGTCTTCTCGTACTTCTGATGTTCAACTTCACCACCAGCCCCAGTTAATTGCTAGAAGTATAATACGTTTCACTGAATACTGATGCTGAGTAAGTGCGAATTGCTGTAAAACGGGAAGTTTAGTCCGCGTCGATCGATGCGGGGAAGGTATAGCTTCCCCTCACTCAATCGGCCGTTGCTGTCGTCCAATTGGGCCTCAGCACCCATTCACCGGCCTTGGATTAACCTGTTAAAACTCAAAAAGGAATCATTTCCGACTTCGTGAAGCTGGGCGCGTGGTTGGGGCAAACCTGAGCGCCGAGACCATAAGTGCCCAGTGCTGTCTACAAATTCCCTCATCCCGCTTGATCTTGTTTTCATTTTCAGTACGACATTCTCCTTATCCGACCTTTTCACCATGTCTGCAACCACTATGAAAGCGCTCAACTATCTGGGTCCGTACAAGGTTCAGGTTGAAGATGTTGAGAAGCCGAAGTTGGAGCATCCAGATGATATCATTGTCAAAGTCACCACGGTAAGTCTATCTTATTATTGAGGTGGGAAAGACTAAGTGACTGATCGTTTTCAGGCCGCGATCTGTGGCTCAGACTTACAGTAAGTCAATCAAGACTGCCAGCTAAACCCCGCCCAAGTCGTTAGTCGCTCACAATGGAACAGCATGTATGAAGGTCGAACGGCCGCAGAGCCTGGCATCACCTTCGGTAAGATCCCCATCGTGCAAATCATGTACAATGGCTAACGGGAAAGGCCACGAAAATATGGGAATTGTTGAGGAGCTTGGTGAGGGAGTGACACTACTGAAGAAAGGCGACCGCGTGGTGATGCCGTTTAACGTTGCCGATGGTCGGTGTCGCAACTGCGAGGAAGGGAAAACAGCTTTTTGCACTGGTGTCAATCCGGGATTTGCCGGCGGTGCCTATGGTAATATATGCACCGCATTCTACTTTCCTTAGCTAACAGCGACAGGTTATGTCGCGATGGGTCCTTACCGCGGAGGTATGTTTGTGATTCGGTTCCAATCCCCAAAAGGATCCGACTAAAAGTCTCAAGGCCAAGCACAGTATATCCGAGTTCCATATGCAGATTTCAATGCTCTCGTATTACCTCCTGGAAAGGAACACGAAGCGGACTTCGTTCTTCTCGCTGGTTAGTTCCTACAACTTCGTCCGGGAGTGCTTCGCTGACTGTAGTCTATCGCAGACATCTTCCCGACCGGTACATTCCATCTATCCCTTTCTCGAAAATCACAGTTCTAATAATCGATAACAGGTTGGCACGGTGTTGAGATTTCTGGCTTCCAAGCAGGTGAAAGCATCGCTGTCTTTGGAGCAGGCCCAGTCGGTCTTATGGCAGGCTACTCGGCAGTTTTGCGTGGCGCGTCAAACATCTACGTGGTAGACCGTGTTCCTGAGCGACTCGAAGCAGCCAAAAAAATAGGCTGCATTCCGATCGATTTTACACAGGGAGATGCTGTTGACCAGATCATCAAACACAATGGCGATATGGTAGATCGGTCGGTCGATGCTGTGGGATACCAGGCTGTTGACTCCAATGGATCTTCCGAGAAGGCGAACATTGTTCTCGAGAATATGATTCGTGTGACACGGGCTTGTGGTGGCTTGGGTATTCCGGGACTATATGTGCCCAGGTATGTTTCAAAAAGACACGACACGGTCGCGAAAGTTGACGAGTGCTCTACTAGTGATCCCGGTGCCACCGATGCTGCTACTGCCAACGGGATGATCAGTCTCAGCTTCGGAAAGCTGTTTGAAAAGGTAAGATAGTGGGTGATTCAATTTTCCGTAAACCAGACCCTAACTACTTATAGGGTCTATCTCTCAGCACTGGACAGTGCAATGTCAAGGCATACAATAGGTACTTGCGAGACATGATCATTGCTGGTAAGGCCAAGCCTAGTTTTGTGATTTCGCATGAGATTGGGCTTGCCGATGCCGAGACTGCTTATGACAAGTTTGATAAAAGAGAGGATGGGTACACGAAGGTTATCATCCATCCGAACGGAGGTTTCTAATTCCCTAGAAGCTAGTAAATAAGAAATGCATTGTCTCTATACTCATTATTTTCAGAAGCCATGTGGCGCTACTAAGCGAATTACCGAACACGTCATTGCAATAATTAATATATCGGGTATGGCTTTCCAGGATATCATATGACGATTTCTGTGTTGAAAGTGTTGAATTTGTCTGCATTTCACACAAAGAAAAAGTGGAAGGCGCGATTCGTGCATTTTGCTTTCGGAAGCACGATAATTCATTCTAAACAGGCGCGATGTAGCGGACTATAACTCTTCCCTTGCTTTTTATTTTGATATCCCAATCATCTCTATCTATTCTTGTTCTTCTTCTTCCACGCATTCCCACCCTTGTAAGTCATGTTATTTCATGTTCATCAAATGCAATAAGGATAAAGTAGAAGATAGAGAGTTAGTTAGTCATTGGGATATTGAAGCAATACATCACAATCCCGATACCCCCACAAGTGGCGAGATGAAGCGCAAATACAGCATTCGATAGTAGAATAGATGACCAAAGACGGCCTGCAAACAACCATCTAGATCAGAGATCAACCTCATATGCATGTATGCATGTATTCATAACAGTTGAAGATTTGGGAACTATCTCCAACTTTCGCACATAAATCGCGGGGTTGAATAGATGAAAGTTGAGGTCTCCGCATGCCCAGACGCGACCATTGCAGGCAATGTTCGCCGCGAGTGGGTCGTGCGAGAGCTGTCCAAGGACCCTCTGCTGTGGGGCTGACCAACCAATAGGAATGCCCAATCTGAAGCGTCACAGCGGGAAGTGTTTCCAATTTCAGATACTGTGGGATGCGGTGCAAGTGTAGATCAACTTGAACATTTCGTGAACTGATACATATTTTGCCCCATTGAAGTTCATTTTGAAAATAATTTGTAAACATTTCTTCAGTTCCACCTAACTGCATATCAGCCACTATGAGGATCGACCGTTTTCGTACTGTCTGGGGCATTGAGCCTGGAACCAACCTGGACAATTGGGCCAAGTGGTTTCCAGAGCTGAAGGCGCTGGGCTACAGTAAGTCAAAGAACGGCCTTACTATTGAGTACAAGTCGTTTTAACTAACTCCGGTTCACAGGCGGTGTCGAAGTCAATATTCATGCGCTAGATTCGAAGCGAGAAATTTCACGACTGCGACAGATTTGCGATGGCTTGGGTTTCGATATCAGCGTCCTGTCAGCACACATACGCAGGAGTGTATAGCTATGTTGATTGAGATGCTAATATAAAGACAGGGGCCACTCTTCTTGGGTTGATTACCTAGGTCCCCGTCCAGTCGGTCTAAAAGCAAGCGATCACTTAAAAGCTTACCGAGATGTCCTCCTGCTGGCTGAGCCGCTCCGACCTGTGTCCTTCAACTTCCAATCTGGAGAGTAAGTACCCCTTCCCATGTTTGACTCAAAGCTCTAGCTTACATATGATTCAGAGATGCCTGGGAGATTGAGGAATCCATCAGATTTTACCGCGGTACCCTCGAAGTTGACACCGAACTTGGTGTGTCCGGTCGTGTCTACCACGAGACTCATCGTAATCGATCAATGTTCACACCATATGCAGCCCAACAGATCTTGAAAGCTGTGCCACAGTATAAACCTGCTCTTATCAACTTAATGAAAGATAAATCTGACTTGTCTTACTATAGGCTACGCATCACTGCCGATTTATCACACTGGATGGTTGGTCTAGAACGGCTCCTTGATATTGGCGAAGGTGATCGCGCTATGATGGATTCCATCATTCCACACGTGAGTCTAAATATGATTATGAAATGTACAGGAGCTGATTTCCATCTAGGTTTACCATATTCACACTAGAATCGGAACAACCCAGGCTTCTCAGTGCCCTGAACCTATGAATCCCGTATTTGAGCAAGAGAGATTATGCTTTGAGAGGCTATGGACAAAAGTCCTCCAGTGTCGGATTGAAGATAATCCAGATTCGAAGATCATATTTGTTCCGGAATATGGGTGAGTTGGCTAAATTAATCTTGAATTGAATCCGACTGACTATCCTAGCCCCTTCCCGTACCACCCTATCGGTAGCGCAAAGTCCCACGGCCAGGTTGCAGACGAGGAAGGTAAACGCGTGCATGTCGCTTTCACGCAATTCGCAGCAAATCTCACAGGAGCATAATTTTGGGCTTATGTCTATCATTAGAGTTGGCAAGTTTTTAGGGTCTCTGAAGTTTTGAATAGAGAAAAGAAAAACATATGTTTGATGCGTCGCGAGCCTTGTATTGGTACCGACTAGTTAATGATGTTTCGCGTGTTCCTGGTGTTGAAAATGAGGAGTTTTCGTGTTGACTATACAAAAAGACCTTTTCGTGGCGGTCGGCGTTTGCAGATGACTTGAAGGATATAAGATTGAAGGCTAATCGCGAACTAAACCACGATATCAATGTTGCGCAGTACCATATATATGTAATGGTATTCAACTAGTTCAGTCTGGTCCCTAAGTAGAAGTATAATGTCTATTCCATCAAGTGATTTCCCTTGTAGACGCCATAGCAACACGATTCCGACCTCTCGGGATTGTGTTGGGAATGCATACCGAAGAAACCATCGTACTGAATCCCGGGCCTGGTTGGCGCACGTGGATGCTGCTGGTCCCTGGGAGCTTAGGACTATCAAAGGTTGTCCGATGCCACATCTCTATCTGAAGTTGCGTAACCCACTCTTTGAAAGGTAGACTCGCCCTCTCAGCATCAAAATAGAAGCTTGAAGGGTTCAAGCCAGGAGAAGGCTGTGCATCCGGCTGCCCGCGTTCCGTATATAAGTGATCTTGCAACATTATGAACCGTCCCCGGTACCCAAGGTCTAATAGTTGGACGTATTCCAGCTTGAGATGATCTGCCCAGAATTCAAAAACGCGCTTCCAGAGCCCCTGCATCTCATTTTTGACTTCAGTTGATAATGAAGAGACACAACTACGACTGTTATCAGTCAGGGGTCCTGGGTCTGGTGCTGATGTTATCCTATCAACTAAACTGACTAAGTTCAGTCTGAGTCGTTTCGAGGTTGGGGCTGCCGTCCGTAGGAATTCTTCGAGGCTATTCACTGTCACTTCAATTAGATGAAGATGAAGTTCCTCTAGCTGGGAAAACGAATTTTCTGAGCGATATCCTTGTAGTAGAGAGGAGATAGTTCTTCTATAGGACTCCATTGTGCAAAGGTCAGGATCTTCAGTGTCGGTGCAACTGTGACCAAAAGATTGAGAAGACGTCTGAAAGTGGCTTCATCGAATGTTTCTTGTTCGTAATCTTTAAGGCGAATGCACATATGTAGAGTCGTAAGATCCTTCAAAAGTGGAAGCAGTAATTGATACCGTGACTCTGCCAGTTGAAAAGATTTTTACTTCTTGCCGCAAAAGACATGGCCGCACGTGTGGGAAGCTTGAACCTTTCGGCTGGATTTGATCATTGCGTTAAGCAGTTGTGAGAATGCCAAATCATAAGGCATATACGGCATCCTCTGATGAAACATTGGAAAAATGCTTGAACTTGAACTGGCTCTTCAATTCACGTAAGCCCAGGCAGGTAAAGTCAGTATGCTTTGCGATATTGAGGAGGAATTGTGTTGCGTAAAACCGTGACCCAAGGGTGACAGCATTTTTGAGGCGCGGGAGACATTTTTTAAGGGTGACGAAAAATCCCGAGGATTCGAGAATGCCACGGTGTTCAGTCATTGTAGCTTTGAAGACGGCATATAGAGCCTCAAGCTCAGCCTGAATTTCATTCGATTCTTGCATTGTTGGACGGCACCTCAATTTCAACCAATGTTTGCTATCGTCCACCATTGTAAAACTTGCCTTGTCTAAGTGTGTCCAGCCTTCGAACAAGTTCGGGATGATCCAAATCTATTCAACCGAGCCATGAAGAGTTTTACTGGTTGCAAGCTCCTCCAGGCGGCCAAGGCCCTCACGGGTGAGAAGGAGCGAGATTCTTTTGAAATAACGCGTTGTATAGGCTTCCAGTGTGTTGGCGTGTATTTGGCGGCAAGTGACCCTAAGCGCGCCCCAACCTTGAGGCTCTAGAGACTTACAAATACGAGTCAATAGCTCCAAAGGCAAGCTTGTGATTGACATATTGCGCAGGTATTTCAGGCCACACAAAATTATGCGCTATTGGAATCCTGAACGTGGTCAAGTGGACCGCCAAAGATGGTGTTGAATGACAATAGGAGATTGGCAGAGGGGGGGAAATAGAGCTCCGATTCCGGGCCGATACAAAGCTTACAGTAAGTACCGGAAAGCCCGTGTGGCTGTGGATACCGGTTAGCCATCGCGGCCAACCGGAAAATGTAATTGCCCCTGACTGCGGGAAGTGGAAATTCGGTTAGGGGATTCAAGTATTTACGTGAAGGGCTGAAGCGGTAGGGCGGCCAGGGCATGCCCCCAAAAAATTCAGAGTGTAGAACAAAGAAGAACACAAGCATGTAAAACATATAACAGTTACTCTCTGTCGGTGGTCACCTAGCGCCCACGATTTTGTCCAAGGCGGCTCGCCGCCCTATTTGGCATCCGTTCAGCCTTTCGCTTGAAGAGCCAAAATTGGTATGCACAAGTCGCATTCAGGGACTTCAGAAGGGCAATATTTAACGAGGACCTCAATTGCACACAAGAGTGATAAAATGATTCACAAGCCTATTGCTTGATCTCGTCACTTGACTCACTTTTCAGCTAGCTCAACTATAACGACTAAACAAAATGATTTTCTCTTAATCAATTTTGATGACATCAATACTTAATTAATTTCCAGAAGAGTCACTGAGTACTGCTATCAACATATCTAACTATTAAGAGGTCTTGAACTCATTTAGTATGTACAGATTCTATACCTAATCTGTTCTAGGCTTAGCTAGTAAATCAGTTCTCTGTCAGGGAGCTGGGAAAAAATTAGATACAAAAGACCTATACTTAGGGCATCGAGTCCTCATAAATGCAAGATAGACACATAAGGAAAGCCACACAAATATATTCGATTATATTTTTTAAGAACCACTTCATGTTTCAATCGATCTACCATTGAGGCCTTACGCTCCGCTACTAGGCTATCGTACCCTTACCTAATTGACAGACGTTCTCATCTGTATAAGTAGATCCATGGTATTCCGACAGTCAAGGAGGCAATAAGGCGATGTTAAGATCATGTTATCTGGAGCTTAGTGAAGTGTAAATTTAGTGTTTAGGATGTAGCGTAATGTAGCCTAGTAATGTTATAGTTTGTACTATATGGAATCTTGTTTGAAAGAGAGATTCTGCTTCTTACATTCCCGAGGTCTTGTTTTGACTGATTATTAAGGTATCATATCATTTTTTTAGTTGGCTCAAATATTCGATGGCTTCGATGGGGGAGCGGTATCCCCATACACTTGGCACTGGTACGTATATACTTGGTGAGCAGTCTCAGAAAGTATGAAACACATGTCTCTCGGTTTATAACATACATCATCCATTGAGCTTGGCTTCCAGTTATCTATTTGCATATCCCTCCTAGGCAGTTGATGCTGAATCACTGCCATCGATTTGTCTGCTTGACTGTCATCGTGCTCTTCTAATTTCAGTCTGAAGAAGGTGACACGAGAGTCTTGACCGTGCTTCATATCTAAAACAATACCACGTAGACTAAACCCAAATACGCTGTAGTGCAGTGCTCCGATACTGTCCCAGCCTGCAAGAAGGTGACTGGTCTCCCCTTCTTACCTTCATTTGAGTCCCCTAGTAGCCTCGACATGCTTCAATATGCGTATCTTACTTCACTTCCTAACTGCTTTTGAATATCTCTTATGTTTAGTCAGTCCACTAGCACATAAGTGACTGTTTCTTGCACACGCTGTCTCTATACATCGGAAGTTTTAATTTGCCTATATCTATAGATTTGGTGTGATTCAGCAACCACCCTGTGGATTAATGTGGGGCAATCTCAAAGATGTGAATTCGCAAGACCGCAGTAACATCAAAAAGACAAGAGTATGTCTTCCGACCATCCTCCCGGCATCTCCATACGTCGATCAACCATTGCCCAAAAGTCTCCCACAAATTCATCGGAGGGCTCACTAACCCATAAGCACCAATCCTCGGGTGTTGGGCCATATGAGAATCCAATTAATCGAATAACAAAGCACCACGATCTACCGAAAGTTCGAAAATCAATATACCCCCCTTGGTCTTGCAGTATCAACTCTTCTCTCTCACCGAAATCTTTCAGGTTGACACCGGCACCTTGAAGATCCCGCAATAGCGCTCTGAGTGCTTCATTGCACTTCTTCGTAAGCGAGCCTTGAAGCGGTTTAGAAACCTGCAGACAACCATCTATGAAAGCTTGCAACAGAGTTAGTCCGTTCATTGCTTTGTGTATGTGAAGACCATTATCCAACATTTCTCGAAACATCATATACCATTCCTCATAAACTTTTTGCTTCATAGCCCTGTCCTTAATTGCATCATGAGGCCAGTTTGAGTCGATCTTGGTACATCCCATGCAGTATGCAACACCATGAGGCAAAGTGATCATGTGAGCGCCGCCGATGAAAGGGCCAATGCCTGGTGGCACTTCAAAGTTAGAAAGTGTAGCAGAAACAACTTCAAATTTGGAAGTCGTAAAAGAGATCCCATTCAGAATGGCCCTAATAATGGAGGGCCCATTCCATAAATTACGGGATAAGCAAGCACCTAGTTCCATAATGGCAAATCTAATGCGCTCCTCATCGGATAAGGTAAAAAATAACGGGCAGCAGGCTTGCTGGAGAAAATTAAATTCCTCTGCTGTGCCCCTGAACCTGTGAAAACTCCTGAGAAAGACATCCTCAGGATCCTCCTGCGATTCATTTTCAAATTGACAGAGCAATCGCAGAAGTGGAAGTATAGGCTGTGACTTCCGAGGAGGGTTTATCCTAATTCGCCCTATTGAAGAAATAGGCTTCTTCCTAAAATAATCCAGTACATTTGGATCAGCCCCTTGTTTCAGTAGAAACTCCGCTACTTCGAATCGATTATGGTAGCAAGCCCGCTATCATAGTTTAGAAAGTTTCCTGTGAAGGGATAGGATGATAAGCCACTTACGGATAGTAAAGTCATCCCTATTTCATCCCTTACAAAGAAGGAGAGCTTTCCAGATGAGAACACTTGACGTAGACCATCAAGGTCTCCATGTGCAACAAAATCAAAGACCGGGTGACCCCGTGAAAGAAAATCATACGTGCGAAATACCCATTGCCAACCGCCATATGCTCTTTTCCCTTGAATTTCAAAGACCTTCGAGGTGATCCAGATTGGCAATCCAAGCCGCCATAAATATGTGCATTTTTGGGACGATATGTCAATTACATCAGAGGTTGATCCAGGTTCTTGTTTATTCTCTTGGAAATAGTCAGATATCATAAGCAGAATAATAGCTGCGACTGAGCCTTACTGTCACTTTTGTTCTCCTGAACTTGGATCTGAGGACCCATGACTGGTTGTGTCTGCATCAAAGCTCTGTAGAGATATCAGCTAAAGAACTGGCAGTGATAAAGTTAGCCAACCATACATTGAGTAGCACTGCTGCGAAAGAGAAAGCAATCGAATTGAATTGCTGAGCTTGGCCTTGTACTTCTCCACTTTGCTTTTTTGAAGCACTGTTTTAAACGAAGAGTAGGACCGTCTAACGCGACTAGACGGACTAAGGTCTTTGGCAAGTTCATTTGAAATAACCTGAAGCCTCTCTGCTGCCTTCTTGCAAATCTCTAGACTCCGAGATAAATGTGCACTCGTTCCTATGGCATTCGCCAGTGGGCCCAACGAAAGACTTTGTTCGATTTCCCGCAAGATAAGATCATATATTTCTAGCTCAGCGATGAGTTCTTGCAATTCCTCGGGCGCGTCACGGATCTGGCTCCAGCATTCTTTTATTTGGAAAATCGACTTAGAGATCTGCGCAACGACAGTTGCAAAGGTGATCGCCCCTGAGATGATTCCGATCACTTCAGCCATCTTGTCCCTGCGACCGCGCAGATGAGCTGTTCAAGGAAAGGTGGGGAGGTAATATAATCTTATCTGAGCAGCAGAGTTTGTGGCGCTTGGTTTTGTTATGCTTGAGGGCGACCCAGGTCGCTCTTGGGCATCTACACTGCGCCTCAGTTAGCGCTGACTGATTTGGCCCCAGCAGGCAACTCCTCAAGCAGCCAATCAATCCTTCTCAGGTGTCTACAACCAGCCATCCTAATATTACTGCCATACTATCTCCACATTTTCACATCGCAGTCAGCGTGTTACGATCGACTCAAACCCACGGGCCTTGCCGCCTTGAAGAGGGCCGGGGCTAGATGGTTGGAAAGCGGAATGACAGCAGCGCCGACAGGAAGTCAGGTGATGCGCAGTCTTTACTCGGATTCCTTGGCGCAGCTTCCTGCTTCTTTCCTTAGACCCATTCATTCTTCCTCGTGAAATCCAGGACTTCGCTCTCCGAATAAGCTCTAGATGAACGACTATCATAAGTGGTTATATGATAGTGTGATAGACGGTAAACCAGGATAGCCAGATAGTGCTTTGTAGTTAGGTTTTATTTTACCACAGTACAGCGCGACATTTCCTTACAAGGTTGTGATTAGAGTGGGGCAAGGATTCAGAAATCAAAGTCTAAAGAGTGTAGAAGTAAATCGAATATCACTGTAGAATCTAAGCACTTCACTTTCCATTAAAAAAAAGCATCTGCAGACAACATCAGAACCAACAGTAGTGAGCTTAATAATAGACCTACAAGAAAAAGGTCAGCACGGACAGGGATAGACACGTCAGCGCTGCAGGTATGCAGGACTTTCGGGTGGACAATACAGGAGCTTCAGGGTATTCAGGTGAAGGGCGTGACAATTACACTTCTTGGCTCAATGGAAGAACATTCATAAACAAAAACATATAACATTGGTTCCATATCGGTGGTAACTTAGCGCCCATGATGCAGTGCGTTTGCGGCTCGCCAATCCATTAAGCCCTCTTACGAGTGGTCTGGGCACCTCTTTACCCACCTGATTATTCAGACCGTGTAGGAAAAGGCGTCGCTTCAAAATTCTAAGTGGAATTACCATAGACGGTCCCTTTTTTTATCTCCCCCTTCCCAACGCCTAGCGTAACCATGAAAGTAAGTTGAGTACCTAGTACCTAGTATTATGTCAGAGAGTAGGGCCTCTTAATAGTTACTGCTAGTGTGCAGAATACTGCTTTTCTCAGGTTATTCGTATGGATTAGGCAAAATGATGTCTAAACGGAGCAAACCAGGTGTTCGGGCTTATAAGCCACAATCCGCCATTACTATGTAAAGTCGTGGCATCTATAGTCGCCTTCGGTGCGCCGATCTGTATTGTCATTCAACAATTGCATCACAAGTCTGTCTGTGCCCATGCCTCCTTTTTTATTACCATTCAGTGACCTCATGAATATCATATTTGCAGGATTTTATGAGTGGTAATGATAGGCCATAAGGAGAGCTACCTCTGGTTATCTCTCGTTGGGTATGCGCATTTTTTACTTTGTACACGGACCACTTTTTGGTCCGAGCTGTTTACTACTATATAGTGTCAAAAGCAGACATGTCATTCATTCGACTGGATTTAGCGGATTGAGGAAGTACTAGTCCTTGTGTGCTCGTGCTTGATGTCCTAGTGTTATATTAATTTTTCGTTTCCTTGATCTGAGGTGTGACGGCGCACGGCGTCTGAGAGTTCTCTGTGTAACGCCAGTCCAGGCTTTAGCGCCTAAATGCATTAAGACGAATTGAGGAAGCACTAGCCCTTATTTGACCGTGCTTGACGTCGCAGTGCTCTATTGGGGTTGCGTTACCATGATGTAAAGTCTGTCAATATCATGATAACTGGCCCGTCGCCAATGATGTAACTTTGGAGTTACCTCGAATTTCCTGCGCTCAACGCCACTGACCGAGAGCATATATAGCTATCAAAATTGCTGTTCCGAATCCTTCTGCTAAGGTTTTAGATCAAGAGCTGACTGCTACCTAAAAGAGGATTTTGGCTAAACATTTATCACGTTATAGCTTGACAATCGCCTCGTACATTATGGTGGCTTCGAAGATCACGGACGAGCAAATTCAGAAGTTGAAGTCTCAGCTTCAGGATCACGCTACTGTTCTCATCCCAGGCTCGACGGAGTACGAAGTCAGCTTAAAGCTATGGTCCGCGATTGGATTTCAACGATCGGTACTGCCTTCCCAGCCGAACAGTGTCTTGGATTACATTAACGTGGCTGATATAGGGAGTATCTGTTCGCCCAACAGACGCACAGGGCATAGCAAAGACAGTGAAATTTGCTCGGGATCGCCAGATCGACCTGGCCATTAAGGGCGGGGGCCACTCCACCGACACCTCCGCATCCAGCGACGGCGGCATTCTAATCGACCTCAGCAGAATGAAGCAAATATGGGTCGATCCGGTCACTAAGACGGTCACCGCTCAGGCAGGTGCATTGTGGGCAGATGTAGACCAGGCAACCGCTCAGTACAACTTGGCAGTCGTGGGAGGCACAGTAAGCCACACAGGGATTGGGGGCCTCAGCTTGCGCGGTGGCTATGGGTATCTAACCCCGCAGTATGGCTTGACTATTGACAATCTTCTTGCCGCAAAGGTGGTCATTGCCGATGGCAGTGTAGTCGAGGCTTCCGCAGAAGAGAACCCAGATCTTTTCTGGGCTCTTCGAGGCGCTGGATCAACCGTTGGCGTGGTGATAGAGTTTGTTTTGCAAGCGCACCCACAGCCCAACCTTGTATGGAATGGTACGAGGGCTTACTCGTGCGATCTGATACCTGAGGTTATCCAGGCCCTCAATGCAGCACTGGTTCATTCTCAGGGGAGGGCAGCGGCGCAGTGCTTCCTCTCCCTATCCCCTGAGACCGGAGACCCGATCGTCACCACAGTGTTGTTCTTCAACGGCTCCGAAGAAGAAGGAAAAGGGCACTTTGCTGAATTGCTCGCGCTAGATTGCATCACAGACAATGTGGGAATGAGGCCATACTCGGAGGTCAACACCACTCTCGATGCAATGATACCTCCGGGAGGACAAAAAATGCTCATCGGAGTACAATTGGCTTCACCAGTCCAGCCCAAATTTGCCTCGGAAATTATGGAACAAATCAAGCACAGGCTCAATGCGGAAGCTGACATGGCTGGAAGCTCGTTGGAAATCGACTATTTCGACCCATCTCAGATCTGCCGTCATGCTACCACAGAGTCTGCTTTTCCTGCGCGTAATAGACTATTGAAAGGAGTACTTATGCTGCAATGGACCGATCCCAGCAGGAATGACTCTAATGTTTCGTGGGGAAAGCGAATTCGAGCAATGTTTGAAGATGAATTGAGACGGGGAGGCCATGAGCCGGATAAATTGGTTTCGAACTTTGTCGGATACACACGGGGTAAGTAGGCCACAAGAACCCAAAAGAAATCCCTAGAGACCGTCAAGCCCTGAAGATTGAAGCTGATTCATCCTATCGTCAGGAGACAAGGTGACACCGGCTGACATGTTCGGCGTGAACGCCGATCGGTTACTGGAGATCAAAGCGAAATATGATGGAAGCAACATCTTCAATAAGCTAAATCCTTTAAACGGGATTGGCCCTTGAATATTCTTTAGTGAGCCAGAAGATGCAAACAGGCCGGGGAATGAAAAGATGAGATGGGGATATACTTCGTAGAGATGCATGCAAACGGATAGAGTAACATTGGAATGAAATCAGACAAGATCTGTTGAATATCTTCTATATATAAAAATAGGGTTATCTCAATTTCCTATTCACAGAGATTAGGTCGTTATCAAGAATTGTCCCACTATTAGGAATTTGTCTAGAAAAATAAGACTACTACCAACATTAACAATTGATCGTCTGATCGCCGGGGCAGGGGGGCGACAATCTAACGACAATCTTACTTCACTACTAGGTGCTACGCGTATCTAAGGTTGGGTTGGAGCCCGTCCTAGGATGTTAATCACAAAGCAGAGCTAGAGCAAGACCACTACTTGTAACAGCTTCCGCGGGGCCTTCCTCAATCATCACATTATACACTTAGACAGTTGCTCAAGGCAGTAATTCGCTCGATTTCATATTCAAGCTTCTCTACACAATCTGTATTTCCAGCACAAACCAGTGGGTTCAAAGAGCAGTGGGACTAGCATAGTACTAGGAAACTAGGAAGTTCTAGTCTTAATAAAATAAAGTTGTAGAGAACAGCAGTCCCGTAAACGGTAGGACTAGAGTAAGAATTGTGACTTTAATAACACTCTACATAGAAAGGTCAAAACGAGCGGGAAAGGACACGTGAGCGCTTCAGGTGTGCAGGACGTCTGGTGAAGAATATAGTGGCTTCAGGGTATTCAGGTGAAGGACTGAAGATAGCGCAGTATAGATACTTACTAACGCGTATTGAAAGAGAACAAAAATACAAAAACATACAACAGTCAGGATTCGCATGTGGTCACCCACCATACTACTAACTAACCGGCGTGTGGCTTAAGTACGGCTGAGCGGACGGGAAGCCCTGTTCTCCACACCCTATGGTCGTATGTGCTTGGAAATTAGTTGAAGTAGACTATGTAGTAAAAAACACGGGGACGACGGCGATGATGGCACTTGAGCTGGGTGGCTGTATTAACTCTCAGCTGAAAGTACAGAATCTACCGAGAACGAATGTGAGTGCGTTTCGGTCCACGCTCAGAGAAAAGAATTGAGAAACGGTCTTGGCGGTTGCGGAACAGGATTCGGCTATGATTGCCAGCGACTCGAAGAATAGAATGGGCACACTGTCGAGAATTTTGACAGGAATATATCAATTAAATTGATGCGTTAGTAGTTTGTTTCACGTCTTCAATAAAATTTGCAACGACTCACATCAGAGCATAGTAGCAGGTACGAACCCGTGTCCTGTCACTTGGGCCGGGAAACCCCCTTAGCAGCGGAAGCTCGATCAGTCGGATAGTTAGCACGTCATGTCAAAGAATCAAATTCGTTAGCGCTGCATTTTAGGGTAGTTGCGGGGTTGGACGTGATCCAATGCTTCAGGTTAAATGAAACGAGGACGGGCGCCAAGCCAAAGGTGGATTATCCGCATAGGTTGGGGGATCGTATAGTTCTGATCTTTGACCTCGCTTAGCCGTTAGCGCGTTTCACTCCACCGGCAATTGAGACGAACTACAAGCTACCGCCGGGTATGTTTAGGACCGGACTTGTATTTGTTCGCTGATGTGCTCTTCAATCGGAGTTTGTTTGGGATATAATCCACTGTATATGAAAACAACTACAAGATGCTATAGCTCATCCAGTCTACATCAAATCTTGCAGCATCTTTCGCCAAGGGGATAGTAAAGGAAAAGGATCATAAATTAGTTCGCGATGGGTCACCTTTATGGTGAAACAAGGTATGCAGCCACCTTGTTGAGGCGACAAAAGGATTGCAAATGGTGAAGTATCTTCTGATCGATCTAACAGATTCAACAAGATATGGAGCATCATGAACTACCCTTATAATTTAACCTCCCATAGTTGAAACATTTAGCCCTTCGCTTACTTGAAATCTGATGCGATCACTTTACCACGCCTTCGGTTCATTCGGAACCACCGAACGACGACGATGAACCATCAACATAAATAAGATGCTCTTCCCTGCATTTGATCAACAGAAAGCAGAGCTTCTTCAACTTCACTTCTTTTCTATTGAGCTTCATTGATTGAAGTCTCTTTCATTCTTTCATTTTACTTTTTATCACTCTTTTGGCAGAGATGTCTCTCACAAAGACTGCAGCTCTTTTCCTAGCTTCCGCCGCGCTGGTCGCAGGCCACGGCTACGTTAGCAGCATCGTCGTTGACGGCACTACATATGGTGGTTACCTCGTTGACACTTACTACTACGAGTCCGACCCCCCAGAGCTGATTGCCTGGTCCACCAACGCCACCGACGATGGCTACGTCGCTCCCACCGCATACGATACCTCGAACATTGTTTGCCACAAGGGTTCCGCTCCCGGTGCGCTCTCCGCTCCTATCGCCCCTGGCGGCTCCGTGACCTTGACCTGGAACACTTGGCCTGATGACCACCACGGCCCTGTGATTACTTACCTCGCCAACTGCAATGGCTCCTGCACAGACGTCGACAAGGTTGACCTCGCATTTTTCAAGATCGACGCCGGCGGTCTGATTAACGATACCGTCATTCCTGGCACTTGGGCCACCGATGAGCTTATCGCCGATAGCTACAGCCGTACCCTTACCATTCCCACAGATATTGCGGCTGGAGAATATGTTCTGCGCCATGAGATCATCGCTCTTCACGGTGCCGAGGATCTGGATGGTGCCCAAAACTACCCCCAGTGCATCAACCTCAACGTCACGGGCAGTGGTACCGCCACACCCAGTGGCATCCTTGGCGAAGATCTGTACAAGGACACCGATCCCGGTATCTACGTGGATATCTGGGCTACCCTCACCACCTATGATATCCCTGGCCCTACTCTCTACACTGCTGGTAGTGCCGCTACTGCTACTGCTGCAGCCACTTCTTCTGCAACCACATCCATCGAAGCGGCCGCTGCTGAAACTGCTTCTGCCAGTTCCAGTGTCAGCACCAGCGCCGCCGTAGAGGCTGAGACAACCCAGGCCACTTCCTCGGTTTCTGAAGCTACGACCTCGGTCGCCCAGGCTGCCTCCACTGGTGATCCTTCTGGAAATGGCAATGGCAACGGCAACAGTGGTGTGGGTGGATCCAACAACGGCCCATCTGGTGAAGGTAAAAGCTCACCTTCCGAGAAATCCTCGCCCTCGGTTACCGTTGCTTCTGGTTCCGCTTCCACCTCTACCACCTCAAGCTCCGCCAGCGAAACCTCTGGTGTTCTTAGTGGCTCTTGCACCGAGGAAGGCTACTGGTACTGTGATGCTGGCACCGCGTTCCAGCGCTGCGTTGACGGAGAGTGGGATGCCTCTCAGAGCGTCGCCTCTGGAACTGAGTGCACGGCCGGAATCTCGGATACTTTGACTATTACCGCTTCTTCCCGGAAGCGGAGCATGGAGCATGTTCGTCGTATCCACGCCCGTGCTCAGCATGTTTAGACTTAGATATATTCAGAACGGAGCGCTTTACTGCGTTTCTGGTTTGAAATTGGAGGTCCGGTTGGTAGACATATATGTTCTTAGACTCTGGTACTACTGCATTGTGGTTGTATGTAACACTATCTGTAGAACAACAGATATGTATAAAATGAATCTTTCAGTTGATTGTCGGTCCTAGAGGAGTTTCAGGTAGATGTAGCTTATTCACTCACTTCTGTAGATTTTGTTTCTATCAAGCGCCTCAGTGACGTCTACTTCCGTTCGCACTACACTTTGATGAGAGAAGACACTCTAATGGTGGGCAGGTTGGAATGTCTCTCAAATATCGAGTAACTGCATGATATAAATAGATTCCGACCATAACAGTGACACGTTAGCTGATCAGCCTGTTCTCCAACTATGTTTTGACGTGAATTCAACGTATGTCTCTCCTGCTCCTCAGAAAATAATCTTATCTAAGTCAGGAAACGCATGATTGGCCAGTAAGCGATCGAGCATAGCTCATTTCCGCGGCTCCCGATCTGTGACACTGGAATTCTCTAAGACAGAAAAGAAAGACATCTCCATGGTTCAAGGATACTCATTTTTCGCGGAGTTTCTAAGTTAAGGTTTTCCAGATGTGGATGGAATGCCATTTTAGTTACAAGGGTGACCCTGCTATCTGTATGAAATGTACCAGCTAGGCCTGTGCAAACTCAGTATATAAGGCATCTGCTTTACACGGTCGACATCCCAAGTTCCAGAATTCAAATTTCAAATTGATTTCCTTGATTTCCTTTGCAGACAAATATTTAATTCTCAAGTAGGTTTCTTCAACGCCTGCAATCTCACAGAAACACCCCTCTAAGCCTGGACTAGTCATCATGAAGAGTTCATACATAGGCACTGTGCTGTTGGCCATCCTTCGCGCCACGTCAGCCAAGGAGAACGCCTCCTGTCCAGACACCATGGAATGCATGTCCGTCACCCACGACATGCTAGCTATGGAGGACATGTCTTCCTCTTTTGGCCGGTGTCTCGTGACATGCATGGACGACGAGTCAACTTGCTGCAGTCAGAAGTGTGCTCAGCCCTTATCCTGCCGGACCAACTTTGCCAATTGTCATCTTACATGCCGCGATCTCGGTATGTCACCTCGCTTCAATTGCTTGGACAGTTGTATTTCGGTTTGGAACAACTGCAGGTCTGAGGCGGTTACCGAACCCCAAATTATGGAGCATCATGAGCACTGCAAGAAGGATTTCCGATTTTGCCAAAAGACTTGTCACAAGGACTAGACAGTCAAGGGATAATTGGGTAACGTTTGACGATGCTACGGCCGGATAGTATCGGAGCCTGATATTTGAGGTTCGATTGTTGTCGTTTGTTACAAACATTGACTCCATTTTTAGCCTGTGCAACTTTATCTTCTGTGCTTCATGATGTTGGTGTAACTGGTTTTCCAAAGCCTCCAATTAAATGAAACATTCTATTCGATCGACCTCACGGATCTCGTACCACGTTACTCGCAGCTACTGTGACCTACTTTTCTCACTAGTTTTGGTACAGATATTGTTAGTCTCTGTGGCATTGATCACTGAAAATTTGCATCCCGTATATTACCTGGGATACTGAATTCCTTGCCTGCCTCGGTGAAAGATTTTTATTGTTCTAATCGGACTTGGCTTATGCGGAAAGGTTCATACTATATCACTACTCTGTTCCCGTTCGCTTCTCCCCATCTACCTGCTTGCTGGTCAAGAGTACCATGTTTAACCAATTTGTTTTTTTTTCTCCACAAGTCAATTCCCACTTCTATCGTCGTATCACTATCAGGCCTTATCTGGTTCCTCAATTTCTAGGTCTCTCGTTCCAGCAACTCAAGCTCCACACGCCGATCCCGCTGAACACGAAACCCGGAAATCCCGTCGTTCGCAAGTTGCGCTACAAGTCCATATTCCCAGTCAAGGTATCCCTGCATATCTTCGCGCGCATTGCTTGTCCCCTCATATGGCCGTTTATACACATCAATGGGCTCAGACAGCCACCGCGATTCGGTCTCGAGCGGATGACCAGCCTCTACCCAGGCCTTTGTCCCGCCCGCCAAATAAAGGATTTGTCGAGTCATAGGAGATTTCGTAGCCTCCAAGTTAGCGGCAGCAACAAGACCATCAGGTGAGGTCAGAACAATGGGTCCATGACCATTGACCTTCTTCAGATCCCGAACAAGCTCAGGTCCAGAAGCAAACCAGGCGCCGGGAATATGGCCTTTTCTATACGCCGGACTGCGGGCGAGATCAATCACAGTCGCTCCATTGAGGCTTTGGAGAGCATCGATGGAAATAGCACCACGGTCTGATGAGGCCCAGGAAGGGATCTTGGGTATCTTGATTCTCTCGGGGATTGTGGCTCTGTCATCGAGGACGTGGACCTCCCAACCCATTTGTAGTAGCCAGCTAGCTGTCATGCGCGCTCGCACCCCATCGGTATCGTAAAGAACAATACGCGCTCCTCGGACACCGATCCACTCGTCAGTTGCTTGTACCAATTGACCTCCAGGGGCATTGGAGAAGCCTTCGATGTGACCAAGGGCATATTCGTCCGGGTCTCTCACGTCCAAAAAGTAAGTAATCTCGCTCTGTTCGTTGTCGCAGATGAATCTCTCCAGTAAAACCTCATCAATAACGGAGACATCAAGGTACTTAGCCCAGGACTCTGCACATTGGCGCGCCTTTTTCAATGCACTGAGCGAAGGCCGTGGGATCCGCGTCGTCTCTCCCGTCTCCAACTTCAACCCTTCCAAAGTCCAACCGATAGTCCCATTCCGAAGGGCGACCACCCGATTGGGGATCCCAGAGTTGATCAGCGACTGTGTCCCAACAATACTCCGTGTCCGACCGGCACAATTGACGACAACTGTAGTCGTCGGAGACGGCACGGCCTCAAATATTCGGTACACAAGTTCTCCTCCAGGACAGCTTCGGCCCCGCGGAATACTCATGGTATGATATTCCTCAAAGCGTCGCGCGTCTAAAACCGTCACATCACTTTCCTTCGCCAGCAGCTCCTTGACATCGCGCGCAGATAAAGATGGTGTGTGATTGATAGATTCGACAAGTTCACCGAATGCCTTTGACGGGACATTCACATCACGATATACTTCGCCGTGTCTTTTATATGCGGAGAGTGCGCCATGTAGGATATCAACATTCTCGTATCCCATCGCGTTCATCCGGTGGACTGCTCGGTCGGTATAACCCTCGCCATTGTCGTACACAACGATATAAGCTGCTAGCTGGGGAACCAGGGCAGGCAGTTTTCTCTCAATCTCTGACACAGGCACATTGATGGCGAAGAGAGGGTGAGACTCAGAATACGGTCCTTCTTCGCGGACATCGATGAGGGCAATTTCTTTGCCATTCCTCCAATAATCGCGTACTGCGCTTGCGTCTACTTCTTTCACCATTATACCCTTCAGCGCTTCAAGTAAATTTGAGACGACTCCCAAATAAAATCATTGCGAAGATCAGGAGGTTGGACACTTCAAATTTCATCCAATGCTATTGAGAGTCAACTCGGGTATTTTCTAGAGCTCGGATGTTTTTTGGCGGGGAAATTGACCCGCTAGACCCGCCAGCAACGAACGTTCCGTCCATAATTCGAGAGTTCCCATTACTCAAGGGCTTTTCATATGAAGAAGCCTCAGAGACTTCATTCATGGGTGTAAATAGATTCAGGAAAATATTAAGTAAGTCATTACGTAGCAAAATATCACCTTTGATAAGCAAGGTAGGCGTGACAACCTGCAACTACATCCTCCCGCACAACAATGACGTAACAACAATTTCCTTTGAACATATGCTAAGGCGAAGCTGGATCCTTAATATGAGCCCATCACTAATTTATATAGTATCATGTTTATCTATTCAGCTTCAATTTCGAAATAATCGATATGCCGATGCATCTGCTCAAGAGGCTTCTCCCGCCCGCTGTATGACCCCGCTCAGTTGACGCCATGTCAGCGCAGGATGATCAATGTCGGAGTCCGTAACTACACCTCAACTTCTTTCTAGCCTGCTAGCTTGTCTATATATTACTGCCGGCAATATGAATACCATTCGACAGGAGCGGAAGTCCTGTGAAGCTTGTCGTAGGTGAGCCACTTTACCCAATTATTGCATTCAGAAGCTAACATCAAACAGGGTCACGGAAGCTCCGATGTTCAGGTGAAAAGACCGGTTGCTCACGCTGTCGTGGGCTGGCATTGCCTTGTAAATTCAAAGACAAAGGTCTGCCTGGAAGGCCAAGAAAGCTCGTCCAACAAGAGCAACGAGAGGTGGCACCGAGCAGAGTTGAGCGGACTGGATCATCCATTTCCTCCCAGTTCTCGCCTATCTTTCCTCATTCACCTTTCACCACCCAATCATCATTTGATGCACTTATAGCAGCCGGTCAATTTGACCTACTGCCATGTGAGCTATCCAGAAACTGCGGCTTCGATTCGTTTCAATTCGAGAGCACTGACATCTGTTCCTCGCCTGCCGAACCTTGGCAAGCACTATGCCAAAATGGAGGACGTGACCTCGAGCTACCATCAAATAACACCGATTCATATATATCACCTGTGTCTTTTTCGCAGTCCTGCAAATGCGATGAAGAGGTCTCCGACATCATCCGGAATCTAAACCAAGCAAGCATGTCAAATGATATTCTCCAAACTCTTCGCGCCGGAGTATCTCTCGCAGAAAGACTACTCACCTGTCCAGCCTGCTACGACATCTCAAAACCTCCTCGACTCACAGTGCAAAATGTATTACTCATCGGCCAACTCATGTTCGAAATAACATCCAGCTACCAAAGGTACATACAATGGTTATATAAACATTGCGCCGAGCTTGACGCAAGAAATGAGAGTGAGGTCGTCTACCTCGACTCCGGCCTCGGGTTTCCCTCTGAAATATCATTACAACTTAGCGGCGGGAAATTCCGCGGTCTCGCCATGCACGGACTGCAGAAGGATGGCGAACGACTTTCTACTTTGGGGAAACGATTCGCCCAACGGCAGCGTAATCGTCATATGGTTGGTCATGAAGCTTGTCCTGATCTCGAGGGACGGTGTCGGAAAAAAGAGTACTTTGGGGCTGATCACGATCCGCTGGATCTTTGTCCGTTGGACCCTGTGGCGCGAAGATTGGTGCCATGTTTTCGGATTGTCGATGAGGTTCAGGGGATGATTAAGCAAGTCGAGAATGCTGCTGCATGATATCCTTGTGTCTAATTATTGTTGAGTACTACTTAATTGAAAGAGTAAGATAAGCACATCTAGCAGATAATCATGAGTTTATTCATCAGTTACATTTCTAATTATGGCAACCATTCACCTTGAATTTCCCACATGAAGGAACATTTCCAAGTCTACAGAAGCACGAAGACGTGATTTCAACATCCGCCTCCACCAAAGCCAGTGAAAGCTGCTTCTTGATAATATTTGCCTCAGCATGGCGTCCCATAAGCAGAAGACACTCATGATACCCATGAAGCGCCCAAACATTATTCGGATGTTGATGTGCCCGCTTAGGTGTTGGAACGAGGCCCAAGTCCTCCGCATAAGCCTGGGCAGCTTGTTCAACCATTCCCTGTTCCAAAGAAAGGGCGGCATATGCATGCCGAGCCGGAAGCATCCATCCCCATGGCTCTGCGAACGGTAGTTCGTCTTCAAGGACGACAGCGTCTCGTAATCGTGCAAATGCAGTCTGGTGATTTCCACGTCGATACTCAATCTCGCCATCCAACATTGCAGATGCTACTTTGAGAATGTCGATGATTTTATTGGGGAAGTCGAGGCGTGTAGGCGGAACGAGCGTTGATGCGAGTTTAAAAAGCTCACGCTCTTTGTCCGCTTCTTCGAGTTCAAAAGTAGCCGCATGGGCAATCGCTTTTCCGTAGTGTCGCATCACATTTGTAACGCAGTACAGCTCCTTATCTTCGAGTGGGCCGAGTTTTTTCAATTCATCCCACATGCCAAAGCGAATAAGAACATGTACTCGAACGGCCTTGAAAAATTCCATCCAATTTGCCAGTGCGGGTGTTTCTACCCGAAGAATCTCTTCGGTTATAGTCGCCTCCATCCTTTCAGTCGCCGATAACGCGGCCTTGGATTTCCCACCGAGCATTGCAGCGTAGATGAGAGAATGGTAGTCGTGTAGCCGGTAGTAGCTGTAGAATGTCAAACCGCCATTCTGCTGAAAGAACTTATCATCGGCGATAGTGGCTTTTAAATTGTATTCGACCGCGCGCCGATAATCACCGACCAAAACATCGATGTGCGCAGGCATGTGGAATGTATGACCGGTATCAGGGAAGATCTCACGAATCATCTCTGCAGCTGGCAAGGCCGCTTCAGGAGTCGCGGACATTTCCATCAAGTGAATATACATGTGTGCAGGCCCAGGATGAAGTTCTACATTTGTCATCTTGAGCGCGTGATCAAGCAGATCTTTCACTTCGAAAACTGGGGATGATGCGATCGGAAGCCCCGTAGAGGCGTCGTATAATTTCCGGGGAGCGCAATTCATCAATGCATCCGCGAAAAGAGTAATGATGTCAAAGTCGGAGCGACCGAGCTCAAAATATACTTCTCGCATCGAGTTGGCGTACGCTTTGCTACAAGCTAGGAGATCCCTATTTGGGTCATCGTTGGGGTATCTCTTCGCAAGAGCCTGAATAAGCGCCTGTTCCCAGGGTGACGCGCTACTGGCGCGGCTCAATGCTTCTTGAGAAAATAAGTAGCACTGTTGAATTGCATTCACGCGATCCCTTCCATCGAATAGTGCCCAGGTCTTGTTGTAATTTGAGCCTGAGCAAAAGGAAACTCCCCAATATGCCATTGCGCAGGTTGAGTCGTGCGCGATGACTTGTTTGTAGCAGGTGATGGCTTCATCGTGGTTGAAGCAATATGTCCAGACCAGGGCTCGGTTAAACCATATTTGGGCTTCCTGGGAATTGGTGGTGACTTTGCGACCGAATGTTCCCAGGTTGAAGTAGGGATCGTTTGAAGGTCTTGCTGGTTGGTCACTGGAATCCATTATTGAGCTGTGAGTCAAGTAAAGAATATGATGTCTAATAGCCCTGTTGCTAAGGGATTATTTTGATATCAGGTCACATGAACGGTCCCACATGAGGGGAATGTATGGAGTCGGAGGATTTCTTAGCGCGGGGAAATCGCGCCATTTTGATTCGCCCCTCGGACCTTTTTTTGTAGAACCCACCGAGAGTGAGCATGGATGGGTGATACAAGGCCATCAGTCACGAATGCCCCATGTCAAGACATTATCTTGGGTGTCGAGTCGAAACGCAGTTGATCCATGATCTAACTTAACAGTATATCACAATCTATCCGTGAATTTAACGGTTCTTCAAATCATTATCCACAACGTCTTCCAAAATAATTTCGCCTCTCCTTTCCGCTGCGATTTTAGCCAGCTTCAGCCTCCTTGTATCGCGCTCCGTATCCCAAGTCACCCACCATGTGACCAGCGTCAAGATGGCACAAAGACCCACAAGCCCCATAGCCACCGAGAAAGGGACCGTGTAGTGGGGAGCGTACTTGCTCTTGAATATTTGCGGACCGATCGCACCCCCAATCTGGCCGTAGCTGTTGACAAAGCCGATGGAGAACGCGGAGCCGGTAGATCGGGAGGTTGTCTGGACTCGCCATGGCCTGTTGTCATGTCAGTGGTAGTAATCAACTGCGGGAATAGGGGTGAACCACGCACCACATGACGGGGTACCACCCTGCAGTCAGAGCATTTCCGATGAGTGTCACAGCGTATATTGCGCCATTACTTGGGTACGCGACAAATACACCATAGCAGACTATGATGATGAGAAGGAATGCGAGCGGGTATAGCGGTCGGGGAATTCGGCTGCGGTCTGCTGTGATTCCAGTGGCGGCGATGAAGAGGAGACCGCAGACTGTGATGGGAATGTTGAGGAGTTGGGCTGTAGCGATGCTCCTGAGAAGCTGTTAGCCATGTTCATTGAAGGGTGTCTTTGTACAGGCCGCGAGGAAGGGACTTACGTGTAGCCGAGGTCAGCGATCACTGTTGACTGGTAGAAGGTGACGCCGTTCGTTCCAACGGTAAAGGTGGCCCAGATAAATGTAAACAGCCACAGTCTTATATCCTTTAGTGAGTCTATGATTTCGCGGAAGTTGAAGTTTTGCTCATTGGCACGGGGAGAGTTGGATGGTAGTCGCGCCTGAATAAATTTCTTTTCTCTCTCGGTCAACCACTTCGCAGTCTCCGGAACTGTACATGGGGATTAGTGTTCTGTGTTGGTGAGTGCAAGGGAGGGCCCGTACAGTCTGGGAGAAGGAACCAGATGGCAACACCAAAAATGACGGTCGCGATGCCTTCGGTGAGGAATAACCTGGAAGAAAGTTATCAGTAAAATCCAAGATCAGAGATATTTGTGTTGTACCATTGCCAACCAGAAAGCCCCCCTGCACCAGAGACAGTATCAAAGGCATAGGCAAGAAGGCCACTGAAGATACCCGACACATTTCCACAAATATCTACTCTGTGTCAGTATCATTTTCTTCAGGAAGTTGTTCGAGCCTTACAAAAATAGAGCAATCGTAAGGACATCTCATCCGGGCGATACCAGTAAGTCATCTGAAGAATCACACCAGGGAACTGTCCAGCCTCGGCCTACAGCTTGATTAGTTTCCCCCGTAGACACAAAATATTTGGATGAAGCTTACCAAGCCCAACAGGAACCGCGTGGTGAAGAGGCCACCCTTATTTTTCACGGCAGCATTACACATGAGAACAGTACCCCAGCTCACCATGATCCTTGACTGCCATTTGGAGGGTGAGAATCTTTTGAGCAACAGATTTGATGGTGCTTCTAGCACAATATATGGGATCTGACATGTTATAATCAGTTCATCACACAAAACATGTGGTTGAGCGCTGTTGATGTCCTACATAATATAAAACTGTCACCAGATTGTACTCATTAGATGTAATTCCGAGTTGTGTCATAATGTTTTGATCCGTCCCCTCATTCATGATTCGAGCATTGGACGCCTGCAAGCTTGAGTTAGACTACATCAACCTTTCGGGATGAATGTATACGCACATTATTGCTGTCCAAGTTTTTAAACATGAAGATAAGTGAGCAAAGTGTCATCAATCGCCAGTCAATCTTGCGTAACAGCTTTTTCTCTTCTTCTGCTGTGAGCAATGTTCTGGCACTCATCAATTCTGGGTCGTAGCCATCAATGCTTTCCTGGCTCGATGAGGCTTCGGCAAGCTCCTCGCCACGACGGGCAAAATGAAGTTCATTGGAGACATCGCTCTCAGTAGTGAATGCAATATCAGTGACTTTCGTCCCGCCCAAATCCTTGGACGCAACCCGCTCTATTGCTTTCTCTGCCATATTTGTCGGGGTAATAGCTCGAAGAGTTACCCTTGAGAAACCGAGTAGAGCTCAAGTGGTCATTGCTAGATTTGTACCATTCATAAACCCTCCGAAACCCTTCCAGAAGCTTACTTTAGACTCGAATACTTAGTATGATATAATTGTATCATAAATTGCTCTTATTGCAAATACTATGGCCTAGACCACAATGTCATATCCCTAGCTAAATAATTTGGCTAGTCATCCTAAGTAAGTTCTAGCCATTTCGCCGGGTTATGATTAGCCTTTTGCAGGGATCCTTGATTTACAAAAGTCCTGATCACGCGAACGGAGGATAACATGGTGAGATCTAGGCCAAAGTGGGGATCCACATGGACATGAACAGTGATCTTACACATTTGAAACATCGAATTTGAGGGCGCTTTTTCAATACTTTCAAAACTGCCGATTGGGTTGAAGGGTATTATATCACCATCTCTCAATGGTGATACAATTGCGCAGCCAAGAAAGCTGAGACTTTGATAAACCCTTCATCTCTCGGATGCAGCCATTCCAGCGAACTCCAGTGTGTCCACATCAAACAATCTCACTCTAAGTCATCCACATTACATTGCATATTGGATCTTGATTTGCCATGGCAGCTCTAGCTCAACCACCAATTCCAGTTCATGAGGGCTCCGATATCCCCACGTATCACCAGATCCCGGAGACGTCTTTTGACCGTACGCATCTCATCATCCGCTCGTCCTTACCGAAACGACACAAGTATTATTAACATATTGAGTTCCATGACTAACATGGTATGTAGTGGACTGGGCGGACCTCGCTACCTTGGATCTGTCTCAATTCGATCAACCAGGCGGCAAGGAGCAATTGGCCAAACAGCTTTTTGATGCTATCCAAAATATAGGTATCGGATCCCTTCAATTGATCGCGATTTTACTACTTTGACACCTGCATACTCCAGGCTTCTTTTATATCATCAACTTCGGTCTCTCACAGGAAGATGTCGACCGCCAATTCTCTATCGGCAAGGAGATTTTCAATCTTCCCATAGAAGAGAAGCTCAAGTATCGGGCCGAGCTTGAGAAAGGCGGCTATAATGGGTATAAGCCAATGGGTCTCAGAGTAAGTCGCCACTTCTATAGAGTGCGACCATCATCTGACAACCAGCACAGGAAATTAGTCCAGGTATTTTCGATAAGACCGAAATCTACAATATCCCAAAGTTCATTCCCGCTCTTGAACGTCCACAACCCGATATTGTGAACCATAACCGACCGGTAATTGAGTCATTCGCGCGCCATATCCACGACGGAATCGTTCACAAACTCCTCACACTCTTCGCCATCATCCTCGAGCTACCAGAAGATTACTTCCTCAAAGTGCACCGCTACGACGAGAAAAGCGACTGTCACCTACGCTATATGAAATACCACCGTCGCTCTGAAGAAGAAAATGAGAAAGCTGCTGGCATTTGGTCCAAAGGCCACACCGATTTCGGCAGCCTGACTCTACTCTTCCGCCAGCCTGTCGCTGCGCTGCAGGTTCGCACTCCGGAGGGCGAGTGGAAGTGGGTAAAGCCGTATCCGGGAAGCATCACGGTGAATCTTGCTGACTCACTTCAATTCCTCACGAATGGCTTTCTCAAAAGCAGTATTCACCGTGTTGTTGCGCCACCTGCGGATCAGAGGGATGTAGACCGTTTGGGCGTTCTGTATTTTGTTCGGCCGGAGGACAATCTTGAGTTGCGCCCGGTTGCAAGTGAAGTTCTGCGTCGTCTGGGGTACGATCAGACAACTGATAACAGTGCTGTTGGTATTACTGCTGGGGAGTGGGTGAAGGCTAGAGTGGCTAAGGGGGGTTGACAAGGGTCTGGCACGAAGTGAAATTGGTGATCAGCCTATTATTGGTGGTGTTGTAGCTAAATATTATGATTAGGCTAGTACATGTACAGTGATCAATTGATTAATTGAAAAAAAATCAGCACTGCTTACTGCTAAACAAAAAAGAAATCAGGCAAAAAGAAATGCATTGACGGGGAATCGAACCCCGCTCTGCCGCTAACCGATAATGGAAGGCGGCAATCATAACCACTAGACCACCAATGCTGGTGCTTATATAACATGCAATAATAATAATCTCTATAGAGCATTGAATTGAGCCTAAAACCTGATGGTCGCATTACGGAGTCTCTTTTTTTCGATGCAGTATGGCATACTCTCGGTTGAATGAATGGAATAATCTAAGGTCTTCTTGTCTATTAAAACGCTTGAATGATTCCAATTAACACGTGCTTTCGATCCAGCTTTTACTTTTCTTCTCCCCCCTCATTGATCCCTTCATCCTGACTGGACATCGACGTTGGGCTCTGAACGCCTTGATCTTGTGGGTTGCTCTCCACATCCGATTTCTGCTGTCGAGCTGGTGATGTTGGAGCAAATTTGCTCTTGATCCTGATCTGCTTTCCAAATCGGTAGAAGAGGAATGGAACCACAGCCAATAATGCAGCCACGCCGCCGATCAAGCTACCCCCGCCTCCCACACCCAGTGCGGCAAACATCTGGCTCGTGAAAAGAGGCGCGGCCGCACCACAAGCAGATCGCGCGATTGTGTTTGCCGCAACTGCAGAGGCAGCGTACATCAAGTAGACATCCACAAGATAATTCAAATACGCAACGAAAAGAAGCAGCATACAAGTAGACAGGAAGCACCCAGCGATGGTGGGAACAATCCAATGAATGGAACTTCTGCGAGTCAGCATTTCTGTATCCCATCGAATGCGAAGAGCTTACTTGTACTCAGCCGTCCACGCAAACCAAAACATCGCAATCGCAAATCCAATGCCTCCAATCATGGCGAGTGGCAAGCGGTCTTCTGGAGTCGCATCTTCCATTTTCATCTCACCTCGACGTATTCTCCGTTGACGTATTTGCGTGTCAATCAAGACTATAACACCGCCCAACAAGGCACCAATGATGGTGCCAATCAAAGGCAACTCGCCAACACCAGAGTTCCACCCACGCTTCTCCTGGAACACAATCGGATAAATGGTGAAGAGCATGTACAGCAGAGTGTACACGACCGCCATATAAATGGCACACAACAATGAGATAGGATCGAAAAGAATAATCCAAGGCCGTGTCAAGGCAACCTTATAAATCGCAAGGAGAGTCCGATCATTGTCTTCAACAGCTGCCCTCACATGCTCATACCCCGGTATCTTCGCCTCTCGAATCCGTTTTGCCTTGGTGTAGAGAATGATCGGCGCATAAGTCTCGGGAATGGTCAGCATGACAATAGCGGTCGCACCACCAAGCCAAAGAAGCACATAGAAGCTCCATCGCCAATCCTCCTTCAACTCCAGGAAACCCGCAACAACGGGCCCAAGCGCTGGACCGATCCACACCATAGCAGCGAACCCAGCCATGGCATTGGCACGCTGAAGCGGATCCCACAAGTCAGCGAGAAGACCGGGACCGTTACTCAGTGGTGCTGAAACAAACGTTCCAGTCAGGAAACGGCCCACCAAGAGAGCCCCCAGGTTCGGCGCGAAAGCACATAGGAAGTTAAATGCGATGTATAACGAGAAGGTAATATAGAAAATCCATCTCCGACCGTAGAATTCGCTTAATGGAGCGAATAGTAACGGGCCAGCACAGTAGCCAAGTAGGAAGACAGTGATTGTCAATCCGGCAACTTCGGTAGAGATATTGAAGTGCTCAGATATAGAACCGAAGCACCCGCTCGGCGAACTTGAGGCGAAAGTTGCGTTCACCACTAGTAACACCGCGCTCATGGTTATAGTTGTACGGCGTGCCATAGACCAATTACGCGGGTTCTCAATATCACCTTCTGCAAAGTCAACATAGCCATTTTCGTTTAGATAAGGAGTTTCATCGGTGATTTGGGTCGTTCGGTACGGTTTGTTCACGGCGTAGGACAAGATACGCACTATTGCCTCCATCTTGTGTTGAAGAGATGGCGGTCGCACAGATTGAAATCATTTGAAGGGAAAAAAAACATGAATGAAATTCGGTCTTTGCACATCAATTTCGTCCGATTGTGACGAGTAATCCGATCCCATGACATAATTCCCGACAGCTTGATTTGCCAGTCGGTGTTGGCCTCAACTCTGGGGTTATCTCCGTCCCATGTTTGGGTCTTGATGGCCGTGCGGGGGTGCCGATTAGCCGAGTGGATTAGCAATCCACCTAAGCTTCGTGCATTGTCATTGGAGCCAATCTTGAATCATCCCGAGGGTCCAAGGTTACCGATATTTCATAAGTATGAATCATACTTCTCCGTATGTAGAAAAGATAGTCAATCTCATTGTACAGAGTATCAGATCAGCGTTCATGATGGACATCAAGTGAGTTCTGGCGAAAGTGACATTTTCCGGTATTCGTAATGTGGTGCTGATATTGTGATGAGACAGGTCAATTGATCCTTGTCACTTGGGCCGATGCACATGTGCATCCATGGACCTCGGACGCGTGGTTGTAGTGATGGAGATCAAAGACCCTGATTTAGTGGGACATTATACAGGGTCTAAGCTACGAAAAGTGGATCCATTATTCGGTTCGATTACACAGTCACGGTATCATTGTCCCCACTTCATTCTATATCCTCTTTGTCATTGGTTCATTTGATGATAAAAGGCGGTCACCATACAAAACGCAGTAATCTAGAAACGCATACCGGGGTTCCCCCTTCACCCACAACTAAATTCAAATCGGGATGAATTATGTTCTCCTTCCATAAGCACCAGCGCTTGGATTATGATAAAAATGGTCATGTTGCCCCAAATTATAATAGCTTTTGATTTCAGTGCCTTAGCCTTGGGTTCTAAAATAAAAAATTAATTGAAAAAAAAAAAGCAGGGGTGCGTATAATGAATTATGATCCTTGTCCTGGAATTGGCGGTCACTGAGGGCCGAGCAGCACCATGCACAATTCGAATTCATGATAGATTGTGTAGGCAGGACATTGGCTACCCGAGTCATGCACCTACTGACTGGGCTGATATTCTACATCTTGTACGTAAAATCCGTGGATGTGGTGCCCGCACATCCGTCGAAGGGTGGTCAGCAGGTATATATATCTGGGGCTGACGTCAAGACATTCACGGCATTGAATATTGAATATCATACCTAGGTACTCATGGACCGAAGCGATGCATTTAACTCCACGCAGACATCTGCGTATTTATAACTCATTTATCCAGAACCATTTCAAGGGATCACCCTAGTCTTCCCCCCTCCCTTTCCCCCATTTCCTCAAGCGCTTACTATGAATTTTTCGACGTACTTCCAATTTATCCCTGGAGCCGACGGGATCCCGACGGTTCATAAGCAAAAACTGCCAAGACCTAAGGACAAAGCGCAGGTACAAAATGTCTGAAAAATAATCTCACCCGCGTTCTTGCCCCAGATAAAGGATTAGGCCGATCTCGCATTGAATCTATGTTCTTTATGCTGCACCAATCTCCCTGCCCCACCCGCCCGCAATGTTAAATGCAGTCAACCTTGGAACTTCCAATGCTGGGAACGATGCATACAATTAAACCACCTACCCCGATTGAAGATGGGATACAACGCTGTTACACTGTTAAATTGCCTGTAGGAACAGTCCGAGGTCATATACACGTTTCTTCATATTGTCCGTTGAATGGCTAAGCCAAGACAATGCAACCCCTCGCCCCTCGTATAACGGCTGGACCCTTATTTTAACCTGCGGGCGAGATTGTGCAGAAACCAGAGATAATCCCCACGTGCATCTTATCAAGTTTCTTCATGGACTTTAATTAATTTCATCCACTGAGAGTCGCGCTCAAATTTCATTTACACCCCTTGAGTGCCGGTGGAGTCCGATGCCCTGCAGCGCTGATCCCGCCAAGAATCCTCACCGACCAGTCAAACATCCTTATCTTCACACTCACAGGGCGCTTGAAAGCACTTGAAACTATTGCTATCCCACTGCAACATCGACTTGGCAAATTACTTAGCATAATTCAAGCTTAGCGACGAGCTAACTTTCCTCGAACGCTCGAGTCTGGGCACTGAAACGAGGAGAGAAGCCCCTATAAATACACCGCCTGTCACCACGTCTCAAGTCTCTTTCCAGCGCGTGAGAATAAGTTTGTCGCATTACAATACTCTGAAAACGATACTGTGCTGGCAAAACCCTTCAACATGGCGTCTTTATCCAAGGTTGCGTTCGTCACCTTTGGGCTCATGAATGGAGCAAATGCATGGGGTGCCCTGGGACATGCAACAGTCGCCTATGTTGCACAGAGTTATGTGTCTGCCGACACGGCAACATGGTGAGTTCTTCACCAACCGAATCATTTCACTCTGAGATTAACAACCTCAGGGCCCAAGGTGTCCTCGGCGACACATCCACCTCATATTTGGCCAACATAGCCTCGTGGGCTGACTCATACCGCGCAACAAGCGCAGGCAAATGGTCCGCCCCATTCCACTTCATCGACGCAGAGGACAACCCCCCAACAGACTGCAACGTGGACTATGACCGTGACTGCGGCGACACAGGATGCTCAATTTCCGCTATCGCCAATTACACCGAGCGCGCTGGCGACGGTCGCCTCTCATCCGAGCACATTGAAGAGGCGCTTAAATTTCTCGTCCACATTATCGGTGATCTAACCCAGCCGCTGCACGATGAAGCATACGAAGTCGGTGGCAACGACATTGCCGTTACTTTCAATGGTTACAGTGATAACCTCCATGCAGATTGGGATACATACATGCCCGAGCAGTTGATTGGTGGTTACGCGTTAACTGATGCCCAGTCGTGGGCTAACACTTTAATCGACGAGATCACCTCAGGAACTTACAAATCCGAAGCCGCAAGCTGGATCAAGGGCGACACGATTAGTGATGTTGTTACGACCGCGACACGATGGGCTTCGGATGCCAACTCCTATGTGTGCAGTGTTGTTATGCCGAATGGAGCTGCGGCGTTGCAGACGGGAGATTTGTATCCGACATATTATAATTCTGCGATCGGTACTATCGAGTTGCAGATTGCCAAAGGAGGATATCGCCTTGGAAACTGGCTTAACTTGATCTATCATACTACGGTCGCGAAACGTGATGTTGAAGATTTGGTTGAGAGGGATGCTGCGCCGGTGGGTCGCGACTTTCTGCCGGCATCTCGTCCGCTAAGCCGGGCTAAGATAGCTAGAGCTGCTATGGAGGGATCTTGCTGTAACTCAGGGAAGCGGGACCACGCACACTGATGAGATTGTGTAGTTTCCAATTTGTGCGGTCTTGATACCCTAGCGGATCCTTGCGGGTTTGTTGTAGTCGGGAGGACGGAGTTTTTCACGAAACACGAAGTCATGGTTTATCTGAAGTATTTTTCAATCAAGTGGAATTTTATTTAAAAGAAAAAACAAAACAAAAAAAAGAAATTTCCATCAGGCATTGGTGATAATTGTCTCATGGCCCGAAGGCTCTGAAGTAGCAAATACGTTAGATGCAAACATCTTTTGGAAAAATAACTCCGATAGGGGGAATCGAACCCCCGGCTGTCGTGTGAGAGACGACGATGTTAGCCACTACACCATATCGGATTACATGTTAAAATTTGCCTGAAATGGCTTTATGTTGTAGCTTGATTCATCGACGTCAAACGATAAACAGGACAATGGCGATAATGTACCACTAACGCCACGAGACCTCATCCGTGAAAACTCCCCGCAGCAATGGGCCACATACACTGCCACAGCTGAACATGACACCCAGCAGACCAATGCACAGGGGGACACGCGTGGGCTTGACAATCAGCGCAGTGACGATATACAAGCCGCCGGTGATGCCAGCACCCCCAACCCAGAGATAGCGCGGCTCACTATGAAGGTGGCATTATCTCGCGCCACACCTGGACTTAATGCAGCCTTGATTGGCTCGAAATGACTGGCGAGAGGGAAAATCTACCTACAATGAGACTACCCTTTTCGAACAGCACAACGGAAGCAAAGCAAGTCGTCTTGAGCGGGAAGTGCTTGTATGCCTTGCCACTTGGTGACTGGAAGCAGGCGAGAGTCAGACAAAACGATGATGCATACAAATCTACGTATCTACACTATGAAGTTGAGCTGTAATTTTTGGGGGTGCCATCGACACAATGTTCTACGCCTGTTAGCCGTCGCATTCGCCCTCGTGGTCTTATATCTTAGAACCAGAACCACATCATTTCGAGGTCTAATAACCGGTTCTCTTGCCCGTAAAGTACCCGCACTTTGTTGATTGCACTGCGGTATTCAATGTTATAGTATTGGATTTCGGATACTGATCTATTACAGGTACATCTAAACCATTGCTGTAGCTAGCGTAAGCATGAACCCAACCGTATCAGCCTCTGCGTTCCAGGAATCCATCTTGTGAACCATGCTCCGGTCACTGCTCGCCTTTTGAGCCTCCATCAAGTCTCCGAAGTATGTAAGCTGCCTCCCAGGGAGAGTTGTCTGTATTGCGCTGTACTCTGCTTCCCACTCTTGATTCGTTCGGCACTCCCACATAGATCGGCCACCCGGCAAAGGAAGACAATGATATTCTTCGGATGTGTCGCATGGGATACCCGTTTTGGTAGATATGACCTGTCCGATGATGAACCAGATGCAAGCGACCCTAATGATTGTATTTGTTAGGGCAGCCTGGAGTTATATGATCCGAACAGGAAGAATCGAGCGTACCTGCGCCGAGATTCGGCAAATACCCAGTCGGGCCAGGCACGACTGGGGTGTGTTTGCTCTGGATGGCTAAATGGTCCTTGGCAAATACCGCGGAAGCGACTACAAAGAGTCTGTTTTTTCCTTCTTGTTAGTGTGGCTCTCAAAATCTGATGTGCAACAGCGGAAAAAAAACTCACTGCGAAGGTGAGCAGCATATTGAGGTCATGCTCGCTATGATATGCCGCGTCATCGACTATCCGCATAATTATATAAATAATATAACATTGTATGGAGGCAAGCAAGTCCTCCGGCCCGAATGTTTGAGACTAAATGAGTTTCAACAATATTAGAGTCCAAGCGTTTCCAGCAAGGCAAAAGAGACCCACCTGATCCATCAGTCTTCGTTGCTCCGTTCTAATAGCGTTCCAAACAAAGGCTCTCGTATCAGGTGTTCTGGAGGCGAACATATGTGCGATACTCATGCAGTTACCAAGCGGCTCAGGCAGTGTCTTCCGTATTTCAGACCCATCCGCACGGTGCCAGTTGGGATGAATGAAAGGTGGGAAAACAGTCCTTCGGACCATCATTTGAGGAAAAGCGCGTAGTATTTGAATCATATGAGTGGCGTTTCGCTGTGCGATGGGATCATCGATAGGTAGCCGCGTGAGAAAGCCCGCATCAGCCAAGGGCGAGATCTTTGGCGGCGCAGAAAGTGCTACAAGCAGCTCTGGTGGATCCATGCTCCAGCCAAATGTGAAGTCGGGAGTGGATGCCACTATCGGCGCCGTGGTCATTGTGGGTGCAGAAGCTTGCACGCCCTTGGGGTCAGTGAGGCTTGGATCCATTAAAAGGAAATCTGTGGAATTTGAGTCCCCGTCCCAAATAATGTCATCTGCCATTTTGTCAAGATTGGCCATCAGGCTGACTGCACTACCGTCATCTGCATTTGTGTTCACTGAATCTGCCGGTGTTCGTTGATCGATGGAAGGGGCCTCATCCGCGCCACCTTGTTTGGACAGTTGTCGCCGACCGGGTCGCTGTTCATATATACATTCGATGCCGCGTCGCAGGCACCGAGTGCACGATGGATGAGAGCTGGTGCATTTTGTCTTGGCCGCGCTGCAGGCGCGACATGACAAGGTTCGCATGCGAGGCCGGTCTGTTGCCTGGCGACAATATTCTAGGTGCCGGTTCCGGGAGGAAACTGAAACAGAATTAGACACTCGTGCGACTTCTCGATCCTCTGCAGTGAGGTTTGAGACGAGTCAAGGATATCACATTACTTTGTTTGAAGGGCTTCGAACAGAGCGTACACGAATACATGGCAAATTCAACTAATTAATTGTATTAGAGTGCAAAGGATAGAAGTCCACCGCGGCCGACCGGCTAGATCGACTGATGGTTTTAAGACTGAGAGTGAGAGGATAAATGCCCATTTATTAGTAATGGGGCGCCGGCGAAACTGGCCGGCCCCCACCGGCCAATTTCGCCGCAAAACGAAGAACAAAGGTTGGAAGAAAAGACTGGAAGATAGCTTGCAAACAATCGACACAATATTTGGGATACGGTAAGGATTTTTAATAATATCAAGATCATACGTAATCATAATTTTATCTGGCGGAAAGAAGAAGTTCCAAGGTTAGACTAATGTACTCTGGGTACTTGTCACACAGCAAAGCCGTCAAGCAGGCTGCGGCTACTGGGCTGACGAACGGAAGGGACGTGAAAAGAGGTCTATGAAGAGGGAAAAACTCCCGAGGAGACAAATACTACTAGGTACGGGAGTCACTCCCAAAAAGACCAGACATCGCTCACACCGGAGGGGGGTTTGACAGTGCTAGCCACAATTCCAATCTGTGCAGAAAGAGCCACCTAGTGAAATTAGTACGTTGTCAAACCATGTGGCTCATTTATGCTGCGATTGCTGTTCCTTTGGCGCCCTTAGTGAATAACTTGTCTTTCTATTTGCGGAGAGAATGTCAGTATATGGGTGCCGAATTTTAGGCTGGGGCTCTCAGAACATACCCCTAGGAAAAGAGACAACACCACACAAATGCCACCTGCAACAGCAAGTAAGATCCAAACGGATCGCATGGCAACGATGATAGCATCAATGACGGCGGTGGACTGGGAGCTTGTTAAGCTGTCGCTGAGGCTGGAGCTGGTTCCAGCAATAAACTGACGAACTTCGGCATAGCTAGCACTGGGCAAAAGCTTGTGGATCTTCTCAATTACCAGATTCTGGTAGGATGTTCCCATGATCGCCAAGAAGAACAAAATTCCAAGGAATTGCGCTAAGTTAGACTGTCAATATGTGCCTTCGAGTTCAAAGCTGGAAGAATCGTCATGTGCTTACATATACTCATCAAGCCAACAACATTAGTCAACTCGGTCATTGGAACCAACTGCTGGGATACACTGTAGCTGGCTTGGCAGTAGGAGCCGACGCCGATTCCCAACAACACAGTGTATCCGTAAATGGTAGAGTTGGAGGTATTCGCATTGACGGTGCCTGATCAGAGTTTGTTTTATTAGCGCTGCAATGTATTTGGATCTTTGCTGACTTTGAGAACGTACACATCAGTGCTGAACTAATTACTACCAACGCCCCACCCCCAAAGTACCAGGGCATGTAGTATCCAAATCGAACCATAAGAGCAGCGTTGATCAAGCAGCCAGCGACAAGCATGAAAACGTAAGGTAGAAGCCGTACGGCGGCGTCGAGTGCTTTATCGCCCTGAAGTTTATAGATTAACATTGAAGAGCACGGAGAGTGAAATAAGCGATAATATGAAAAGGGAAGCATACCTTCGCAAATTCAAAGTACAAGGGAATGTAGTAGATGGCGCCTTGTAGCACACCGGATGACAAAAACATTTGAACGGACAGATTAAGCATCAGGGGACTCTTCAGCAGATGGCTAGGGAAGAGAACCTGTTCCTTTTTCACAAGAGGGTGGAAATACTGTACCAAGACAAATCCAATGCAGATGACAGCCGTCATGACCCAGAGAACTATTTCCTGGGCGGATCCCCAATCATAAACAGCACCTCCAAAGTTGATGGCCATGACAAAGCATGCAACGAATCCATTTAGAAAGATGATGGACACCCAGTCTACTTGCTTGTGCTTCTCAAATAAAGTCGCTGTTGGCTGCGCGTCGATATTAGGGAGAAGGAAGAAGTAAACGGGGGCAAATAGAGCAGCGATCAAAAGGTTGATGTAGAAAGTCCAGCGCCAGCCTGCTGAGCTATCTGCGAATGCGCCACCGACCTATGTACCAAATTAGAATATGAAATATGTTGAGGAGATCAAAAGGGGTCATACAATCGGGCCTAGAACAGTTCCAATGCCCCATACAAAGCCAACTAGACCGATGTAATGCGGACCTTCGCGAGGGCTAGTGGTCATAGCGAGGTATGTGATGCAACCGAGATACATGCCCGATCCCTGGTTACGTTAGCGATTGTTTTGAAGAAGCAAAAAAAACCAATGATTTTGCCAAAACGCACTCCAATTCCACTAGCAACATTGTCAGCAATCGAAACCGAAAAGTAGGAGGAACCAGACATACGCAATCACTCGTCCGATGATCAAGGCTGTCATATTCGGTGCCGAACCACAGATGGCACTCCCCACCTCAAACAGGCCAACCGTGAGAATATATGTCCACTTCAGGTTAAAGATACCGAATGACTTTCCCCAAGGCAGAATGTTCATGGCCCCTAATGCATAGCCAGAGCTCAACCAGGGGAGCAAATCTGCATGACCAAAACGACTGATCATCGCGGGGGAAATATCCGCAACCTGCGTGGACAAGTTTGTATGAGTAATTGCGACAGGGAGGTTAAAGTTATATTGGAATCTTACTGCAGTGGTGTCCAAGCCGAAGAGAAAAACAGACGAGAAAATGGCCAACACAGCCAGAGACCACTGCGATAGTCAGCAGTCACTCAATGCCCGGAGTGAAATGAATCCCACTTTGATGCCATGAATTTGGCGGTACTTGTCTCGCTCATCTTCAACCTGCACACTTTCCTTTAAAGTGTCCGGCGCAGATTCACCAGAGCTAAAGTGCCCATTGGAGTCATCAACAGCATTGGTCGCGTCCGAAGACGGTGCCTTCTCGCTTGAATCGGCCATTTGATGGGTTATGCTTGAACGTGATGATAAAAGGGCACGAATATGTAATAAGATAACTTGTGCAAAGGGGTATTATTGACCAAGGGTTGAGGTAGAAGAAGAAGAGGAAGAAGAAGAGGAAGAAGAAGAGGAAGAACAAACGAGGAAAGACCTAGAAGAGAGACAGACCCAGGAGTCCAGGAAACGTCGTCACTTGACACGTCAAATATATTAGAAGCAGAGACAGTCGAGATTTTATCTAAATACAATTCTTGAAGTGTTGGGGGGTGTTCCTGTCCGGTGTTGTAGTGACGGCGAATTTCGCCGTCATCCCGGCGAGCGGCGCCGGTATCTGGTTGTTGACAAGGGTTTTGCGGGATTTGACAAATCGCAAAAGTACGGAGAAAAAACGCGGGTTTTGGGGGCTTAGTCGGCTCTGTCAAATCGTGCCGCCCATTTGAGCTACGAAGCTGTATTTGCAAAGTAGATTTGAACCAATTTGGCCTTCACTTGGCTGTCCCACGAATGTCTGATGTATATCTCGTTCTGGAGCCTTCTAGAACGAGATCAAAATTTGTTACAATATTCAAAGCAATCTTAACCTGTCGCGAACCCTCCTGGAGGTCTTGGCTATAGTACTGATCTGCAAGGAAAAGAGGATAGAGGCAGGTTATTTGTGCGCTCACTTGGCTCAATCAAGTTTCAGGATCAAGATCTACCACTGAGCATTTGAAAAACATACCGCTATCAACGAAGTGTATAAGCTACATTTTCACTACTCATTAATTTCATGTGCGATGAATATATGCTTGGGGAGATTACAGACCTAGTACTTTAAGGTTAGAAAGAGTAAAAACTTAGTACTTGGGGACAATTCCTCTGAGGGTATGAATTAGGTTCGAAATCAATCTAAGACCCTTGCAACACGGGAAAAATGTTGGCGTTCTTTACCTTATATAAAGAGGTATCTCAGATCAAATACTGCATCATCGGGTACAAAAGTATCACAAGTAGCCAAGAAAAGAAGAGACTCGGGAAGATATCATTTGAGAGGTGCCAAATTCCATAGAATGTACCTGCAACCTTAAAAGGAGCCCCGGTTCACTCATACAGCGCAACAACCACAGAATCATTGTCATTTAATGCAATTTATATTGATCTGTCAATAACGAAGGTACAAATTAAGCGAATAAGCCTTGGAGAGATATCTAGACTCATCTTTCTCGATCAATGACCGGTTCACGAAACAAATGATGACATGGAACATATGAAATAAAATAAACTAGAAATCTCATGGGAACACAGGGAGCAGGCCTACCTTATTGACGATGGCTGTAGCCAAAGTTTTGACGCTCATTTTCGCTGCCAGAAGCTCCTGGAACGCAATATCAAGAGTATATTGCTTGAAAAGCCAATTGCGCAGTTCCGCGCCAATCATACTGTCAATGCCGTAGCTAGCAATGGAGTTGCCATCATACTCAAAACTTTCCAATGGCACGAGCAGCATTCCAGCGAGCTTCTTGATCACATGTTGACCCACTGCTTCAAGCATGGCCTCGGGTCCCTCTTCCTTAAGGATCTTCATAATGTCCCCGTCACCAGGATCGCCTGATGGAGAATCCTGACCAATAGATTCAACAGTGTGGCGGATACTTTGAAATCGTGCATCGTTGTACCAGTAAGCATCGGCCGACTCGGAAGCTGTCAAAGCGGCTTCCAGCCGGGCAGGCTCCATGCCTAGGATTATCTGAGCATCGCCAAGAATGGGCGGACTGTGGATTTGAGGAATTGGCTGGGCCATTGAAACCTCAAAGCCGCGGAGCATCTCCCGTTCGTCAATACCGTACATTGCCTTGCGCGTCAGGGAAGCTTCAAGACTCTGATCTTCCGAGACCACACCCACATCAAGGATCATGGGAAGGACAAGAGAGACACCCGGAAGGCCAAGCTGGTTGCGGTGCCACGCGAGGCCATCCAAATAGCTATTACCGGCACAATAGTTCGCTTGACCGGGGTTTCCGAGAGTGGCGGAGATAGAGCTTGTCATGACAAAGAAGTCTAGGGCATGTCCCTGCAGCACCTCGTGCAAGGTACGAGCACCGTTCATCTTAGGAACCAGGGCCGCTTTGAACTTTTCAAGTGACATGCCGTTGTATATTCCATCCTAGATTTGATATTAAAACGTATTAATTGGCTCTAAGAGAATTTGCTGCTTACCTGCAGTACCATCGCGGCATGTACCACTCCACGAAGAGGCCGCTCGGATGTGACGCGAGTGACGGCCTCTGTGACGGCATCTACATCCGAAGCGTCGGCGCGGAAAACCTGCACCTGAGCCCCTGCTACCCGTAGAGACTCGACCAGCTACTAAATGTCAGCAACAAAATCCTGATGCAGGTTATAAAGGTAACATACTGATTTGGCTTCAGCCTTATCATCACCCGATCGGGACAGGAAAACAAAATCTCTTGCTCCCCGTTCCATCATCCATGTCGTGAGACTTCGGCCAAGGCCACCAAGACAGCCGACCAGTAGGTAGGCTACATCGGGTGGAAATTGGAGCTTCCTTTCGGCAGAGTAAATCTGATACCAGAATGAATTAGTATGAGAACCCATGAACTAGTCTCTGTTAGATAAGTCAATATCATACCTGGACAGGAAGATCGTCGTAGTTGAATTGAAGGACATTGTATCCAGTCGACCAATTTGCAGCGCTAGCCATGCTCTCACCCAGTGATGTGATCTTGTGCTGCAAGGCACCTTCGAACGGCATGTCATTTTGCCCTTCTAACAAGTGAAGAGCACGTTTCACCAAAGAACCCAAAATCGGACCTTCATTCTTGTAAAGGGTCTCAATACTCGTAGATTGGAAAGAGGCGCCACGCTGGAAGGGAACCACATCAGGTGCTTCATCCAGCGAAGCACCGTTGAAGACAAATCGGCCTAGGGCTGGAATGGATCGCCACGCGTTCCGACTCAGAGTGTCCCATTCATGGCTGACAATAGAGACAGGAGTGGCTTGCTTGGAGAGACTTTGCAAAGCCCCACGCACTTGATCCAAATCAACAACGCTAAGGTGGGTTTCGGCACTGAGCCCTGGCGCTGATGCGATCAGCCGCCGCTGCTCTTCGTCGGCACAAAAGATTGTTAGTTGAAATCCAAATTCTCTCTGTAGTCGAATGACCGCTTGGACGAACGAGTAAGGCGCCGGAAGAAGAATCAGATGGTCTGCCGCTCCTAAGTCATGGGCAGCTCCCCGAACAGAATTCATCGCGGACACAAGACCGGGGAGAACAGTGACCAGATTTGCAGCACTGAGATTGAGATTCTCCGGATTGTAAACACAAGCAGCCATCGACGTAGTTTTCACAAGAGTGCTGATTGGGCCCGAAGTATATGCAATAGCGGTGGAGCCAATCAGTGAGCTATCCACCCCAGCTCCAACCCGGGTAATACTACCTGCAACCAGTCGCGGCTCGACAGGCACTATCTTCAGATCGGTTTCGAAAATCTGCGCCTCATGAACCTGGATTTCAAGTTCATTTGCGGCAATATCGACATGAGTAGCGGCGTGGAAAACAATTTCTCCCGCCACCGGTTTGGCCGCGAAAGATTGACCTTGTGGAAGGGGTGTGTATTGAACGTCTTTACCCCCCGGACTGGACCAGGTTTCATTGAGGTGAACATTTGGTGTGACCCGTGGGATGTGAAGGATACCCTTGTGGAGCCAGAACTCGGTCTCCTCTCGCGAATCTTTGGTTGGAATTCGGTCTAGCAAACTGGCAAGAGTTTCGGCAATTCTTTCCTGATCTTCATTCCGATCCACATCAAGCAGAACAATTTTAGCATTCGCTTGCTCAGATCGAATGGCGCGAAGGAAGCCCTGAGAGGATGTCCCCTCAACACATTGGCCTTCATTGACGCCGGACGTCAACCAAATAGTCGGAATTCCAGACTGAAGGATCTGCTTCAGGGAGACCCAGGCTTGTTCCGTCAAAGTTGACAACAGTTTACCATCCACATCGTGGATAAGAAATACTTCTTTCGGTTGAGGGCTCAATATAGTGACCTCTGACAGAGGCCATTGCTGCATCCTTACTCCTGCTTTGGAGCCCAATTGCTGTCCCAGCGAGACAAGGAGATGATCTTGGCTGTCATCTCGATAGAAGATCGTCACCCCAGCTGCTTTCGATGAATTACCATTGGTAGATTGAGATTTATCTTCCTGTTTATGCGAAAAGACCACAGAGAGTTCAGGGAGCCGGAAGAGTAGCTGGGGGACTGAGAATCCGCTTTTTGCAAGCTTCTCAACAAAGTCCGAGGTGGAAGAAGGAGACACCAATGCCAGTAAGCTGCCTTTTTCTGCCAGCAAGGGGCTCACGGCAGCCAATAGTTGGGCAGTCTCCACTCCGCTGTGGAGCCCTGCAAGTACCAGATCTGCGGGGGCGAGGTTGAGACTCCTCCACTCTTCAGACGCGTCTACCGTCACCTTGGAAATACGACCCGCAGAGTGTCCTACTGAAAGGTTGCTCAGGTACTCATCTGATGGATCGAGTATGGTGACGGCAGTGGAAGAGTTGATTTGCGACCACACTGCCTCCAGAACTTCCTTATTAGGCCGACCCAGGATCATCAGATGGGCCAAGGAGGTGTGATGTTCCATTAGCTCAATCACTGCAGCCGCCGAGTCAGCATCTGACTGCACGGACGGGTAGGCAGCTACTGCCTGAGCTGTATCAAGTGTGGTGATCTCGGGCTTCCAAACGGTCTGCATGTAAGGAGCACGCTCCACGCCATCATCTACTTGCGGAACTGCAGCCTCATAAGAAACGCAGCGGAGCTTGTGTACGTCAAGAACTAGCTGTCCCGAAGGAGTGAACAGCTTCGTGTTGGTGTCGAAATAGCGACCATTAACCTGGTCGGTCCAGGCCACGGCCTGGCCAGTTAGTCCGATGTCCGTTTCGTCAGGGAACCAGAGCGACAACTCCTCAATCTCGATCGGTACGACACCGTGGGGCATC